TCCGATGTTATATCCGTCACTTCCTACCACCGGATTTACGCCTTTTGTTAATTCCGTGTTTAGTACCGCTCCTAATGCCTATGTTAAAACAGAAACTACTTTGTCACAAATTCAGTGAAAAAATTAGACGACATTATAATTGACACTGAATTCGACACTAAAATTGACTATGAATCAGTTACTATCTCCCCTGTTGACTCCGTCACATACTTCTCCAAATTCACTCCACCACTTAAACTCCTGTTCTTGTCACTACTGTTGTCCTCTGTCTATACTATTACACCTTTCAAATATGTCTCTCTACTGTTCTGTTTATTTTTCTATCTCTGTAATTTTCTATACTTTGTCTAAATATTTTTGCAAATAATTTATAAATTTTAATAAGCATTAAATATATTATCTCAGCATTAACCAATATCACCGTCTAATGCTGCCACTACTTTCTGTAACATCTTCCTCCACCTCCTATACTGATCAAAACTTACTCGTCTCTGTGAACTGTTGACTTATTTTGTCTCTTAAAGAAAAGCGCAAAATTCTATATTTCCTAATTTGTCTTGAGAGCGGAAAAAAAGCAACTTCTTATTTCGTCGTCACATATGTTTTCTCTTTATGAACTAACGCGTAAACAGACGCAAAAACCAACAACAAATGAGAACCTTCAACAAAAAGACAAAAAACGGCAAACCACACTTAAGTACACTTCCCTCATGGTGTTGATTTGCAAGATTTTTTTTTAGGCAGGGAAAGGTCGGTAGGTTTTTAATGATCGTGAAGAGGGATGTGCCCAATCACCTTTGGCGTTGTGTTAGCTGAGCTTTTCTGGAGATAAACGCCCAGAATTGTAGTCTAGTCAGAAATTGTTTAGGTATTTGCTGCTTGTTAGCTGTTTTTGGCGTCCTGGCTCACTGTCATTGGGAGCTGCAGTGTGCCAGAAGGGTTGCAATGCTATTTCATTGTCATTTTTGATCTTTTTTTGCTATTAGAGAAAAAGAAAGACAGAGCAAAAAGGTTTTGTGCTTTAGGTTTTCCAATAGGATGCGAAAAAGAAAAAAAAATTGAATGCTTGTGAACATCAAAGTTAAAGTACAGTAATTTATATAGTTCATTATATGTATAACCAACTTAACCAGTGTTATATATTGGTGTGTGTGTGAAGCAGTGACCACAAACCTTAATTTCCCCGCATCATACCACATTTACGTAATTTGATGTTAACACATTAACACATTAATACATGTAGTATTATTCAGTCCTTGAATCTAGAGGAAAAAATACTCCAGAATATAAATATGCTTGATATTTCCCTTTGCAATTGAATAGGTTTATAAAAAAATAACTAAAATTTATATCGTCACTTATTACATATACTGCTATTTATTGATTATTTACGCTTCCACTCCTGATTTTACAACGATATAAACTAATCAGCGTTTCTCTTAGCAGCCTTCTTTTGTGCCTTTCTTTGAGTACCAAAGATCTTCTTTTCTCTGTTCTTCTTTTGTTTTCTTTGTTGTCTTGAAGCCTTTTCAACCTTCTCAGCCAATCCGTATCTGACTAATCTGTAAGATGGTTCAAATCTTTTGAGGTCTGCGACTGATTGGTAGATTAAACCGAAACCGGTTGATTTTCCACCACCGAATTGGGTTCTGAATCCAAATACTGAAACGGAGTCTTTATCGGTTTTGTAGATTTCTGACAATTTGTCTCTCAATTCATCCTTGGAAACGTTTGGTCTGTTTGGGTGCAAGACGTCAATGACGAATTGTCTTCTGGCCAATAATGGGTTGGTGATGACTTTTCTAGTTCTGATGGTAACGGCGTCACTCTAGAATCGGGTTAGTATTTGAGGGATATATTGGGAGAGACATAATGGAGGTGCATAATGGGAGAGGGAGCATTCGTTTGTCTTGCGTTGTTGAGGAGTAGTTGTGATGAATCCTAGTGGTTGTTGATGTGATGGCTCGTCACCGGTACGACTTCATTTCTTTCCTTGCTCTTAGTTGACCTCCTTTTGGCAATCAGCATTTCAGTCTCTCATCTCTATTCCATATTGTAGAACATACCATGCTGGTTGGATATATGTCTAGAAACGTTAGCTTATTCTCGTGGAAACAGATTTTCAAAGTTCTCTTTTGATAATTTCGATTTTTTTTTCCACTCTTACTACTAAACTAAGAGCACAAAACGAGATTTTGAGTGAGAGAAAATTTTTTAATTGTAGTCACATGACCAGATGTGACTGTTTTGTATTAAACTTTGACCCATTTGAGTTCATCCTTTATGTATCTCCAATGCAAACCTGACGTCAGCACGACATACCTTATCAAAAAGTGTGTCAATTTGTAATCGCAGTTGCTGATTTGCAACTTACTTGCTAAATGGTCCATATAATTCAATGTTTTAATTTGAGTTCGAGTCGTTAGCTTCCGTTGAATGCTGCGGTACATTAAATGAAATTTTACCGGCTTGATGACATTACTGGTAAATTCAAACAACTCTGAATCTTTGAAATATAACGCCAAACGAAGCATTATCTCTCGTTTGTAATCAAAGTCATGGTAGCCACTGGCTTGCCGGAGCACCTCGGCAAATACTTTGACCTGGCTTTGCACGAACCTGTCTGTGACCAATTCGTCAAGGGTCATTTCACGAAAGCACTGTCTGATGATAGAAACCAAAGATTCTTTGACCAACTTGATATATCTGTCTTTGTTGTTTAATAGCTCTCGCGTAACGGTAGCCATTTGGGTATCTATGGATGGTGGTGTAGCTGTCACAAGACCCACTTTGTCTATCTCAAGCTCCGTAGTGGGTACATTTGGTGGATCTGGTGCCCTCTGGTTTCGCCCTACTGGAATATCTACCACTCCTGTCAAATCTATAACTTTCGCGTAGCTCTTTAGGGCTTTTTCAAGAGGGATAGAGCTTTCCAAAGCGTCTATACCCCCGTGCTGTTCCTCCTGCTGTTCCTCCTGCTGCTCCTCCTGCTGCTCTTCTCGTGAACCACCTGGTGACACATGCTGGACTACTTCACTATCTCCCTGCATCTTCGTAACATCAATCTTCCAAGCTCTTGCCAAAACTTTCTCCCTGAATTGCATTCGAATACTCCAATGTAGCATCTCACTCGCTAAATCATCTGGCATGGAGCTTATCACTACTATATCATCAACAATGGTACGCCATCTTCTGAAAAAACCCCGAACTTCAACTAGTGTCCCATAATTAAACTCCGGTTCTAAAAACGCCGCCTCGAACTGCTCCAATGGTATCACCAATTCCAAAATCAGGTCGTCTCCCGAGGAGTCGTCGATTCGTAGTCGTGCTGTCTGGGTGCCCGCTTTGCCGCCAACTACTTTTCCAACAATAGCAAACTTGTTTATTGGCCAGTTGTTAATCATGATCAAATCGTGTAGGTTCTCCCATAGTTTAGGGTATAGCCGTTTAAAGTTGAACTGGTTCTGTATATCGTTGATAAACAAAGGAGCATACTTGCCAAATGTAACTGCTTGGCTAAAAAGTTCTGCTCGGTAAAACTCGACATCTTCCTTTTTTGCAACAATATGGCTTCCAGGAAGTTGCCAATCAATTCTCTCCTTTTGCTCGTATAGTGGTTTCGGTCTGTTGCATACTTGCATTGAGGTTTCCTTACATTGTTTATCAAATTTTACGCGCGTATTGATTAATCTCTATTTATTTTCGCTTGCCACTTTTCTTGCTTCTATCCGCTTTCGTCTTTTTATATGATCGTTTTTCATTTTCCTTCTTTTCTTCATTGGCCTTTCTCTTTTTTGAATTCACCTTCTTGCCCTGTTTTGTCAATTGGCCCATGACATCACTTTTGAACCAAGTTCGTTTTGGTCTCGAGTGAATGTCCTTCTCATACTTTATCAAATTAGTGGCTTTATTCAATTGCATTTCAGCCCTCAATATTTCTTTTGCCTCCTTCTCCTCTTGTAAAACCTCCTCCACGGCCGACTCCTTTTCATCTATTCTCTTGTTTATCGCTTCAACGTCGTTCCAATCGACTTTTCTCGCCACACTCCTTCCGTTGTTTATTGCCGCCTTCACTATAGCTCTATCTTGGTTGCTTTCCCCAACAAACGTGATCGATGTACCCTTCCTTCCTGCTCTTGCGGTTCTACCAACCCTATGCAAATAAATTTCGTAGGTTTTTGGCATGTCAAAGTTGACCACATACTCTATCCTTATATCCAAACCTCTGGCCGCCAAGTCTGTACAAATCAAGACATTGACGTCGCCCATAAACAGCTTCATATTTGCCAAACGCTGCTCTTGTGTTAAAGCACCATGCAACTCTGCTACCCTGAGTCCAAGCAACCCCAAGATAACTCTCAATTTGTGTGCCATCTCCTTTCGTGACACAAACACGACAATCCTTCCATCTAACTTTCTCAATAACTGAAAGAGTAGTGCTGGTTTCAAGTTTTCTCTCTTACGAATACGAACAAACTGTTGTTCTAATTTTGATGCGACAGTCTTTGGGGGGTCAATCATGACACGAACTGGCTTGTTGAGCGACAACTGGACTAAATCTTGCACCTTGGTGTTCATTGTGGCTGAAAACAATAATGTCTGTCTCTTTTGCTTTGGTATTAACGACAATATCTCCGTCAATTCCTCTTGAAACCCTTCCTCCAACATTCTATCTGCTTCGTCAATCACCAACACTTGGACATCCTCAACGCTGAAGCTAGGACTGTTTCGTATATGGTCAATCAATCTACCTGGTGTAGCAATTACAATATCGGGCCTTGACTTTAGCTGTTGCTCCTGCTGTCTCAAGTTCAATCCACCCACAGCCAATCCAAAACTCAAGTTTTTCACAAACTGGCCCAATTTCCTACCTACATCGTAAACCTGAATGGCTAACTCTCTCGTTGGCGCAAGAATGATTGCTTTTGTTGACGTTGAGTTTTTGAAAATTAACCGTTCAATCAATGGTATCAAGTATGCTGCTGTTTTACCACTACCTGTTTGTGCACCTGCGACAATGTCCTTACCCAACAATGCAATTGGAATAGTTGACGATTGAATAGGTGTTGGTGATGCAAATGACAACGACTGCAAGCTCTTTAAAATGGGACGTGAAAGTTGTAGTTCCTGAAACGTGGTGGTGCTGGTTGTTTCATTACTTTGCGGTGATTCGTAAAACTCCTCTGCGTCAGGATCGTCCTCCTCATCTTCTGCTCCTTCTTGGGCAATCTGGTCAACTTCTTCCTCCATTTCAGAGCTCTCCACCACCTCCTCATCTTCCTCTGGTAGATCACCTCTTTTCTTTTCAATAATCTCATCCAAATTCACATCCTTGTTTGTTTCTTCAGTTTCCGCTTCCCAGTCTTTTATCTCATCGACCTCATCGCCAATGGAGAATTCAAAATGAGGATTGATATCGCTAGGTTCTTCCTTGACGTCTTCAACAGATGAGTCTGAATCATTCTCGACCTCCGCGTCGCTATCTATCGTGAGTAACAAATCCTCCTTAACCATTTATGCTGATGATCTTAATGGGCATCGAAAGAGGTATAAAAAAAAAATAAAAAAAAGAAAAATAAAATTGAAAATAAAAACAAAAACTGATTATCAACAACCGCATTTCAAAGTAACAACAAAGCTCATTATGATAAACTACATCAAGCTTTACCAGGACAAAGACTATACCAATCCAAAGAAACTTCTAATTCAGATTATACTACTACAAATATTCTACTACCTAACAGCACTCATTATATTCTATGTTGTAGCACTACTCAATGGATACGACTTTTCAATAGATTGGATATTCCAATGGCAATTAGTTTCATTTGAAAACACCTTGGGCTTGACAATGTTTGCATTATGGTTGTTTGACTCGCTAATGTGTGTTCTTTTTGTTACCATCATTGTTGGTCGGTCAAAACTTGCATGGGATTTTGCAGTCACTATACACATTGTCAATCTAATAATAACGTGGTGCTATGTTGGCAAATTCCCCACAAGCATGCTCTGGTGGATGTTGCAAGTGATTAGTGCCTTTTTGTTGGTTACGTTGAGCACGTACTCCACGAGGTGGAAGGAATTGAGGGTGACTTTTTTCACAAACATGTTGGAGACAAGGGAACCCGAAACTGTAGAGCTAAGTGATTTAAATAGACCTAATTAGTAGATTGCTAATTCAACTCCTTCTTATATATATATACATTCGAAATCGGGTACTTTGGCTGTTTCTCTTGAATTCTCACCCTCTTTCAAAGTCCTCCTTTCTTTTTATCTTCTTTTCTTTTCTATATTTCTTTAGCATAGTTGATCTCTGCATCTAACCTGTTGTTTCAAGTAAGGATTGGCTAATTTTAGCTAGTCGTATTACGTGAACATATAAAACCTCATTTCTTGTTGAAGTGAGATTAGTGTTAGTGACAGTGTCGCCCAATTTTTCAAGGACATGAAACCAAAGATAACAACGTGCGGAATTTAAATTGTCAAACCCAAAACATCTCACACCAAAAAGATCAAGACTCTTTTATTATTATAGACTAGGGCAGCCTTCCAAACACATTTCATGTGTCATTCCCTACATCTAAAACCATATTTTGTATAACTATGAGCAACGACATCTCAATATATGTCAAATAAATAATTATTTTAGGGGAAAAACACTCCATTTTGTAAAAAAAACAAAAAAAAATATTAAACCCCATCTTTACTGCAAACCATGTCCGAGCGAAAGGCGATAAACAAGTACTACCCACCAGACTATGATCCATCGAAAGTCGTTAAAAAGAAAAAGAACCCAAATCAGACAATAAAGATTCGTATGATGGCGCCGTACTCGATGCGGTGCTTGAGATGCAATGAATATATCGCAGAGAGAAGATCCTTCAACGCCAGAAAGGAGGTTACGCCAGAACGATATTTGAATATCAAAATTGTTCGATTCTACATCACTTGTCCTGGCTGCAACAATACAATTACTTTCAAGACAAACCCTGCCGAAGCTGGCTACACACCAGAGGAGGGTGCAGTACGAAACTTTGAACCGTCCAAGAAAAAGAGAAAACAGGAATCGGAAGATGACTTGTTGAAACGATTACAGAGTGAAGAAGAGGAGGATAAGAAGTACCAGTTATTGATGAAGAAGCGGAAAAACAACCCCTTTTGGAAGGAACTGGATGAGACTGGCGGCGATGTGATGGAAAAGTTTGAAAAGAGGTTGATTGAGCAGCAGCGACAGCAAGAGTTGACAGCAGAGCTCGAAGCGATTCAACAACAGGTTGATGAATCAAATTCAAGGGATGACGATGAAGTTTTGTCAAAGTTGCTTGCTGAAGAGAAGGAGAGCGAGGAGAATAAGTCAGGCGCATCAAAAGGGACGCCGTTAAGCACCACGCCCTTAACCCCTTTGAAAATACCGTCAAAAATAATCATCAGGAAAAAGAACAACGCCTTGCCAAACTTGGACTACAGTAGTGATAGCGAATAGATTTATATATTAAACTCAAAATCATCCAAAGTCAACACCGGAAACTCAGGTGGCTCAACCTCTTCATGGTATTTTGCCTTTATATCCTCTAGAATCGGCTCCAATGTCCGCCACTGGTGCTTATCCATATCCTTTCGGCAATACACCACAGCTTTGATATAATCAATTGAGCAATTGTAAAACACAGGAAGAATTTTGTACTTCCAAAAGTTTGGAATAAAATCCATTGGATCTGGACACATCCCCAAGTCGCCCAAAAAGTCAATTGCCGACAACGTTGAAAAGAGATACCGCCTATCTTTGTTTGTGAATAGATCCTGTAGCCCTTCAAACAATAACTCGGCATCTCTTTGCGTCCTCGAACCAAATGCTTTGTACCCCTGCGTTTCCGGATTAATCTTTTTACCATCTCCGTACAATATATTTTCAAATCCAATTTTGAGATAAGCACAAACAAATCTATCCAAGAATATTTGAAACAAACTTTGGTAAATCGTGTAAATACAATACGACCGCAACTCCCCCATGTACTCGGCTATAGTGTCAGTCATCAAGGTAGCCATCATTATGTCCCCCGTCTGCTTCAGGCCATCTTCTAGCCATTTCTTAGTAAACAACTTGCATAGTTCAACATACAAGTCATTGATGATGACATTACTGATGGATATGCAGATTTCTGAATTCAACGAGTCAGATGAAGAAACGGCGCTTTCAAATGCTTGTGATATCTTGACATGGTAGTTTGTGTGCACTTTCTCTTTGTACGTATTGGTGAACTTGTTCGTCATGCTCTCACCACTAATCTCTAGGGAATTTGCCAACGCACCCATGTATTCTAGCAACCCTGGTCTAGAAATATTCTGTTGCTCTTCGGGACTTAATTCGTCGACATTGACAACAGTTGGCCTCTTTTTGAACAATCTCTTCGCCTTACTTTCCTTGATTAGAAACTTTTCGTTGCTAAAGACAGTAAAGTACCTGTCCATCTCCTCATCAATAACAACTTGGAAATTCTCCACCCTGGCAATGTACGCATTGCACCAGCTTTCAATAACTTCAACCAAAATCTTGGAATACCCAGATTCGGCGGCTACGTCAGCCTGCTGTTTCAACATGTTCAATGGGGTTTTAAAATCGGGCAACACATATGCTTGAATCTGCACCGTCATGTCCACAATATTATTAGGCCCTTCCTCGTCCTCGACAACTTGTTCAAACGGATACATGTCAGGTGCCTTCAATCGCTCGGTAAAGTACTTTGTCTCTTGCTTCATCAAGCTGTCGTTCCATTCTCTCATTTTGTCGGTGATGGTTCGCAAGTAATCGTCCAAGACGGTCCCTTTCAAGTCCTCTCCAATAATGGACTTGGCTGACCCATCAAGTTGTTTCAGGTAGTCACCAAACCGTTTATCATACAGCAAAATTCGCAATATATCCTCTGCTGGTGGTTCATGGTTAATCATGTCCATAGTGTACTGGTGTAACTTGTCATAAAACACCTTTTCTGTGAATTCACCAAACCGCCAATCTTTCGGCAACAAGGGTGACAAATATTTGTAAACAAAAGTGAGCTCATCCTCGAGCCAGTGCAAGTTGTCATATAGTGCAATTCTGTCGCTTTGATAGTGATCAACACAGGTGTTGAAAGTGTCTTCGAAAAACAACTTGAATTTTTCAAAAAAGAATTTCTTGTAATTGCGTCTTTTGCTTCGGGTGTTATTGTAACTCTTGTTCATATCATTCTTAATCAAGTCCAAGTTTTGCATGATACTGAGCTTGGCGTCTTCCTTGTCCTCCCACAATATGATGGTAACAACTTTGAACAAGATCTCAAAATTGTCATCCTTTGTAGCCTCTGTGATTGATATAATACACTCAGTTAACAATTCATCAAACGACCTAATGGTTTCTCTAACGGGGGATGTGATGTTGTAAACAATTGATTGTAAATCATCAGATAGAGACTGTGAATAATTTTCGAGGTAATCGGCAAAATTCCGTATCTGGGTGTATCGATAGTGAATAATTAGAATATTGGGCAACGGGTATCGCAAATCTTCTCGCAACAGCTCAGTTTCATTTGTAATGTCTTGGTTCAATGCATCCAAGATACTCCTCAACTGTCTAATATCCTGGTACAAGCTGGTAACTTGGTTCAAATATTGGTCAATTGTAATCATTTTACGAATGAGATCATAATCCTTGACGGAGGTGACTGACTCATCGTAAGCATTTTGAAATTTAGATATACCTCCCTTTATTTCCTCTAGACTCGATATAGTTTGATTCAATTGGGTCAAGTTGTTGTTGATGGATGTAATTTGTACACCAGTAGTCGTCGAAAGCTTGATATCAACTGCAGACTTTTCCTTTGCAAATTGTTGACGAATAACATCTAGTTTACTGAGATCTTCGGGTGATTTTATTAGACCCCCTATCTTTGACAATGCAAGATCGCTCATAGTTTGTTGATATTGGTGTTGAACAAAACTCCAAATTTTTGGCTCACAGAAAAATAAAATAGAAGAAACAAAACAAAAGGAAAAAAAAATAACATATTTTCAATACTCTACTTCTCTTACACTATTTAAATCTTCTTCCTGGTTGTCCATTTTGATACATGTTTGGCATCATGCCGAAATTTTGTGGGGGCGGCATGAACCATATTGGAGCAACCTGTTGAGGAAATTGTGGCTGAGGAGGCATCTGAAAGTTGTACGGCATTGGTGCTGACGTCGCAATCATTGGACTTGGCATGAACGAAGGGGATTTAAACATGGGCCTTGGGAAGAGGGCCTCGTGTGTCTCCTCAATAGTTGCATCCCACGTTGGTGGAGTTTGAAAACTCTTTTCATATACAACTGGAGTAGTATCTGCCTTTGCTCTTGTAGTATTGAACATGTTGAACCCGGTTTTTAACTCTTTTAATTTTTGCGCCTGTTTCTCTTGAGTTGGTACTTTGTTTACGCCTCCAAAAAAGTCTTGAGGAGAAATTTGGTAATGCCTTTTGGAAGAACCTTGTGAGCTAGATGAGTAAGTCCTGTTATTGGCTGCGTGTGGCGAATGCACTGGCAATTGATTATTCAACACAGCTTTCGGTGGTGATGCCAAGGTATTTTGTGCAAGCGATGGGGTAAAAGAAGCTGCATTAGGATTAAGCTTGAACGTTTTCAGCGTCTTTTTCTCTGCTTGAGGTCTAACGTGGGACAGTTGTGGCTGTGTAGTAGCCAGCGGCGTAGCAGCCAGTGGTGCTTGTGAAGGCTGCACCAGCTCCTTGCTTTGTGGCGTTGAGTGACCCAGTGACACATGCAGTGCCTTTTGCTTCTCTTCCTGCTTCTGTTGTTTCTTCAAAATTTCATCCTGCTTAAGCTTGTCCTTTGCCAAAATAGGTAAAAGGTCTTGTGGCATCTTGTGAGGTATTTCGAAGTTTGCACTAAAGTCCCGGAGAGAGATGATTTCGCTTTGTGCATTGAGTCTAAACGACTCGTTTGGCACTGATGGTTTTGCAGGAACTGAATCCGGCGCCTTTTTATCATTTTTGTTATTTGCGGCTGAACTCGAGACAATTGCTGGATCGTTGTGATAGTTTGCAGCGCGTTGTCTTGGAGTTACGTATCTAGAATTATCCTGGCCCGATTTAGATGGTTGTTCACTTTTTGCCAATTTACTATTCAATTTCAAAGCGGCCATCAATTCATCTCCTCTTCTATCGACTCCCGAGTACTTATCCTCCTCGTCCATACCACTATCATCAACTTGAATACCTCTTTCTTCCAAAATATGGCGGTCAGTAGTTGTCTGTCCCTCAATCTCAGCGGCAATTTGATTAGCCCGTGCAAGACGCTGTTCATAGTCTGGAGCTGACTTGTCGATTCTTGTAGTATACAAGTGTTCATCGTAGGTACTCTCAACACCAAACTTTTCTTCATTCACCTTGAACTGATCCCAGTGTGAATTTCCATTCCTTGTGGTAGCTTCATCCTCCAAGGTCAATTTTTGCAATCCTTCCTCTTCTTCAGGTTCCCATTTAACCAATTCACGTTCTTCAAAGGTTTTCAGTTTCTCGGGGTTATTTGAAATATCAGAATCAGTCTTGAATTCTTCCCTTGTGTAGTGCTTGATTGGCTCATTGATGTTAACATCCACTTCAAAGTCAATCAAGTCCTTGGCCTGAATAACGAGATGTTCCGGCATCTTATCAAGGTTATTCTTCTCATTAATCAAGCTTTTACCCACTAACTGAGGCTGTTTGATAACCACAGAAGAAGACGAGTGCGAGCTTGGGGTCCATAAATCTGTGGCCACTAATAAACCCTGGTACCGAGATCCATCGGTCGTAGTGACAACACATGTTTTCCCAACGGACTTTGCAATCAAGTAAATCAACCTATTGTCACTTTGGTTGTCACCAGAGTCGACCAGAGTTACTGCACTGTCCAGTCCTAAACTTTTGGGATTGCTCGCAACGGGACTAGCCCTCCCACCTAAACCGTTTGTACTCCCATTATGACGTGAATTCGAGCGGCGATGACCGACCTTGTTGCCCGGGCGATTTGATTGAGCCTTCATCAACACTCAATCCAGTGAAAACAATCTGATAACTATCGAAACGTATCAGAATGAAAACCAAAAAAAAACAAAAAAAAAAAAAAACAAAAAATAAAAAAAACAAAAAATAAAAATAAAATGATTAAAAAAAAAAAAGCAGTGGCACACGGAAAATAAAAATTGATATGTATTGGTTCTTGAAACAGGAGGCAGGATAGCTGTTGCAAGGTTGGCTGTGCAGTCAAATGAATGATTTAACACAAGTTGAAAACGTAAGGCAAAATTAAAAAAAAAAAAAAAAAAAACAAAAAAAACTAAGGGATAAAGGGCCTAATGGTTTATCGTCTGATTCAATCCCGTGAATCTCGAATGTTTGTTTCTCCTGATTTCTTTTTCTTTTTGTCTGTTCGTTTTTTATTTTTTCTTCTTTTTTCTTTCTTTCTTTCTTACTATGTTTAGCTTTTTCTGTTATTGACCTCCACAATAGGGTAGCGCTTGACGGAGGTTAGAGATTGCGTCTACTTTGCAACAAGAGGGGGAGAGGGTTTACCCCAAAGGGGCTGTTCATATAAATGTTTATAAAACAAACGTACATCATATACTAACAACAAATGTTGCTCAAATTGTAACCTACTTCAACACTTTCTACTCTGTCTTGAAAATACAACATAACAAACTCCTTCAAGAATTGAACATCTTGTTGGCTGTAAGGATCCAATTCCATGTCAAGCATGTCTTGATAAGAAAGATCAAGTTCGACTTTGATAACGAGTTGCTCATCTTCAGAACTGTCATAGTTACTCAGATGCTCTTCCGAAGACTCGTTTATAGCCTCATCAATGTAATTGAGCCACTTCGAGGTCAATTGATGGAAGTAACCCACAACGTGCATGAGGTCAAGCAAGTCAATCTTCTTATTCAACTTTACATCTGGAAGTTCCTCTTCCATGTTGAGTTGTTGCCCAGCAGATGCAAACCATGAAAAAGCTGACCAGATTGATTCTGCCCACGAAACAGGCTCAACTGCATCATGCTGCCACCATAGTGGTTCGTTATTGAACCTGGGTGAAATATCAGCATACATTTTCGCAGCCACACGAGAAGATTGTATTGAATTTTCATCATTATCGGTTCGAGATGTGACTGAGCTTAAGTCGTCTGTAGATACATTTGAATTGTTGGTGAAATCAAGATTTTCAGCAACAAGGTCGGAATATAGCACTTGGAATTTGTGATAGTCTCGTATTGTAGCTTTGATACCGTTCTTGTCTCGACCAAATACCTTTATCGTATGGCCCACTTCAACACCGATATCATAGATTGGGTGGCCCTTCAATATTTCGTCACTGGTAACTGCTACATACCCGTTGTTGGATTTTTGAAACTGTTGGAGTAGATTCGAGGAAAGATCGTTCAAGCCGATGTTGTATAATGGTTGCTGAGCGTGAAGTCCTGGGTTGGACAATTTTGTACTTTTTGGAACCACCGATAAAACAGATATTAAGTAGCTAAAGGAGGAAAGAAGGCTATAGTAGTCTTTGGCTACTAATTGGCCCTCGCTTGTTTCGGCATCACTGTTCAAATGCATCTCATTGAAAAACAAGATATTCTTCCTTAAAAGGCTTTGTTTGTAAATGGCAAATATGAGGGGACCCAAAGTTTCAAACATCGGGGGTAGATTTAGTAGTAAATGCTTACCTTTGCTTGGCTCGGCACCAGGAATATTCAAGCTGGAACCAGCAGAACCAACCTGCTGCAAGTCTTTTCCAATCTTGGTCAAGTCCAAATCAAGCTCAAGCCCTGCTTCCTTTTTCCTAATAATATCTGCTTCTATCTCACTTAATACATCCTTTAGCTCCTCAATGTACTCCCAGCCGTTATTGATAAATTCGTTTGGTTTCCAGTCGCTTTCCTTTGGCTCACACAAAACACCAACTGAATACATTCTCAAGTTGTCTCGATCATCTGTCTTGCTACTATCAATTGCAAACTGTTTGAAGCAACTTAATCCATAAAGGAGGCTGTTGCCTGACTTGTGACTTAGAAATATTGTTGCTTCTTGCAAGTCATGGATTCCACTAGGAAGCGATTTGTACTCGACCCCTTCGAGTGACACATCGTTTGCTGCCTTTGACCACAAGAGCTTGTATCCCGACTTCATATTGAACTCCGAAAAGAACACGGCCACCACATTTGATTGTTCGTGTGACATCTTTATCCCAAAGGTTAAAGGATTCAACAAAAGGTCCTAATTTTTTTTCGTCTCCACTTCTACTCACCCAAATCTACATTCAACAAATCAAACTTAATATATATTATACAATACTGTCCTATAAGCATAAAACTTTCCTAGCTCTTTCCTCTTACAGACTTATCTTTAGCTTCCCCCGCCTTAAGCTCTTATCCTTAATATGAAGTTGACCACGACAGCAATGAGCAAGAAGAAGCACAACATAGTAGGTCCAAATCTGTCATCGTATGGACCTGATCCTCTCAATCTGATGGCTTTTGCTCTCCAATGGTAAGTAACCAAAGCATAAACCATAGTCAACATGGCAATAAAAGTGAATAAACCAGCTGAAATTCTACCAACGTAATCACCAAAGTTCAATAACCCAACACCCAATGAGCCTAGGATAACGGTAAAGTTCAACCACGACAAAAAGGTTCTTTCATTGGCAAAAAACACCTTTGGTTCTACTCTGGCTGGGAGTGCTATTCTTTTGTTAGTGGATGACATTGTTTAAATTGTGTGCGATGATAGCAATGCTTATCAGAAAAAAAAGGTGCCGATTGAGTGAGTTGGCGAAGTAAAGTGGTTGTTGCGACGATAGGACTATAGCAGATGGTAACCTCCAATAAACCTCTGCTTTCTGAATGAAGAGTGTTTTTTTTTGATAAAATTTTCCCAATTGAAATGTAACGCAATTGTAGAAGAAGAAGTCAATTGATAGTATAATTATTTTATTTTTTTTTGATTTATTTAGTAACAAAGTCCCAATTAGGCAATCGCCGCACACACTTTAATTAATTAATTACAAAAAGTATAAAATGAGCACACGTGGGCCGATGTAGCTACTACGCTACCATATCATTTAGAGGCTTTTGCAACAACAAACAACAACACCATTTTTACAACAAACACTAACTGATACTAACCCTTTTTTAATTTCCATAATCTATATATCTTTACCTTCTTTGCTCCAAAATCAATTGACCCATGGGCACGCTTGAGTGGCCCTTACCGAATGCATAAACCGAGTTACCCCTGATTAAAGTCTCCAACACTCTTCCTTGAAATTCCATACCGTCGTATGCAGTCAACTTATTTTTAAAATAGACATCTTTGTTCTCAACCTTGACAACTGCTTCGGTATCAAAAATACAAAAATCAGCATCGAATCCCACTTTCAAAGCTCCCTTCTTGTCTTCCAAACCAACTTGTTTGGCAGTGTTTAATGAACACCATTTGTTAATCTCAACTAACGAAATTGGTGGATCCAACTTTGATCCTTCAGTGTACAAAATGGGCAAACCAAACCCAACACTGGAAATACCTCCCCAAGCTTCAAAGAAATCACCCTTTTCCAAGCCTTTCAAGTCTGGCGTACATGGCGAATGATCGCTGACAACGGTGGTAATAATGTCATTACGCAATGCTTTCCACAACAATTTCCTATTGTCGTCAGTTCTGATTGGAGGACAGCATTTGAAATGAGTCGAGCAACTACTAATGTTTTCCGCACATAACGACAAATAATGGAAACATGTCTCTGCCGTGATTGGCAAGCCTTTGGCTTTTGCTGCTCTAAGTAGAGGCACTGCTTCATGGGTTGCCAAATGCACAATGTGCAACGGAACTGTAGGCATCAAGGTTGAGCAATTGATGATTTCGGCGATGGCAGTAGTTTCGAAATTGTCTGGTCTTGAGGCCAAAAAGGAGGCATAAGCAGTGGGATCAACAGTGGATAAAGTCGAATCCTTTTGCTTTGCCAACAAAAATGGCGAACTGACTTTGGTGTCATCCTCGACTGCCCATAACCCTTCTTCTTCTAAATGGCTTTGTTGCTTAACCTTCATTGCATTTTTACCATGTGTTGGTTCAGCACCTGCCAAGATTGGCGTATGGGCCAACTTTTTTGCTTGGTCGTTTGACAAGACTGACTCGTCGATTGATCCTGCATGGTTATGGGGCAACTTACAATTTTCGTGTTCCCCTTTATGGGAGCCTGTATCTTTACGCAAAAGCTTGACCACTGGTTGTGGGGCCCTATTAATAAATGAAGCAGACATTCCCAAATCGAAGTCTGTATTCATTAACTCATCTTCCACAGTGGCTACTGGGTTGTTATCAGACCAGTCAGTTAAATCCTCGTCTCTCGACAGATCCTCTTCATCCAGGATCTGGAAATCGACTCTATGCTCCTGTGGTTGCATCTCGGCATGAAACATCAACAACGTCTTTTCGTCCTTTACAATCTTCATTGCCTCGTGAATGATGCGTGGGGTAACTGCTGGAAACTCATCCACACCACTTTCAATCATAAACGCCTTGAATCCTCTCACACCCATTCTTATCAATGGCACCAAGTCTTGTAAATTGTCAGGGATCAAACCGCCCCAAAAGCCAACATCAACCCAGCACTGCTCTCTTGCAGCGTTTATCTTCAAATTGAAATTGTAAACAGTTGTTGTGGGAGGAATTGCATTCAATGGCATGTCAATAACAGTTGTCACTCCTCCAAAGGCGGCTGCTCTGGTACCAGTGGCAAAACCTTCCCATTCCGTACGACCCGGCTCGTTCAAGTGAACGTGTGCATCCACTAACCCCGGCATAATCACTGCTGGCGACACGTTACGGTAATCGATTGGCAACACGGCATACGTCTTTAGTATAGCGTCATTTGGGGGTAAAACCTTGTATTCTATATGTAGAATTTTTCCTGTTTCTATGGAAAATATGACTGTAGCTGGTGTAACTTGATCATCGATCAATACTCTGGTAGACGATAATGCTCTTGACATGCTGGAATGGAGAGCAAGTAGTGGGCAAAAACCTGCAAAGTTTTAAAACAATGAATTGTAGAAAATAGAAACCGCCGACAAAGTTTTGTACTGATTATGCGATTTATTTTATTTTGTTATCTCTGAATCACTCCGATTACTGATAAGACAAATATCACTGATAAAAGAAAAAATTGTAAAACAAAAGGATGGAAATCTGGGAAACAAGCCTGCTTTTTATCTTTCTAACCCCTGGTACCCCGGACAAAAACCAAATTCAAAAGGAAAAAGACAATAGCTCTCAAGCACTCCTCTGAAATTCGAACCATATAGAATTATTAAAAAAAGAAGCCATGAAAAAATTTTCATTGGGAAGTTCGGAACTTGCCGAAACGCTACCTATAGTGACCAAAAAAGTTGCAAATTTGCGCGTCACAAAAGAAATCTAAAGAAATAGCCGCCCAACCGAAAGCTCTCAGGTTAACACATGCGCAAATAATGGGCTCACTCTGGAGTAAGTGAAACGTTCTAACAGAAGGAGATGAGGGGTTTTAGTAGCAGCTTTATAGGTTAGCTCCGAAAGAGGAACATGGGTAAAGGAAACTAAGGCAATGTCAATTGTAGCGTGTGAGAAAAAAGAAAAAAAGAAAAAAAGAAACTTTCGCGCCCGATAGTTTCCGAAGAGATTAAAATGTGTCACACCGTGACTTCCAGCAGGATGATACTCTATGCAAAGTTTCTCCGCAAACTCTACACAATTTCGTTAAAATATCTAATTCAGTTTCAAAATGAAGACAGAGGAAAGGGATAAAGTTTTGCAAAATGGTCAGCCCAATTTTAACTACTCCCTTACTAATAAGTGATCAACTGCTTTCCTCCTTTCGAGTCAACAATTCCTTTTTGGTATAGCTTAGCCAAGTCACTGCCGTCAAATTCAACATGCGTACTAGGAGCATCCTTTAACTCTCCGTTTTCGTACCAATCAATAACCTGACCCAATGTCTTTACCTTCAATTCCTGATTCTTTTTCAACAACTCAGTGACCCAAAATCCAGCACTGGTGAAGTTTTTGAAAATATACAACGAAGTTGGAATGGTGACTGGTTGCATCGACATTCCTCCATACGTCAACATCAACCCATTGTTGTTTAATTTTCTAGCAATTCCAGACGATGACTTTCCACCGACACAGTTTAATGCCAACTTCACCTCACCGCCAGTTTCCTTGACCCAAGACTTGACGTGACCCCCAAACTCCTTTGATGCATTGTCTTCTTCAGTAATAACTTGCGTAGCACCCAATTCTTGCAACTCTTTCTTGACTTCATCCAAGTTAGGTCTATCTCTAATCACCGATATCGAATTGATATTCAACAATTTACCAACCTGTGAAGCATATTTACCCACAGCAGAGTTTCCTCCATTTTGAATAAACCAATCCTTGCCCGGGGTCAATTTGACGTAATGGGTCAACATGAGGTATGCCGTTAATGGATTGACCGAAATGGTTGCCGCTTGGTTCACACTCAACCCATGTTTCTTTCCATTTGATTTTGATTGCTCTGGGTTTGGCAACTTGATAAAGTCGGATGTTGTACCCAATGCATGCGTTCTCCAGGTACCAAAATTGACTTGACTAGGAATGACCCAGTCACCAACTGCAAGATCAGATACTCCGTCTCCCACTTTCAACACTTGAAACACACCTTCGTTACCACATGGTGCAGATGGTTTTTCAGTGCCAAAGTCCAATGTCTTTTCAGGTTTTGATGGGTAAACACCTTGAATTTGGTTGATATCGGATGGATTGATGGGAGAGGCCAATGTTTTGACGACAACTTGGTCTGATTTCAAATTGTCATCATCAATGGTGAACTTTTGCGTGAACAATACATTTGATGGCTCTCCATGTTCGGAGTAGAGCACAGCTTGGGCGGTAATCATGTTTCTCTTGAGGACTGATGATGTCAATGGGGCAATTGATCTTTTGACAGTAAACATTTCCAACAGTTATGCTTGCTTGATTAATAAGCGTTTTGCAATTGAAATCTCGTGGGTTTATATATAATTTTTGCTCTCGTGAGAAATAAGGGGTCCGCTACCAAAAATGCCCAACCGATTACAAATCATCGTCATTATGCATATAAATATATATATATATATAGAGAGAGAGAGATGGTCTAGCGTTCTCACTCCTTCTTTTCCTCCTTTTCCTCCTTTTCCTCCTTTTCCAATTCCTTCAACTTCTGGGATTCGGCCAATCTCTGTTGCTTCTGCAACTTCTTCAACTTTGTATTCTGATACGTTCCCAAAACGAAATAGACCAAATTGAAGAAGACAACCCACAACTCTGGTCTAACGAATTTTTGTGCCACCAACAAAGCAAAGAATGACGTTGTCAATGACGACTTCAAAACCGGCAAGTATCCCTTCTTCAATCCTGCCTTGACGATAAATAAGATCTTCTTCAACTCGGTGATTGGGTTGCATCCTGTGCATTTGTAGTTGTTGATTATCGATATCCATGACACGAAACAGGCCGAAATTGTTGGGGTCACAGTCAATAAACTGGTCAACAACTGCAAAATCTTTTGCTTGCTCGACAATGGTGGCTTGAAGATCTTGTTGATGACACCATACATGTTGTGACTAATTGGTGTTGCAATCAAGGCCCCGTAGATAATCATCTTGAGCAACTTTTCACTAAACACGTGCTTTACCTTGACACCAAACACTTTGGACTCTTTATACTCGCTGGTGATTACCGACGACACGGTTTCGTTTAACCCGCTGAAAATACCGGAGGTGATAGATTTTGTCAACAATGGGTATTGCAAAAGGTACGCGAGGTACTGAGCATTAAGCGATTGAAGTGTAGACATGGTGCAGTCTTGTTACTTATGATTCCAACAACGAGTGAGGTTATTCAGAAGACAGTTGTGGTGGGTCCGTTGACTTGTTGTTATAAGTCAAATGATATTATTTTCCCGGCCCCACGCCAAAATAATTTTCTCTCCCATCAAGCCCCTCTTTATCTCACTCGGATATCTCCACCCTTGATAAATAAGATCAGAGAGAAGAAGAACAGAAGAAAAAAAACTTTTTAAATCCGAAAGAGGAGCGCGTGTGGGTATATTTCCTAATTGAGACAACGAGATATATTAAACGCCTGTTGATTGGGAGGAGCAACATCCTGTGTAACGTAATGAATAACAATCGTGAGTGTCTTTTCTCGATGATGCTCCTTGGTGAAGAGCTTTTTTGTCGCTCATAACCATTGATCTCTGATAGTTTGTGCATGAGAACCCAACCATACATTATCGTAGCTTTTCTGGTAGATACACTACCATCTTGTGAAGACACTCGTTTATCTTTGTTGTGGAATAATATTCCTGCCGCATTAATCATGAACTATACTGATGGTTTCGAAGTGATTATGGTTAGGGTTGCATGTAGGAACAGTGATATATCATATATCGTATTGCAAGTGACGATACAGTTTGTACGTAGTGACGAATCGTGCTGGGCTTAGGTGGTTAGGAGCTATAAATATGAGTGATTCCGCTTCAAAACTGCAATGACTCTATAGTGTTTGTAATGTTATAGATCATAACAGTGTTTGCATCTTTGTGAGAGCTTGATGTGAAAACACTTACGAGTATGGTTTTGTTATTTTGCATTACGCGGCTTTAACTCTGTCCACTTCGGGTTTGAAGATGATACGTAACCCCGATGCCGAATTGTTTCCCATTTGCTATTTATAGATTTCTTCCAGTGTATGGATAACCTATAAACGTTTCAAGAGGTAATGAGAGTTGCAAAAAATTTGCTGCAAAGTTTGTAGGTATAAATGCAATTGGTTCAAATTGACTGGTGGGATGGAGAGCAGCACTTTATAGCCGTAAGCTGAACTGTAGTACGGCCAAAAGTTAGAGCCTTGCTGGTATCTGGCTCCTTTACGGGATAGCTCTTTCTGATGAAATATTGAAACACGGAACTTATCCTCGAAATGGAATTTATATTGTTGCAAACGTTTGCAAGGATTTACACACTTTTAGTAACTCTTTGATGTGAAAGTGTCGCACACGATTGCAAATATTTCAAATCTCGTAATAAACCAACCGACTTCACTGAGTTTGGATAGGTGGCAACAGGCTCGGATCTGCAGCTAGATTTGGTGACGTCCTTCTCACCAGATTCTTTTCTCTCAGTGAAGTGCTGCTAGCTGATGCCATATTTTTATGTCTGACATATTCTGCTAAAACAAGACATTAAATCTCGAAAAGGAAAAAAAAAAGTGTCAGATTTTATGCAGCAAATATTTTTAAAAAATAAATTAAAATAAAAATAAAAATAAAAACAATGTCCAAAAAAAGCGGGGAATGAATGACGCAGAAGAATTATTCCGGATGATGACACTGAACAAAAGTCTATTATACAAAAGTAAATCTCGTAACCTTTGCCCAATACTCGAGAATTATTCTTTACCAGTACTTTCCATAGATCGAATACTTCAAGACTCTTCTTAGTTCAACCTCCGTAACTAGACCTCGTTAGCTTATAGCAAGATTTAGTTTGCTGTTCATTTTCCGTGAAAGCCTCTCTGTATTCTATTATCCACAACAATACAACAGATCCTATTGTAATTGTTGTGTGCACTTCTGAAATCGAAGCGAACTCAATAACTGTTGTATTGTTTCACGACTCTCTTCCTTGTCTAGATAGACACCCAGTTGCACTACTAAAAGAGTTTTTGCCTGCGCCTAGCTGTGCTGTAACAAAGGGTGTCTTCAAGAATCATGTCCGGTTTTTTTCGTTACGTCATAAATTAATAAACAAGATCTAACAACGCTTTACAAAAACTGCCCAAATAGGCTACCCTGTTCATGGTTATGAAATTCATATCAAGGAGCGATAAGGATATGGCCTCTTGGGATAATCAAATGGTCATGCCACCGAAAGAATCTTTTCTTTCGAGATTGTGGCTTGTGGTGTTCACCGGGCCCCCAAATCACGCTGTTCGAGATCTTGAACATCAACGTGGAAAAAACGAGTGAGACCTTTTTTTCAACACAACTGGGTACATCGCTTGATATACGTTGCTTCATTCTCGACTAAATATCTGATCGCTCTCCTTTGGTTCTAGCTCCAACACCGAGAAGTCTTTTTTTATAGAATTCAATATATTTTTGTGTCTGAACTTGTGGCCAATTGTATTAATTTAGTGTCAGACAAGTTTTCTCTTTGTGATCTCGGAAGAACACAACTTTGTCTGACTCTCGAATTCCACGCGGAGTGAAACGAAAAACTTGACAGTGTTCTTTGGTTGAGAGACGGTTTTTATATGAAATGTTACCCTAGTAACTTGTGGGGATGCGTACTACACACTCGCTATTACTCCCGATCAGCATTCATGCAGGTCGAACCCTCCATTTCAGCACAGGAAGTGAGCGATGTAAGATGAAGCAAAAATTTTAGACTATCAAAATGCAAGGTAAAACTAGCTTCTATTGTCTTTTCACGAACCCAGAAAATTTGCAAAAAGGCGGGCGTAGCACGCGTTTAAGAAAATATTGGGTTCACTCCCTATTGTGAACCCCACCAAGAAAATCCCTGTTCTTCCGGCTTTGCAAGGTTTAGCCCTACACTCAAGAAATTATTCCAAGAGATCTGTTCTTGCGCTGTCATAATTTAGTTAGTACCGACCCCCTGGGGAAATCGGCTTGTGCTTTGTTGTGTTCTTCCGCATCCAGGGCAGATACTCCGACGCCTTTGACCACAAAAATCATTCCAAGAAAGATTATTTTTTTGTTTGTTTTTAAGTTTTGTGAAGAGTAATATATTGAATGTGGTGGGGAAAAACATCGAGGAGAAGGAGGAGAACAATGTCGAAGTGAACATTTCATCAATGCAGTCAGTACTAATGCAAAGGCAAACGTACAAGCAAACGCCCTTACTGTTTATAATAGGGTTGTTTAATCTCTATGGGCTGGCTCTCTCCTCTTCATGAACATACGACTCCACATGTGAATCAGACACTAAAAAGTTTTTTTCCCGGACACAAAAGGAAACCCAATTTTTTTCTATTTTTCTGTTAACCAAGGATATTATAGCAATCATAATGTCAGACAAATGACAACAATCATGCTAAGGTGTACACAGTCAACCCAGCAAAAACAACAAACCACCGCCCGAGCTAGACTGGAGTACATTACAATCTCGCCTTGGTGACGTTACAAACTATTTTTTTCTTTTCTTTTTCTTTTTGTTTTGCTTCGTGAAACATGAAGTCCGAGAGGTAGTGCATTCCACTTATAGCAATAACAACAATAAAAACAAAGGGGCATCATCTGTCCTCACCGACTTAAGTATAGCTCGAAAATAGTTCAAAAAACAATGATGTAATCCATACAGCCTTTCTTTACCAGCAAAATCTAAACCTCTAAAAACTTTCTTTTCCCATTACATACCTTTGCTGGATTTTCCAATTTCGGAATTTTCTATTTTCTTGTTTTTTTGGGCCACAGCGTCTAAATTCTGTGTCTGCATATATTAAACCCACAAAGCAACATACTGCATATAGTACCTTTTCCAGACAAAAGTTCTCTATTTTTGCTACAATCAACCCTTTTAATCCAACAATAGACAAACCTACGAAAACAATAAGATTTTACATTGTTTAGAGGGAGATACTCACCAACACGCGACTGACTTAGTGCCTACCATGAATGGCTCTATTATAACCTGCATTGTAAATTAAAATCAGTCACGAAAAAAAAAAAAATTACTCCAGTATGCCTTGTGGCTTTGTGTTTGTCTATTTATAAATGTTTTTTTTTTTAGATGCATCTTTCTTTCCCCCGGCTTTCAGTAAATGCACATTAGTTACATTACAATACTGAAGCATGCCAGCAAATATACCGCTTTGCATTCATTTATATTGTCCTGAAAACTGAAAACAATGTAAAAAGGCAAACAGAGTTTCTGCCACGGCACTATATAAAACCAGAAGTAAATCCCCTCCCAAACATTCTCTTTCTAACTTCCTTTTCCTTTACTGCTTCTACTACTACTACTAGTTTTTGCTCACACAGACCTTTACATTGCTTAATCGTTAGAAGCCACAACCACTTACATTACTTAATCGATAGAAACACTTTATTATATTTTTCTTTTTTATTTTTTTTCATTTTTCGCAATCAAAGTTTAATTCGACGCTTGAAAGATGCCTGCTGATAGTGAATCCGATATTAGCGCTGAAAAACCCATCACCAACTACTCCCATGTGAGCGGCCAAACTCACAACGAGGAGGGGAATGGTGCTCTTTTCGAGAGGACAACATCCTCAACTAGCGACTCGCTAAATCCACCCCCAAAAGAACAACTTCAAGATTCCGAGTCATTACAATCAGAACCTGAACGTGCTGATGGCGAACACGGTAATATTTTGGCACAATACACCGAAAAGCAAGTTATGGCCATGGGAAGAAACTATGCCACAAAGCATGACTTAGACCCCGATTTGTTTGCCCGTGCAGCAGCATTAGCTAGAGCACCAGGTGCATTCAACTCAATGCCATTTTTAACTGATGAAGAAAAGTCAGGATTGTACTTGGAAGCCACCAAAAAATGGCACATCCCTATGAAGTTGGTTGCTGTTATCGCTTTGGGATCTATGGCTGCAGCTGTGCAAGGTATGGATGAATCTGTGGTTAATGGTGCCACCTTGTTCTACCCAAAAGCCTTTGGAGTGGATAAGATGAAAAATGCCGATTTGATCGAAGGTTTGGTCAACTCAGCTCCATATTTGTGTGCTTCGTGTATTGCCTGTTGGATGACTGATTTGTTTAACCGTCACTTGGGTAGAAAATGGACTATTTTCTGGACCTGCGGCATTTCGGCAGTCACATGTATCTGGCAAGGTTTTGTCAACAATTGGTGGCACTTGTTTATTGCTCGATTCTTTTTGGGATTTGGTATTGGTATCAAGTCAGCAACTGTTCCTTCTTATGCTGCAGAGTGTACACCCAAGCATATCCGTGGTTCCTTGGTCATGTTGTGGCAATTTTTCACTGCAGTTGGTATTATGTTTGGTTACGTGACGACTTTGGCATTCTATTACGTCCCCCACAAGAGTTTCGGTACAGGATTGAACTGGAGATTGATGTTGGGAAGCGCTTGTATTCCAGCCATCATTGTTTTATTCCAAGTACCATTTGTCCCTGAATCACCTCGTTGGTTGATGGGTAAAGACAGACACCACGAGGCTTTTGAAAGTTTGAAACAATTACGTTACGAGCCTATAGCTGCCGCTAGGGATTGCTTTTACCAATATGTGTTGTTGAAGGAGGAAGGTTCCTACAAGATTGCCACCTGGAGAAGAGTCATTGAAATGTTTACCATTAGGAGAAACAGAAACGGAGCCATTGCTTCTTGGATCGTCATGTTTATGCAACAGTTCTGTGGTATCAACGTCATTGCTTACTATTCGTCTTCCATTTTCATTGAAGCTAATTTGAGTGAAATTAAAGCTATGTTGGCATCTTGGGGTTATGGTATGATCAATTTCGTATTTGCAATTCCAGCCTTTTTGACCATTGATAAATATGGAAGGAGAAACTTGTTGCTTTTTGCATTTCCGTTAATGTGCGCATTCTTGTTGGTTGCGGGTTTCGGATTCTTGATTCATGATGACCAGGGTAAGTTGGGTATGGTTATTACCGGTATCTATCTATTTTCTGCTGTCTATTCTTCTTCAGAAGGACCGGTTCCCTTCACATACTCGGCAGAAGCTTTCCCTTTGTATATCAGAGACTTGGGTATGTCTTGGGCAACAGCAACATGTTGGTTCTGGAACTTCATCTTGGCATTTACCTGGCCTCGGTTGAAGAATGCATTTTCACCAACGGGTGCCTTTGGTTGGTACGCTGCTTGGAACGGTATCGGTTTCTTTTTGGTCCTTTGGTTCTTGCCAGAAACTAAAGGATTGACTTTGGAAGAGTTGGATGACGTTTTTGCTGTCCCAATGTATACCCATGCCATATACAGAACAAGAACCTTCCTTAGAGGTGTACAAATTCATGTGTTGCGCCGCAAGAACGTGCCTGAAATCCCTCCAATCTACGACCATCAAAGAATGGCTGTTACAAACGAGGAGTGGAATGACAAGGCAGAGGTGTCTCACGTTGAGTAATTTAAGCTTGAAGCTGTCTTTTCAATTCTAGTTTTTTTAAGGGTATATAAATGAAATTTAATGTTAATTAGAGAGCACTGAGATTTACAGTAATATGCGATTTTGTAATCTAAGATTGAAACCTATAACTCACCTTAGGAAGTCTCTTAAATACGATCCCAACTTGGTAGCACCATCCTCCAAAGCATCCTTCAAGACTTCCATATCGTCATTTGCGTTACCAGAGAATCTTGAAGCAAACTCACGTGCACTTGCTTCTAAATCGTTCAAATTAATGCCCCCTTGTGATCCACCACGACCTCTGCCAGCACCAGTTGAGCCTTGTCCTTCCTCTTCTTCGCCGAAATACGAAGAGGAAGAGATAGACTGGGCACCGCCAAAAGCTTGTAGTTTAGCCTTGGCTTCGTTTGTTGCATTCTCATCAAATCGAGGTCCTCTTCCAAAGAACTCGTCAGAGGAAATACCCTTTTGTGTTCCAAACTTGTTTGACACTTCTCCAGTATACTTCACATCCTTGTACTTCTTAGCAGGTCCGTTGTTAACGGCACTATCACCCTGGACCATGCCAAATCCTAATTTTTGAAATTGCTGGGTGGTTTCTTGGATTGGCGCAGGTGCCAGCTTTTCACTCTTTGGGTCCAGCTTCAACGACAACGAGCTTGATGCTTTTTTCTCCAATGGCGTAGTTGCTACAGGAGCAGTAGGTTCCTCCGGGGTGTATCCCAACTTCTTGCGTTCCTCTTCTTCCTCACGTGCCTTTCTTTCGATCTCATCAAAGTCAATGGCTTCATCATTTTTGTTGATCTTCTTGGCTGCTAACCTTGACTTTCTTGGCCCGTTACCCTTTGCCGACAAAATGGACTTTTTAGCTGCTGTGTTGTTCTTTAACCGCGATGAAGCTGTTGTGGGCGTAGGTGTGCTAGTTCTAGAAACCGGCTTCTTCTTCAGCAAGTCATCAGTGGATCCAGTTGGGGTTCCATTGAGTGAGCCCAAAGGCGATGGTGTGGCGGCTACTGGTTTGGTCCAGTTGGAGAAAAAGTCGTCAGTGCTATCATTTGACGAATCAGCGTTCAGTGATGCCTCAGCCAAATCGTCCAAAGTAACTACGTCTGGGTGTTTAATAGCATCAGCACTTGCCTTTTGCTTCAACTTCTCTTTGTACTTGTTAGCTGCTGGCGACGAATATTTGGTAGTAGCATCAACACCTTGTTTATTATTGACAAATTGCGAGCCTCCATTTTTAATGAAAAAGTCCTTTGCCGGTTGGTTACCCCCAAACTTAAAGTTTCTTAATTGCATACGCTGCCAGCTGTCCAAGTTGGAGGACCTGACGAATGAGACGTGTACACCCAAGTTACGGTGAACTGATGAACATTGCAAACACAAGAATATACCAAACGGAACTGACGTCCAAGTTGGATTCTTGTTGGAGCAATCAAAACAAACCTGGTTGGCAGGGTCCTTTCTCAACTTGTCAAACACTAAGGCAACTTCTTCCTTTGTGGCTATTGTGTCTGACATTGTGTGGTTTTGTATGAGCTTTGATCTGGACGTTGGTTTCTCTCTACATAAAATTTCGTTCTGTTTTTTATTTTTTCTTTTCTTATTTTTTTTCGTTTGTGTCTGTGTCGTGTCACCATTTCTTCTTTCTATTACGACTATACGCTATATACAGTTTCCTCAATGGAAAGGTCTTGAACCACCACGGGCAAACTCAACAATCTTCCATCCTTCAGTAGTCTTGTTGTCAAATTCTTCAGGGATTCTCGTCAAGACCATGGCATAGGTACTTAATTGAATTTGATCTTCGGTACCGGCTGCAATTTCACCGGTCTTGGCTTTCCTGTACAAATGGATCTCTTGTGCTCTACAACTGACAACAATCACAGGAATATCATTTGGCTGCAAGCTCTTACATGTGACGATGTCGACACCTCTGATATCCAAGATCCTGCTGTCTGAAAATAAACCTTGTTGAATGAATTGCTTATTGTTAGCTTCCCATACATTATAGGGAGCTTCACTAAACCATTCTTTCAACACCTTTGAATCGTTCTTGATGTAAGCATCAACAACTTCTGGAACAATGTAATCATTCAATGTCTTTTGGAAATCAGTCAACTTGAATGAGGGATCCATATATTTCAATTGTTTGATGGTTTTGGCCTGTTCAGTCTCTGCAAAGAATCCGGTAACCTTTTCAATGATTGTACGTATTAGACTGATTAGCCCATTTTCTGACTCCTCCCATTTCTCCTTAAGTATCACAATAGCTTTACCAATGGGCGATTTCTGTTTAAAGTCTTCCCATTTTTCACTAGTCGATGGTCCTGACGATTTGATTTCCGTTGCAACCAACTCTCCTCCTGCCTCTTCATTCTCCTTAACGGGACCCTTGTATCCTTCCTTCAACTTCCTAGCCAATTCCTTCTCTCTCAAAGCTTGTCTTTGCTCTTTGGATAAAAATCCACCATACATGTTCGACGAACCATCGTCAATTACCTCGGAAACATCCTTGTATATTTGCGTCTTTCTAACAGGATCAAAAGCCTTATCGGCAGCGTCAGCACTGACCTTGACGGTAGTTCTCACACCTTTCCCCACTGGTGACTCCCATGCCTTGTAGGCTGCACCACCTACTACATCCGCCGTCTTTTTAACCGCCACACCTGCTGCACTTTTACCCTTTTGCGCTCTAGCGTATGCTTCTTTAGCTCTCTTGAACGCTTCGGACTCTGCCACTCTTCCTGACTCATCCTGCAACGCCTTTATGTTTTCCTTCAACTCGGACGATTTCTTCACTTCCTGCTTGAAAGTGTCAAAGAATACCTTGAGTGGGGAGTTTGTCGATGGGGGTTTGTCATTGAGGTTCACACTTGATGCATGGAATGCACGTACAGTGGTGGTTACCGGTATCCTGGTGGCAAGACTTTGTTGTTTCTTAATTGTAGATCTAAGCATGTTTGTTTAGAGCCTCTGGTCCTCCTCTTTAGTTGTCTATTTACAAGTGGTGAAAATACTGTAGGCGAATCTGTGAAATTTTTGACTGTTTTTTTTTTTTTTCTTCTTTTTTTAATTTGCCTACAGAGAAGAGTAACTACCAAAAGCTGTTGTATTACTTTATACACTAATGATACTTCCATCTTTCATAAAGCTTGGCTCCTTGAACTGCACCGTAGACCAACAAGGAGCTTACTAAGCTCATTTGTAAGTTATTTAATATTCTCGATTGCCTTGCTTCAATTGCAACTGCCTTTGAATATGGGATATCATCTCTGAATGAGATCATTGTGTACAAAGGTAACCATTTGTTCTTGAACCACGTTCCCAAAGTGTAATCCAACTTTTTCTTGGTTAGATACCAGATATTAGTAACCTTTGATGACATTTCGTAGTAATTGTCCAATGCCAATTTGCAAATTGCATCCAAATCATCCTTCCTTTGCGGCGAGTACGCCAAAAAGGCCTTTTCAATGTTTCCATTATTTGCTTCAATCAACTCCATCAATATCCTTACATCTTCAAACCCACAGTTCATCCCTTGTCCGTAGAATGGCACCATAGAATGCGCAGCATCTCCAATAATGATAGCCTTCCCAAGTGGACTGTTGTAGGGATATGCACTGATTTGCATAAGTGATCCCCTCGGATTGTTATCGTAGGCACTGATTAATGCCTCCTGTCCAATGAGCTCATACGCATCAGGAAAATTCTTTTTGAAAAACTGAACAAACTCGTCGCTCGAGTTTATTGATTCAATAACAGACCAGGGACTGAAGAACGTCGATGTAAATGACCCGTCCTCGTTTGCTAATGCAATCAACATAAAATCATGCCGCGGCCAAATATGCAAGTGGTTGGCATCGATTGCAAATTTTCTTTCTGGGTCGGGCGGTATATACAACTCCATATATTGCATGTCGATGTATTTTTGGGACAAGTCCATTCGCATACCCTTTTGCATTTGGTGCCTGAAGTGAGAGTGGGCTCCATCAGCACCTATGATGTAATCAAAAGAGCCAAACTTTACTATGCCATTCTTGCTCGAAAACTCCATAGTCGGAGATGTATCCACGTTGCTCAATTTAACCAACTTGTGCTCAAAGTATACCTTTACGCCACTCTGGCCCAATTCTTCCAACAACAAGTCATTAAGATAAGATCTATCAATTGAATTGATACACTCACCGCTCAACCCATATAATTGCGACTCCTGCTTTAATCCAGTTATATCGTGTATCATTCTTCCCTTCATCGGAATGACATGGTCAAGTATTTTACTCGACAATGACTCGTCAACATATTCAACTGCTCGGATGCCTCGATTGCTAACTGCTAGATTGATGGATCGTAAATTCCTCTTTGATCGGTCTATGCTTTTTGGGTCAGGTCGTAAATCGAAAAGACTAACGTCGTAGCCCTTCCGGGAGAAGGCCAATGCAGCTAAACATCCTACCAAGCCTGCACCCACTATCCCGATTGAATCTCTATCGCCTTTCTTGGGAGCCATCTTTAAAGAGGTGGTGTGATATGGAGATAGAGAAAAAAAATAAGATAAAAAAAATAAAACTAAATTAACAAGTTTCTATGACCTTAATCAAAAGAACTTACAAAGTTTACCATTAACACACTATTTATTGGTTATTAACCATTGTTTTAGCCATCTTGTGTTTTTTATCCTCTATAGACTTTTTCAAGGCTTCTAGTTGCTGTTGCAACTCAACGTTCCTCTGCGAAAACTCTTCATTGGCTTTGATTGTGTTTGCCAAGTTCTCTTTCATCGTGAGATGTTCATATTTCTTCTGCAATTGCTCTTTCTCTTCAATCAACTTTTTGCGCTCAAGCTCAGCCTCGGTTAAATTTACATTGTACTCCTCACTTTGCTGTGATATTTCAGTATGCGTAGATTGTAGCTCTTCAATCTGAACCTTCATATTATTGATTTTTAACAACAAATCATCATACACTTCAGTCAAGTTTTTCAACTCATTTTTATTGTTACTGAGTGAATTTGCCTCCATCAAATAGAACTCATTCTCGTAGGTAATCAACGGTGGGTTGAGTTCCAACACATCACGTAAATTTAAATCGGACTCTGAAAAGAATTCTTTCGATTGAAGAAAGGTTAGTAAGCCATCTCCAGATAGTGATGCAAGCTTGTCGTCATCTTTTATGAACACCCACAATAGCAATCGCAATATGAAATCGAATCCTTCAAACACGAATAAATCCAAAATTTTCAAGCTAACATCTAGATCAAACTTTCCGAAAATTAGTTCCGGGACCACCTTTTTATAGTATGCAGACCAATTAATTCCTTGACTTGCTATATGTTTAAAAGATCCTAGCTTGTCCTCTAATGCCCGGTTGATTTTGTACATAAACTCTTCCCGTTTCACCACTTCGTATAGCTTGTAGAATTTGATCAAGATAAACAATCTTCTCTCCTCAGAAAGGCCAGGTATCACTGTTAGCAACTCGGCATACCTCACCAAATACCTATCAAGTGCTGCGTCTTTCATGGCTCGCCCATTTGTTTCCTGTTCCTCAATGATGGACAATACCAACAGAGTCAAGTCGACAACCTCTTGTTTGTCACTAAGTTTCCCTATGTCATCCTTGTATTTATGGCTTCGCTTTAGTAACTCCCCAAACGAGGAGCCGTGATTAAACTTGTATCTCACTTGCAACGTTCTCAAGTACACAATAGATCTATAGTCCGATGGGATTCCCTTTAATATTTCACTTTCCAATTTTTCAACTTCGTGTCGTCTAATCCATTGATTACTGTAGTCGCGAATGATTTCATTCCAAAATTGAACTGATTCATCGTCGGTTGTCACGTTTGGAATTACGATATTCTGATTGAAAGATGGATCATTGACTAACCAATTGAACCCTTCATTCATCGCTGGCAGGGCATAAAGCTCCAGCTGTCTGTCAGCAGATATAAATGACAAAGTATCATCTGCTTGGAATCTGATCCTGTTACTTTCTGTAGACTTGTTATCAAACGGCGGAATTGATGGAACATCTTTTTCATGTGTGTTTGAAGAGCTACTCTGAGGGGAGGAAGATAAATCCAAGTGAGGTCTTGAAGGAAGTGGAGGTGACGACGTTTCAGCCAGCATGACGATGAACACAAATAGGTGGAGAGTGGTCTGTGGTTTAAGAAGTGTCTAACATCAGTTGTTTTATTTCTGGGGCGAGAACAAAAAAAAACAAACGGAACAAAAAGATATCACGTGAAGACTATAAAATTATAAACCTATTTTATCTTGTTAATCTAACTTTCTCCTTTTGAATGGAGAGTGGGGGTAGTCAAGTATCACGTCGCTATCATCAGAAGCAACAGATCCTCGACTGAAACGAGCTGCTGTGTCGAAACCATCTGCTTTTACGATCTCGCTCGCCGCATTCTTTCTTTCGACAAACTCGGCACTTGGAATATTGCTAAAACCTTTAGTACCGAAACCATTAGTGGTAGGGTTGCCACCACCACGGCTACTTCTAAACCCCACCCTTCTGAAGGCATTTGCATCTTTTTCAGCTGTAGAGATAGCACGCGGTGAAGGGTTAACTGAATCTCTTTTGCTGTGATTGCCATTTCTTGAAGCTTCCTGTTCATAATTTCCCAAGCTATCATTTCGCCTCCTTTCCTGATCTCGAAATTCGCTGAGAGATACAAATTGCGTCTTTCCTTTAAATGCCCCCCTTGCTGAATGTGAATCATTACTATCAAAATGGCTGTTACTGAGTTGCAAATTCTCAATCCTGTTAGTGACATCTCCACTGTTGGAACTCGAAGTGACTGGAAAAACTTTCCGAAAAGTACTGGAATTGACACTAGCTCCATCAACTGTCTCCTGATTTTGCTTATTTTCCGTTGAACTATTCGCATACAGTTCGAGCAACTTTTCCAACTTTTCTAAGTTTACAGGGTTCTCAACGGCTTTTTCTATGTGCTTTTTTATCATTATCAATCGAACACCCTTGATGACTGTAGTCTCATCTTGGAAATGCTGGTTGAGTAAGTGGCAAATACTGGGATTTAGCTCATCATCTTTAAATTGTTCTCTTAATATGAGATTTTTCAATAAAACCATTCCTTTAGGAAACTCAGTGGGGGGGCTCTCAGTGAAAGTATGCATCATGGAGTTTGACTCTTTAGCACCATCGGAATGGCTCGGTGAGTTATCACGCGTCTCGTCAACTTTAGAAATCGGCAGCACCAGAGATCGCTCGTTTGATTTGGCTTTAATTTCTTCCTGTATATGAGAATCTACACTTTCCACTTCATGGTCGTCACTGGTCTTATCTAAACCGGCTTGCCTGGTTTCATCTTGATCTGCATTGGCATCCGCATTGTTCTTTGATTCTCGAGCTTTGTTATCCTTACTAGTATCATTCCTTCGTTGATCAGTGTCTGATTCTTCCTGGCTCTCACTCTTGGTAGGATTATAATTGAACTCATAAATATCGACAGTGCCATCACCATCAGTAAAAGTTTTGCATGCTTTAATTTTTTTCTTGGACTGGCTAGTTGGCTTACTGAAAACTCTCTCTTCCACAATTTCAATTTCGTCGTCGTCGTCATCCTCATAAACCAGCTCAGTTTCGTCTTTTTGAGGTTGGTTTTGGGCCCGGTGCAATTCTAGCAATATGTTTGACCAATACTTTCTCTCTTTTCTCCTTTCGTCAGCTGGAAAAATTGCTTTGGCCTGACTTTGCAGGTGCTTCTTGAAGAAACTCTCGCATTCGATGATATTGCTCAACCATTTTCTGATATTGTACAACACATGAACCCCACAATCATTGAAGTTGTTTTGGCGAGGAATCCTTGCCGATTGGAACCGAATTTGGTCTCGATTAATCTCAACATCAAATTTTTCCTTGCAATAATCAATAATGAAACTCTTGAGAGGCACGCTGACATTATACCTTTTGCTTCCCAAGGAGTCTAGCACAAATATTTCGGCATACTGGTTATTCGACTTTGTCTCTATCTCAAAATCATCAACATCAATTGGTTCACTTTCTCTCCATTTTCGTTCTTGGGCCAGTTGTAACAATCCAGGGAGGTTCCTGATAATGCAGCAATACCAATGCAGGCTTTGATTTACGGGGATGATAAGGTGCTGAAACTTCATTAGATCAAGCTTCGAGAGCCACCTTTTTATGTTGTTATAGTAGTCGGGAGTGGTTCCAGACGTCAATTTTGTGTAAAAGAAGGAGTTGAATGAATGTATTTCTGACGCCTGTACCAACCCTTTTTTTACCCCTTCCTGTATAATATACTTTAGCCCAAAGTCGATAATCACGTCATTAACCCAGTTATTGCGATGCAAAGTTCTGAAATCACTTTCATCGACAGTGAGTTCAGTACCATCATGAAACTTGTACCGCAATTCGGGTTTGAAATCGGGTGTCTTTTCAAATTGGTTGTAATCCGAGTCGTCAAAAAAATCCAAGCCTTCCCCACCACTGGTGTAATCACCGAGAAACTCAATGCCATCATCTTTGGGTTGTGAAAGTCTGGGTGAACTTCTTTGCGGTCGTTGGAACCCTGCTTTCACAAATGGGTCCGCCGATGGATATTTTGATCTATTGTAGGCTCTGTCCATCAATCTCTTTTGTGCCAGTTCAGTCAAGGTCGATTCCACTTTCACTTTCAGATTGGGGTGGTTGGTAAAGTACTGTCGGATGTCATCATCTCTACCATAGTGAGACGCTATGATGAATCTCTGTCCCAGTATTAATTGCATAATAAACGATTCATTTGCGAACGAAAAGTCTTTCAATTGAGACTCAATGTTGACAACAAATTTGTTGAGTGGTACGAGATCAAGTGAAGGGTGCTGCCACCCAATGTATATATACTTTCCATTCTGCGAAACTGCTATTTCGTATATTTTGCGATGATTTCTCTTTCGAATTTTTTGGTCATGGTATTGAAAAGACTTTAAAACATGTCGTACTTTAGGGAACTTGCACATGCTGCATTCTTTTACATCAAGCTTATTTCCATCGCAGTCTTCTACCTCTGTGAACCCAGGCTCCAGAGAAATGGAAGGTGCTGGTGACAATGAGACTGATGGTGAACCTGATTGTGAGGCTGATGGGGAGACTGAATATGAGATTGAATGTTCCAGCTCCGCAATGAGTATTGGAGATGCCGAGCCTGAGTTTGAACGAGATCGTGCCTGATCTGATGTTGGCGACAATGAATCGGGGGAACTAACCGGTAAGTCTTTGCTTATTCTCGACTGTGGAGACACTATCGTTTTTCTGGAACTTGTTTCATTAGTCTTTCCTTTTTGAAAAGCATATGAAGATTTCCGTTCAACTAATCGATCCGAATGACTAGTTAAACTGTCTAGTCTTTCACGAATTCTTGATGATTTTTCTAGTTTTTCAGAATACTTGTCATCGGTTGAATTGTCCTTCTCCTTGTTACAACGTGGACCACAGAACAGTTTATCTCTACGCATGGTAAAGTGATCGTCTTTTGTGGCGTCGTGGGAACTCGCATTGGAATGATATCTATGGTTTGACTGAAAGTGCAGCAGCGGACGTGTCACTTCGTGGTTGCCGTCACTATATATCGGTTGATTGGAAGCATTTGAGTTTCGCGTATGTGATGATTCGTTGTCGGTTTTGTCTAGCTTTATAACATCAGTCGTCCTTGCAACCAAACTATCCAATCTTTTTCTCGTTGGATCCCCAGCCTTACTAGCCCTCGATCTAGTTGTGTCTTGAAGTAGATGACCTATGCTTTTTTGTCGCGGCCTGGTATGTGGTTTTGAAGGGCTTACTGGTTCCTCAGGATCAAAGTTACGCGTGGCCTCAGTATTGGATTTGTCAGTTTTCTTATAAAGCGTGTCAACAGGCTTTGATCCATAAGCACTTGATGTCCGCTTTCGTATTAGCGATTGAAACTGCTTGTTTTTGAAATTTGAGCTGGACATCGTTTCTATTCAGTGGGAGGTATAAGGATGGGTAATTAAGTGTCAGGGCCGTACTTGTAAAGGTAAGTATACTAGCCTCAACAGCTAACGGCACTGTTGTTGAGAATATTGTTGTAACGTTCTGATGTGTGTTCTCTTTTTGGTTCCATTTTCCTGCATGGTTAGAGAAGTCCAATTTTCCTTGTTTGATCTACATCACAACCAATCGAAGTCAACCAAATCTACACCACAATATTTCTCTAAGCACTCAATATAGCCACCAATTGAGCCTTTTCCATCTATATCTGTAAAATGTTGATGAAGTCTGCCACTCTGTCTATGTATCTCATATGGTAGCGATTCACCACCTTTCTTTTCTGGTGGCAAGAGCGTCAAAATTAAAAAAAAATACAAGAATCAATCAATTACACCAGCATTCATCATCAAATAAGTATACTTCAAACAATGGGACAAGGACCATCAGGTATGCCAGGAGGTAACAACCTCAACAAAAAAAAGGATGACAAGAAAAAGGAAAAGCCAAAGTACGAACCTCCTGTCGAGTCAAGATTTGGTAAAAAGAGAAGAAAGGGCCCAGACACTGCAATCAAGTTGCCCAGCGTATACCCAAGCACTCGTTGCAAGTTGAGATTGTTAAAATTGGAAAGGATAAAGGATCATTTGTTGTTGGAGGAGGAGTTAGTATTAAACCAGGAAGCTTTCCAACCAACGGAGGCAAGACAGGCTGAAGAACGAGAAAAGATTGATGAATTGAGAGGGTACCCAATGGCAATCGGAACATTGGAGGAAATCATAGATGACGATCATGCGATTGTTTCCAGCACTGCCAGTTCTGAGTACTATGTACCCATTATGTCGTTTGTTGATAAAGGTTTGTTGGAACCCGGCTGCTCTGTTTTATTACACCACAAAACTGTTGCCGTTGTCGGAGTGTTGCAAGATGATGCTGACCCAATGGTTTCAGTTATGAAGCTTGATAAATCACCAACGGAGTCGTATGCCGATATTGGAGGTTTAGAGTCACAAATACAAGAGATCAAGGAGTCGGTTGAGTTGCCATTGACCCATCCAGAGTTGTATGAAGAAATGGGTATCAAACCCCCCAAGGGTGTTATATTGTACGGTGCACCAGGAACTGGTAAGACATTGTTGGCCAAAGCCGTGGCCAACTCAACATCAGCAACGTTTTTGAGGATAGTGGGATCCGAATTGATTCAGAAATATCTAGGTGACGGTCCAAGGTTGGTGCGTCAAATTTTCCAAATTGCCGCAGACCATGCTCCATCAATTGTATTTATTGATGAGATCGATGCTATTGGAACTAAGCGATACGAGTCTACTTCTGGAGGTGAAAAGGAGATCCAAAGAACAATGTTGGAGTTGTTGAATCAATTGGACGGGTTTGATGACAGAGGTGATATCAAAGTAATTATGGCAACTAACAAGATCGAGAGTCTTGATCCGGCATTGATAAGACCAGGTAGAATAGATCGAAAGATTCTTTTTGAAAATCCAGACTCAAACACAAAGAAGAAGATTTTAACGATCCACACATCCAAAATGAGTTTGGCCAGTGATGTCAAGTTGGATGAGATTGTCACCGGTAAAGACGACTTGTCGGGTGCTGATATCAAGGCTATATGTACCGAAGCTGGTTTGTTGGCATTGAGAGAAAGACGTATGCAAGTTAAGGCTGATGATTTCAAACAAGCCAAGGAGAGAGTCTTGAAGAATAAAGTGGAGGAGAATCTTGAAGGTTTATATTTGTAATGGAATAAAATCTGAAGTAAAACTACCATGTAAAATGTGTTTAGTTCTTCGTGCGTTGAAATGGTGAAAGAGATTGTATATGTGGTTGGTGAATAATTAATTGGATCGTAATATTTATCAATAGTCAGTTCTAAGACCAATTCACCCATTCCCCAAATAGGAAATCTAGAGTGCGGCTCATATAAATAGGAAACTGCGTGCAGCTCACATTCTAAGCATACGAACAAATTAATTAGTTATAGAATGGTTCTACTAGTTATTATAAGTCTAGAAGGTATTTAAATTATTCTAATGTACAAAAAATCCATTAATCAAAACTATATATTTGAGTAGTAATATGAGTCAACAACAATTTTGAATTCCTGAGTCTCCTTGTTGTAAGACTCGATCCGAACACCTGTCAAGTCCTTCACCACAATGTCAGCACCGGCATCTCTGACCTTTTCAGGGTTGTAAGTAGAGCAGATTCCCACAACAAGGGCCCCAGCATCTTTTCCAGCTTGAATTCCAGCGGGTGCATCCTCAAAGACCACCACTTTCGCATGGTTGGCTCCGTATCCCAAATTCTCTCTTGCATTGAGGTAACCTTGGGGATGTGGTTTTCCTTTCGTCACCTTTTCGGCCGTTATAAAAGTATCTGGTTTTTCAATGGTTAATAACTTTAACCATTTGGTTGCAAGGGGGAGGGTTCCGGAAGTAACAATTGCCCATTTTTGTTCTCCATCATGTGTTTCTTTTGAGTATCCGTCGAATTGCTTGACCAATTCCACGGCACCTGGAATAGCGCGGGCGTGGTGGCCATATGAGTCGGGTATATCTCCTTCCCACTGTGTGACTTGCTCCTCAATGGCATCTTCTGGGGACCATTTCTTGATGACATCAAAGGTACGGCATCCATGAGAAGTTCTGATGACTTCTTCAGCATCAAAGTGTGGTCTCGTTTCGGCAAAGTTTCTCCAGAATTCAGAAATGGCGCCGGTGGAGTTGACTAAGGTACCATCACAGTCGAACAAGGCTGCGTTGACGTAAAAAGTTGCTGGTGGTTGTTCTTTTGTCATTGTTTATATATATGTGTGTGTGTATGTGTATGTGTATGTGAGTGTGAGTATGTATATCGTTGATGCAGATGGATAAGGTTTGAAGAAGATGGAATTGTGTTGGGTTTTTATATTCAATTGGAGTTTTGCAATAAGTCTTTGTAAAAAGGAGGAAAAAGAAACTCTATGAGTTTCTTTTTTCTTATTTGGATTTGTGTAATCTTTAGAATGAAAAAAAGAAAAGAGATCTTTGAAAAACATTCCAGTAAAACTTTTTATCAAATGTTTTCTATGTCGTCATAGGGTAAACAACACAACAAAGCTTTAATTATACATTAGGTTGTTTATGCAACGTTTCTTTTTTTTTTTGTCTTCCCTGTCTATCGTCTAAAAATAGGATGTATTCTTTTTCCATCTATCTTTCCATCAGGGCAAAGTGCTTTGAAGATTGCTGTCATCAGTGTTGTTGGCTTCCCCTCCGATGACCATTCCTGTGTATCAATTCACTGAGTAAAGATAGGTTGTTTCTTTGTAAACTCTTCAAAACCAGCTACCTCCCTTTCCGTATTACAGGTGTTGGCACAAAGCCTATATACCACCTTGTTGTTTGTTAAAAGGCTTCTATTGTTCAGTTTGCATGTGTTTTTTAAAATTCTCCTTTCTAGCCAAGTACGATAAACTGAGTAGAGTTTACCTTACTAGATGTAGCTGCATAACGGTCGATATCCGCCCTACAGTTAACAACGCGTTCCTTCCATGCATCTTCAAGAGACCTCAGGTGTTGCTAGCTTACAATTGACTTTGGTGGTATAGGCTGCAGTTATTTGGTAGTGTGCCTTTGTTCAATATTACACAAACCTTAAAAGGCAATGGATTGTCCGCTGCCGATTTGTAAAAATTTCTTTTCTTCTTTTCTTGTCGTTTTATGAGGTTATCCGGTTACAAAGACCTAGGTCGTGTCTGGGTACCCAATATCTTTTTTAAATACAGGCTGTATAACTAAAGGAGTAAATAATACAAGAACAATAAAACCAATTGACTATTGTTAGATTATAATAACCTTGGATATGGAAAAGCTTTCTTACCACCGTGTTAATGAGACCGGATCAATGTGTGTTTCATTTCATAGACAGAGCAAATAAAAAAAAAAAAAAAAAAAAAAAAAAGAAACAATCTTAAATCCTTGAGATAAGATAACAAAATTTTACTCATTGAATGTACAAGATACACGTCTTTTTTTCTTCACCAGTAAAGTGCCCAATACACCTCGTCAACACTAACCTAACTTACACGTTCAATTTGGGGACATAGACACTACGTCATTACCCTACTACTATTTGTTATTATTAGTTACTAGAAAGGGTTAAAATGTATTGTAGGGAAATGAATCACAAAGCTACCGTTTTTTGTGTATCACGTGCAAATCAGCACATTTTATTTCCGCATTCCCTTTATGACGTAATGATACAATTTGGTAGTGTACATCAGTTCAAATAGGAAAAGCCTATACCACAACTGCACTCGTAAAAGTCTTCCTAGAACGCGGTACACGCGATACGAAAGTTTAAACGCAGTTTCTATCTCGTATCAATGAGTCGGAAAATGAAGTATAGGGAAGATTCGGAACACTGGTCCGTTCCATTTCGCAGACAACAGTCTTTGGGCCGCGACTTTTAGAGTAAATACCAATTTTGGTGAAACCCCCTTACTATACAATAAAGCCTTGCGTGGTGAGCTTAACTTTATGACATTAGCTGTTGTGAAACGTTATGTGTCACCAATGATGTTTCAAAAAAACGACTTCTTTTGTCTTTAACGTTTGTTGACAATATCTTTCTTTTTTTTTTGGCAGCAAAATGAGACAAAAATGTATGTTGACAAGTGACACTGAGGTAAATGTAATACACCTCTCTTGGTTTCTTGACGGGAACCCACCAATAGTATCTCCTACACCGTATTTAAGCTAAATATTTCAACCAACCTCTTCTTAGTCCATATGGAATAATTTGCCAAGTGCGCACGACCAACACAAAAATAGAAACAAATCAGTAGACGGCAAATCCATCAGGAGTACTATACAGCACAATACAACACTAAGACATGTCCTCCAACGTCATCACGTTAGATACAGACTCAGATTCAGATGACGAGATTGAAATTCTCGAGTTTAGAAAGATAACTCAAGATCTACTAGATAACCCACAGAGCCAGGACACCAACAACGACAAGGAGCATGCTGCATCAACTACAACCACCGAGCATAAGACGACCAAGAAACTAGCCGATATTCAATGTCCCATATGCTTTGATACGGTTGACGCTGCAACTGTGACTTCGTGTGGTCACGTATTTTGCTTGCAATGCATTGAGATGAGTATTAGTAGTTCACACGCGCGAGGCACACTGCGAATGCCGCGTGGAAGAGGAATATGTCCTTTGTGTAGGAAGGTTGTCGCATTTAAGGATACAATTGTTTTGAAGTTGAAGAAATCAGATCACAAGTTTGTGGAGGTAAAGTAACATTTTATTACAAGCCAAAGTGTTCATCATTCTAAAAAGAAGTTCTAATACATGGTCTTTGTCTTTAAATGAAGTTCATAAAGTAGGACATATTTCTCCTTATCAAGAAACTCAATGCCACCTTGTTTCTTTGTCAAGTTGGCAATGATGACATCATATATTTTAAACACCCAATTACGACACACTTCGGGGTCATCCAAGTATTCAATTGCCACCATTCTTTCCAACATGTCGCCCAATAGTTCATTCGCCACGTCCAAGCTACCTGTAATGACCTGTTCCATCTTGGCTCGATTATCAGGTTCATTCAACCCTTGATGTAGCTTATAGGCCAAGGCGAGTCGACTGAATAAAATATTTCTGTTGAGGAAATGCACGTCATCCATATTCCACTTGAATTGGTAGGTGGTTTTGCAATAGTGGATCATATATTCAACTGAATATCGCTTGAGTATAGCATCTCCTAGTGAATCCAATTGTTCGCGAAGAAACACCACGTTAGGGTACTGTGCAAATGATGCAGTGCGAGGCGAAAGCAATGAGACCTGTGCCAATTTGTACAATTCCTGATTATGAAATTTCGGCAAGGCGGGTAGTTTGAACGACAATGAATTCAACATGGGAGGTCGAAACACCTGGGAAAAGATGTTGAAGTTGATGGGTGTGGGGAATTGCTGCAAGTAGATGTCTATCTCTGGCACATATTTACCAATTAGTAAATCTGTAGTAAAGTCGGTGTTAATCCTGTGTGAAGCCACCAACTGTTGAAGAAACTTCATTATACAGTAGTCGTAGTCCTTGTCTTCTAAATAAACCATTGCCACAAATACCGACAATGGCTGCAACCCGGTAAATTGTATCGTTGCTGCATCATCCAATTGAATAAATTGCAATCCTTTACATTTGGTAACAAATGCATCCCACATGCGATGAGGATTAAACATATTCATCAATGACCATTTGAGCAAGTACTCATAAATCAACAGTTGCCCAATTTGTTCCAATGATACCAATCCTGTCGGATTGGCGAAATTTAAGCATTCCGGTTGTCTAATTGTTATTGCCGGCACTAATGAATCATGCGCCAACAACAAATGCTGTTTGTTAATCGACACTGTCAATTCATTCGGCCCGTTGTCGTTCAATTTGTAACTCCCCACGCCTAATTTGGTCAACTGATCATAGTTTATCAAGTTGAAACTCTTGAATTTAGGTCTATTACGTTTCTTTTCAAGTGCCTTTTTACGCATCTTTGTCTCATAAGAATATTCATCAACTAATTTTTCGAAACTCGATGGTTGAATTAGATCAACCACTTTTTGATTGGACTTGGTGTCGAATACATCGAAAAGAAATGTTGACCAGTCAGGCTGTTGTTTAAATGGGGTTGAAGATATGTCCTTGCTATTTTTGGAGTTGCTTATTCCTGGGATGCAGGTTGTTGGTATCCTAGTAGTCACGCTTGTATTGATGGTGGCACAGCTTTGGTCCATTGCCAACTGTGAATAATCACCTTTCTCACTCTTTTCAGACGTCAGTGGTGTCCCCTTGGCTTCTTGATTAGTCTCAAACAGTGACAAGGTTAAAGCTGGGTTTTCTACTGCATCCGATGGACCTTGCAGGGTGTCTGTATTATTCGACATCTTTCCCTTTATATCGGTGCTCTTTCCATTTGGATGACACTTCAGGCTAGATTTTAATGGCTTTGCTGTTCCTGTTGGTGTTTTCGATTTGCTTGATTTTGACAGCACCGTGACCTTTGCACTGGCACCGGATTTCTTTGAAACTGTTTCAGGACTACTCTTTTTCAACTTGTTTTTGCGGTTTCTGGGCTGCCCTGACTGTTTTGCTGCTTTACCATTAGGCGTGATCTTGCTTGTCTTTGCTTTCGTTGTAGCATTTACCATTTGCCGACTCAGAATACCCTTTCGGCTAGTTGACTCCTCCGTGGTATTTGCTTTGCGGCTTTCCCGTGGTGTAATCGCGACAGAATCCTTTGTCACTGGTACTTTCACAGTTTTCAATTGTCTCGTGATGTGACCGTAACCAGCCACGAATTGCGGTCTATAGCTTATGCATGCTGTTATAGATTTGCGTAAGAATATCATACAATGGATAATCTCTTCTGTTGGTAGGGTCGTATGCGATTATTCATTGGATTGTAATGTGTCACAGCTGTCTTTCCACCATCCGAAACCAAATTGATTCTTCTCTAAAGAGAGAAAAATTATATTATTTCACATTTGGTAGTTTAGCAAACACATTTACAAAATGAAATGGCAAAAAGCTCTATACATAGTAAGTAAATTATTATTGTATCGTAATATGTATTATAAGTTGACCCTCGCTTTCCTCGTCCGCCCTCTATACATTAACCACTAACCATAGAAAAACTCTTCACTAGTTTTATTCTATTTGTCCTTTGTGTGGGGCAGATGGAAAACAGTCACACTGCACACAGTTTGTGCAACCGCAAGTCAGTTCTAAGACCAATTCGTTCGGTCCATAAAAAGGAAACCTAGACTGCGGCTCATATTCTGAGTATACGTGAGTAGTAAATAATACGTTGAAAGCTTTGTTGTGTGTATGTTTAGTGGTCTATCAGTGTCGTAAATTATTTCCTTTTTTCTTTTGCAACCGCGACACGACATTTCAACTTGAGATGCCATCAGAAAAATTTCATAGAAAATCAAAAAAACACCACCACCACCACCACCACCATCACTCGTTTTTCCACCCAAAGATTATGCTGTCGCCACAACTTGCAGACCAGTATCCTATCCTATCACTTCCTCGTGTCAAAGATGTGCCACTCCCGCAAAAACTAGTCTTTCCTCAACCCCGTCTGGCTGATGTGTCGTCCATCATCGATATAGGTGTCCTGAATTCAATGCTTGCCTCTTACATAACCAAACCCAGTCCGAAATTGATTTGGTCGTACTCAATCAAACCCACGGTTTCAGTCGAGTGTATTGATGTATGGCAAGCCAGCCCTCAAAAGAAATTATACGTTGTTGGACTTCAAGAACGGAAGAAGTCCAGAATCTTGGTGGTGGAAACTGGAAATGAAAAGACTGAGGATGGCAATTTCCTAGTAAGTACAACTAGTGAAAAGGAGCTTAGTTTAAAGAGTGGCAGTAAAGCTGTTGCTGTGAAGTTTTTATCTGAGTCAGAAATTGCTGTTGTTTATCAAACGGGATCAGTCGATATTGTCAAGTATGGCGAGGAAATATCCTTTGGAGCCACACATCAGGGTGAAGGCAAGGCCATTTACACCACATTCATTACCGATTTAGATGATCTTTTGCTATTGACTATATCGCAAACGGAAACATCATTAACCTACAACCTCATTTCAATAAGTGCATCCAAAATCATCCCGATCCAATCACACCAAACTGCGTTGATTCACGCTACATTTGCCTACAATTCAGGCATATTATACCAGTACCATGATGGCGTTATTGATGTCATACCAATCACTAATTTCCACATCCAAAAGACGGTTTCAGTTTCACCAATAATTCAAAGTGACGAACTAGTTTCTATTGCATCACCGGCCCCTGATCGGATCTTATTGGGAAACGCCAACATGATTTACCTTTTAAACATCAAGTTTGAAGCTATATTAGCAGAGTTTAAATCAGTTTCGAGCTCATCAAACCCAGTTCCCGACAAAGTCTACATTAACCAAGTGGCACCAGTTAAAGGCGCATCACAGTCGACGCAAACAACAAGGGCGTACTATGTCAATTTAAAAAACAAGGACAACAATGTCTATTTGAATGTAGTTGATGTCAATGTTGGTTTAAATAAGTTGAATGAGTGTCTTGGTAAATCAATTGAAAAAAGTGGACATGATCTTAACCAAGTGGTTGACTTGTACAACAATGTCGAAGGAGTTTCATCCACTGGTGATGAGCTTGACCAAGTTTATCAAAGCTTGAAACAGGCGCATGATGCAAAGGATTTGAACAAATGGGAATCCATACTTATTCCCTATTTGAAAAACCACAAAACATGGGATCAAATTAAAAAATCAAAACCGAAATCGAAAACATATCAATTCAAGGAGTTTGATGTGGAAAATGATCGTATTGTTGATATCAATTTTATCAATTCCATATTCGATCTCATTTTTACCACAAACCCCTTGCTGTTCAAAGCTGACGGGTTTATCCCGGAGTACACCTTGATGTACTTGCTCACTAATCCCATCTATCCAAAAGCATTCACTAGCAACCTCATCCAGCTTTTGCACCGCACTGGAAACATCACGCTACTCAAACAAGCAATTAAAACATGTGCCAACATTCCCTTGGGAGACTTGCTTCACGAGTTTATCACAATTGGTTTCCATGATGGTGATATGGATATCTTTACCGAGTTGGTTAATCGTATAGTTTCCGATTTTGCCGTTACTGAGATCACCACCAGTTTGAAATCAGCTATATCCCAGTACTCAACCGACATCATTGCATTAATCAACAAGATTATATCAACATCGAGTCACAAGGGTTGGGTTCTAATTGAAATACTAGTTGACATCAATGGCTTATTCAACTGGAGTCAAGACAACGTTTCGCGGTTAAATCATATAATCGATACCAACTTGGCTCAACTCGATATAAATTCTTACAACTTGACATTGATTGATCAAGTCCAATTGAAAAAGAATCAATTAAAGAGGAGTAAAGGGTCGTCGGATGACGGTGTGTTGACGATTACTGATCAAACCCAATTGAACAAGAAGGTGGACTCTGATTTGAATGAAAAAGTGCCATTATATTCTATAGAGAGATTGGAGATATAGAAATATTGTTAGCTTACGTATGCGATGTCCATGATTAGGTGGTGAGGCAAAGCTTTGCCTCAAGTAAAGTGGAAGGATACAGTCTGTATACCTATTGATAATAGAACCACCAATGAATCTACATTATTTAGTCTTCTTCTCTCATTTATGTAAACCCCTGACTTCACTCGATGCTAAAGATCTGCTTAGTGGTCTACAGCAGGACCAAATGTGAAGGCTGCAAAATATGGCCTATGTCTATAAGAGAAATGGTAGCGTTTTGTCAACCCTTCAAAGAAAAAAATTACAAAATCTCATTACAAAACCTATTGCTCTGCAATTACACACTGCTTTACGAAACCAGCGTAATCGAAAATGTCCACCACCGCCAAAGGAGCATACAAAACAGCTCTAAAATCAATAAACACTGCATTCAAAAGCGATACTCCGCTTCTCGCCGCTGCCAAACAACAAATCAAACAACAAATATATGCCAACCAGCACCTCACCGACAAAACTGAATTAGATGAGGCGATAACCAAACTCAACGAAGTATCCAAGTTTATATTACAGAATATCGTACAGGGTCAATTACAGAAGGATGGTCGGTATTTCTTAAATTTCCATGAAAAGACGGAGTTGGGCGATAATGAAACAATAAAGCAAAAGAAGTCGGAAATGGGATCTCTTAGTGGAGCCAAAGGAAGTCGCATAAGAGCAAAAAAGTGCAGCGAATGAGATAAATAGTTTTGAGCCAAGTGTGATTTTATGTGTGTAGGTTTGTATGTATATAGATATTTCTGAGTCAGAAAGAAAAAGAAAAAAAACGCACAGTTGAAAATGAAATGAATCATCACTATTTATCCTCTTCCACAATTCACAATTCGCACATGCCCCAACCCGACGAAGCAAGAAGAGACGTCCTAATCTCAAAAGCTCTCTCATACTTGCTCCGACACGGAGCAATCAAGGAAAAACTAACCATCAACGACCAAGGCTACATCCCCATTCCTCAACTTCTAACTCATCAACGCTTAAAATCCTACAAAACGACACGCCAAGATCTCGAACGAATCGTAGCCAACAACGACAAACAACGGTTCAAAATCGATCACGAAAACGATTTAATCTGTGCCACCCAGGGCCATTCGATCAAACAAATTGCCGGTGAATTGCAATTGATGAGTCGCGATGAGTTGAAAGAGTTACACATTTATCATGGCACATACAAGAAGAAACTTCTTCTAATCCAACAACTGGGGGGCCTAAGTCGAATGAATAGAAACCATATTCATTTCACTTGTGATGAGTATCTGGCAATTTCGGGAATTAGGAAAAATGCCAATTGTTTAGTATATGTTGATGTGGAAAAGTGTGTTGATCAAGGACTACAATTTTACAAAAGTGACAATAATGTTATCCTTTGTTCTGGTGATGAAAATGGAATAATTGGATGGGACTTGATTGAAAAAGTGGAGGATATATCTAAAGAAAAGACGTAGGGGTGATTATACAGAAATTTGTCGCAAGTTATAAACACACGACACAACACGACACAGGAACGCGTCTAGAGATCAAATTATCACATTCTCTCTAAAATCGAAGTAAGCACAGTTGACTCTCTCCTCTGTAATATGCACGAAATGAGTCAAATTGAGAAAGTCTATGATGGTCTGTCCTTTGTATATAATTAATTCTAAGACAACACGTCTAGAACTGTGTTATGTTTTTTCTTTTTCTTGACAACACCTTCCGACTTTGGTATTACATAGAGTCAACGTAAGAAAACACCTGAAATATTAGTGTTGTTGTGTCTTCTAGAAGGTCTTACTATTTGACGAGTAAGATTCTTTCAGACGATGAAATACATGAGCTCTAACACAGGCTGGTTTCTTTTTTTCTTCTTTTACTTTTCCCCTTTAGGGCAAATTATATTAGACTAATTTTCAAAAGTGTCACTTGAGAATGTAAGCGAGGTTACCGAACCAAACAATAGAAGGGCTAGACTAGACAACTGCACAATCTTCGGCCATCTTAATCCTATATCAAATACGTTTATTTTCAGGGGCACATTCGTCTAATCCAAAGGGCGTGTGATAAAAAAAGGGGAGAGGAAGGGAGTTTTACAATAGAACGAAGAACCGTTTTTTAGTGAAAGACAGACAAGGTACGAAAGTTACAAATGAGAACCGAAACTATTCGTGTCTTTTCTTGTTCTCGTATTGTGTAGAAGTAATATCCGAGGCGGGATATTGTGGAAAACAATACAAGTACGAAAATCATTTTGGTTCCTGAGTCTTGCAAAGAAAGAGACTAAAACAACAATATAAAGATCAGCACCAAAATTATATCCATTTTAGGTTGTTTAGGTGTTTTACATTCTTCATCCAAATAGAATTTTTTCATTACATCTGGAACTCAAATGTGGAAGTAAAAAAAAGTGGTCTGATTGTAGTTGTTCTACTCGAGAATGTTCAACAGACTTGAGTTGAAACTAGCCCCTTTCCCATAGACAACACCTAGGAAGCGATTTGTAAAGTTAGATGTAATGGTTCCTTACTCCAGATAACAACACTCCAAAAATTGTTCTACGATCATCGTTATGTGACGATTCTTTTTTATTTTAGTGGCAGATCATTATTCATAACCCACCCCCTCCAAATATTGAAAATGTGAAGCTTTTCTTGTAACACGCGTTGTGTTCTACAACAGCCGAATGCTGCTGACTAGTGATGCAACAGACAACGGACAAAACTTGAAGGAGTTGAGAGTGGAAGCTTTACTACGCTGTTGGACTTTTCCAATGTACTTTTCTCGTTGTTGTAATCACCTAAATTGAACCCTTAAAGAGAGACACAGAATGAAAAGTCTTTTGACGTTTTGTTTTCAGCTTTTCTTTTTTTTTTCTTTTTGCTCATCTTTGTGACATGCCCACAAGCCCTTTTCTTTGAAAAGTTTCGGCTGTCGACTGCCTTTTTTTAACGGATCTAGATCCGTTTTAATAGAAAATAGAATCTAGACCCACATATCGAGTCTGGATATGTAGCCAATGGCTCACATTGTGGATATGAAACAAATCAAATAATGTAATAGCTACACACCCACACATTAATGACTGTTTTTCTATTCCAACAGTTCCGAGACGGCAGACGTATAAACTCCTTCTTTAGAGCTTTGGGTTCTTTATTTTTTTTCAATTTCCCTTTAACGCCGGCAAAAGTACGGAGTTTAATTATTTATTTTTAACTCTTTTTGCGTCTTTTGCGCAAATTGTCGGATGAGCAAAACAAAAAATGAAAAATGAAAATCTTTTTTATTTTATTTTCCTTTTCTTTTTTTTTTTTAATTTTAATTTTAGAACCGCCTTCGCCTCAATTTAACTTCCCATCGACCAAAAAAATAGATCTTTCTCTTAATTAAGTGGAAGAGACTAAAAATAATCGTCTAGAATATTCTACAAACAATAAACCGAAACCTATTCTTTAACGCTTTTGAAAGGAAATGAGATGAAATGAGATGAAATGAAACGGGGCAAAGTGATGGCGAGATAAGGAAAGAGTGACATCCTTTATATCCTGGACTTTTTGACGAACCCTGTGGCAAAGTCTCTAAGATGCCACAGTTTCCCAATCTGGTTCTTGGCGTGACCAATCGTAAATTAAAAGAAAAGAAAAGTAAAAAACAAAAAAGAAAAGTGTAATGGAGGGGTGAGGTGGGGTGGAGTGGAGATGAGGAAAGAATTGGGGGTCATATCGTTTCCAGATTCAAGAAACAAACAGAAAGATACAATGACATTCTCTCACTTTACTTTACTTTACTTTACTTCACTCCCAACAGTGTAAGAAGGCAATTACATCTCATTGTGTACTGTTGAACCTTTCTGTTTATGCATACAGCTTAGCTTTGCTTTGCTTTGCTTTGCTGTTGTTGTTGTTGTTGTTGTTGTTGTTGCTGTTGCTGTCTTGATTTGGCTTTGCGATATGCATTGTATAGCAATCGGATCTAGAACCAACAGAAAAATAAAAAGTTTCAGCGCGTAAATCCATTTTACTTTTGCAATAAATCTTTTCTTTCTGTGATTCAATTTTTTTTTGCAATTCACCACTGTAACACTAACACCTTACTCATGCAATGTATAATGTCTTATATTTCTATTTATACGTTTTTAAAAAAGAATTACACTTTGAGTCAATACAATTTTACGACTTCATCCATTTTTATTCTTTCTATTAAGTCAAAGAATTTATATATAGTCTCCGTTTTGCCCGTTTGGGGATCTTAAATTGCACTTTCTTTGGTGAAGTTCAACCTTTACACTATTCCTATTTGACACTATCATCATCATTAAAAGATAGAGCAAACCACTAGATCCCTTTTTTTCTGTTTGGTAGGTACATACACAGACACTACCCCTTGCAGATCACCTTCCTTTCCACCGTTACCACGATAGCCAATACATTTAAACGTTCATGTACGTGGAACATCGAAGTCAGATACAACAACCTACAAGCCATACCGTTCATGAGTCACTACCACATAGTTTTAGACACAGCAGTACCACCACCACTACTAATGCTGCTCCCACATATCATCCTATAATGTACCCACCGCCTTCTTCTTCTTCTTCCTCTTCTTCAACTTCACCAAAGCCATCTTCACCAAATAACAACTTACCTAAACTACAAACATCAGGTTTTACCAACTACCAACCGCTGCATGCATCTGCCAGCACCATAACTCCATCATCATCTGCAACAACACATTTACACCCATCTTCTGCAACTTCTCAAGCATCGCCCCTGAAAACATCACCCATTTTAGACTCAGATAACAAGATATGTCAGTGGTATTGTTGTTCTTGTGGACAATCGTATGGTTCAGTATTGTACAAAGACGACTATATCCAGCAAGAAGGGTTTATCGAACGTCCTGAAGCGACAAGTACTTATCGCACTGAAAAACCACCTACTCAATCCACCCGCAATTATATATTTGACAGTCTAAAATATTATAGCCAAGTTGTTTATCGAGATCATAAACATGTGTTGTCAAATTCACCGACATTGGTTAAAACTGATAATTACTTTGAATGTAAACAGGGGCAGCCAAACAGTCACCCACACCTGCAAGAGCAGAAAAAGCAGACAGACCAGTCAGAGGACATGGATTGTCCCCAAAGCCCCAAACTAAACCCCCACACACCGCTAATATCACCCCTACATTTAGACTTGAATAGTAATGCCAATAGCTTGATTGAATATCAAGATAGAGCAATATTGAGTATCCCTAATAGATTTACCTGTCATAGGTGCAACCACATGATGTGTCCTTATTGTTTGAAGTTGAGATTAAAGGATATATAAAACATACAGTGTGGAAGAGCTCACTTTTGGTACCCATTGATGAAACCATTTTGTAGCCACACTATTGTTGGGACAAGTTTATGTTTGGACGGTTTACTAAGAATGACCCACACACAGAATCCATTCGATTCCATTTCACCACTACCTTTTCCACCCTTCATGGCCTTGCTGGGTTATATAATTACACACGTTTTGCACCATTACACTTTGCGAGACAAAGCTTGCATTTTTCATTTTCCATTTTCTATTTCTCCATAGCACATAGTTCCACCTTTTTTTGTATTATCTACATATATTTAAATAAGGACTTTTGAATTACTTATTTCGAAACGTTGAATATTTATTATTACATTGCACTACACTATAGACACTCTCTCCTTTCGCCTCCCTCGTTTCTTTACTTCCTAATGATTGACTTCCGATTCAACCATTTTTGTTTATTCTTCAAAACTTTGCCTTCTCCTCGAGGCACAACTTTAATCGCCGCACCAAAAGTTTGCGTCTTCACATAAACAGGACCTTTCTTGACCCCATTAGTTTTGCTCTTTTTCAACTCACGCAATCTCTGTTCAATTTGTTGCTTCTTCAGCAAATGAATGCCAGTGGATGCATCATCGAGCCTGATGTGTTTGGGTCTCACTTCCACAGCACTAGGTTTCTGAATTATTGATTCAATGTCATCGGGTAAAAATTCTGGCAATTTATTCTTTTCATCGATGAAGTTTTGCTTTTTGGCCAATTCCTTCTGTTTCTTGTCCAATTGTTGCTGTTTAAAACGCTCGTCCTGCAATTTCCTTCGTTGTTTGGCTTGTTTTTCCAACTCAGCTTGTCGTTGTTTCTCTTGCTTCTGTTTTGCTATGAGTTGCTCCTTCGCAGAACTAGTAGATTCCTCTTCTGGTGCCTCATCTGAGTCTGAGTCTTCCTCCTCATTCTCATCCTCATTCTCATCCTCCCCCTCCAATTCACCAAGAACATCTTGATCTTCAATCTCCTCCAACTCCTCATTAGCTATACTCTCTCCATCCTCGTCAAATGTAATCTTCTTTCTACGTTTGGCTTCATGAGGTTTAGCATAGGTGTCGTCGTAACCAAGAATATTCTCCGACGACACATCATCTGGATTGTTTAAAATGCCATTATCGTGTGAATGACTCGTCTTGTGTAGTTTACTCCTTGTCACAACCATAGCTTTATTAAAGTCGCTTTGCAAATGTTTGTAATAAAGAGCGATGACTGGCAATTTTGTGAAGCAAAAGAAGAGTAAAAAGACGCTACCATTACACCTTAAAGTTCCTTACGCTTTTCTATATGTATTCATCTACTTACTCCTTTTAGTTTAATTTGCCTAACAACAAGCATGTTTTTATAAACAGCTTCATTCAACATGCGTAATAATATCTCCTGAATTTCTCCTTCATACGAGTAGGAAATAAATACCTCTTGCAATATTCCTCTTATATTGGACAACTTGGCAACATTGGCATCATCATTGGAATAATTTTGTAAAAACTTGGTAAATATAGTCGAGAATGACTGCTCATCTTTCGAGCTTGAGAGCTTGTAATCACTAATCTTTCGAAAGCAATCTTGAATGCAACCATTGAAAAAGTCGTGGGTGGGAGGTGCTGCTGCATTTGCAAGGTCAACTAAAGACGTAATCAATCTCAACCACAACTTCTCATTCACTGTTATTCCATCGGCGGTTGTTTTGTATGTTGCCGGATCCTCGCAAATCGTACAAGCAAGATCCACATAGGATTCACATTCATCTTTGGATGCCATATCTTTCTCCAGTTTCAAACGCTCAATGATGACCAGCACCGCGTCTTCAAACTTGTGTTGTTGAGATAGTATAATCGCCTGGCCGTCAGTAATGTCATTCTCCTTCAAAAGAGTCAAAATGTTGTCGTCCCCATTGATCTTGAATCTCTTGACAATGTCAATCACTGAACTTTTATCAAATTCAATACACAATCGGATATATTCGTAAAGCAACTGATTGGAGTTGGGCCCTGCCTCAAATAGCTTAGACAAGTAGCGATATTTTACCGCATCGTCACTCACATTTAGTATCTCCTTGTGAAGATGAGGCGCAAACCGCTGAATCGATGCAAAGGAGGTGTCAATATCTACTAAAACAAGCTTGGCAAAGTTTGCCTTCAACACTCGCACAAAGTTGATTTTCTCGTTAACATCTTTACTCTTGGTGAATGCATCCACAACTATAGCTTGAAATTCCGACATGAATCCTTCTTCATTTACATCTTTCAACAACAACAGTTCCAATGCATTTGCATACTTTTGCTCCGATATGTATAGCTTAACCAATACGTTGTAAAAACCTCCCATCTGTAATTTTTCAACAAAGTGATCGTCTTCGGGTAAGTACTGCGAAGTGAGGCTCTGTAATGCCAACTCACAATCCTGAGCAATTTCAGGGTCCTTGTTGGAGCACAACCGGTCTATTACGGTATCCAATGTAGATTCTGCAAGTCTGATAAACTGAGGATATTTGGGGTAATTCCTAGCAATAAATATCGAGAGCTGACATCCGTCATATGGAGAAAATTCATTTGCCTCATACAAATCCAAAAACGCATCAACCAAAAACTGTCTACTAATCCTCGTGTTTTCATTGAGAAACGACGACTCAAAAAATTCATTCATGGCCGAAAGCAACTGGAACGAGTCCTGTTTGAGAAAAGTGTATAAATATGGGAATATAGTGTCATCATCAAGAGCGTGAATTAGTTTGCCATTGCGGGTAATGGGTCCACTTGAGAACAAAATGTCACAAATGGTCTGTATTGGCTCTTCATCGGCAATAAATTTGTCGGTTGGATATTGTCTACTCGTTAAGATAAACGATATGTAGGTATATGCTTTGAATGCATTTTCAGAATGAGCAAGTTGAGGATCCACAAAGTCTTTTATAAAATCCAACAAGGGTGTTTCGTAATCACCTAAAAGATAGTTCCAGATGTAAATCAAGCATTCGCGCAAATCATACTTTTTACACAACTGGATCGTCAAATCAATGTCGAGGCTTTTTATATCCAACGTGCATAGGATATCTGTCAAAAGGTCACCATTGGATGCGTAATACTCCACCAACCGTTTCAATACTACTGGTGGTAGGACTAATAGTGACTCTGATAAAATAAATGGCTCCAAAGTTTGGAAGTAGACTCGATCATTGTCAACAATGAGAAGCAACTCCTCCAAAATGTCCGTATACCCAACATAAGCAATGATAGACAAATACTTTTCCAAATACTTTGCAGGGTCGATCGATTGCAAATGCAGTAACGACTCCTTCATAATTTCAATCAAATAGGGCCGCACCAATGTAGATCTCTTAGTCTTATCGACTGGTAATCCAACGGCCACTAACTTGCCTTCTGAATTGGTATTGTAATATTCGTCAGCTATTTCCAATGCTTCAAAATAGTTTGAGGTCGAGATTTTCTCCAAAAGAATATCGGCCCAGCTTAATTGCCGTCCAAGGAAAAGCTTTTGCTCGTCTAGTAGTATAAAGCATCGTTTAGCTGAACTCACTTGCTGATACCCTCTCAATTCATCCTCTCCAATAATATCAAGTGAACCTCCGTCGTAATAGAATGTCGTCATCTTTTCACCTGTGAAAACACAAACCACATCAGACTGTATCCATTTGATTTCGCTTACATTCCCCTCAAGGTTCCTTTTTGTCGTCTTGATGAATGGCAATTTTGGTACAACCTTATCTTTATCCTTGGCATCATTGACCACTTGTAAAAAGTTTGATGGGAAAACTTTATTGTTCAACTCCAATATCCCCAACACGTTATTCCAGCTGTAGGCGAGTTTGGCATTACTAACCCCATTCAAGGTTTTAACACATGGAAACCATGATAATGCAGTGACATTTCCTGAATTTTTGACCCCGATCTTATACTGTGTCGTCAAATGTGACAATGCTGGATCGTTCAACGATGTGGTTGAGTGTATCGAAAGAACATCACGCGTCATCAACGTAAGAACACCCATTCCATCGGTCACCTGATGCGAGGAACCTATTGGTAACATCCTCGAGCTTTGAATCTTACCCTCCATGGTGAATAATCTTTCACTGAAAAAGTATACGTTACGCAACTTGCGAACTCCATTGTGCTTTATAACCAAGCCAGAATCATCTATACTTATGAGATTATGAGTTTGCAGTTCGACAAATGCTACAAAGGTGATGTTGTGATTCATTGGATGTCCGTCTTTAGAGTTGGGATAGATGGTGAAATACGGCTTGGCTAATTCCGATTTTAATTCCCATAGTCTAATTGCGCCATCTCTGAATCCAGCTGCAAAAAACGACGAGTCTGAAGCAAATGTCATGTAGGATATATCTCCCTGTTCTGGGCAGTCTAGGGTAAATTGAACATCTTGGTTGTAGTTAAAGATTACGATTTTCCCACTCGTAGTTCCTAGTGCAATGTATATAGCATTGGACTTTACTTGAATGACCTTTCCATATGTACTCTCAAAGTTTAGCGACGTGGCCATATTGTTAATTTCAGACAACTCTGACCACTTGAATAACTTACTCACTTGCGGTGACTCGCTTCGTTGTTGTCGCAAGTTGATACTACTTCGATATGATCGTAGTGCCAAACTGGTCTTGGTTGTTGATCTATCATCGAATCTTCTTTTGTAGCCAGTGCTAACTGATGACGAATTGTGGGATGATATGCTCAAGGAAGGGGACCGCAAGGATCTTGTTGCGAGATCATACAATGTAAGGTGGTCGGACGCCATGGCGGTTGCAGCAGGGGCTTGACATTAAACAACGAAAAAAAAAATAAATGAAAACAGAATCTGACTTCAGCTGCATATCCACTAGATGAACTTATCCTTGCAAGACCCCTTTTCAGTAGCAAAGGAGTTTCCTGAGAACCTAACAACCAACCTCAGTTACGGACACTCGGTTGCTATTCAATTCAACCATAATGGGGATTACCTAGCGTCAGGTCTTTCGGATGGATCAATAGTCATATACGAAATGGTATCAAGTGGCATAATAGCGCACATTACCGAAGACTGCCACGTACGACCGATAACATCAATTACATGGTCCAATTGTGGACGGTACTTGTTGACCTCATCGCAAGACTGGTATTGCAAGTTGTGGGATTTGAGCTTGATCAACAGTGGTACTTCTCCTGCTATACGACAGGTTAAATTCGATGGACCTATATGGCTGTCTAGTATCCATCCAGAGAATCATTTCAACTTTGTTGCGTCTTTGTTTGACGATTCGCCTGTGTATGTCAATTTAGAAAGTGAAGAACCGCAGGTTCAGAAATTGAGAACAGACCCGTTGGAAAATGAAGAGCTGGAGGCTGATGGTGAAGAGCCGAGAAAGAGGAGGAAGCCCAATGACAAGCATTACACCTTGGTCACAACGTTCACACCCGAAGGGCAGTACATCTTTACTGGTACTAGCAAGGGCTGGTTAAACATATTCAGAACCAAAGATTTAAAATTGATCCACTCGAATAAAATTGCAAATTCCAATATAAAGAATATTGCTATATCACTCAATGGACGGAAGTTGGCTCTAAACTTTTCTGATCGTATAATTAGACAGATTAACCTTCCTGACTTGATTAATGACGACGATTCAGCTGAGTGGGATTTCGAAGTTGACCACAAGTACCAAGATGTGGTTAATAGGCTACAATGGAACGCCATCTCATTCAACCACAATGCCGAATTCTTGATCGCTTCAACCCATGGTCAATCCTCGCACGACTTATATCTTTGGGAAACATCGATGGGGTCATTGATTAAAATCTTGGAAGGGTCGAATGAAGAGTTGATTGACGTCAAGTGGAATTACAACCGATGCAAAATTGGATCAATAGGACTTGATAGTGGGATTATATACATTTGGCTGGTTCAATTTCCTCAGAAATGGAGTGCTTTAGCGCCCGACTTTGTAGAAGTCGAGGAAAATATAGATTATGTTGAAAAGGAAGATGAATTTGATATTCTTGATGAAACAGAGTTGAACAAAAAGAGATTAGAGGATGAAGTGATGGATATTGACGTGATAACAAAGGAGACCACCGATGCTAGAGGATTCGATATAACACAGGAGTCCTTTATCATTCCAATTGACTATGGAAAAGAATTGTATAGATGATTATAAAAAGGGCCAAGTGAATCAAGGTTTCATGCATAGACTAAAAGTGAAGTCTTGTAGAGAAACGCGTAGTCATTCATAAGCAGAATCATTGGCGCGCTTTGGATAAGGAAGAGGGGCATTAGTTGTATAACAGATTAAATTCGTGAGTGGCTTGATCAGAAAGACGGTGCTTCTATATCCTTTAATCCGCTCCTCAACTATCCCATGTATATTCTCTTGTCATTCTCTACCACCTCCACATCCTCTTCCTGCTACTGATCAGTTGAAACGCGGCGTTTAGAAAACACGGCGGGTAAAAAACAATGCTACCAAGTGCTTTGTTTTTGTTTTGAAAAACTTGAGAAAACAAAAAAAACAGCAAAAGTAAATATACAAAATATATTTATATTTATCACGCTAAAAGAAGGTGTCTAAAGCACAAACAACGTCAGGACTTATAACGCATATCTGTGTGTTTTATCAACTGAACGTCTCATCAACAATAGCATAGAAGTGTTTAACCAAGTTTTTGAACCATTCGCATATACTTCACGCAACAACCTGTTTGAGACCTCCAATTAGTCAACAAAAGAAACAAAAAAAAAACAAAAAAAAAAACAAAAAATTGTCTTTCCACGGGTCAAAATATCAACACAAACAACTCAGACACTTTCACACCCACACGCAAAGACTGTACACTATCAAGCCACCTTAGCTTATCAACTGCAGACATATTCATCCAACTGTAACCGCGTTTTCAACAAGAGCTACCTTTTTCAATTATGTCGTCGTCTACAGTTACTCCCAAGAAACGCCTGATAGACAATTCAGAGCCTCATTTTGAAGACCCACAGGAGATGATTAACGCGGTGATATCTACGTTACAGTGCCCTGAGGAGAAAACTACAGTTTCAGAAACGTATGCTAATGGAAAGAATAACGCTACTGAAGTACAAGCTTATGCCAAAATTGCCGGTAAAGATTGGACTTTTTTTGTCAAATCATTGGCAGTTTCTATAGGAAGAAATACTGAAGTGGCTAATGGGTCCGGTACGTACAATGGGCCTCTAATCGATATCGACTTAGGACCAGCCAAGATTGTCAGCAGACAGCATGCCACTATTACGTATAATTTAGACTTGAGATGTTGGGAGTTGAAAGTTTTGGGTAGAAATGGAGCTAGGATTGATGGTCAAAAGATAAATGTAGGCTCACTGGATGTCAATGCATTGCATTCGGGAGCTATTTTGGATGTTGGTGGGACACAAATGATGTTTATATTACCTGATGCCGCGCCAGTAGTTGCCCCCAAGATGTTGGAAAAGGCTCTTTCCAAATATAATGATCAAATCAAGGGCAAGCGTCAACGTGCATTTAGCTCAGGATCGAATAATGGAGGAAATAGGAGTTATCATGTGTATGAAAACATTCAGTTGAACCATTCACCAAGCTCAGTGTCAGCAACCTCATTGCAACACAATTTGGATGAAGATTTATCGAAAGAGGAGTCGAAGGATATTAAACCACCTTATAGTTATGCCACTATGATTACCCAGGCCATTTTGTCGGATCCTCATGGAGTCATGTCACTTTCGGATATTTACAATTGGATTTCTGACCATTATGCATATTACAAGTATTCCAAAACCGGTTGGCAGAACTCTATTAGACATAACTTGTCCTTAAATAAAGCGTTTGATAAAGTCCCTCGTAAGCCAAATGAGCCAGGAAAGGGGATGAAGTGGCAAATCAGCGAGTCTTATAAACAAGACTTTCTCAACAAGTTGAACGATGGAACTCTTTCAGGATCGAGAAAGGGGTCCTCGGTATCGCGTCAATTGAGTTTACATTTGGCAACACATAAGCATTTACCAGATACAGAACATCCCTCAGTTGATCCATCGGCTAATCAATTCTCACAACAGCGGTCGTTTGAACAACGAAAATTGTCTGAAACACAACGTCAACCACTAGAATCCTTTAATCATCAACGATCTGACTCAAAAAACTTTCAATTCAACAATATACCAACCAATCCGTTACAATACCAAGGACAACAGAATGCATATATCCCTACTCAAGGTCGCCCATTTCCTTACCAGCCTTCCAATCAGCCTCATCCACAACAGCAGCAGCAGCAGCAGCCCCTAATTTACCCCCAACAGCAACAAATACCCAGTTATCCAATCAGCGGGTTTGGCAATAACTTGGCATCTCCATTGAGACAACCACAGCAATTGAGCCAGCAACCTCCACCGCCACCACCACCACATGACACTACAAAATTACACAAGGCAGCACCACCACCAACAAACCCAAACATTTTTGGTTTACCCATGCAAAATAACAGCATTGACGCAAAACCTAACTTACATTCTCGGACATCATCCTACACCACAACAAACCAATTGCCCGATTTGTCACAGATGCATTCGTTTGCATCCAATCAAAACGACTCATTGACTTCAGTGGCTCCATCGGCGGGCAACACTACGTCTGACATGTTGTCATTCACCAGTCCGAAAAAGATTTCTGCGTTGGTAGCATACACGCCTGAACGTGGTTCAAAAAAAAATGCGGTAGGAAATAAACCCCAGAAGCAACCACAAAATCAACAAGGCCAACAACAACAACAACAACAACAACAACAACAACAACAACAGACACTGTTGCAACCTCCAGCGCAAAATTCCAACCAGACAAGTCCAGCATTTTGGAACTTTGTCCAATTTAGCACTCCCAATGGACAAACTCCTATTCGAAAAAACAGCAATGACAGTGATGAGCAAAACAATGGCAGTCCCACTATGAACCGGAAAAGCCACAAGGGAGTCAATGTTAAAGAGGAAGATTCTCCTTTTAAGAAAGACCATGATCAACAAGCAGGAATGGTTGATTCGTAAGAGACGGTTTACAGGGACATTTGTTTACTTTGAGCAATAACAAAATAGTTCTTTTTTATTCATTTATTTATACATTGATTGTCTATATTTGTGTATATTTTTTACTAATTAAAAAGATGAACGATTTCGAACATCATTCAATTTCTTTTCAACCTCACCCACCGATTTGTTTAATCGCTTGGCAATGGTCAATTTAACATCAAGCGGTAAATTCAAATACAATTCCATAAAATCACCATCAAATACATTCTTTACTGGATTGTAATAACTTCTCAACTTAGCATGGTTTTTACCAGCAACATTCACCTGATCGTTGTATGCACTTATTGCCAACTTTAAATTATGCATCAACTCAACCTCAGTCTTGGATATCAACGGTATTAGCACGCCAATAGTTCCAGTAATACCGGTGTATATAATGCACTCTTCTCCACCCAAGTTGAAGGAACCCAACAGGAACGAGGTGATTATATCGGGAATGTAGTACTGGCATAAAGTTTGCAATTTAAACACACACGAATTCAAATTGGGCGAATCTCTCGCCGTTTGTTTCAATACCGTCCAGTCTTGGTCAACTTGTCTTGATTGCTCGCGATCCAATCTTGACACAAATATGTTGCCAAATTTATCGCCACCAATCACGGTATCGTAATCCAATTGCTTCCACGCAGTAATGTTGCGTTTCACAACATCATCAGCCACTGCTATAAATTGGTTCTCATCATTGTCAAACTTGGCCAACACAATTGACTTGGCCAGGTCGGCCAATAGTACACGTTGATTTGGTTGAGGTGACACTTTAACTATCGTCTGCATGAAATCAATCCTCGTTAGTGATTTCCGTAACAATTGCCGTTGACCTAGATCATATAGCGAAATGGCATTACCAGAAGCGACTAATAACCTATCCTGAAACACTTCCATTACTTGAGGCACAAATTTCAACTCGGTCTTGTGAATGTATTGGAAATTCTTTTTCTTGTCAATTTTGAACGTGTATAGTAGGTTCTCCTCGCCTGTTATCACGCCAACAACCAAATATGAATTCTTGTTAAACAGAATTTTGGTCATGTCAACTATTCTCTGATTTTTCAAGAATTCCAACGACTGAATGACTTGTCCATTTTGGATGAGCTGTACACATGAGGCACACCCTGGACCCCTTTCATATCCAAAAGCTTCGTGATATTCTCTATCGACAACGTCTCTCACCTCTTTGGTCAAATTAGGAGTGTAGGGTGTTTTGATCCCCATTTCAACTTCACTTACAAACAATCTTCCTTCATCATCGTTATCACCGCCTATAACCTTCCTCGGCAAATATCTCAAATCCACTTCGGTCACAGTGAGCTCCTGTGTCGGATCAAATACGCTGTCCTCTTTTCCAACAGAAAAGATCACCAAATTATCACCATGTATACCCACAATGCCACCGCCTCCAATATCCTCCGATTTGAACGATGCACCATTAATAATATCTATATCCAACAACGGAGTACAGCGATATTTTCCTTGATGATAGTACCCTATCCATGGCTTTGATGAAATCGCCAAAACACCAGTAATGTCATCCGACAACTTCAACTCACTCAAAGTGACTGACTTTGGCCCAAGGTACTTGATTCTGGTGTCAGACAATCTACCATTGAATGTATCAATCTTGGTTCTCACATACACACCGTTGTGCATCCCAATATGAATCAATGTAGTAGACGGATTATGGGTCAACATGACTAATGAGTTTGCACTTGACGACAATGCCTGTAATGACTTTACCTCTAAGCAACTTTGCTGTTGCAATGAAATCACCTGAATAGTTTCATCCGAGCAGCCAACTACGGCAAATGATGAACTCTGCTCTTTCAGAATACACATACTGCGAATGGGCGAGGAAACCTCCAACCTATCTTGATACTCAATTAGTTGATCATCGGCAGCATCAGTTGCAAAATATACCAATTCCAAATTTGACATTCCTATAAGAATCTGTTGGTTATTTGTAGTTGCATGAGTGATTGTTATACCGGCTGGTGGGTACCAGTTTGTCACCTTTTTCTTGCCATTTACATGACGTACACCGTTGGAATAGACTTGTACTATTGACGATTTTCCCACCTGTTGAACCGCAACTGTTGGCTGATCTAGTACAAATTTGGAGTCTGTCACTTCTTCTATCACTTCACCAATAGATAAAACCAACGTCTTGTAAGAAAGAGTCGACGTGATTACCAAGTATTCATCGTCAACAGCCTCTGCTGATGTTTTGGCAGTAAATATTTTGGTGGGAGTAATAGGTAGTGGTGATTCAACAAGCGTCGTAGTTGGAGTTCCGTGAACAATATTTTTCAACTTGGATTTGGTCGATAGAGTTACCAACCCACTCTTGGTCAATGCGGAGTCCGTTATAGGACTTAGGGATTCGACAACATCAATCAATGCCAAATTATCCAACCCTTTCAATTTAAACTCAACAACTTTTTCCTTCGTTAATGGTATATCATCCAGTTGTATTGTGCAGTTTATGCGTATATCCTCATCTAACTCTTCTCCCAATTTTTCAAATTGATAAAGCAATTGGTTTCTGTTTATGCAATTGGCAAAGCAAAGGCCATTTTTGAATATGTTCAAGCTATAGCAAACTGGTATGGTATCAAAATAAGTTATTTCAATATCCTTGATTAATTCACGATCAGAATCGTAGTCAATGATTAATCGAAACAAATCTCCTAAATCAGTCTGCAACAAGATGAAAAACCCATAGCTCTTTTTTTTCAACACATGCGTAACGTGATTTGCAACTATAGAATTTTGGTTCTCGCGTCGTGGTAATGGTAATACAATGCTTTCCAACCCCAACATATCGTACATGATCCAATTTTCACCACAGACTAGTACCCCGCCTATAGTCCCTGGAACTGGCACCAAGTAGTTTGCATCATTAGGCACAGTATTGACTTTCGACTTGCGCCTGATCACATGATTCATCCCTTGGTCGAATTCGTAATAATTTAATAATGTCACTTGTTGTTCATTGTCAAATTCTAATGCAGCAAAAAGTGGGTTGCCCAAAACAGTCTCCAAACTAATCAATGCCAAGCATACTAGTGGCTGCTTGCCCCTTGTCACAACACTAACACTTTCCAAGGGTGAACTCAATTCCAATTTATCTGCACTCGATTCAACTTTGTACAAGAGTTTACTCTTTTCGACAGCTCCGACTAGTATACACCTGCTTTGTAAATCCACGGCAAGAAATTCTCCCGGGTAGCTTCGATTCCATCCGTTTTTACACATGGGCATCTGACAGGTTGATACAAACTCATTCCGCTTAGAGTCATACTGAATGATGGATAAGTTGCCTGAATCACTAGTTAAGACCAAGACGTCGTAATCGTTGAACCGTAGTTTATCAACAGCATTGACTACTGCAAATAAATTTTGACTTACTCGAGTACTAAGCTTCCCCGTCTCTGGGTCTGCCGTAAGTAGTGATAGATGGCATGATGAGATGAGGGCTAGCTGTTGTTGTTTTGAATTGGGAATGAATTGTCCTATAACCGAGTGGGGATAATTTGACGGTGGCTTTAAAGTGAGATTGTACAAGTATGGTGACTCATTGTCAATCAACATCTGGAGAAATCGTCTTATGTCTGTAGTGTGGGTTTTTGTTTGGTTTCGTTTGGTTTCGTTTGGTTTCGTTTGGTTTCGTTTGGTTTGCAACACAAACTTAATGGTGAACTTTTTTTTTTCCTTCCTGTTCTTTTTTGTCTTGCCTTCGGCTGCAACAGAGAGCCAACAAGATTTACCAAAGAGGGATGTACTACTCTACACCAAGTTATCCTTCTCATCACAGTAAACATTCGTAAATAATTACTAATTAAATATATATACTCAAACTCCCTTCACCAGTTACTCTCTATGTTCAGTAGTTGATTTCACCGCTTCAATCTCCTCCATACCAACAACATTCTCCATTCCATCTTCAATAGCATCAGTATGATCAGTAATCTTAAACCACAAGAGCGGAATGGCAATCAACAACGACCCCTGGACTAATGCCCACGAAGAGGCAAACAAATTCATATATGGAATAGCAATAGCATCCAATCTCCAAGCAATGGCTGCACCTGCTGATTGAATACCCTTGTAAAACCCAGCATACAAGGCAACTTTCTTGGGGTTGTTGGATAAAGCACCCAAGGTCCACAAGCAATACGTTTGGAAGAGAGCATCATACCCACCGTAGAAAATGTAAAGAAACATGGGTCCAATATAACGACCTTCAGTATAATCCATAGGCTGGATTGATGGAGGAACAGATTCAACTTCATCTCGAGTGAATTCCAATTGGAATTTTAATCCACCGCCCCAAATGGCCAATCCAAGAACAAACAAGATAACCCAACCAATCTTGGCTCTAGTTGGACGCGAGAACCGTTTGAGATCCAAAATAAACCCCAAAAGTATTGCTCCAATCATTTGCGCAAGCCAATAAAGCAACGAGTTTAATGATCTAGTTCGCAAGTTGAACATGCCATGGTTGACATTGTTGAATTGATAGGTGTAGAACCAGTTTGATGCAAAAAACATGGGAAACATAATAAGGATTTTCGGTTCGTGGATCAACAATTTGAATAAACCCATCAATTCATCTTTCCAGTTGGGATACTTGTGTGCGTCACTGGCAACCTTAGTACCATCCAGTTTCCAAACTTTAGAGCTGGGCAACATAAAACAAGCAATGATTGAGCCGAAAATCATCAATACAATAAACGCAATAAATGTACCATCATTAGCTGCCGATCCTTTATTTTCGATATTATCAGCCAAGGGAATAATTGATCCAATAACACCTCCCAAATTGAAAATGACCCAAAAAATCATAATTGCTTTACCTTTATTGGCTTCGGTTGCATAACTCAAAACAACCAAACCTTGAGCTGACCAAAGCACGGCAGCACAAAGACCCAAGAATGCTCCAGCAAATATAACAAACCCTTTATTTTGATTATGGTTAAACGACAATAATGAACCAGCATATAACGCATATCCTAAACCACCAAGCATCAACGATAAACGAACACCAATAGTGTTACATATAGTACCACCAAAGAACCCAATGGTGGCGAAGGTCGAATACAAGGCCACTGAGGCATTGTCAGCCGTGGGTTTATCGGAAATGGCAGCACCAATACCGGTAAGGGCATTGTACATACCGGGGGTCATGAATATAACAAAAGCACACATGCAAACCTGAACCATGGCATTGGAATAGTGTAATTTTTTGCCAAATATGCTAACTGTTTTATCATACCAAGCGCCACTTGATTCGATCTCTGCGAGTGTGTGGTGTTTCAACTCCAAATGTACTTGATCATCGTGTAGGTGATTTTCTAAATCTTTTGATCCCGACGAAGTTGAAGTGACTTCCACTGGTCCTATAGCCTTTTCCTCTGACATTGTGAAGTTTTAGTAGTAGTAGTGGTAGTAGTGGTGGTTAATTGTGGGGAAGGTGACCTGTGTAAAGCGTTGTTGTGAAAATTATCAGCGGTTAAAACGTGATGATGGCGATGGGGGGGGTGGTAGTGGTAGTGGTAATAGTGATGGTAGTTGATAATATCCTAAGAAGGTATAAACCCCTTTTCGTTATAATTTCAGGAGGATTTGCTATTCTATTTATATATCAAATTTCAAAACCTAAAGGGCAATAAATAATTTGTTTCTAAAGATAACAATATACTGTATAAAAAAGTTGAAGCGCATTAAAAAATAAAAAAAAATCTGTCGTTTGTTTGGTTGTGTTGGGAGAGTTGCAAAAATTTTAGTTTAGACGCCGTTCCTTTTTACAAATAATATCCACCCCCGCTTTACTTAGAAATGACAACAGTGTTGCACTAAGAATAAAAAAAGGGTAAAACTAAAACTAAAAAGTAAATGCTTAATGATTTGTGTTTCGAGTTACTTTTGCCTTTTTTGCCTTTACTGAGGACTATTATATCATCCATCACTCACAAGACTACTATACTGTACTGTAGTGTTACATGCTTACTTCAAGACACAAAGTCATGACGGCATCTAAATTGCATTGGTCAAAAGATTTACTATGTAGTAGATCACTTGTATCTCTCTCTGGGTAATATTTTATTTTATTTTATTAATGTTGATATATTTATTATACATGTCGCTGATTGTAATCTGGTTGTATTTTTTAATATTTTTACAGATTGCAACATTGATTTTCAAACTGAGGCGAATTTATATCATTACTCAAAGCTAATACTGAAGAACAGTCAAAACGCTATGATATCTTTTTTAACTATTAATATACTTCTCAGTCTTCAATTAACCAGGAGGGGAGGGGACCCTCGAGGAGCAACAACAAAGTGCGCTTAACTTGTGTGACCAGATCATAATGAGGGCTTGTTTGCTGTGTATGTTTCACTTTTCTAAAACCACCGAGAGGCGGAGAAATTTTTTTCCTTTTGTGTCGTTTCTTTTTTCCTGTAAATCAACTAGTTTCCTGTTTAGGAATAATTGGATGCGGCTTTATTGTGACAACGGCAAAAGAAAAAGAAGCAGGAGAAACGGGTTCACTATAGTGCTCTATTGCAAGTGTGTTTTAATTCTCAAGCAATCGTGCCAAAGGTGCCTTGATATGTTACGTACCATCGGTGCTTCCCTCCCCTACACCAACTTTCTTGCCAGAGAGAAGCTTGTCTTTGAAGTCGTGTGGGTCGTCGACTGAAGCTAATTGCGTGTACTGCATATAAATAAAAATGTAACCTGGTTGCAATTGAAGTGAACAATGTCACACAACGACGACATCACCAACAAATACCACGTAAGACACACCCTTTACAAGAAGTATTAAAACCTCAAACTATTGTCTAATTACATTCGAAGATAAGGGAAAGTAGAGTACTTACTACTCTTACCCATTGGAAACAAATTGATGTTTATCTTGTGACCTCACGATAAGCAAATTAGTTCAATGGTTATATTGCAAATTAAAACCCTTGCTCTATCCATACGCAAAGTGTTATTTTGAAACCCCTTTTCCACTTTTCAAAAGAAACCCTTATCCCCTTGCTGTTCTACATGCCACATACAGGGAAAAACCATCGTAACAATGCAACCCCAGGAAGAAATTTCCCTCCTACCATCATCATTATCGCACACAAAAATGGTGTGCCATTTTGTACCTGTTCTTTTTTTTCGGATCGTTTTTCTTACCCAGATCGTACGACTATACAGCGTAACCTACGAAGCCACTCTCCAAAATGTGTTTCCAAAGATCGCAAAAAAAGGCAGAAAGAAACACCTCATTGTAGAGCATACATGTAATTTTAAACGAGATACAAAGTACTAAAAAAAGAAATAGCCGTTGGCAGTTTAAGAAACCAAAAAAGAAGGCTAAAAAAACCACCTGATTTAGGCAGTAGTTCTTAAACAACCGCAGGTACTTCTATTTCTTTTCTCGAGTCACATTGGGACAAACTAACTGTCTGCTACTCTTTTTAACTCTGATAACCTCAGTTTTAGCCACTTGTCACTCGTCACTCGTCACTCGTCACTAGTCACTAGTCACTAGTCACCATTCTACTACGTTACACAATTTTTCAAACAATAAAGATCTCTTTCAGCCCCAGATTCTTTTCAAAAGTTAATAAACTTCTGGTATATCAATAAAGTTAAAACGTAATTAAGGTTATTCTGGGGTATAAGCTGTGGGGTTTGTCGATGCTAGCAACGTGCACTATGTAATGTTGCAATACGTGCTTGTACTATTTGTGTTTTTGCAATGTTACATTTTAGCCCTCAATGTAACATCGATCAAGACTTCTGCCCTCTGTCTTTTTTTCAACTTTCTACTTTTAGAGCTCTGTTCCACATACTTTCTCAACTAAGGTATAAACAGTCTATAACATATGTAAAATTCAAAACAATAGCAAAGAGTCTATAAGCTTTTTCTCTACTTTACTTCAACTCCTGACCGACTTTGACTATACTGTCAATCAAATCATCAACAACTTTATCACTCAAAATAGGTGAATTGAAAACAACTCTGAAAAACTCCCCCTGTGACTCATCTTCGGGATTAGGACTGAAATCAACCAAGTATTTACCCAATTTGTGCAACTCTCTCGAAATATATCTCGTCACTTCAGTATTACTACTACCGCTTTTGTCCTTAACACTAGGTGGATGATAGTAAAAACACACTTGTAAACACTGTGGATTTTGCGGACCCACCAACTCAAATGTATCAGGGTTCGATTTAATCTTGTCAACAAAATACTCTTGAATCTTGTAGGCATGGTCGACCCGATGCTGGAACCCAATCTGACCATAGTACAACCAGGCCAAATAAAACTTGAAACTGTCGGCTCGACGTCCACACCCCATTGTTCCATCAGCCAAGTCGTAATTTTCGTCATCGTCGTTGTCCCTGCCATGAAACAAGTAGGGTGCTTGTAATGACATTGCCGTTTGGAAATGGGCCACATGTGGAATGAGCAAAAACGAACACGTTGTAGGTACACCCAACATCTTGTGCGGGTTAACAGTAATGGAATCGGCATATTGACTACCGGCTAATCGGTCTTTATAAGTGGGAGAAAACACAACATTACCACCCCATGATCCATCGATATGGAAATGGATATTATACTTTTTGGCCACCTTGGCAATTTCGGCAAATGGATCATATGATCCAAACACGGTAGTTCCAGCAGTGGAATTTATATAGAGGGGAGTAAACCCATCCTTGATTGATTGTTCAATCGTCCGCTCTAAATCATCCACTTTCAAAGTCCCTTCCTTTGTCACATCAACCTTGAACACATTTTCACTGCCCAACCCCAACAAAATTGCCCCCTTGACCACCGAATAATGGCAATGCTTACTCGTATAAATGGCAAATTTATAATCACCATTCCCTTTTTGTTTTGTTTGCGGGAACCTCATACTTCGCGCAATTTGCATACTGGTGATGTTGGACCATGATCCACCACTAAATGTCAACCCACCACACGTTTGCAAGTTTTCAGTGAAAAATAACGAGGCATATTTTTTGCCAATGTAATTCTCCAACACCGACAACACTGGTGACACGGTATATACATGCGAATTCGTATTCAACACACTCAAGATGATATCCGAAATCACACCAATGGGATTATTCGACGCATACAATTTATCCAAAAACCCTGGATTCCAGGTGTTGACCGAGTATGCCAACACTTTATCAATAATCTCCCATAATTGATCCTCACTAGCTGGCTTTACCAAGTTATTGTCTCCATCGTTGATAAACTCCTGTTTTAAAAAGTTTGGTTCGTGGTATGTACCCAATGAGGCTGGTTTGTATTTGGGCGAACTGTGATCGGCTTCAGCAATGTATTGGAGAATTTTCGGCTTGATTAACGTCAATAAATGATCTAATTCTTCAACTCTATTCTTTTCCAAATCCGATTCAATAGTCATAGTGGTGAATCAACTTGTTTAATGTATGTTTTAAAGAAAAGAACCCACTTGGAAGAAAGATGGAAGTTATTCCGAGGTTGAAATTTCAATGTCCAACGCAAAGTTGTCAAAAGAAAAAAGAAAAAAGAGAAATTTCCACAATACGTCATTTGGGGTAATAATCACGGGGATACACAAAATCACAATCTAACATTTGATTACCACAACGAAGCCTCACATAACTTTAACATTTCGATATCAAAAAAGTACCCATCACAGCCAAATCACTCTCTTCCACAACTTCTGACACACAATTACCATCTCCTCTTCTTGGACCAAATATCCTCCGCCTTACATACCACATCCTAAAAAAGCTTCAATTGCAAGCTTAGACCATACATCAATACTCAAAAGATCGTTTCTATATTCCAAATGCAAAAAGAAGTGAATAACAAAAAATACCCATACTACAGAAAACATAATATGATACAATAACTTAGCCATTAATAACTCTTTCTTGTGTCCTCATTCATCATCATCAAAAAGTAACTCATTATGAACTTTATTCCGCCAGAAAAAAAAAAAAATAAGAATCACTAATCCAATCCTTCTCTCTCTCTCTAGCCTATGACTTGGGTTTGTTTGACGTAGCACTATGTTTAGCCAACGTTGACGAGGACGCACTAGACTTGACCGGTTTAGCTTTTGGTCCATTGGAAACATTACCATCACCGGTTGCTCCTCTCGCATCGTTAGCGCCACCACCACCTACACTCTCCTCGTCTTCATCATCACCGTACTTGTTCTTCTTCTTTCTCTTGACCCATCCAAATCCAACATAGTAAATAAGCATGTTGAACGCCCTCGTAGGAAACACACGTTCAACCCAGACATTAGGCACAATACGAATGACAATTCCCACCGGTATACTGATGAACCCACACAAGATGGCCGTAGCCCACATCCCCGGCGTCTGTCCAGCGATACTGAAAGCTGCACCACCAACAAACATAATCAAGACCTGGAACCCACCAATGATCAAAGCAATGCCGACAAAATACCAATTACGGAACAAGTGCTGGAAAAAATTCAAATTCTCCATCGAGATACGGCCACGAACATTAGTAATCTCATCAGCTTCGTCCAATTTACGCGTCACAATCAATTTCCAAAATTGTAGCCAAACAAACGTATTAAAAGTCATAGCATCCAATTGCTTTTGTTGATGGTTTGAAATATGCGAATGGCCCGGGTAAAACAATTGCTTGCCGGCAAAATGCAAAATAAAAGTGATAACCAATTGAGTAATCGATTGGCCTAAAATCATTTTCCACATCGACGTCGAAATTAATGGCGCATGTCTTCCTGCTGGGCGACGATTTAAAAAGGAGTCGTCGGGTTTGTCAGTAGCTAAAGCCAATGCGGCCAAAGTGTCCATGATTAAATTAACCCACAATAATTGTACTGCCGTCAAGACCGACTTATTTTCACTTGATGCAACTGCCGAAACAAAAGTCAAGACACAAGCAGTTATATTCACCGTTAATTGAAACTGAATAAACTTCTTGATCGATGTGGCCACGGTTCGACCCCACTTGATCGCTTGCACAATATCGGTAAAATCATCCGTCATCAAAATAATGTCAGAAGCTTCACGAGCAACTTCGGTACCAGCAATACCCATGGAAAACCCTACATCAGCTAATTTCAATGCTGGCGCATCATTAGTACCATCTCCAGTAACAGCAACAACTTCACCACTTTTACGCAACGTATCAACAAGAATACGCTTGTCTTCGGGTGATGATCTTGCCAAGACTCGCAATTGGGGTACAATCTTCCTCCGTTCTGATGGTGATAATTTCCTAAATTTAGGTCCCTCCATAAATGCATACTCATTGTCTAAATCATCCGGGGTCAATATATGGCATTCTTTGGAGATGGCTTTTGCCGTATTTAAATTATCTCCAGTAACCATACGAACGGTTACCCCCGCATGTTTACATTGCAACACGGCTTTGCCAACGCCTGGTTTCAATGGATCTTGAATACCAACCAATGCATCAAGAACAAACTGTTTGTTGATTTCACTAGCACTAGCACTGACATTGATCAATGCACTGGGGTCTACTTCGTGTGGACTACTGGCACTAGCCATATCTGAAGGCGGCCACGAAGTAATACCAACAAAATCACGATGTCCCAAGGCAATAGCACGCAATGCATCATTAGCATACTCATCAATCTTGGTCAAAACATCATCACGTTTAGTTCTATCCAATTTAATCAAATCGCCATCGGTATTCACCTCAAATCCACAATTTTTGAACACAATTTCGGCGGCTCCCTTGATATAAACACGGAACCCGTTTTCAATCTTCATTACAACACCAGACCATTTTCTTGAACTTTCAAATGGAATAATTTGAACCACTTCCGGTTGGGCTGCACTCCGTATATCATCCAACGACTTGTCTTGGAAGACATTAAACGTCTTGTCGGCCAAGATTAACAAAGCTGATTCGGTCTTGTTTCCTAAAAAGGGTTCGGCAGCAAGGATTTCTTGCAGTTCTTGCGTTGCCAGCTGTTTCTTGGAAAAGATACGTTGCCAGAAACTCTTGTGTTTAGGCTTATGCCTAGCAGCATTAACCACATCTTCATCGTATTCACTGTTTTCAAATGCAGTGGAGTTAAGGGTGATATTCGTAGCAAGAAATACCCTTGATTCAGGAGTGATATCTTCTCCAGCTTCAGCAGATGTAGGTTCGTACGTATTGTCGGCTGCATTGTCGAATTCCAAAACTTGGCCATCTTGTTTCAATCCGAAAAAGCCTCGCACGACTCTCATTTTATTTTCAGTTAAAGTACCCGTCTTATCAGAGCAGATGGCAGTAGCACTACCCATTGTTTCACAACTTTTCAAGACTCTCACTAAATTACCATTCTGGGCCATTCTCGTAGTGGCAAATGCCAACGCTAAAGTAACAGCAAGGGGCAAACCTTCAGGAATGGCAACAACAACAATGGTGACTGCGGTAATAACAATATCAATAAATTTCCTTCCCTTATCCGTTGGGCTCAAGTGATTGAATGTTCCACCTGGTGCTAAATCTACTCCAAATCTGATAAGCAACACAATAAACAAGACTATTGCTGCCAAAAACCCATATTTGGAAATACCTTCGGCTAAATTATCCAATCTTTCTTGCATGGGTGTTGATTCAGGCTGATGCTGTAAACTGGCCATTGTTCTTCCATGAACCGAGTTGGGCCCTACAGCAGTAACTATAGCATTACCCAATCCGGACAAGACTTTGGCACCTGATATTAAATAGGGATCGCGGAATTTTATACTTTGACTTCCAATATCTTCTTCAGTTGGTAGATGCAGTTCATAAATTTCCATTGCTTCTTCAACTGGCGCCTTCTTTATCGTGGCCGATTCACCAGTTAATGCACTTTCATCACATTCGACTTCACCTTGGAACAAGATTGAATCAGCAGGGACGACGTCACCAGTCTGTAAGTTGATAACATCACCAACTAACAAGTCATATATGGAAACCAATTTCTTTTCGCCATTTCGTACAACAACTAACTCACGATCTTCCTTTTTAGCATTTAAACGAGCAAATTGCCGTTCTTTTTGATAGTCATTACCAGCCCCGACTAAAACAACGATAGCTATAGCCACCAAGATAGCCACACCTTCAACCCAGTCTACCTTGGGTAAAGGTTTGCCTTCGTCATCGTATTGTGGCCCACTGCCAAAAGTTTCATACAACCCCAAGGCTAACGATACAACTGCTGCTATTGATAAAATAATCAATACTTTATCCTTCATTGCCTCCCAACAAAGCTGTATAAAGCTCTTTGAAGTTCTTTGTGGTAGCTTATTTATGCCGAAATCGTGACGACGTGCATCCAAGTCTGCTTCATTGTGTTCATCAAGACCCTTGGGCGATGTTTTCAAAAGAGTGCATAATCGATCAAACCCACCTAAATCGTACAAATGCTTTAAAGACTTGGGATCGTGCAAACCAACCAAGTCGTTTGGTGAAATTGGGGAATCAAAATGACTGCGAGTGGCATTTATTGATAATCTCCCTGTTAGTCTATGTTGTAATGATTGATGAGTTGGTATCTGCGTAGGTGGCTTCTTATGATTACCTGATGCGGATTGTAAAGATGAAGTCAGTTGTAGTTCTATTGAATCGTGATGATTATACGATGGAGGATAGTCATTCTGTTGCGTGCTCTTGTATTTATCTTGCTCTCCGTTTTGTAGTGGCGTAGTTGAGTGAGTAGACGACGCATCGTCGTCGTAATGTGGTATATCCAAAGTGGTGGCCCGACCTAATCGATCAGCCTTTGTCAATGGTGCCATTCTTTGAAGTCAAAAGAAAATGGAACTATGTTTAATGTAGACAGTAAGTAACCACCGCGTTTGTATGGAAAGTAATGTATGTAGCTAGTAGATACGGGATGCAAGTAGTGATTAAAAAATATATATGAAGTGTCTAACAGCTGAAGAAATCCAGGGGCAAAGGGGAATGGAAGACAATGGATTATTTAGTCTGCTTTGATTTTGATAAGCCTTGTTTTTGGATGACAGAGGTTGACAATCCAGTATAACTAGGACTGGAAACTTTCTATATGTATGTGTACTAGTTAGACGATATGATTAGATATGATGTAGACATATATATATCTGTTAAGCTGATTGTTTTATTTGGTTGCTTAATGGTTGATTGAGGTTTTGATTTTTTACTTTGTCTTTTTTGGGGGGTCGGTTGAATTTAAATTTTTAATTTTTAATTTTTAATTTTTAATTTTTAATCTTTAATTTATTTTCATTTTATTTTAATTTTTTAATTGCCGCTTCAATGAAATTCTTTCAACCACAGTCAAAACTAAAGGCATTTTCACTACACAAAAATTACCAACCCTCAACAGACATTGTATAGATATATACTTAAATGGGATTTATACACATAGCCCATCGGAATTAAAAGGTAACACAACACAAGAATAGAATAATTTTAAAAAAGTTTCCCTTTTTATTCATGTAGTCAATTTATTCTACAAAAAGCGTAATCACGTAGATAGTGTTTAGAGGATTTTTTGCTGGTTTAGGATTTAAGAAAAGAACAGCTCTGATGGCAAAGGGCAATATCGCAATTGCTTAGTGTAGTGTATACTCAGAAAAAGAAGTTACTAAAACGAAACAAAGCTTAGCGACTGGCGCTGAATTGAGTTTTCTTTATTCACTGATTGCTATCGATTATTTATCTTATCTACTGTACTCAAAGCCCTAAAAATGGGTCAGTTCTTCCTCAGCCTTCGTTCCCTTGTAAGCAAAGAACCAGAGCACTGCTCAGCACTGCTCATCGTACCTCATCACATCACACCTCTTCTACAAAGAATCCCTTCTCAACCGAGGTCATACATTTTCGGATACACAAGTAAGAACTTCGATGACTCGCTCTTCCACAGTCACATAAAAATCCAAAATGTTTCAAAACTGCATCAACGGGTAAAATTAAAAGAAAAAAGCAAAAAGAAAAATTAATCCATGGATAGAAATAGAATGCCTTTTTCAAAACTTATCTTAGAAGCTGTATCGGCTTTCTGTCACTAAGTGTCATAGCATTGTAAAGCACAATAGATGGCAATCACAGAGACTCAGCCTTTTTTTTTTCAACCTTGTTCACAATGATGATAAAGCGGCAAAGTGATAGACGTGTGTGTGTTTGTCATTGTCGCAACAGCAAAGAAAATGACATTGTCGGAATTTACTTTTGTGTCACACTTTACCGAAAAAGAAAAGAAGAAAAGGAGGCTGTGTCAACTTATGTAATATATTATGTAATATATAATATTATTCTTGGCTGCCTATTGTTTTTTTTTGCAGTAATAACTACGTCCAATTTTATCCTCTTTTTTCTCCTCTTCTACCTGCCTCCAACCGACTTCGATTGAGGCCGTACAACTGTATGGATTACAGCTAATAGTATTACCCATTAACATCATAAGCGTAAACACAAACGCACATGCACACACACATCCTCTCTCTCCCGCAATTACATCTGCATTATTAAGGTTTACTCTACTATCTCGTACTACAAAAGCTTACTTTCAATCTTTTCCCTTCATTTATTCAGCTTCACAAAACTTTACAAGCTTAAATCTTAATCAAAAAAAACAAGATCAGCTCATAATTTTTGCCAATTTGGTTAGTCTTGTTAATCATCACAGGATACTGCCTTCTCCTACCAACGTCTTCTACTGTTTTAATCAATTGGAGCGTAATTTATAGCCTCTCTAGTAATCGATTGAAATGCAAGAAACACCTTTGCTTCCGTCACAAACTTCAAATCCTTTTGATTCCACACAGCCAACACCTCATATAATCTTCTCTCAAGAACAACTGTATTTACGAAAGCATAGCCTTCTAGCAACTTCCTTTCAGGACAATACTGTTTCATCAACAGAAATGAACCAAAACATCTTTTTTGGTTGCGAAAAATAAAAGAAACAAAAATCCAACGAGCCAAGACATAATTTTAACTTACATACGCTACGGCACAATGCTAAAGAGAGAAGTGTGGATGCTTTCCTTTTTCTGTACTTTTTTTCCTTTCAAAACAGCATAGCCTACTTCTATTAAGAAAAACGTATTCCCTTCACTAGAAAGGCTGTCTCTTGATTCGTGAGAAAGTCATAGGACTAAGTTCCCAAACTGAAGCCTGTCCCCCTCATTCTTTTGTTGCCAAGGCTGTAGATTCTTGCAAACATCAGAACAAAACTAGCATAAACTAATTACATCTACATTCACCTGCGTAAAGGAATGACAGAATCGTTTCCCTTGCGCCTCATTATGATATATCTGGTTGACGCTACTTGCAGGGCAGTGTTATCATCTCTCAAGTAAATTTAATTACCACTGTCATATATACACTAATATTAAGTGGCGTCACGTTTAATTCTTAAGGGGTAATCCAACACTTTCAAAAGAATTTTAATTTTTCTTTTTTTTAAAAAAGTTAAGCCTCCTTTCACATTTAATCTGATTCTGGTTACGATATTACCCCCAAGGTAAAACCAGACCAGATCCAAATCAAAATCAAAATCAAAATCTACCAATTGCAACCAACCCTATTCGAAAGAATGTAACAAAAGTAGTTTTCTTTGATATGTTGAAACAGTTATCGCGCCCTTGCAATCATACGGCTCGAGGCTTAGACTATAAAAAAGTAGGAACAAAAACGAAAACAAGAAAACAAAAACCCACCCATTTCCCGATCTTTTTAAGAAATTAAAACAATGAAATGACTCTTTAAACACACGGAGATGAATATACGAATTTCATCACATATGCCAAGCATACTTTTATTGAAAATTTAACAAGGGTTGCATGTGGAGAGATAATAAAGGATACAAAAAATTGGAAACAGAATCGAAGGACAAGCAAATCTAGGAATTCATGAATTGCAACCTCAGGTAGGGGGGATGGAGCAACGGGGTATACTTGAACGCAGTAGGGTGGGTAATGGCTTTGCTTATGAAATGATCAGAAGTATATTGTCAAGCTCGTTAAGTAAATTCTTTTTCGTTGTTATCATAATGTACAGAACTTTGCTTCAAAATTAGGATAATAAATTCAATTGATAAATTCTTCTAGTAGGTAATTCCACCACAAGATGATTAATTACAGCCAAATCAGTTTTATAGCAACCAATTAGAGGTTTATATACTTTTAGCATACCTTTCGTCTCATTAACCTTCCTATACTAGCTGAATCTTTATTCATCAAATAGGAACTACGTGACCTTTTTTACACTAACATGTACTTTGTAAGCCTCACCCGATTTGGAATATAGCCCTGCTGGCCAAACGGTTAAGGCATCTGCCTCCTAAGCAGAAGACTCCGGGTTCGAGTCCCGGGTAGGGTTCGATTAAAATTTAGTTTTCACTTTTTATTTTTGCTTGATTTGCTTCTGACATGAGTTATTTATTAATAAGAAACGGTAAACATCATTTGCGTCCCTAGAAATTAGTGAGTTACGGGCTTGCTTAAGGGTTTGAGAGTAAAAGGGATATTTGTTAATTATTTTCGTTTTGTTCCTTTTTACATTCGCAGCCAAAAAAATAACTAATTATTTCAAACCAAATAGACTTTTTCTAATATTCATTATTCCAGATCATTTCATTACCGAATGGGTCCCTTATACTCCCCTTTTCACTATCACACTTCAATTTCTCTCTACTACCCACATCACAAACCATGCGAACTGATTGTTCTTTATCCAAAACCACTCGTGGCGGGTGTCGAAACCACCGATTACCCCATTTCAAATCACCTTTTACCATATTGAAATTAACCACACGTAACCTTGAATCTACCCTTTGTAAAGGAACATAACCAAACAATCGCGCCGCTGATTCAGTAGAGTAACAAGCAACAAATGAATCCCACGATCGTTCTTTGCCGTATTTCAACCGTAATTTCTCGCCCAAAGTTAGACCAAATGTAGTTGTATTAAAGAAATAGGGCGACCCCGTACTTCCACTAACGGATCCACCAAACGTTGATGAATATCGTAAGGAAATTGCTACTCTGTGGGTCCAAGCGATTCCCATTAAGGGAGGATCCAAGTGGAATGTACGACTTGATATGCATGGCGATACGGGGATGTAGTTGTACTTCACTCGCTTCCTGAACCGGTGCTTGATTTCGAGGTAGGTTAATGATTCTAGCTTAGATGGATCATTATGCATGAGCACTTCATCGATAGGCATAATCGTCGTGTTTGTATCGGAAATATATACTATTGTTTTGGGGTTTTGATATAGTAATGTTTTGAGATACTGGTCCGTAACTTGCAGGTGGTTGGATATGGTATGGTATGTTATATTGGATAGGTTCAGAGTGGTTGACTCGTGATCCAAGTCAATTATTGGTGGTAACTGTTCATTGAAGTCGAGGAGTGGCTCAGGTGGTTGAAATTCAAAGCCCATGGATAGGCATGAAAGATAAAATAGGAGGTAAATCATTAGGAGGCAATGTTGGTAATGCATAGTGTATGTGAATAGCTTTAAAAGTGTTGTCAATCATATCAAATTGTGAGAGTCTATTTTATAGAAAGAAAAATTATGGGGTGCAAATATTCAAACTAGACGTGATAGGTTTCGCATATATCCTTGCACACAACAAGCAACACAAGTAAGCAATTGTCAGCTAACTCATCTAGCTGAACTTGAATCCAATTGGTCTTGTTTGCAAAAACGACCTACTGCATATCCACTCACGCATTAGCCACAAATATCATGTGAAGTTTCTTCTGACAGAAGAGAAAAAAGAAAAAGAAAATGACGATATCCGAAAACCGCTTTTCAAACATAGTCACTGCCCTAGTTGAACAAGCTTCAGATGCTCCACCATCATCACCGCCACCAGTATGCCACTACCAACACAATTGAAACAAGACATACTCACAAACGCCAAAATATGTCTCTACTTTATCCTCCCCATAGCATTATCAATGTATCTAATCCCAACATTTATAACCCCCGATCTAATCACCTACATCCAAATCAACTTCCGCGTCATACTACTTTCCAAGCAATTCTGTCAAGTGAAACCGCAACAATGTGAAGTATTATTGGATTCGAAATTCGGCGATCCAGAAGTGCTTTATCGTCAAGTGTTTCACCATTATGATTTAATTTATGTCGTTAATAAATATATCTGGCAATGGGATCGGCTCGTTATCAAAATAATCGTGTCATCACCAGCCAAATATACAATTATAGGGATGGGATATTTACGTGGTGTCGAAATGAATGATGAGTATTGGAACCTCATGCAAGAGACATTACATATCATTCTTGCTATTTTCAATACTCTGATTTTCCATATTGTTATGGGAATGGTTGTTTCACGAATGTGGATGTTTTTCATTGTTGGTGTCGTATTGACTATTTTAGAACCTTGGGAGAAATTGGCAGGTCCAATTTGGAATTTATTACAATCGGCAAATAATGTATTTTAAATATATATAAACGATACAATGGTGGTCCTCTAAAATCCAAAATTGAATGAACTCATATCGGGTTCTTCAAAAGCTTGTGCTGGTGGTGGAGCCTTATTCTTAAATGATGGATGTGGAGGAGCAGGAGGCGACAAAGGAGGGGCAGGTTGTGAATCTGTATACGAGTCAAGCAAACTAGGCACCGCATTTCTATTCTCTGTATAGGCATGCCCATTTCCAATGTTGTTTCCATTTTCAACCACCTTATTAACCTCTTTTTGCCCTTGCACAAATGTCCAATTTCTTAAAAGTAGTAAAGCAAGATAATCACAGCCCATTCTCGTATAAATCATTGCAACTCGAACAACAAAATCAAATTCCTGATGTTGAGAAATATTTAATGAACCTTTCAAGTAATCCACTTTACGATGTCTTAAGTCGTTGAATAACAATACAAGCACAGGATCATCACGAAGAAAGCTTTGTCCTTTTGATGATACGCCAACATTGCGCAACTCCTCAAACCTATTTCCACTTTGCTCAACCATTTGTAAAGGCGATTTAATCAATGATTGAATTGACATTTGCTTATCATTCATTTGCCAAAACACCCAACTTGTACTCCATCTATCACCATTTTGGACCGCGTGAGGCAAGACAAATTTCTGCATAACTTGTACAAGACACTCATTCGACTCTTTGCCGATATTTTGCACGCCAAAGTATACTTTAGCCACCGCTATAGCCAACGCAATATCGTCAACTTTGGTAGCCAATGTGCTACAACAATCATATGGTTTATCAGCCAATAAAAAGAAATACGCCGCATCCATATACCGATGTTTACCAAGAAGAACAAAGGCATTTTTCAACGCAGCCGATTTCCATCTCGCATCAGTAAAGTCATTGTTCATAAATTTCAACATCTTGGTCTTTTCTTCATGGTTCACAATACGCCATAATCCAATTAAAATTTGCTTTTTACGCAATGCCAAATAGAGCAAAGACACCAATCCCGATGGATCACGCGATTCACCAAACTCGTTCCTCGCTACTGATTCAACTAGTTTCACCAACCGATCAGTTTTGATCCAGTAGGCTAACCCTGTCTGTCTTACATTCTCCCAAGTCAATCTGTTCTTGTAATAGGTCTCCACTGAGCTCAACAACACCTCTTTATTATCCGAATGCAAAGCCCAGTTTATATCTCTCATTGAAAGGCGTTTCTGTTTCGTTGCCAATTGGAATAACTTGAATCCAATCATAAATCTGATACCATTTTCATCTAAAGTCATTGAATATTTATTCAATTCCTTGACTATAGCCACCACCGATACCAACGTGCTTTGTTGATGTCGTGTCATCAAAGGCAAGGAAACTTTCATCAATTTATCCAGTAGCAAATCAGCCAACTCATCATTAAATTTAGTAAACACATCTAAATTGAATGTTTGCGACATGCGTCGCTGCAAAGGTTGAATCTTGCCATTAGCCGATGGTTCAAGATTCTTTTCCATCTCATGAGCAAAATCAATGCCCAAATCCCATTCTATAGTTTCGCCTTGTCGCAACGCTTGAAACAACTTCACCAAAATATTCTGCACCGGGATAATTTGACTCATAAATAACGCTTGGATTAAGAATTGGGGGTGGTAAATTGGCAAAGGTCCATTTAAAACTCTAACCAATTGGGAAATATCATACACAATATTCTCTTTGTCAAGTTTGTCTTCATGAGGTTTGTCGACATACCCGCTCATTAGTTGCCGTATCGTCGAATCAATTGTACTTGACCCCAATTTGACCCATCGATCATCAATGAAAAACTGGTTGCCACATCCAATCACCAAGTACCCCTTATCAAGCCAAATCAGATCACCAATCTCATGAGACGTATAGTTGGAAACATCAATTTTCTTGATGGTGGCATAAGTAGGTATTTTATTAGTGTAGTCGTAACGTAATTGCGTGTACAATAAAACAAACCGCCCAAACCCCACCGATAAGATGGCATTTGTAGTTGAGTCTTCATTGGTGGTGGCATTGATAAAGGTCCAATCCAAGTCCGTTACTGGTCCATTTTCCGAAGCAAACGTTTCTTCATATTCCAACACACCTTGCGTAGTGTCCCAAATCGAGAGACATTGTCTTGACTCATCGACCACGGCAAATTTATTAATCACAGTAGAACCATTGATTTTTCCTGGATTTTTAACATTGGTTGGTATGCAGCAAGTCATGACCCATTCAAGCTGATGTTTGCTGAAATCCAATGTGTAACTTTTCAATAAACCATCCTTATCTATAACTGCAATCAAGCTCTTACTATTATCATCCAAAAAGGCATCAACGCGTGTAATTTGATATATATTTTCTTGCTGAGGTAAATTGGCAATTGGCTGACTTTGGAGCTTGATTGCATCAATTTGGTCACCTTGATACGTTAGTACCAAATTCCATGCTTTGATCGCATCCTTTTCAAAAACGGCTACAATACAATACTGCTTCTTATCCTGAGTGTTTCTCGGGCACTCAGTCAACACAAGTGTCCGAGGCTGTTTTTTCTCACAATCAACAACATCAATCTTTGTTGCTGGCTGATCATCGTTTACTGAACCATTACAATCCCAAAGACTCAACTTTCCCAATTTCTCAACCACAATAACCACATGGCGCCGCTTGTACCCAACAGGTGGTTCTATATCATTTATAATTGCTGCATCCCATATACTATTACCTTCACACGATAAATCCAATCGGAATCGCTTGGTAATCGACATGATACTCAATCCATTTTCCTCGATAATCATTGGCTCCCAAATATAATTATGTTCAGCAAAATTGGATATAGATAGGACAACATTTTTCGACGAATAAAGGGAGTTTGATCGAACTAATTTTCGTATCGATTTGATATGTCCTTGGTATTTATTAACCAATATAATTCCCAATGCGTTTGATTTCAAAAGCTTATTGAAATCAATCACCTCAAACCGCACCGTGTTTTTCACACGGTCATGAAGTAAGAATGAAAGATACTTTACTCTCTCATCATTATTCAACCTGGTTAGATTCTTGATCAATACTGGTTTCAAATGCGTTGTTACAAACTCCTCCGATTCAATGTACTCCACATCCAACTTGTGTTCACATCGTACATCCAAATGTGGGAATTCGTTCCTACCAAACTCAAGATCCAAACCTTCGCCAATGGGAATAAACTTGATGCTTGTCGGTGGGGTATGCGTTATATTAGCCACAGCATAAATCTTTGCCGTCCCCGAATTTGAAATGACAAACAATAAATCCAAATCATTTAAATTGAGCCCGTCAAATAGAGCAGACCTTGAGCTCCTCAATAATGGTATCAAACTGTTTTGAAGGAAAATGTTTTCGATGATGAGTACCGCTCTAATAGCATCGTCTTTAAAGCAATTGGTCAAATCTAAATTCGCCCAATTGCTTATATGGTTATGTCCATTCGATTCGTAGGATGCCCACGCTTTAAATTGGTAGTCTGAAGTCCACGTGTAAATTACTTCACTGTCGTCATTATTTAAATTAACATATCCCCTCATTTTCCTAATGTGTGCCATGGACCCATCTAGCACCTTCTCTGTTTTTTTACTCGATTTTCTCCTCCAGTGGAAATCAACAACATGAGTACCTGGTGGATGTAATAGATAGGACACTTCAAATTGTGTATTTTCATCGCCGTAATTCATCCTTGTCCATACTTTAACTAGTCGGTCGTATGGTCCACTTGTAACCATTATGAGTTTGGCATTGGGGCTGATGCTGATATTTGATACGGGACTTGGTTGTGTAGAACTCCATCGTTGTCGAAGGTGAAACTCGCCATATTCCTCAGCTATATGGTACAAATATAGGCTTTGATTGCCTCCAATAACCAATTCATCCTCTTCACAAGCCCATTCAAGACACGTTACCTCAGTGTCGACAGAAAACTCAATTGCCCATGTCCATTTCGGTACTGTCATATATTCATTCATGGGTTTATATATGATGAGTTTGGCATCGTAAGCAACTGCAATGACACCATTCTTGTGATTGATATCTATTGCTATGGGATCCTTCTCAAGGTATATAGTCTGCAAGTCCTTGTCAATATTATATGGATTGGGTCGTTTGTTGGTTGACCCAATAGTGGCAGTAGTAATGATCAAGTTGTTACCTGAGCCATAAGCAATAATGTGATGATTTTTCCAGTTGGATTGCACTACCGAACATGAGCTTTTGTTGACTTCACCAGGGATGAATGTTATGGTCATATGGAAGTGAAAGTTGTGTTGATATTGGAGAGTCTCTTGAAGCGTGGAGAATTTGGGAGTCAACCTGAATCCGAAAAATTTAAATAAGAAAAAATACAAATCACACCATCATCACCAGTAGCATCACCATAGATAAAAATGGGAGCAAGGTAAGTAAATCTCAGGCTATATAACGCATACCTACCAGACATACTAACTATAGTATTACCTAGTTGCAAGGATCAGAAAATAGCATTAGCCATCTGCTTACAACGATCACCATGTGTTCTAATACAACGACACACCCCAAAAGAATGTCTCACCGACCCTGACCTCAAAAAGGATTTGCCCGAACTATGCAAAGCCAATTTCAGGGCATTTATGGATTGCAAGAGAGGTGCTCTCGACATGAGGAAACGAATGAAGGGGAATGCGCCATTATCAACGGGTAAATTTAATGAGCAATATGATAAATTATCATCGGGTAATTTCAACCCTGAAGATGAAATGAAGAAGTTGGAAGTAATGAATCGAAATTTGTCAAAGCAACAACAGTTGCAGGAGGAGAAGGAGAATATTAGACTAGAAGGTGGTTAAAAGAAGAAAGAGAGTAATCGAAGTGGATTCCATAGTATTGTAAATAGCCTTCTTTTATGTATTTAAGCGTTTCAAATATGTATCTCGTTCTGTAACCAACTTGGAAATGAACCTCTTGTACACAGGGTTGAAGTTGTTTAAATTTTGAAACACATTTTGCAACTGAATCAACTTATCGACATGGGTTAATAACACCGTTTGGTCTCCTCCTCTTCCACTAGTGCCCAACTGTTGCTTAATACTAGACAATAGTTCATCAAGTATCAGCTGGAATTCCTCCACCGTATACGCCAGCTTATTCTCATTTACTTTTGATAGCGAGTTATTTATCGTTTCCAATACGTCAATCACAGTTATTAAATTATCCTTGACCAATTTCAACTGAATTAGGGTCTGTACTGCTTCATTATTGATACCTTCATTCGATTCTATGGTCTTGTTGATATCTACAAGTTCCGATTGTAGTGACAATATCGAGTTGTCAAGAATATTTAAATGATATTGTAATCTCGAAGTACCGTCTTGTTCCTCACTCCCATCTTGAGTTAAAGACAGAGTGTGAATCAATGAACTTGATTTATCCAACATTTCAAGCTTTTCTTTAAGGCTATTATTGGCTATGTCATTGATGTAGTAGTCAAAGTGGGTAATCAACTGATTAATCGTATGAGATAATTTTGTTAGTGATTGTTTGGAATACGTTGATGATGGTGTGGCTGTAGTTGATGATGATGATGGGTTTTGCAGTGTAACTGAAGTAACTAGTTTATCAATATATGTGGAAGGGTTAAACTCGTCGTCAAAGAACATTGACATTGAGTCTTTGACATTGTTGGTGGACATAGTTGCAACAACTTTGAAGGAAGAAAGAGGAGGTAATGTTTTGAAAAATAAAATTTCAAATTTCGCAGTTGAGTTGAGTTGAGTTGAGTTGAGTTGAGTTGAGTTGAGTTGAGTTGAGTTGAGTTGAGTTGAGTTGAGTTGAGTTGAGTTAAAGTGTAGAGGAATAGGTCAGGTGAGTTGCAAATAGACTATACACAATTGGTATCATATCCACCCCTTTCAAAACAATCACAACAGGCATTAGAGAAGACGTAAAAAGAGTAGTCCTTTCTACAAGACCATAGTCCAAACAACACAAAACATTTACAAAATTCTTTAACATTAAACTACAAACTCAACAAGAACACTTCAATATTCAAAGCTAAACAGAGAAAAAGAAACTTTCTGCCCAAAGGATGCCAAAGTACGGGGTGTATGAGAGATGATAAAGAAACCCCTCAAAAAATAAAAACCGCTCCAGCAAAAGCAACTTTAGATTCTATTTTATGACTCAAACCCTATTGAACACACATAAGAATCTAGCGCCCAAGGAACCCATATTAACATCCTATAAACCGGAAAACCAATATGTACAGAGAACCACCTCCAAACAAAATTACATGCATATTTAAAAAGTTAGCAACTGAAGAATACATTCAGGAACGAGTATCCATATGAATAACAGCAATATAAACTAGGGTGTTGGATGCAAAATTCGTTCATTAAAGAAACAACAATAACCCAAGCTCTTTTCAGACATCAACAATAGACTTCCAAGTGATGTCTGAAAGAGAGAGGAGGACGTAATGCCAATAATCGGTACAAAGTTCCAGGTAAAACATTTAAGCGCAAAAATAAAAAGAAAAAAGGAGTACTATGTATGTACTCTTTATTTGAACATTTCACCTAAAACTCAAAACACTTGAACGCAAACACCGACTAATGGCTATATGAAAAAAGTTTCACCGTCATTGTTGGTAAAAATAAAAATAAAAATAAAAATAAAAATCCTATATGCTGGTTAAAGAAGAAAAGAAAGAAAGAAAGAAAGAAAGAAATGAAATCAAATGCTCTTTTGTTGTAAAACTTGACTCTTTTTTGCTTTTTCTGTCATTCACATTTTCCGAGGTGTGGTTTTGGTTTTTTATGACAAAAGGGGGCATGTGAACGCAATGGAATGAAATAATGGCTTTTGATAAGAAGACCAAAAAATGGACAAAAAAAGATATAAAAACAAAGCTTATTACTTCAAGGGGGTTCTCCTCACTATATAGACTGTAAGAACAAAACATCACGAGCGTAGTAGTACATTACTGTTTTGCGGTGGCTGGTATCAAAAAAAAAAAAGACTTTTGACAGCAACTTAGAGGCAACGCAAAACTTAGCTCAAAGAGATCACCAACATAGAATCCAACCCTACAGTCAACAACAACAACAACGCTTTAAATAGACTTCATCAATTTAAAAAAAAAACTATGTAGTATAAAGTAAATAATAAGTAGCAAAGTGAAACCCCAAACCCTGTTTACAACTTGGACTTTGGTCTTGGGTCCAATTGCTTGAAAACGGTTTCAATAGCAGTAGCCTTCATCAAGTTACCCTTAACCTTCAATTTACCATTCATAAACAATTTTTGACCATTGGCTTTACCTTCAGCCAATTTGACGAAATCAACATCCTTCAAGAGCAATTCGACGTCTCCCTTTGGTGGAGAACCGTCAACCTTCTTGATGCTACCTTCCTTTTTCAAGTCCAAGACCCATGATTGGTCCTTACCTTCCTTGTTCTTCAAGGTGATGATAATGACAGCGTTGACAGCTTGTACAGCAGACTTGGAAAGGTCTGGGGTGGAAAGACCTTCTTCAATTTGCTTAAAGAATGGGCTAGCGTTAAATCCTTCAACTTCGACGGCCATTGTAAGAATGTAATGTAATTAAATGTAATATAAAGATGTAAAAAAAGTGTATAAAAAACTTTAGTTGGTTAAAGTGAAAAAGAGAAGAGAAAGAAGTATATTTGATGTTTGAAAAATTTGGGGAATTTGTTGATCAATTTATATATTTTTGGTTATTTGATGTATGTTAGTAGTGTTAGTAGTGTTAACAGTGTTAATAGTGTTAGTAATAATAGGATGATGATGATTTTTTTTTTTCTGTTTTCCAATTGTGGAGGGAACAGCGAGATTGGCCTGTATGCAGGATTTTCAATGTAACTACACCCACCCCTCCTCCTCTTCTCCTCCGACAGACAAAACAAAATAAAACAACAGCAGAAAAATAATTAACGGAATTAACACAAACACACTACACTTCTTAATTTCTGAATTTAAATTACTTTCACATGTCAAACACACACCTTCCCCATAGATTCTTTTCGAGTTGAATAGGTACACTTCGCTAAGGAGGTCCATACAGTGATAACTAGTTCTGACTCCACCCAGTATCCATTCTATCTTTTATACTGAACCATAGTATGTTATATGCTTACTTACACCTCATATACTCTCCTACACCTCTTCTATTAAGTTTTTGTAGTTTTTTGTTCCACTGGTTGAAGTATTTTTCTGTTACTTTGCTAACTGCGTGTATTAATTATTGCGGTGTAGATGTCTTATGCACTTTCCTTCCTAATTAGGAAATCCAACAAATTTATCAATTTAAACCTTTAACAAGATCCCTCGGTTTAAAAGTTACAACGGTTTATTATTGTCTTGTACACACTACCTACCAGCAAAAACACAGATTAATCCGTTACTCAATAATTTTTGCACAAGATAAAAATAGAGAGACACATACAGACACATACAGACACACACACATTCAACAATGGAGTGTTGTTACTATACCATTACTACTCCAGTTTTTTGTCCTACGGTTCCCTTTTCCCCTTTTTCAATTCAATTTGTCTACAAAAATATAACCGATGATCTCGAGAATACAAACTCTCCACTTATCTGTTTAAATTAAATTTAAATCTCATTCCCCTCGGAGTTTGATAGTTGTATATCCATTTTCTTTTTCTTCTTCTTCTTCTTCTGTTTGTCCTCCCTCCCCCTCTTTCTCCTTTGCTCTCTCTATTGTCTTGTGTTAAATATCATTCGCATTTTCTTTTCTTGTTTTTTAATTCACCCCATATATGTTTCCCTAACTATTCATATTCGGCTATTCCCCAATGACACATTAGAGTGAAACAACCTTATATTACCTTTGTCGCTGACCAGAGATAACAATACACTTCTTTTTTTTTACTCTTTTGTTGATCGCAAAATTAAAAATTTTATCATATGCAATTGCTAATATATGTCAAGTGGCACACTTTCTTTAGTCTCCACAGTATATGTGGAGTGTCAAATGAAAGCATTAAGCTACCACTCCCTTACCTAATGCAAAAAGCTTAGGAAGGTTCAAATGGTTGCACTGTGTTAGTTACTTACTGTGATGGGTTGTAGAAAAGGTCCGATCGCTACCACTCCCTTTTCCCCCACATTTCGAGAAGAAAAAACTCTTTAAAAAAAAAAAAACTAAAAAGGATAAAAAGAGTTACAAAACTAAGAACCAATAACATCAGCATCAGATTTATTTTGCTGCAAAATAAAACAACGGAAGCAAACAAAGGGTAAGTGAAAACAAGTAGAGTATCTCTTTATTTGTAAATCTGAATGTGAATTTCTATAAAGCCACATGCATCTAATCTTTTCCTTTTTTTTTTTATTTATTTATTCGGAGTTAATATCACCTACTTTAGTCAATTCCTTTTTTTTATTTCTCTTAGCCCTCTCCCTCTCTCTCTCTCTCTCTCCCTTCTCCCCTCAATTGTGTGTTGAGTGAGACAGAAAAAACATTGCATCATTGAATCTTTACTAATTTTTCTCTCAAACCAAAGTCCGAGGTTAACCCAATTGGAAGGGGGGTGAGAGGGGAAGAGGAAAGGGCATACGCGACTCAAAAGATGACTTTAACCGAGCTTTATCATGAATAAGCCAGAATTGGCTTTGTATATCGATAGAATGCAAGTATATACCGCCTTTTCCTTTGAAACTTCCCCAGGATCTGAGTAAAAGGGTGTGAAAATATAATTATCTAAAATCTCCATGTGAAAATAATCATCTAATCGTACATGCGCTATGCACGTGATCAATTTTTATTTGTCGCAAATATTTCCAATATCACGACACTTCTAAAAATATCCGACATTGAAATTTTATTTTCACGCATCTCATCTTTACAAACTTCATCTCTTTAGATATCATAGCATTATTATTACACACACTAAAACTGTATGCACAATAGATGTCATTTACTTCAAAAGCATCTCAACACCAAGCTGAATTAACAGTGGGTAAACTATTTAGCGATATACTACATACCCAACCCTCATCGTCCACCACCAAAAACGACAATGCTACTCAACTTTCATCAACTCAAATCCTAACTCATCAACTACACCCATCATCATCATCATCATCAAGCAAAGCCAAATCGCAAAAGAAGAGCAACAATAGCATCAAAAAGAAGAAATTGCAAAAGATCAAAAAGAGAGAAACTGAAGATAAGAAATTCCAAAAATTCATCAAGTATAATCAAATCCTATCCAAACCAAAAAACCAACAAACCGAATCCGATAAAGCATATATTGGCAAACTAATCCGCAAAAACACCAACCAGATCAAAAATTTAACCCACATTGATGATTTCGAAATCGAATCTGAATTGGACGTGGTTAAGCTGCAGCTTTTGGCTGATTTACAACCGAAATCGCAAGCTCGATTAAGAAAGAAATTGACCGTGCCTAACTCCAGAAACAGGAGTAGTGATTACGATGGTGATGGTGGCGTAAGCAAGCAAGAGTTTATTGATTTTGATGACAAGGTTAAACGTGGATTGATCTCAATGCCGGGCTTGACTCCTGGTTTGGCACCCGTTGATGAAAATGAATCCGAATCAGATACAGAATAACCTCAACACACCTAAGCCTGTTTATATAGATCTATATAAATACCATACACGTTTGTGCGGTTAAAGGTTTATCTCATTTCGTAGAGGATTTGACGTAAATCAATCGCCAATTTTCTCACACTTCTCCTCTTATCGTCCAAACAAAGTTCCAACTGTTTCAACACTGGTTTCTTAAACGGCTCAATCACATCATGATCGAATTTCGTAAACACAAGAATCAAATTGGCCAAAGCTTGCTTCTTTACTTGCCCATCATCAACAGCAACAACAACACCACCATCGTTGGTACCTGCTGCTAACTGGGCTAAACGTGGCACAATCGTCGACACCTTCAGCTCAATAATGGTGGCATTTTCTTCAAGTATAATTTCCATAATCTTCAATCCTGATTTATAAATCATTAATCGAGTAGCTGACTTTGCTGTATGGCCTGCACCTAGCGCCGTGGTTATAAAAGGAAGGAACGCAGGTAGGTGAGGTACCAAGATCTTGTGCGGAATATGAGGCAAGATCAATGATAACGCTTCAATGTTCAACCTTGAGACATCTACATCACTATCTCCATCACCTCTATCATCACCCTGCGCGTCACCAACACCCTCATTAAGCAAGTAAGGCAACACCGTCTCAAACACTTGTTGTTTATATAACAATTTCACATTAAGATTGTTCACTTTAGATACGATTTTCTTAGACAATGCCGGTGGCATATTGACAAACACCTTCAAGTCAATGACAAGTAAAGGCAACGCTCTAATAATCATGAGTTTATGATGGACGGAAGTAGTTGATGATTGATAAATATCAAGCAAGTCAACTAAAGAAGATATACCCTTAGCATCAATTTTTAGCAAGTTGGCCTTCAATGTCCAAATGTAAATTTCAAATTGGTTTAAATTGGTAAAACTCAACTCCGGGGTGAATTGAGTCGTCAACTGCGATCCAAATTTATTAACAAGGAGACAAAGATGTTGCAAGTACTGTACTCGCAAATACTTGTCTTGCAAATGGGACAAGATTGTCGTCACTGACGATACTGCATCTTGCACCTGTGCCAATTGACATGATTTATCAATCGCCGAAATAACCTTATTGTAAATGGTGATATATGCATCGGGTCGATGTGATAAATTGCCCTGGTACACAAACAACAATTTAGATTCACTGTCGCCATCAGTGCAAAATATGTCATACATTTCATTCAATATCGACTGATGTTTACCCACATCAATGAATCGAATAATGATTCGAATCAAATCACCACTGACTTCCAACAACCCCAACACCCCATTGTCAAGTTCTCCATCATTCATCCCGTAGTTTCCAGGAACCAATTGAACTAATTTATTCATTAAATTGGGGATGAATTTCTTATACCATGAATTGGTTAAAAATGGTTGCACAAGTTCAACTTTATTCAACAATGAAATGAAAAATTCAATAACAACTTGCAATGAATCAACCGTTAATTCCGTCTTATTCATTAATCGAATCGAAACAATTTCTAAAACTTGATGATTGATGGTCAAATTTTGAATAATGTCAAGCACATACTTGAAATTTGCGTCATGGGCAATTGCTTCACCATTCAAGACGGGATTCACAATTTGATCAATAATAATTGAAGTAAACAGAGGGTCATTCGCCATTATGGATGATAAATTACCGACAATTTCATCAACAACCAAATCTTTCTTTGCCAAGGCCAAATTTTCTTCAATTTGTGTTTTAAAAATTTGTAAAATTAATTGAGTATTGGTGGTGGTTAAGAATTGTGGTATCGTCATCAACTTGCTCAATTGTTGAACAACTTTACACCTCAAGGTCTTTTCCAAATTGGACGAATTGGATAGGATTTGACATAGGAAAATGAGTAAATGGTCTTTGTATTTGATCAAATTAGTCGGACCCGGTGATGGATAAGCAATCAATATGAATCCTAAATTATCAACTAAATCACGCTGTTTGGAAATGTTCAATGTGAAGTCCTCATTCTTATCCATATCAGTGTCAGAATCCTCGGGATGATTGTCATTGTTCCCCACATTAAAGTATTTCCCCCAGACACCAAAGCTAAACAAGTAGTCAATGATGAAATTGTAATTCTCCAATGAAGTGCTTGCTAATGATGCCAAAATAACCACCGATGGTTTCGACTTGTCCTTTTGCAAATTTGGTCCTAATTCATCAACCACCGTTTGTAACATCTCCCTCGATTGTGGTAATTTATTCACCATAGTTTCCAATATAACCAATGTCAAAAACAACACCTTCACTTCATCATTGTCATCAATTGACGTATAGTCCTCAGGTACAATACTTTCCATAGTAGGTTTGAATGGCGCACACTCATTATGTAAAAGTTCGAATTTTAACGCATTCCATAATGAAAGCCAGTGCGAATTCACTGTATCAGCTGTATAATTCTCCACGCATAATGCAATTGTCTTTAATGTATCATTACGAATCACTGGGTTTGTGGATGCTAGTTTCTCCACCAAGCTCGGTATCGACTCAGTAGCAAAGCGCGATTGTGATGCAATCACTTGTCTCAATTGCAATTTCAATTCCTCAGGGGTGATCTTGTAGGGATCATTAGCTGGTGGAGTGAATGAAATGGGGAAATAACAAAAGCACACATCAAATAGATCGGTAATAAACTCCTTATGCAACTCAGAATCACCAAATCCAAACTCTTTGTTAATTCTCCTATTCAATTTAAATGATTGTAATAAGTTGCGAGGATCTTTCTCACCTGATGCAATGTGAATAAAAGTCTTGACGTACAAATCAGCCACTGAAGTGGTAATAAAAACCTTGTTGTTATCCAACAAACTACTCAAAATTTGAAATGCTTCATGGCGAACTTTAGCTAAATTCTTTCTTGGGTCATACCCATTCGAAAGTTTAGCAAGTATCTTCTCGCTATTCAAACTATTCGTATAAAGTTTGCAACCAATCAAGGTATTAATTCCACTCAAGGCATGAATTAGACTCAATTTATCGTCAAATTTATTCATCAAGAAATCAATCATTACACCAACATCTTGTCTTGACAAGTGACCAGGCGGTAACTGACTCAACACCGAGCTCAAGAATTGCATCCCGCGACTCCTCATTACTTCGTTATCTGAAGTCAAAGTGGGGCCTAGTTGTTGGATAAATTGAAGTAATGTAAGTTGAGTTGTGGTGAATAAATCAACAATTTCGGAAACGTAGTTCTGCAATACGTCATCATTGTTGGTACCCACAGCAGCCACATATTGACTGATTAACACCGGTATATTATGGGTTGAAGATGGAGTCGCCGACATATTTTAGGTGATCTCTTCAATGAACATTTACTTCTGTTGGCTTGCAGAGACGATCGACTGTATCTTTTTTCTTTGTTTTTTTCTCTCATCGCGTCTATTTGTTGATTTTATCAAAAGCGAATGATAAAGACCCAAGTAACACCAACACAGAGTGCTATAACCAATAGTTCATGCCTGGAGTAATAGAGTTGATTGTTACACCCGGTGGATGGAAAACGAGGTAATCGATTAGTTGTTTTGAAGTAGGGATGGCGTAATTTTGGTAGCACTAGTTTTTTGTTTCTCATCCATAATATGAGCTCACAAGTCCACTCAATTGTTTGGGGATTGGATCTAGCACGTATATAAGCTAAGTTATATTCTCTTCTTTAATGCTCTTATGCATTGAGGTTTGGTTAGTTGGTGTGTGTATGTGTATGTGTATGTGTATGTATATGGGGTTGACACAAAGTCTTTTGTTTTAGTTTGAAAAAAATCTTTTAAAATCAAACAACAGTCCTCTCTTTCAATTGACAGTTTACCACCACCACCTACAAACAAACAAACAAAACACTTTACAGAACACTTTACTATACTTAGAGTACCTCACAACTGCCAATCAAATCGCATGTCTCTTATTATTCTCACCATTCAATGATTGAAATACCAGACTTGGATTCTATATATATCCCAAAACTACCACACGATGGTACCATCGATCAAGATGCAGACGAAACAGGACAGAACGATCTGCCGAACCGTATTTATGCACCATCGCCCAACTCCTTCCACGAATCAGCAAATAACCACCGATCCATCGATCAAGAGCCAGAGATGCAAGATGTTAGTAGTAGCATTGATGGATTTGAAATTGACAGTTTGAATTTCAAAAACCATTCAGGATTATCACTTACTAGTGATCAAAACCTCAACACCCAACAGATTGACTATCAACAAAGTGAAACACCAACATTGGCAACTGGCTTGTCTTTTTTACCAAACAATCTTCATGAACATAAAACTACATTTAAACTACAAGAACCACCAGTCAATGACCATTATCAAACAGATACATTAAACCTCCATCAATTTGAAGCTAGTGACCAAGTTGGACCAATTGAAACACCTAAATTTGCCCTTAAGTCGAAAAATACGCAACTATCGTTGAATCAACTGCTAGCATCTCCAATGTCACTAATGCCACAACATGATCATACCGAACCCTCACCACAGCTACCGGCACCACTATCTTCAGCATCATTACAGAACGTACTCACAATGAATGAAGATGGTATATCGAGGAAAAACCTAGCCACTGATTTCAAAACTCCTGCTGAATACACCCTACATATTATATTCACCCAATTTGTCCGGTTTGCAGAGAGGAAACTAAATGTATTTCTTGACTATTCAATGGCTGATGAAACTTCACTATTCAACATATTTGCAGAAGGTGCCGACCCACAGTTTGATAAAATCGTCGAGTCCTTGGGTTACATTGCTAGAAGAAAACCTAAACCGGTGATTGACAGTGTTATGTTTTGGAGAAAATCCAAAAGTGAGGTGGCATCCAATGCAGCACAGGAAGTGGAAAAGTTACTAATTCATGCCAAAAAGACTTTGCCCGAGGATAATTTCGCGCCACCTCCCAAACCTAAACGATCAATCAGTTTAATGAGAAGCAAATCGAAAACGCATCGTCGCAATCAGTCATCTGTTTCAACCTTATCTTCAGACCCAGAGTTGTTGAAAAAGAAGCAAGTGGTGGACTCACAAGTTGATATAATTAAACAAACGGCAATAAATGCTGAGAAAAAGTCCTTGGTGTCCATTTATATCTTGTGCCGGGTACTAATGGAAGTTGTCAAGCAGACGCCAACTGAGGTGATGGGTGAGGATCTTGGTGATAAGCTAGAAGAGATTGTTTATACCCAGCTAAAGACGACCGATCCAGCAAGCACTAGCCAATCGATAATACGGGCTGCCAATTGGACATTGTTTGCTCAGTTACTTGGGATAATGTCAGAAAAGAGATTCCTCAGTGTTAGTGATCGATTTGTTTTCGATTTGGAAAAGCTTCCCCAGAGAATCAATCATGAGGACGAGCCAAGATTATATCTCCTCATCTCAGGTATGAAGTATCTCAAATTGAACCATTATCCACCAGAGCTATTTGAAGATAGCAAAGAGTTTATTCAAATACTTGCCAAGTTTTTAGACAGAACTACAAACGAGGCCGTTCTTTATGCCTATTGTGACTCAATATCAAACTTGGTGCTACCTTTGGCCAACAGCTTGACTGCCGAGGCAAATGATCCAGGGTGGAACGAAGGCATTGAAAAGATTTACAACAAGGCGATAGACATGTGGAGAAGACTCCCCGAATCGAGCACAACAACTAGCGTGTCCAACATTTTAAACACCCAGACATCTCATTTCGGCAGTGGCTGGTCACACTTGATGAATGTGATTACGGCAACATTGTCTGTTTCACGTAAAGAGCTATTTTCGTCGAAATGGTATGCCATTATTGAACAAAATGCGTTTAAATTGAAACCAAAAGTTGATGTGCATGAAAAGACAGCATTCATCGTGTACACTAGTCGATTATTGTGGGTCTATTTCAATCGCGTACCTGATTCGCTTAATTCAACAATTAAAAAATTGGATGAGTTTTTCAAATTGATTTTGTTCAACCCTGTATCCTCCATTAAAAGACATTGGCTAACTACCCACCATGAGCTAATTGATGCGTTGGCGCAGATGATTCAAATCGTTGGGTACAACCATCTCAACTACACCCTTGAAAATGTTTTGCTTCGCTTATTACGTGAAGGCTTTGGCCAGACATTGGAACAAATTCAAACCGAAAAACTCATGTTGGTGGTGAGATCGTATATCAAAGTTTTGAAAGAATTTGAACGCAAAGATAAACCAGCATTTCCTGGTATAGATCAGCAAAAGGCTATAACAAGCTCCCATTTCCAGTTTCTTGCCAAGAATAGCACAAATGTTGCAATTCATGATGAATTCGGTCGTACATTTGGCACTACTTTGAAAATGCTCGATCATCAATATGGCGTCACATTGATTGATTCAGGGTCAGTCAAATCTATGTCGTCATTTGGATTCCGTTTTGAAGAGCCGGCCAAATCATTCGGTTTTTTCAATAATGAGTCGTTGTCAAAGTTATCCAAGGATTCGCATTTGGAATTGTTTTCCGACTTGATTGGTTCAATTCCGTATACTATGGTGCCGCCACAGGGTGAAACACAATGTTCCAGTGGTCTTCCACTTAAGCAAGTGGTGGAATTGTTGACGAGAAATGCCGTTCACTCAAGTAGGAAGGTACTGGATGCTTCAGTGCGTGCGTTGAAATCATTATCGACGAGGAAAAACCCCACTACTTTGTTGAATATATTTGCCAAATTTGCATTTCAGTTATCGGAAAAGACAAGCTCGGTGTATGATTCGACCTATTTAAACTCGCCCACGTTTATCTACCTTTTGAAATTGTATACGGAATTACTTGATACCTGGTTTCAACTGTTTGAGGTGGAAACTGACCCAATGGAGAACCCCTTAGCTCAGGATGATGAATTGATGAACAAGGATGTGTTGAATGACTTGTACCAAATTAATCACAAACAGGATATGCCGAAGCTGAATACAGGAAATGAATTGGAGTGGAAGACGATAATTAACCTGGTGGAGAGTATTGAAGGCAATGGGTTGTTTTTCCTTTGCTCGCAAGATCCTCAAGTCAGATCTTATGGTATCAAGGTGTTGCGCATTGTCGATAAGTTTGACCAAGCGATATATAATCTAACTGAAAGGGAAGAGTCGGAGCCAAAACTGGACCCAATGCAACACTCACGAAGCTCATCGAAGTTTGCCGCTGATGTTGGCACTCGGATCATCCACATTTTAGAAGAGACTGACTTTCACGATATCATCAAACCATTTAAAAAGGAATTGAGCCTACCTGAACGTCAACGATTGGCGCGACTCAAGAACGATAAAAAAGTATTGACCAAGGTTGCCGAATCGGACTATGGAATCGACTCCACCATGTGGTTTAGATTATACCCCAAAATCCTTGCAATCCTTTTTGTCAAATGCCCCATGCCAGTAGCAATGTGTCGTGATATCGTTTGCGTTAGTTTGGTGCAAATGCATGAATTGGTGTTGGAATTCTCCGACAATGTTAAATCAAATACGTCATCGTTGTTTTCGTCAAGACCATCTTCGGCAGTACCACCTGAAGTGTTGGTCAATCAATGGAAATTGTACTTGGTGTTTGCATGTATTACCCTCACCACAACCAACGAGCAGAAAATCTCTTTCCCCACGCAACCAACTCATGGAAGAAAGAGATCATTGCAGATGTTTATCCAGTATCAGAAAATCACTAGTGCCAAGTCAATCTTTCGTATGGTTTTGCCATTGCTTAAATCTCACCAAATGATGGTGAGGGAGGCGGTTATTGTTGGATTGAGCCATATCAATGTCAACATTTTCAAAACGTTTTTGGAAAACGTCCCTTCGGTGGTGCAGGAATGGAATACTGACGTCAAACAGAGGAATTTCGCTGACGATCGATTCCGCATTGAAATCATTCACATATTGATGAATATTACTGAAAAGTATAAGAGCAATGACGAGATATACGGAGATGATTCAATTGTTTCTGACTTGATTGCTATTGTTAAGAATGCCAAATCTTTCCTAACGTTAAGCACGGTTCAAGTTGATATTGATTTCCAAAGATTGCGTCGATACTTTTGTGAATTTTTGGAAAATGTATTCTTGGCGTTACAGGGGGATAAGTTGGACCAGTGGCTACCTTTTGAGGCGAGAATGTCTTGCTTCAACTATCTTAAAGAGTGGTGTGGCTACGGTGACTCTAGTGGAATCACCGAAGAGCGGTACAATATAATTACCCAAAAGATTAACCAGCGCAAAGATTCACCCTCAGCAATTGCCCTTTTGGAGTTTGAGAGGAAAAGACTTGAAAGTTCGGCATTGAGCTGTATGGCAATTTTGTGCCTGGGTAAGATCACCCAACAACTTGAAATACCAGGAGCTGGAGTTGCTTATGTTTCATTTGATATCCCCGTGTTGTTGAATTGGATACATGCATTATTGGAAGCAGAAGATAAGGTGCAAGACATTGGCAAATCTGCATTGGAAAATTTACTTCATAATAATTACAACCATGGCGATGTTGTAGTGGAGGTGATTAAACAATGCTGTACAGACATGAAGTCGATGCCAGTTTACTTTTGCACCTATGTTGATGCATTTTTGTCCAAGGATAAGCTGGACACCGTGCTGGATGAAATGTTTGTGTTAGTTTGCTTTTTATGTGGCAGTGTCAATTCCCAAGTGAGACAGTCAGCGTTTAAGCTTTTGACTGAGCTTCAAAGAAGGTTAGGTGGGGCTAATTTGGACCAATTTGCCGAGGCAGTTTATGGGGATAGCTTAGTTGGGAGAAAGAAAGTTGTTGGTCAGATAGCAAGAGTTGTTTGTGAATGCGACACCGAGCGTTTATACACTCGCATCTCCTACATTTCGCATTTCTATAACCTTGTTTCTTCGAGGAAGAATCTTGCTATTATGATGACCGCATTTTTGGAAAAGGTAAAGCTAAACAACGATGATCCACTGTCAGTGATGATATTAAACAATTTGCTCGAAATATCGATCAAATATGAAATGGAATCACTGGATATTGAAGCTATGTGGACGGCGCTTTGCAAAGACAATTTCGACATCATTTACGAATACATCCTCAACAACTGCCTTGAGCATCGCAGCACGTTTCTTGTTGACAAGACAAGGCAAGTGATCAATTACTTAGCAGCTGCTCACGCAGATAAGTTTTACCTCTTGCGCAAATTGATTAGCAATTTGCAACCAAAGATGATGATCCCGCCAGCTGCAAAACCAATAGAGATCCCCAATTCCTACCCATATGTTTCCCATTTATCAGAGGTGCTTGATTATAGCGAAAAAGATTCTGCATTTTCTTTAGGCCAAATCTCTGTCATTTTTATAGTTGACTTGGTGGAAAACAGTCCAATTTTGGTTGAAAATTTGCCGTTATTGTTGCATATTTCGTTTACATTGTTGGATCATTACCTTGTGCTAGTCAGGGAACAGGCAGGTACACTTTTGATTCGGTTGATTCACACGTTGGCAGGGAATGAGCCACGAACAAGTGACATGATTTCTCGTATAAGAAGCAAAGATCATATTAGGAGCTTGTGGGTATATGACGATTTGAACAACGACAAAAAGGGGGCCCGAACACCAAACAATATGATTTCGTTGGTGAGAAATGTTCTTCAAGTCTTCTCGAAAATGCCAGCTTTGCAAGATGATTGGAGTAGGATCGCCTTGACTTGGGGTACAACCTGTGCTGTTAGACACAGTGCATGTCGATCGTTTCAAATATTCAGAGTTCTCATAAACTTTCTTGATTTGAGTATCTTGAAAGCCATGTTTCACAGATTGTCGAATACTATATCCGATGAATCTGCCGATATTCAAGGCTTTGCTATGCAGATATTGATGACATTGAATGCGATTGCTGCTGAGTTGGACTCACAAATGTTGATTGATTTCCCACAACATTTTTGGTCTAGTGTTGCTTGCTTGAGCACAATACATGAGCAGGAGTTTGTTGAGGTTTTATCTACAATGAACAAGTTTATTTCCAAAATTGATCTAAATGCTACCGATACCATAAACTGTCTCATATCAACGTTTCCACCCAAATGGGAAGGGAAGTTCGAAGGGTTACAACAGATTGTTACTGTTGGACTACGATCATCAGCTTCTTGGGAACCAACATTGAATTTTATGGATAAGTTGTTGACTTTGAAGGATTCTGAAATCGTTGGAATGGGAGATTCGAGGGTTATAACGGCATTGATTGCGAACATGCCTGTTTTCCTCGATGCTTTAGAGAACAAGACAATAACTCCACAAATTGAGAAAACAGCCACAGCTATTGCTCAACTAGCCGCTGATAAGTCTTCGCTAGCAAAGATTTTGACTTCATTGGGCAAAAACAAGTTTCGATCAAAGAAGGATTTTGTTGTGCAAATTGTAACCACCATGCGCCATTTATACTTTCCTGACTATGAGGTGATGATTCTCATTTCATTGTTGAAAATGTTGTCCAATCCAACTGAATTTATCAGGAGGGAGGTATTGGTCTTCCTCAAAGCTATTATTCCGTATATCGACTTCAAAAAAGAGGAGTTTATTGGACTTGGCGCTGACTTGATTTCGCCATTGTTGCGCTTGTTACTTACCAACTTTGCCGAACCAGCATTGGAAGTTTTGGATGAAACGGATGTGATTTCAGGGTCGTTGATGGATAGGGATATTTTACGAATGAGTCTTGGTAATACTACTGTCAAGAAGGAGTATGAGAACACTGCCACATTATTTGGAATACCCGAGGAGAGTGGCTGGTCGATCCCAATGCCCGCAGTTACTGCTGCCAGCACTCGAAATAACGTCCATGCCGTTTTTTCAACTTGTGTTGCAGCTACAGCCGTTGTTGACGAACAGGAAAATAATGAGGAAATTCAATTTCACATGGAAGATTACTACAGTCCTAGTATTCATGACAATGGAGACGCGGTATCTGTTAGCGTTGATGAAACCACCTTGGGTAATATGTGGGCAGCACTCGATGACTTTGATAGTTTCTTCAATACTGACAAGATGGCAAAGAGGAAAACAATTAGCTCTCCAATCGAGGCTAGACCCCTCAATAAAGCATCCCCTATTGAAAGTGCACCCAATACATATGACAAGAAAGTATCGGCAATTTTGAACAAGACGTTAACTACAAACTCAAGAAACAATTTATTGGACTACATTGGGGAAAATGAGCAGTATGCGTCGCCAGCTCCATCTAGACGTTCGTATATTCCGTTTAGAAACAAAACAATGACAAAGACGAGAGAAAGCTTGACACCAACTATTGGTGTTGACATGAGCCCTCGTACACCATCGTCGGCATCACTAATGACAAGCAAGAACTCGTTTAATGGAAGTGATGTAACGCAGCTAGCAATGTCGCCCGATAACACAAGATTGGATGGATTACTTGGAAAGAGATCTAGAAAGAGGATGGGCCAATAAGACCTTTGTATAGAGTAGTTATGAATGTACATTTTAAACATATGTAAGCTGCTAGAGATGTAGTTTAAGGGACGGATTGTACATGTAAGGATTGTGATACATCCACGTACAATGTGAATGTATACATTGTAAACGGAACATTCTTCCATATCGTGGAATGACGAGAGAAAGAAGTGCATAATGCGCACCAACGTACTCCATTCGGGGTTTCTTCTTTTTTGTTCATCCTTTATAAAGTTTGGATGCAAAAGTTTTTACATTTGTTGCTGAACGAAAAAGAAATGGGTGAAAAAAAAAATGAAAAGAAAAAAAAAAGTTACATCATCGGTTTGTATATCATCACAAGACTACAAAAGAACCCATAAGCTGAAGACGCAATGCCACCAAAGAAGAAGCAACAGCCATCCGACAAGAACAAGGCCAAGGCAAAGGCCAAGTCTGCCGAAGACAAGACTTTCGGTATGAAGAATAAGAATAAATCAAAGAAAGTACAACAGCAAATCAATCAATTACAAGCAGGTGTTGACGGTGGAGCAGCCAAGAGGAAAGAGGCCGAAGCCAAGAGGAAAGCCGAAGAAAAGAAGGCTGCTGAAGAGGCTAAAAGAGAAGCAGCAAAACTTTTCGGAATACAACAGCAAAAAGTTCCCTTTGGAGTTGATCCCAAGTCGATATTGTGTGAATTTTTCAAACAAGGTGTTTGTAATAAAGGAAACAAGTGTAAATTTAGTCACGATCCAAATGTCGGGAGAAAAGATGCCAAGAAGGATTTGTATACCGATGCAAGAGAAGAGAAGGAACAAGATACAATGGACAACTGGGATGAAGAGAAGTTGCGTAGTGTCATTCTTTCGAAGCACGGTAATCCAAAAACCACAACTGACAAGGTTTGTAAGTACTTTATAGACGCGGTGGAGAATGGAAAGTATGGTTGGTTCTGGGTGTGTCCGAATGGAGGTAATGAATGTAAGTATAAGCACTCGTTGCCACCTGGATTCGTATTAAAGACAAAGGAGCAAAAGAAGTTGGAGAAACTAGCGGCAGAAAGCGCACCAAAGATTACATTAGAGGAGTTTTTAGAGTTGGAAAGAAGCAAGTTAGACAAGAGCACATTTACACCCATTACAGCAGAGACGTTCAAGAAATGGAAGATTGAACAAAAATCAAAGAGGGAAGATCAAAAGAAAGAGGAGGAAAAGAAGAGTGGGAAGAAACCACAAACTGGTAGGCAAGTTATATTGGAGAAGTTTTCCGACAAATATTACACGGAGGAAGACGATGGTGGAGAGTCTTGGGACTTGTCTCAATTCAGATCAAACCTTCCTGACGATAATATTAAAGATTACGGAGATGGATCTAATGTGGAGGAGAATTACCAGGATGATGGAGAAGTGAAAGGAGAGGTCAATGGAGAGGTCAATGGAGAGGTCAATGGAGAGGTCAATGGAGAGGTCAATGGAGAGGTCAATGGAGAGGTCAATGGAGAAGCCAATGGAGAAGCCAATGGAGAGGTAAAGGCTGATGATGCTTCTAATGCTACTGATGCTTCTGAGGCTCCCCAGGCTAATGGGGACACGGGAATTAGTGCTTGATTATGTAGATCTATAAAATACCTATTTCACCCGTACATCTTCATCCAATTTGTTGCAACTGCTTTCGAAAAATTGATCATCACTATCCATAAATATGTGGATTTGTGTATTTGTGTTTTTCAAATCAGCAATGGCTGTAGTCACTCTACGTATCCATTCAGCTCCTTTTTTATCCCGATCTTCCAACTCTATAAAACCTAAGGATTCGTAAATGCTACCTGGTTCATAATCGTCGCCATTCTTCGGTGTCGTCCTTGAACGTCTAGGTGGAAGCGGTGGTCTGTATTCATCAATCATCAGATTGCCATCGGAGGAGACGTTGGATGATGGTGGGACCGATACCAGTGGAGACTGCGATGATATTGCTGATGAAAGTGGCAGCATTAGGTCAGGTGTATTGTCAATAGAGTTACTTTGAAGGTTTTTAGGCTTTTTCGGTTTCATTGGCGGTTTTTTCTTGGGTGATGTAGAATCTGTAGGCGAACACACGGGCGAATCTGACAAATCAATCAAGTCAATATCTTGCGCATTTGATGCATCTTCTTGTTCCTTATCATTAGATGTCACCTCGGCGGTTCTCTTTTTTGCTAATAGCCGCAACAATTCCTTCAAAATACGACGGTCGTCCTCTAATGATAATGAATTCTCCACATAACGAATATAGATTGATAGTATCCTATTGGGATAGCTTTTCGCTAGGTCCACATACGCTTCCAAGTCGTACTCGCCCGAATCTCCAATACAAACAAACTTCTTTTCAGGAAAGTCTCGTAGAATCTTATGCAACATGGTTCTTTTCCTTGACAGTGACGGTTCCAATAGCGAGGAGATAATGCTGCCCAAATACCTCTTCAAATGAATTGATCCCTTGGGCAAACCGACGAGATTAAAATACTCCGATATCGATGGGAATAATTGCCATGGGGAATTAGAAACGTAAAAGAAACTGATATCCTGCCGCTTACTGAGATCGATATACCATTTGACGATCGACGGGATTTTCCATGCTTCAAAATCTTGCAACAACAAATTTCGAAGCAACACTCGTTTGTCACCTACGACTCCAGTTAGTTTAACCGTGTCATCAATATCACTAATGACACCAAGCCCCTTTGTTGGGACTATCATAACGTTTTGTGCGGCAAAGATAGTTTCGGTGACCATTGATGACGCAAAGATGACAGATGGCTTGTAGTCTACCTCTATTGTGGTGTGAAAGTATCCATACCCATCCGTAATCAATTCTTCATTTATCACCTTTTCATGTTGACTTTCGGAGCCAATGGTGATCTTTATTTCTGTATTTGGTATTGACTTTGCGAAAAAGTCAGCGAGTCGCTCGTTGATGATAGCGTCAGAGTTGGGTGAGCCTGGGATGGAGCTGGTACTCTGATCCGATGCTGCCGAGTGAACCGATTCATTATCAGACTCAATTTCTTTATGATGGACTTGATGTACCGGGAGGAAAGCATTTTGGTTTTGTAATTGTTGTTCTGTGTCCTGGCTGTTCCGTTTCATCAACTGTTTGATAACAGACATCATAACTCTATTTTTCCGATTCATGGCCCCAGGAGCTGATACCCATCCAGCAACATCGATATAATACTTGTTCTCTAGCTTCCTCGTGTATGTAGGGTACAACTTTATCCGTGTGTCCTTGGGGAGAACCACCTTGCCTTCTTCATCATAGACTTCCCTCGGGTTGGTAAATGCTTTGGATGCACCGGACGCGAGTGAGGTAACAGATCCGGTGATCTTGGGAATGTAGTTGTCCCTGGTGCTCTTGGCTAGTCCTATTAATCGTTGTCGTCTGGACATTGAGTTGCTTTCGAGATTCATGGGGTGGGAAGGAGGGAGAGGAAGAGAGAGAGCAAGAAGAAGAAACGTACTTTGCGATTTTGTGAAGACGGAATGCACTGAAATTAAAATCACAGAAGGTGAAAAAAGGAAGAAGGAGTTGGAGGAATGGGTTAGAGCAAGGGGTATACCTGGCGGGAGGGAAGGTAGATGTAGATAGAAGGTTAGGACTGTCGGTAAAATAATGTACATTTAAGGTGGTGTAGATGACGTAGCTTGAAGATACATGTAAAGGAAGTAGGTATATGAATAAGGATTGATCGTAGATGATGGTATGGAGAACAATTATGGAGATACCAATGGAGATACCAATGGAGAAGATTATATCAGACTACCTACCACTACAAACAATCCATAGTTACCGCCTCACAAAGTCTATAACTGGACCAATTGCAATATTATTTTGGTCAATCACACACCGAAAAATGTAAATACAAAAGCCGCCAACAAACAAACTCCACCCACCTACCCACACCGACAACCAAACCATGTCGCTAGACCAATTATCCGTAGGGAACGAATTGAAAGATTCCTATAAAGTCACATCAACATGGATTAAGAACGGTATCAACTTCTTATCAGACGTTGACGAGTTTTATCGTGAACGAGCGGTTATTGAAAAAGAGTATTCGACAAAGTTAAAAGAATTGACCAAACGATTCTTTGAGAAGAAGGCAAAGATATCATCCAACTTGTCAGTAGGCGATGAGCCGCAGATCACACCTGGATCATTGGAAAGTGCATCGTTAGTTCTTTGGAACGATGTGTTGACCCAGACAGAGGCGATTGCCGACGAAAAGGCCAATTTTAGTCGTGAGTTGCAAATGAAAATTGGCGAAAACTTGGTCAGTTTAAAAGGAAAATGTGAAAGAATTGAGCGCCAAATTTCCCTAATCAATGAGTATTTGACTACAGAAAAGAAGGGAGTTGAAGATGAAGTTGCAAAAGCAAAAAAGCATTACGATTCGTTATGTCAGTCTACTGAAACGGCGAGGGACAAGAACCAGAAATCGCCAACTGATAAACATGCTCGCAAGCTAGAGGAGAAGGAAGTGGAAATGAATAACGGAAAAAATGCATACTTGATAAAGATTAATGTGGCTAATCGATTGAAGGACAAGTATTACTACCAGGATGTGCCTGAAGTGTTAGACTACTTGCAGGAATTGAATGAGGACAGGGTAGCATTGATGAACAAGTTGTTGAAAAACGCAAATATCGTGGAACGAAACTCATTAGATAAAGTAAAGGAGAAGTTGCATTTAATTGACAGTACCATTGATCAGAATAGCCCTAAATTGGATATCGCAATGTTCATCAAACACAACACGGTTGATTGGGCTGAGCCACAGGACTTTTATTTCATTCCGTGCTCATTTTGGCACGACGACGAGAGTTTGGTGATCAAAGAGCCCGAGTTGACTGAGTTGAAGAAGCGACTCAATATTGCAACAAATGAATATGGAAAGTTTGAACAATCGAGTTTGGATATGAAACAGTCTCTTGAGGAAAGCACGGCAAAGAGGAAGACAGACGAGAGTATAACATTGAAATTTGACGCGGGGTTGCAAAGCTCGCTAACCATTTTGAGCAAGTTTATGAAAGAAGACACAAATAGGGTCAAGAACGAAGTGGAGATTGAAATTATCCAGAATTTCGCTGGGGACAAAGATTTGAGCTATGTTGCCCCAGCTCTGCAGAAAAAATCCCGTTTTGGGTTCCTCAAGGGTAAAAAGACCGAGCAAAGCGATGCACAGTCAGTTCACACGGTCAAGTCAAACACTTCAAGTATCTTGCCCAGTGGTATATTCAACCTTCGAAGTAACAGGGGCTCAAGTGGGAAGGGCAAGTCTGGCCCCACAGCAAAAGCTTTGTATGCGTACACTGCAACGAGTGCCGACGAGACAGGGATCTCTCCTGGTGATGAGTTGTCTGTAGTGGAAGAGGACGACGGTTCCGGATGGACAATGGTATCTGGCCCACAGGGACAAGGTTTGGTGCCAACATCGTACATTGAAGTAAAAGCAGCAGCAGAGGAAGCAGCAGCAACAAAGAAACCACCGCCAGTAGCGCCAAAGAAAGGGGCAAAGAGAGTGCAATACTTGGAAGCCCTTTACGATTACACTGCTGATGGTGATGATGAGTTATCTATACAAGCTGGCGATCGAATCATATTGGTAGAGGATGACACCGACGGTTCTGGCTGGACGGAAGGAGAGTTGAATGGGGAAAAGGGTATGTTTCCCACCAGTTACGTAAAAAGGATATAGATTATAGCTTTTTCATTAAAACACTTTTTATACACACACACAGAACTTAATGAGTCTCACCTGGGATTTCGAAAACAACTTGTTTTCCAGTCAACTTAGTGTATAATTGTTGGAATGAGTCCAATTTGTAGTCAATAGCAGTAGAGTCTTTTGAGTCCAACAAAACCTTTTGGATCTTGTTACCACCAACTAAGTATCTTACTCTCTTTCCGGTGATTTCAGTTGGGAAAACCAAGTCTTCCAACAATTTGTCGTGAACAGCAGTCAAGGTTCTTGATCTTGGTCTCTTTTGTTGTTTTCTGGCTTTTCTTGATGGCTTTGGTAAGATTCTTCTTTCAGCCAAAAAGACAACATGTCTGTCTGGGAATTTCTTTTCCAACTCTCTGGTCAATCTGGTTTGGATCTTTCTGTAAGCGTTCAATGATGGTGGTGGGACAAAGATAGCAAGAGCTTTCTTTCCTCCATTGACATCGATTTCTCTGACGGATTTGAATTGTAATGGACGTAAGTCAGCTTTCAAGTCGGTGGTGGATTCCAAATCAAGGAAAGCTTGAGCGACCTTCAAGTCGAGTGGGGATGGAGATTCAGCAAGGATCTTTGATGCCATGTTTTGGTTTGATGCTAATGATGGTTGATAAGGGGGGGTGTGCTCTTGAATAATTTGGGAATCTTTTCAGACTCTTTTTTTTTCTTCATCTTAGATGAATTTGTTCACGTGAGCTGAAAAAAAAATAGAATATACATTAGGGCGAAGCCCTAAATACAAAGGTGCACGTGACGACAAAGCAGAACCTAGGAGTAGGCAGTAGGGATGTAGTTTGGAAGAAGTAGAGAAACCAGAGGAGCTATACAGAAGTAGATATAGAGTAATAGCTAGATGATCGTTGAATGAGCCCTTAACTGGTGTGCAACTTCCTTACCACTACTAGTTGTGTGCACCCAAAATACCCAAACAAAGTCACCACCCACGTCCCCTACATGAGCCGCACGCAATATCCGAAATTAAAATGCTTCGTTTGCTTCAACGTCGATTCACCCACTCAATGTCTATCGAAACTGCTAAAAAATTGGCAGCATACAGAGCTGTCGATGAGAACTTACCACCCAAGGCCAAAGTAATTGGTATTGGTTCCGGATCTACTGTGGTTTACGTTGCTGAACGTATAGGGCAATTGTCCAACAAGGACGACTTTGTCTGTGTATCAACCGGATTCCAGTCAAAAGCGCTCATTGTTGATAATGGTTTACGTTTGGGCCAGATTGAACAATACCCATCCATTGATATTGCCTTTGATGGTGCTGATGAGGTTGACCCGCAATTGAACTTGATCAAAGGTGGGGGTGCATGTTTGTTTCAGGAAAAGTTGGTTGCCTCGGCAGCAAAGAAGTTAATTGTTGTTGCTGATTATAGAAAACAGTCAAAGAAGTTGGGCGAACATTGGCATCAAGGGGTCCCCATTGAAGTTGTACCTATTGCGTTTACCAAGTTAATCGGCGATATCACCAAGTTGGGGGCTAAAACAGTGAACTTGAGACAAGGAGGTAAAGCCAAGGCAGGACCTGTGATTACCGACAACAACAACTTCATCTTGGACGCCGATTTTGGCGAGATTGAGGATCCAAACAAGTTGCATCATGAATTGAAGCAATTGGTTGGTGTTGTTGAAACCGGTATCTTTTCCGGCATTACTCAAAAGGCATACTTTGGAGAAGAGTCGGGTGAGGTGACTACATGGCTGTTAGAGAGTAAGTAAGTAAGTAAGTAAAAAGTGTTTATTTCGAATGCGACGATATCCAATTAAGCGTTTCCACCAACCCGGTTCCGTCTATAGCCACTGTAGGTATGACAGACCACGTATGATTACCACTCAACTTATTCAATTCAAACTTTTCAATCAAGTCTTTTGGTTTGACGGCCCCATCGACATCTTGTTTGTTGGCCAACACCACTAGCAAACAGTTGTTCAATTCTTTGTCAGTTATTATCCTGTACAACTCCTGTTTTGACTCTTCCAACCGCGACTGATCGCTTGAATCCACGACATAGATCAACGCGTTGGTCCCAGTGAAATAATGTCTCCATAAAGGTCTGATTCTCTCTTGTCCACCACAATCCCACACTGCAAACGATACATTTTTGTGCTTGACTGTTTCTACGTTGAACCCTACTGTGGGCACAGTCTTGGAAGTCTTTCCAAGCTTCAACTTGTAAAGTATCGTTGTTTTTCCAGCATTGTCCAACCCAAGCATCAATATTCTCATTTCTCGGTTCTTGAAGAGTTTTGACTATGGAGAGGAGTTAGTACATGCGGAACATCGTTACACGTGGGAGTGTCTGCCGCTTATACATACGACTAAGGAACCCATCTTGAATGGTGCAAAATGCCTGCTTCAGTTCAAAAAGAAAAACGTGTTTCGTCTTCCTCAAATGTAACGTGGATACTATCAACTGATTTTTGACGACAAAAATGCGTCTCTTTTAGACGAGTAAACATTACACAAAAAAGAGGACGAGTCAGGGCGTTTCGGCTTATAAGGTAGTACGAGGTTATAAAAACAATTTGAGAGAGGCTGGAACATATGTATTATAGTTTGTCAGGTTCGCTCATAACGCTGCAGGCTAGTGTTATCCACAAAGAAAGAATACGAGATTTAGCGAAGCTGTAGGGTATGCGTACAGCTATGTTTTGGTTTTAGTCAGATTAATGGGTGGATCACGAGAGGTAATGTATGGGCTTGAGCGAAATATAGATAGAGGGATCTGTATCGATCTCATCGATTGGATGCGCTGAAACGTTTACACAGAAGTCCAGAAATGGCATATGGAGGATTTTCTAAAAATCACATGACAGGTAGCGCCAAACACGATCTTTTATCCGTCTTTTCTTGCTGCAAAAAAAGGGTGTTGGCAGATCCAGCTTCATGCTCAAGAGTTATACCTAGATACTAGTAATTTCTTATCATAGTGTAGTATAAGCTAGTCTGAATTTCGTACGGGGGTTCTCGTGGAGCTCCAGGGATAATCTCGAGTGGCAATTAAAATTATGCACATGCAATTTTTAACAAGTCACCTTGAGTCAATAAACCCAAGGATAACTCAGGATCGTAAGCAATCTTGCTACCTTGTTGGTCCTGATGATACAAGGTAGTAGTTTTATGGCCACCTTGAGAAGCTATTAAGACCCTAAGATTTCTGAGAAAAATAAGCGGAAATTTATAAAAAAGAAAAAAGAGAAAAACTCTATATACGGTCTCTCTGTAAGGCTTCTCTCGTTCCATCCATCCTTTGCCAAAGAATTAATTTCCCCAGGTTTACCCTTGTATCCTAAGTTGCCCCTTGTTAGGTATATAAACAATTTGTAATTCTTTATAGCCGAAAATGACCCTTCAACGGAGAAAAAAGAAAAAAAAATCCCCACAGTCTTTTGTTTTTCCTCGGTTGAAAAATAACCGCTAGACAATATCACACACCTACACACGCCGCTGATAAAGAAACAGAATCATTGCCCTTTTCTCCATTTTTCAGTGGCTAAAATTTAACATAAAAAAATTTCCAACCTCTTTACTTTCAACTTCTTCTTTTTATTTTAACCAACCGAACAACTTACAGTTTACAAACCAACAGTTATGTCACAATACAAGCAAAAGAACCCAGACGATGTTGTCATTGTTGCCGCTTATCGTACCGCTTTAACCAAAGGTGGAAGAGGTGGATTCAAAGACGTTGGATCCGACTACCTCTTGAAGGAGTTGGGAGAACAGTTTATCAAAAAGACTCACCTTGATCCAACCCTCGTTCAGGATATAGCCATCGGTAATGTGTTGCACGCAAGAGGTGGTGACTTTGAACATCGTGCTGCTTTAATGGCTGCTGGATTCCCACACACCACTCCTTTTGTTGCCATTAATAGATTTTGTTCTTCCGGTTTGATTGCTGTTTCGCAAGTAGCAAACAAGATCCGTACTGGTGAAATCGAGTGTGGTATTGGAGGTGGTGTTGAGTCTATGTCTAAAGACTATGGTCCAAATGCCATCACCAAGTACGACCCTGCATACGAGAACAATGAAGAGTTTAAAAAGAATCAAATTCCAATGGGTATCACTAATGAAAACGTTTGTGATAAATTTGGAATCTCAAGAGAAAAGCAAGATGAATTCGCCGCCAAGTCTTTTAACAAGGCTGAAAAGGCTCAAGCTGAAGGTAAATTCAAGGAGGAAATTCTTCCAATCGAATCTTGGATTGAAGATGATGAAGAAGAAGATGAGGATGGTGAACCAATTGAGAAGAAGGTTGTCATTTCAGAAGATGAGGGTATTAGAAAGGGAGTCACCCCTGAAAAGCTTGCCAAGATCAAGCCTGCATTCAAAAAAGATGGTTCTACATCTGCTGGTAACGCCTCTCAAGTTACCGATGGTGCTGCTTTGGTATTATTGATGAGACGTTCATTTGCTGAAAAGCACGGTTATCCAATTGTCGCCAAGTACCTTGGTTGTTGGGTTGCTGGTGTCCCACCGGAGATTATGGGAATTGGTCCTGCTGTTGCCATCCCAAAGGCTTTGCAAAAGACTGGTCTTAAAGTCGATGACATCTCCGTTTTCGAAATTAACGAGGCCTTTGCTGGTCAATGTTTGTACTCGATCCAATCAGTGGGAATCCCTGAGGAGAAAGTCAACTTGAATGGTGGTGCCATTGCTTTGGGTCACCCTATGGGGGCCACTGGTGCTAGACAATACGCTACTATCTTGCCATTGTTGAAGCCAGGTCAAATTGGATTGACTTCTATGTGTATTGGAACTGGTATGGGTGCCGCTTCCATCATTATTAGAGAATAAGTTATATAGCCGGTATATGAATTTGTGTTGTGATATTTTTTTTTTTTAAGATGATGATGATGATTAAATAAATTTACTCACATTCTATTTCACTTCTATTTCCTCTTTTTCCTATCAACTACCCTTTCCAAGCTCAACTTCACATCACCTTTAGCAAAATGGTCCAAGTTGTAGTACATTGGCGCAATCTCAACCAACCATTCTGGTTGCACAATGGTGACAGTCCTGATATAGTTTTTGCTCGTCAATACAAACTCATTGTAAATGACCCATTCGCCCGGCTGCGAAACCACTGTGCTTGGGTGGATCATGACATCCTGGTTATCTTTCACGGTGAGATATCCCTTTGATCCACCACTCCTCTTTTTGGCCACTTGCATAAAAAATCCACCAACAAGTGCCTTTTTAACATTTTGCCAATACTGACCTTCACTAATTTCACCATACTGTGACACAAGTTCCAAGTCGTATCTCTCCATCATTCGCAGCAATTGTGAGCGGACATTACGTGCTGATACCAACGACCGATAGCTGAGGAAATTGTCACGACACCATTTATGGGCTGCTTCAGATTGCGCAGCAAATGCTTCGTATACATTGATCAAGGTCAAGTGGTCGCCATCGGGCTGGGCAAACGATAGTTTAGCCTCATCAGCTAGTTGGCGTGCTGATTGCGGACGCACAAACACACTAGGAACACTCAACATGGCAACAATGGTTAAGATTTCCTCTGAACACTTGTAAGCCGGCGAGCCAATCAACATAACGGCAAGCATAGGATCAAGGGGGAAATTCGAAGCCAATCTCCCCAATGCAGTCAACTCACCTTCATCGGAAAGACACTGCAAATAGTTTAGCTCCTCCAATGCCCGCATCATCGTTTCTGGGGCCGGTGGGTCCATAAAGTCAAAATGGACCAAATCGTCAATACCCAATTTCTTCAACTCCAACACTGTCGATGACAAGTTTGACCGTAAAATTTCTGGATACGACTGTTCAATCAATTCCTTGTTGAATGCTTCCTCGGTGTACAATCTGAAACATTTACCTGGTCTGGTACGACCAGCTCTACCGGCTCTTTGTTGTGCGCTCGCTTTCGAGATTGGAGACACCAACAACGACTCAACACGCACTCTTGGATTATACACTTTTTGCTTGGAGAATCCCGGGTCAACGACATAGACAATACCATCAATGGTTAATGACGTTTCTGCTATATTGGTTGACACAACGACTTTTCTACCGGGACGACCGCCTTGTCCAATTGGAGCTGGTGCTGGCTCAAAAATACGCTGCTGCTGATTAGGAGGTAATGACCCATACAATGGATACACTTTTAACGGTCCGCAACCTTGTTCTCTAATCAACTCGTCACCTTCTAACTGAATCTTTCTGCAAGCTTCTTCAATCTCTTCCTCACCAGTGAGAAACAACAACACGTCACCTTCATCCTCAGTGGCATGGATCTGCAATACAGTACGTATAGCTGCATCCAAGTAATCACGTTGAAACTCGGGCGTGTAGTAAATCTCAACCGGATGTGTTCTACCAGCAACTGCCAACAATGGTGCATCATGGAAATAACTTTGAAACTTTTCGGCATCCAATGTGGCCGACATAATAATCAATTTCAAGTCGGGTCTTCTCAAACTGATTTGTTTCAACAATCCCATCAATATATCAGTAGCCAATGTTCTTTCGTGCGCTTCATCTAGGATGATGCACGAGTATCTACTCAAATTATGATCATCCATTGCTTCTCTCAACAACATACCATCTGTCATGTACTTTAATATCGTTTTTGAGCTCGTTTTATTTTCGAAACGTATACTATACCCAACTTCTTCACCGAGGTTAACATCCATCTCATCGGCGACACGCAGGGCAACCGACATGGCGGCAACTCTTCTTGGTTGTGTACATGCTACTTGCTTCCCTGTTAGGTGAGGCATCTCATCATAAAGAACAAACTGGGGTATCTGGGTCGTCTTTCCCGAACCGGTCTCACCAACAAACACCATAATCTGGGTCGAGTGGAAAATCCTGAGAAACTCTTGCCTCTGGGCATGCACCGGTAAATCACGACGCACTTTAAGGATCCTGAAATATGCATCGGAAAATTCGTCTCCTGTGAATGGATTAATGGGGCCATCTTCTAGTCTTTCGGCATCTTGAGCTGTTGTTTGGTGGCGCACGAGTCCTTTGAATTCGCCATTATCGTGGTGGATCAACTTTTCCTTCTCTTCGGCATGTGGATGATCATGAAGGGACTGTTCTGCCGCCTCTGCAACCTTCTCCGCCTGTGAATCGTCAATAACCACCTTTTGTCTTTTGAGGGATCTTTCAGTCATTGCAGAATTAGAACGTGAATAAGAGAGAGAAGTCAACTTTCAAAAGGCATCGCAAAAAATAAAAAAGTATCCATCTTTACATATGCACAAAAATAAAAACTTACATAGCTAAAACCCTAAACCTCCCCCTCCCCCTCCTTCTTATCTCTGCAAATGCAGATACCAATCATTCAACGCAACGCTAAGTACTTCCCTTGAAAACTCCTTGTTGGATTCCATAACCACACCACGTGTTTTGAACCACTCAGAAAGCGCTTGTTGCAATTTACCCTTATTCTTGACGCTCTTTTGACTACCCAATGTGATGAAATTGTAGTCAATGTAAAAATCATCAAACAAGTTGAGCACGACTTCAAACTCATCTCTAGTAAGCTCCAACTCTCCAATAAATGGGAGCATGGCAAACTGGTCCTGGTAGAATGAGGCAAAAAGCTCAACTTTCTCTCCTATGGCTTGCTTCAGTTCGTTCAAGTTGCAAAGAAAGCAGTAAATGCTAACCAAGAACAAGATACCCGACTTGTGGAGGGTTTCATGAATGGCTAATATGCGCCGATCCTGGAATGTCTTCTTGTGGTAGAAGTTGTTGCTGTTAACGAGGGACAACGCTGGAGCGATTTTGCGATTCGTGGTAGTTGATGAGCAAGTGATAGCGGGAGACGCAACGGAGATCAACAGGCGATTGACTGGTTGAACTGATTGATCTGAATTCATAGCGAAAAGATGTGGTGATAAAAACAGGGTGGGGATTTTCGTTTGTTGGTTATGCAGAATTTCATTGCAAAATTGGAGAGAGAGATAATAGTAGATGGTGTCTAAAGATTATTACAGGAGATAACGGCAGATGGTGACTACTGAAGATAATGACCACTTCTATGATACCATCACTTGGGCCACCTTGCTTGTTGCAACTCCCCCATCTTTCTAAGCAACTGGTAGCCTTTACCCCATTTTAGTAAATCTGAAACGAGAGAAATTTATCACCCACCAAATACCAGTACCATCCAACCACTCATCCAACGTACCACTCCAATTACATCATGGTTGACACAAGCCTAATTGCTATAGTGTTTGGAACATTATTCACTGGTGCTGCCAACTCACTCCTCACAAAATACCAAGACAATCAATGTGTCCACCACTGCAATAATGGCGATCAACCACCACCACAATATTTCAACCAACCAGGCATACAAACCCTCCAAATGTTTTTAGGAGAGTTGTCAATGTTTTTTGTATACATCGGATACAGATGGTACTACTCGACGTCTTATATTCAACTAGGTGACGGTCACGACGATCAAGACCACGAACCAACAACAGATAAAAGTGAAGGGATTATTGCCATTTTCAAGCATTGGAAATTGGCCATTCCAGCAATATGTGATTTAAGTTGTACGACATTGCTCAACATTGGACTCATTTACGTTCCTGTATCCATCTACCAAATGACGCGTGGGTCAGTTGTGTTGTTTGTTGCGGTGTTATCGGTCATCTTTCTCAAACGCAAAATATCCAAATTGCACTGGATCGCGCTATTTATCATTACTTTGGGTGTCGGAGTTGTTGGATTGAGTGGGTCGCAGCAAACAAATGAAACAGAGACAACAAGTCCGAATAATGCCGCTGGGTTGGTCATATTTGGAATAATATTGATTATCAGCGCTACTTCATTACAAGGTGTGCAATTTGTCGTTGAAGAACATATATTGGCCAAACAGCCAATTATTCCATTACAGTTGGTTTACATTGAGGGTTTTTTTGGTGCTACAACTATTATTACATTTATGGTGGTGCTTAATTTCATCTACAAGGCGATCCAATCACCCGAGGAGTTTGCCCAATCGCCATTCAATATTGTTGAGGCGTTTTCGCAAGTCTTCTCCAATAGAACCGTTTTTGTAACATCTTTACTTATTATGGCATCCATTGCCAGTTTTAACTTTTGCGGATTATCCATAACCCACCGTATCTCAGCCACTGCAAGGTCAACAGTAGACACTTGCAGGACTTTGATTGTGTGGTTATTTGCCGTAGTGGTGATGCAATGGGAACAATTCAAGTTTTTGCAAATGACAGGATTTGCTATCTTGGTGTTTGGCACATTGTGGTTTAATGGGGTTATTGAAGTTGAAAAATGGAGCTTCATTCCAAACTGGTTGAAAGATGATGATGCTGAAGAAGATGAGAGGACGCTGATTGATGAAGCCTTAGAGGAGAGACTCATTAGCTGAAAACAAAAAATTTATGAAGGTGATCTCTATGATAATATCAAAAGTTCTAGGCAAAGTTAACACATACCAGCCATCGGTCTCTGTGTCTCTCATCTCTGCACAAAATCAGAAAGTGCAAAAGAAAAAATGGAAAACTTTTCTCGGTATCCATTATTTTTGCAGTTTGTAATTAAACGGTTTTTCCTCCGTAACAATGCAACGGTTGTGCAAAAACACTTCTGGGTATGCATTCTGCAAGATTTGTGATCCAGTATATCTGCGTAATTCACTTTGCATAGTGATGGTTTTACCAGGTGGTGCTTCTAGACCTCTGTTGTGTTGTAGTTTAGACTATGCTTGAAGAAAACACAAAGCTTAAATAACTGCACCTAAAAAACCTCTCTTTTGGAAGAGTAGGAGAGTAATTACTTGCATGATCAGAGCATTTGATCAGAGCATTTGATCAGAGCATCAAAGTGTGTGATTGCAAGAGGCATGATTCTACAATGATCAACCTCTCTCGAATGATTCACCTACAGTATATGTTTACTACTTGAAAACAATTTTCTCTTGTTTGTAAATTCTCCTGTAAGCCAATTCTATTGTAGGCTTTCTAATTCTCATGTAAAACAATCTTCTTGCAAAAAGTTTTTTTTTTTTTTTTTTTTTGCCTCAAAATTAAGCAAAAAACTTTTAAACAGCAACAGCAACAACAACAACCTCGGCTTTGCTTTTTTTTTTCTATTTATTTTAACTACCTTACGATTTCTTTTACAAATGGTTTGAGGGATTAAAACGACTCATTTTTTCCACCTACATTGTCACACACAGCATATACTATCTCTAGTACATAGAAACGAAAAAAGTAGAACGATTTAATGATAACATCAGTTTACTTTTCCACATGGGTAAATATCGTTTGATTCGATAGCTTTTGCTATAACTCACACTCACTCATAAGCCTGTTCCACTGGTATTATTGTTTAGCTTTTCTTTATTTTATCCTTTTCCAAACTTGGCACAATTTGAAAACAAGGCTGGAATAATTAGACGATTTGGGAAATACCCACATTCTCCCTGTCTTGTCCACCTGTCTTGTCTGTCTATATCTTTGTGTAACAAATTACAAAAACGCCCAATGTTTTTTTATTTATTTATTATTTATTTATTTTATCCCAATTAGGACGGATGGCACTACTTTAGAAAAAGAAAAACAATTGAGTCACGTGAATAATACAATAAATGAATAGAAACACTTTAGTTTTGTGTTAGTACACGGTTTGAACAAAATTAAAACAAAATAAAAATGAATTTAACTTAAGCCAGCAAGACTTGCCCCACTTACACTACCTTTTTTCTCTCGACTCCTATAGTTAAGAAATCTCTGTCGTCAAAACACAAACACAAACACAAACACAAAAGAAAATAAATAAACATAAACAACTACACAAATACACTTGATGCAAAAATCTTTTCATAACCAACAACAAGCCTTGTCTTCTTCCGAAAGCAATTATTTAGACTTAGACTTAGACTTAACTTGTGTAAGTCTGACAATAAAACCAAAACAAATTCCTCCTTCTTATTATCTCCTTTCATTTCACCACTTTTTCTTTTTACTTAATTAATAAAAACTCCTTTGATTCCAACTACATTGTCATTCCTTTAACACCACCACTACTACTACTTTAAATAAAGTATCCACTAACCTTTAGTCATTCCTTATAACACTCAACTCGTCAAAGTTTTTGTTTTTTTTTATTCTTTCTCATTTCAAAAGTATCACCAATGAAGTTCTCAACTGCCACATTATTCGCAGTATTGTCCTCGATCTTATCAGTCGAGGCATCATCCTGTTCATACGACGGAGGAAATTACTACTGTTCAGAAACATCCAAAGTCGTCTACAAAGGTATTGGATTCTCGGGAAGTTACAAAGATGTCACCAATATGGATGAAGACAGTGGGTCCTGCTCGCAAGAATCGTACTCGTTTTCAGGAAACTTGAGTCCCCTTGATGAGGAATTATCAGTTCATTTCAGAGGTCCTTTGAAGTTGTTACAGTTTGGTGTCTACTATCCAAGCAATTCAAGTAGTAATTCCAAGAGAGAACTTGACGAAGAAGACTGCAACACCCAACATGTCCATCATAAACACAAGAGAGCCACTGAGATTGTTCAAGTTACCCAAACTGTTATGGTTGATAGTAATGGAAACACCGTCACTTCACAAACTACTGAAACCACCAACGCTGACAACGGACAAGACACTTCATCATCCTCGTCGTCTTCTGCTGCTGGTTCTGGTACTACGTCCATTACTAATTTAGCTGGTGAAGGAAAAGCTTATAGATCAATCTCAACTCTGTCTGCACCAACCACCACTTCATCCCAATCTTCATCTTCCGAAACTGCTTCCGCCGATGGTGCATGGGAAAGAGATACCTACTACACTCCAGGCAGTGCTGACAACTGTGTCTTTTTGAACTACTATGGTGGTTCAGGCTCTGGTGTTTGGTCATCCAAGTTTGGAAACTCATTGTCATATGCAAATTCTGACAATTCAGGTGCATCCTCAAGTGCTGTTGCTTTAGAAGAAGTCACCATTGGATCAGACAAGGAATTTGTTGTCATGTCAGGTCAAAAATGTTCAGGAGACTCTTGTGGTTACTACAGAGATGGAACCGTAGCCTATCATGGTTTCGGTGGCAGTGACAAGATTTTCATTTTTGAATTTGAAATGCCAAGCGATAGTTCATCATCTGGATACAATGCTGATATGCCTGCTGTTTGGTTATTGAATGCTAAAATCCCAAGAACTTTGCAATACGGTGACTCTTCATGTTCATGTTGGTCCACTGGTTGTGGTGAATTGGATTTGTTTGAAATCTTGTCTTCTGGTTCAGATAAATTGATTAGTCATTTGCATGATGGACAAGGTGCTTCATCATCAACCAACAATGGTGGTGGTGGATCACAAGATTACTTTGCTAGACCAACCAGTGGATCATTCAAAGCTGCTGTTATTTTCACCAGTGACGAGATCCATATTGTTCAAGTTGATGATTCAACAGACTTTGGTTCTAGTTTGGATGAAGATACTGTCAACTCATGGTTGCAACAATCAGGTTCATCAGCCACTATTGGTTACTAGATTAGACTAACCACACATACACAAACACAATGTTTGATTGCCTTTTGATTGCCTTTTGATTGCCTTTGATAAAAAAATTCGTTCTACATTTTGTATTTGTATTTGTATAGTAAATATTAAAAAAAAATCAGATACCCTCGTTCGCACTGAAAAAATTACTGTTCCCTTTCAACACTTTAAGAATATGGGACGCCATGTGGGTGTCGATATAGGCACGTCATCAATTCGAGTCACATATGATTCTCAAACCAATGAGCTACCCATTGTTACACATCGTGGGCGATTCATCACACAATCATCGGTATCCATCTACCACTCACTTTTGCAATTGTTACCATCACACTATAACTCCATTGCTATATCAGCAACATGCTCCACTGTCGTAACGAAAAAGATAAATAACCATCATCTAGAACCGTTCAATATTGAAGGTAATGAATCAGATATCTTGCTTTGGATGGATCATTCAGCACAACAAGAGACTGAATTTCTCAACAACTCGTCTGCAACAAGGATTAGCCAAGCACGACGTCAACTAGGTGGCAAATTCGTTGCTGAATTAGGCCTTCCCAAATTGAAAATGATTCAGAACGTATTTGGAGACAACGATTTAGTCTGTTTTGAATTGTATGATTGGATTAGTTACTTATTAAAGTTTGGCCCATCAGATGGAAGAGTAGAGTATCATCCACTTGTGGAAGACAACACCACCCTACATGCAATCGATGGTTCAATTAAAGGCTGGTCAAAGGAATTACTTGATGAGGCTGGGATCATTATCGAAATTGGTGGATTGGGTGTGCTGGGAAAAATTGTACCTCGATTAGGTGAACCGGTGGGCACTGTGCATGGCACCCGGGCTGTCATTGGTCATGGATGCATTGACTGCTACGCCGGCTGGCTCAATTCATACTCATCTTTTCAAAGTGGTGATGAAACTGATGCAAAATCGTGTTTCATGGTTGCGGGAACTTCCACATGCTTCATCTACCGTGGCCAACAACAAAAGAAAAACTATTCTGGAGTCTGGGGGCCTTACCAACTTGCTAAAGATAACGAATGGTTATATGAATTTGGCCAACCGGCAACGGGTAAGCTATACGAGCGCTTGTTTGAAAAACACGGCAAAAAGGACTACGTCGCCACAACTTTCAAACAACTCGAGACGGGAATGGAAACTTACATAAGCCAGAATGGCAAGGGAATACACGAGCTATTAAAAGGATACTTTTACTATGGGGATGTGTATGGTAATAGAACCCCGTATCAAGATGGTAACATGGCAGAAATGATTATAGACAATCCCAATGGACCATTTGGCCCAATTATTAGCACCACGACCCATGCATCTCTACTTGCAGAGTATATCCTCATTATGGAGTTTCTTGCTTTCCAAACGAGGGAACTTATTGAACCTTTGGGAATAGAGTCGTTAACTATTTCTGGCTCGCAATCAAAAAATAAACGGTTTCTTCACCTTCTTGCTGATGTGTGTAATGTATCCGTCAAGGTGGCGAGTGCAGCAGATGGATGTCAAGGAGCTGCCAAAATGGGTCACATTGCTGAACTATGTCAACAAGGTTACAACTATGACGACGCTTTGGACGAGGTGACAAAGGACAATTCGTCAATAAAGTTGGTTCTTCCTGACACCGGGGACTCCAATTATTCTGTTTCTGCAAACGAACTGTCGTTGCTCGGTGTCAAGTATGAAATTTACCTAGATATGGCCGACAGACAAAGACAATACAGGGACATGATAGGCTGACGGGCTGATGAGCTCTACCTGATTGCATGATTTAAATCACCATGTAGCATATCATTTTGTAAGTTTTCACCTCTAGAATTACACTTCCTTATCTCAGCCGTATTGCCATGCATTAAATTGTAACAACGATTCTCTTCTTGTCCCCGAGTTTCCCCACTGGGTGAATCCAACCCGAGCAAAAGAAAAAGCAAAAGAAAAAGCAAAATAAAAATAAAAATAAAAATAAGAATTAAATAAAAATAAATTTAAATTAAATTAATTATTTTGGGTTGCAAAAAATGAGATTGTGTGTTTGGGGATGTAGTAGTGGTAGTGGTTCTAGTGGGGGGAGGGGGGGGGGCGGGGCGCAGTAAAAGTTATTTGGACCTAGGACGAGCGACCTGGAGGACCCTTTGCCGAGCAAAAATATTTTACAAGACACAAACTTACGTCATCAGGGAGTTTAGTAGGAATATACAACAACAAAAGCCATTAGTGAGTATTACAATATCGTATACGGTTACGCTCACACGCTCTCCCCCTTGCATTGTATTTGTTCAACGTTTTTGGTTGGACAAGCAAAAAAACAAAAAGAGAAACTACGCAAAGACAAAATTAATTAAACCAAACAAAACAAAGAAAGAAAGAGAAAAAATAAAAAAGAATCTTGGTTTACGACTTGTACACAATTATCACCCATATCAACGTATGGTTTTCGTCAAAGCCATCGCTTCAACACATCTAGCTAATCTGAAGCTATGAGCAAAAGTCCACCTGCATCCAATGAGGACATACACCCCATGTCGACTACAAACACCATTCACCACCAAAAAGATAGGTTAGACCGTTTAGACCCCAAATCACGGCTTTCCGACTTCTTTCGCAGTGAGGGGAACTTGGAAGTGATGCTGCTGATGCTGGCGACTCTGCCAAATACTTCCTCCAAACAGGCAGTAACTAAGCTAACTAACAAACACACAACAAAGAGTAATACGACAAACAAGAAGAAGCGGACGACAACATCACGAGCATGCGACGCCTGCGCCATAAGAAAAGTCCGATGTGGACCCACAACGCCATGTTCGCATTGCGTAACTAATGGATTGACCTGTACGAGAAACAGAGAACGCAAAAAATCCGGCCCCAAGACGTTGACGAGGAAAACACTTGATTCGATTAACAATTTAAGCGAAGTGATTGAACTCAATACAAGCAAAAACAACTGGACGAGACCAGAATTGTCGTCCAAAAACTCATCAAATACCGTGTATTCGAAAAGCCCTAGTGTGATTGAAGAGGAGTCGGAATCATCGCACCATCCATCGACACCATCAGTCAGTAATAGATCATCTGTTGCACACTCGGTGACTCCGATACCACCACAACTGGCAGGGTTTGGTGTGGTTAGTGGCTATGATCAGCTGAGTCAAGGACCAGGACCGGGACCAGGACCAGGACCAGGACCAGGACCAGCACCACCCCTAACACAAATGGAGCCAAATCAGTACCCAGAGGTTTCAAATCAGCTACTAGCGGCACAAGGTAAGATGCCAGCGATGCTTGGTCAGTTGCCAGCAGCAAACCAGCTACAGGCAGCCCAAAATCAATTACAATCCCTGGCAAACCAACTTCAAGTTCTGGCTACCAACAATGATGCACAAACCACGTCAGAGGAATACTTGGTAACCCCATTCCACTTGATTGAGAATTTGAATTTGATCGGTGAAGAGCCTTCAATACTGGAATTGCTTGCACCATTGACGGTGCAATCCGTCTTGGCCAATTACACGAAATTGGTGGCGTTTCTAAGCACCAATTATCCCAACATAATCAACAACGATGGGATAAATACCCACTTCACTGAGATAAACTTGATTGACCATCATGATGATTCGTTGTACTTGTCGACCTTACTTATTATCCTCACATTGAATCAAACAATTGCCGAAATCCTCATTAAGTTGAAGAAGCAAAAATTTAAAAAGTTTGTCAGATATCCTAAAAAATATCTTGCATTCCGGCCCTTTAAAACGTTCAAGAACCTATGCCACTTTAAAGTATTGGAAATATTTTCCCTTATTGAAAAGAATTTTATTGTGCCACCGTTGATACCGAGAAACCGAGCCAATGGTAATGGAAGTCAAAATCTTTTTGCCCATTTGAATCAATACCAAATATACTATAACTTATCATTGTCCAATATGCAATTATGCAACTACAACCACATTTTGAATTTGACAAACACCCTCAACACGGCCTCGGGTTTCTACAACTCATACGGAAATGAAGCACAGGAGCACCAAAAGATTTTATACCTTAGTCGAGCCATCTCGACGTTCCAGTTAATCAATGTCAAACAAAATGATTCTTTGGTGCCGATTCGGGAACTATACGAGTTAATCTATTCCTTTGAACGGTACTATATCCTATTCAGCTCGTACAATTATGATGTCAATGTATTTAGAAACAACGACATCTTGTTGCATATGAGAAGTGAAAAGTATCATGGTCAGGGTTATCCTTACGATTTAATGCATATCGTCGACGACCTGGGATTGATGGGTCCTCTCTGCCGCAATGCTGGGTTCAATATGATGTTGGAGTATGATAAGCCGCAGCCTGGATATTTTGAGTTAAAGGGAAGGATTGACGCATTAAGGTGCACTGATCACATGTGGTGTATCCTTAGGGAGATTTTGTTGTTCAAGATTATGCTTGTACGACCATTGAATTTTGATCAAGGCAAGATGGAAATTGTCAGGATTATAGACGCCATCAGTAGCAGTTTAGAAGCAGCTGACTCGGATATTTTCAAAGTCAAGGTGTCCAATTACCAAATCTTACAACCGTTGTTGCATATTTTGAAAATATTTCTCGAGATAAAACAAGTTGAGGTTCGGTGGGGGAAGCCAGTCAACATGCAAGACCAGGAGTTGTTGGTCAGATATACCGAACTTTTAATTACGCATTTGCCATTTTTCAACAACATTAACAAGTTGATCAGGGCACACAAGATACTTAACAATTGGTTCTTGATGTTGAGTGAGGTAAAGAAGGAAGACACAACTAATGAGGAACATTCACAGTCACAGTCACAGTTGCAACCCCAGCAGCCACCACCACCACCACTACCACAACACACTCCGTACCAACAACCAGTACCACTTACTCCACACAATATTGAATTACCTTTGCATACAGGAATTACACCACAGGTGCAAGCTCCATTTGCCAATTTCCCCCATCTTCAGCCACAACAACGAATTGCTTCTCAAATCGATGTAAATGAGTTGATGAGGGATTTCACCGTGTCGAGGTTGGATGAGAACGATTTTGATGTGAATAACCCCACACCAGCAATACAATACAGGGCTGACGACGACGAAGAAGAAGATGACGACGAGCAAGGCTTTTTCAGTATCGTGCCAAAGAATGAACACGGTCATGAGTTTGTCAACAACCCCAACCCTGACAATCATCAAGCTTCAACTGCCGATTTCTTATCCAATGCGCCACCGACACCGCAGTTTACTTTCCCCAACAATGTCAATTCAAACAATCTACATATGAGCGCCAGCACAAGGAGTTTTTTGTCCTTGCTTAATGCTACAAATTATGCCGAAGACAATCAAGTTGAGAGCAACAATCAGGGATCTGGTAATTCCGACAAGGGCAGTCTAATGGGTTCTAGTTTTTTCAATTTGAGTAATTTACGGTAATGTGGAAGGGGGGAAGCTTGGTGGCGAAAAGCGTCTTGCTGTGTTTATATAGAACAAAAGCTTCATCTACGTTAAACCCTAAATTGCTTCAGTAGTATATATATATATATATATATATACCTTGACATCAATTTGTAGACATTTCTATTGTGCGTCGATGACAATTTCAAAGTCAACGAAAAAATAAAAAAAAAGAAAAAGAAAAAGGAAAAAAAATACACAGTAGAATCTCAACAACAACCACTATAGAATCTAACTTGCCACCACCTCCCTTTTTGTTATCGATTCCCCCACCCCATCTACTAATATTTAGCTTTTTTACCCCATTGACCGCTTCAAGAAGAATTACTCTTTGCATTTTTTTTACATCTAACATACAATGGATTTAGACACGGATGTACCAATGGAGGACGTTGAAGAACAACAACAAAACTACAATAACAACGAATCCACTTCAACCAAACCTGCAACCAAATCCACAATCAAGGAAACATCTACCACAGATAACGAAGCTAAAGAGAAAGCGCCACCTCTAGATGCCCTGTCAATCAACCAATTAGACGCATGGATTGAAAAGCTATCCAAATGTGAACCGCTTTCGGAGGCCGACGTCAAGAAGTTGTGCAACATGGCTATTGATGTATTGCTACGCGAAGAAAATGTTCAGCCAGTGCATGTGCCCGTCACGATCTGTGGTGATGTTCATGGTCAATTCCACGATTTGATGGAGTTGTTCAAAATCGGTGGACCTTGTCCCGACACCAATTATTTGTTTATGGGTGACTATGTCGATCGTGGTTACTACTCAGTTGAAACTGTATCATATTTGGTTTGTATGAAGGTGAGGTTCCCCAACAGAATCACGATCCTAAGAGGAAACCATGAGTCGAGACAAATTACTCAAGTTTATGGGTTTTACGATGAATGTTTACGAAAATATGGCTCAGCAACCGTTTGGAAAGTGTTTACCGACTTGTTTGACTACTTCCCCATCACAGCATTAGTTGACAACAAAGTATTTTGCTTACACGGTGGGTTATCACCCATGATTGAGACCATTGACCAAGTCAGAGAGTTGAATAGAATTCAAGAAGTGCCACACGAAGGACCAATGTGCGATTTGTTATGGTCCGATCCTGATGATAGAGGCGGCTGGGGTATTAGTCCTAGAGGTGCTGGATTCACTTTTGGTCAAGATATTTCGGAGCAATTCAACCACACCAATGACTTGAGCTTGATAGCTAGAGCGCATCAGTTGGTCATGGAGGGGTTCAGCTGGAGCCACCAGGAAAATGTTGTTACCATCTTTTCCGCTCCCAATTATTGTTATAGGTGTGGTAACCAAGCGGCAATAATGGAGGTTGATGAACAACACAACAGACAATTTTTGCAATACGATCCTTCGGTAAGGCCAGGCGAACCCACAGTTACAAGGAAAACTCCTGACTATTTCTTGTAGAAGGGAGATTGGGCAGTATGAGCACTGCTTTGTATAAGTTTTTCACTTTATTCTTTTTTATAATCTGTATTAAAGGGCCCTTTTTCTTTTTTGATTATGATTTTTGTAGTAAAGATTGTCATTGTCGCGACACAGTGCATGCGACATCTAATAGCCAACCAGAGGCTGAAGAAAATTAAACCGTAAGCAGACAAAAAAAATTATAAAAAAAAATATTCAATGAAAGCTTAGACCTTCACAGAGTAAGCCATGTTGAGAGCACAAGTTAGAACATTACCTAGATTTGCTGCTCCTTGCAGGTCGTTGTACACCTCAGTGTTGGATTCAGATCTCAATATTACTAAAAATGGAAAGGTGAATATGTCAGTTGGACCAGGAGGCCGTTCATCAAGGACAGGATACACAGCAACCGTGTTTGGTGCAAGTGGGTTCTTAGGACGTTACCTTGTATCAAAACTTGCCAGACATGGTACTACCACAATTGTTCCCTACAGAGATGATTTGAAAAAGAGATTTTTAAAAGTTGCTGGTGACTTGGGAGTGGTCAATTTTGTTGAAATCGATGCTCGTAATTTGCAAAGTATACAAGACTCAGTTGCTCATTCGGACATTGTTATCAACTGTATCGGTGCCGATTACAACACCAAGAATTTCTCAATGGCCGACGTCAATATTGCCTTGGCTGAAAGAATCGCCCAAGCTACGAAAGATGCGGGTGTTCCAAGATATATACACGTCAGTTCCTACAATGCTGATCCAAAGTCGGAATCAGTGTTTTACGCCACCAAAGGTGTGGGTGAACAAGTCGTGAGAGACATTATCCCCGATTCGACCATTGTCAGACCATCACAAATGTTTGGAAGAGAAGACAACTTGTTGAACTACTTGGGTCCAAAGATTAAAATGTGGACTCCAAACAAGAACCAAAAACAAATTTACCCAGTTCATGTACTTGATGTAGCTAGAGCTTTGGAAAAGATTGCATACGACGATTCCACTGCTGGCCAATTGTACGAATTGTACGGCCCAGAAAAGTTGTCATACCTAGATATCAGACAAATGATTCATGGAATAACTGAAAACTATGCCCAAGCTGGACCCATCAGTTACAACTTTTACGACTATGACTTGCCATTGCCAGTTGCCAAGTTGATTGCACAAGTACTGCAGTTGGTATGGTGGAAATTGTCAAACCCAGACCAAATGCAAAGACACGTTATAGATCAACATATAGACCCGGTTGCTAAAACTTTTGCTGACTTGGGCTTGCACGATCAAACCAAATTGGCTGATGTGTTGTTTAGTTATGTGAAACAATGGAGACATCCATTGATTGCGCAAAAGGGTGGTCCTAATCATAAGAAGTTGGATGAATTGAGAACCATCCAACATTTTACTGATTAAATAGGATGTTGTATTAAATCATTACATATATTCATTATTTAATCTCGTAGATACCCGAAGTAGATAAGAGAATTGCGAGAGGGTATTTTTTTCTCTTTCTCGTTTTTCCCTCTTGTGCTTTTTCTCTTTCATCTTCACCCCACTAAAGATCAAAGTTCACCTCTATACTACATATACCAAATGTATCAACTACCACCGATTGACGAGTTTAAAGCACAGTTACCAGAGGAGCAGAAAGTGGTGATTGACCACCTCTTTGAACCCTGTGACTCTCTCAACTGGTTTATACAAAACTTTGTCATTGGCAAACAATTCTCCAGCTACCCCGAGTTTATCAATTTGGTCCGTACCGAACTCGAGGTACTTGTCAACCGCGATGGCTTCTTTGCCGCAAGAAATGGATACGAGGCCAACACTTTGATCAATAATATAATATCGGCGCATCCAAGATTGGGTGCTCCAAAGACAACGAAATTGAGCCAACACTCAGCAGAGGAACAAAAGAAACTCGGTAGTGAAGAAATGCAAAAGAGACTAGCTGAACTTAATGAGAGATATGAGAAGACGTTTCCTGGATTGAGGTATGTTGTATTTGTCAATGGTAGAAGCCGAGATGAAATAATTGTCAATATGGAAGAAAGGATTAGGCGCAATGACATTGCGTTGGAGAGAAGCGAAGCTTTCCAAGCCATGTGTGACATTGCTTTAGATAGAGCAGCCAAGTTAGATGTCAAGTTGTAGTGGTGTGTAGTGAGTTTGTATATGAGTGTTGAAAAATAAAATGTATGGCTCTAAATTTCGGTTAGCGAACGACCTTTTCTCAATTTTTTGTTGAAACCAAAAATTGCGTAAAATATCTGAGATAACATATTTAAAGCAAACTTTAAAGCAAACGCCATTAAGAAATCCAATCAAAAACAAAACAACAATGGTATGTTGAACATATCAAAGCAGAAATCAATTGATCTATGGCTTACTAACTCTCTCATATCTAGGCTGGTGTTTTAGAAAATGCAAGGAAAGAAATCAAGCGTCTTTCTTTAGATGACCACAAAGAGACTCACTATGGACAAATATTTTCTGTATCAGGACCAGTTGTGGTTGCTGAGAATATGGTGGGGTGTGCGATGTACGAGTTGGTCAAAGTTGGACACGACAACTTGGTCGGAGAGGTTATCAGAATAAATGGAGATAAAGCAACGATTCAAGTTTATGAAGAGACTGCCGGTGTCACTGTTGGTGACCCTGTGTTGAGAACCGGGGCGCCATTATGTGCTGAATTGGGCCCTGGTTTGTTAAACACCATTTATGATGGTATTCAAAGACCTTTGAGATCCATTAAGGAGAAGACCAACTCGATTTATATCCCACGTGGTGTTGATGTGCCATCGTTGTCAAGAACTGCTGAATATGACTTCAAACCGGGTCAATTGAAAGTCGGCGACCACATCACTGGTGGTGACATTTTTGGGTCCATTTATGAAAACTCATTGTTGGATGACCACAAGATCTTACTTCCACCAAGAGCCAGAGGTACTATCACGTCCATCGCTGAGCCTGGTTCTTACAATGTCGAAGACGCTGTTTTGGAATTGGAGTTTGATGGAAAGAAACATAAATACTCCATGATGCATTCTTGGCCTGTGAGAGTTCCAAGACCTGTTGCTGAAAAGTTGACTGCTGATTACCCATTGTTGACCGGACAGAGAGTCTTAGATTCGTTGTTTCCATGTGTCCAAGGTGGTACTACATGTATTCCTGGTGCTTTTGGTTGTGGAAAGACTGTTATTTCCCAATCGTTGTCAAAGTATTCCAACTCGGACGTTATTATCTACGTTGGTTGTTTCTCAAAAGGTACTCAAGTTATGATGAGCGATGGTCAAGATAAATCAATTGAAGATATTCAAGTTGGTGAACTCGTTATGGGTAAAGACGGGTTGCCTAGATCTGTCGTTGGATTGCCAAGAGGTTACGATACCATGTACGATGTTAAGCACATCAGCGGAGATAGACATGGTGCCGAAGCTCATGGTATGATGGATTTCACCGTTTCTTCTGACCACAAGTTAGTATTGCGTACCAAGCAAAATGTGCTTGTTACAACTCGCAACTATGGTGGTAAGACTTACGCTGCAGTCAATTATTTTGTGTTGGAGGATTCGAAATATGGTGTGCAGATGGTCAGAGTGAAAACCAAGGTTTATGGGTACCACGTGCATGGAGGGCAAGCCGGTGCTGAAGAGAAAGCACGCCTCTTTGCTGCGGGACTTGATCTTAGCGAATACATTGAGTGGACTATTGAAGCTAAAGACTATGCAAAGGTAGGCGCGAATGTTAAAAGTAATACCACGCAAATGATAAACCCAGTTTGGTTGGAAACAGGGACACTTGGAAAGTGGTTGGAAAATAGAGGTCTGAACAAAGCCTTGGCCCCGACTTTAGCCTATTTGCTTGGTTTATGGGTTGGTGATGGTTATATGGAACACGCTGCGTTCTCTTTTGATCCAAAGGACACCGGATTAGTTGAAAGAGTCGAGCGCAACGTTGATTTGCTTGGATTATCTATGACTTCCAACGAGTACCATCATAAATGCGATAATCTTTCAAGTGACGGTGTTTCAAATGATGACAATGTCGCTGAAACAGATTTTGATGCAACCAACTACGAGAAATTTATTGGCGAGCAAGTGGCTATTGCAAGAGCCCAAAATGCTGAAGTCGATTTAGAAAGTGATGCTGATACTGATCTCTCTGAAATCTTCGAGGACGAGATCGAAACATCAGACTCTGTCATGACTTATGAATCAGATTTGTCAGTAACTTCATGGGATCAACGAGGCGATTTGACCGTTACTCTCCACGGAAAAGGAGTCCATTTGAACGGAATTAGAAAGCACAATAATTCTAACAACGTCGTCTGGGATGCCATCGAGTATTTTGGAGCGAGACAGAAGACCCAGAATGGCTTTGAAAAAACCGTCCCCAATCACTTGGCCTTTGACGACATTGGTGTTAGAGAATTCTTCTTGGCTGGTTTGATTGATTCTGATGGTTACGTGAAGGAAAATTCCGACGGTTCGAAGAATGCTACGATCTCAACAATTCATAAATCCGTTTGCTATGGTGTTCTCAAAGTTGCGCGCTCTTTGGGAATTAAGGTATCAATTAGCACCGAGGATGCCAAAGTTGATCTGGCTGGAGTCAATCATCAGTTTGTGTACCGAGTTTTCTTGAATGGTCCAGCTTTAACTGGAGTTCTCGCAAAATGTGCTCTTGAGAGAAAGAAGTCAGCGGAAACAGATTTTGAAAGAGGGCCAGTTTCGTTCCATTTCGATTTGGTCCCTTGTGGAAAGCAAGACTATTATGGTATCACTTTGGACGAATCCTCCGATCATCAATTCCTTCTTTCCAACATGGCCTTAGTGCACAATTGCGGTGAAAGAGGAAATGAAATGGCCGAAGTTTTGATGGAGTTTCCAGAATTGTTTACTGAAATTGACGGAAGAAAGGAGCCAATTATGAAACGTACTACTTTGGTTGCCAACACTTCAAATATGCCTGTTGCTGCAAGAGAGGCATCCATCTACACTGGTATCACTTTGGCCGAATACTTCAGAGATCAAGGAAAGAATGTCTCCATGATTGCTGACTCTTCATCACGTTGGGCAGAGGCCTTGAGAGAAATTTCTGGTAGATTGGGTGAAATGCCTGCCGATCAAGGTTTCCCTGCCTACTTGGGTGCCAAGTTGGCATCTTTCTACGAGAGAGCAGGTAAGGCTACTGCATTGGGTGCACCGGATAGAACTGGGTCCGTTTCAATTGTGGCTGCTGTTTCACCTGCCGGTGGTGATTTCTCCGATCCAGTCACTACTTCAACTTTGGGTATCACTCAAGTGTTTTGGGGTTTGGACAAGAAGTTGGCACAAAGAAAACATTTCCCATCGATAAATACCGCCGTTTCGTATTCCAAGTACACCAATGTCTTGAACACCTACTATGACAAGAATTACCCTGAATTCCCCCAATTGAGAAACAAGATTAAGGAAATTTTATCCAATGCTGAAGAATTGGAGCAAGTTGTTCAATTGGTTGGTAAATCAGCATTGAGTGATTCGGACAAGATTACGTTGGATGTTGCTGCTTTGATCAAGGAAGATTTCTTGCAACAAAATGGTTATTCGACCTATGATGCATTCTGCCCAATTTGGAAAACGTTTGATATGATGAAAGCATTCATAGCCTACTATGATGAAGCACAAAAGGCTGTTGCTAATGGTGCCCAATGGTCTAAATTGGCAGAAACTACCAGTGATGTCAAGCACTCTGTCTCATCAGCCAAGTTCTTTGAACCAAGCAGAGGTGAAGAAGAAGGTGACAAGGAGTTTGGCGAGTTGTTGACCAACATCTCAGAGAAGTTTGCTGATGCAGCAGAGTAAAAGAATTTAATTAGGTTATATTGCAGAAAAAAAGTAAAAGAGAATAAACGTTTTCAACTCAAATTTAAACAGTAGTCAAATGAGTCGTTAAAGAATGTCCAAATTCCGTCAAAACAAGATGTTAAGAAGTTGTCCAGCCCATCAACCAAATCACGAACCTCTTCATCAAACAGGTTTACAATTGCTGCTCTTCTTTCAGTCTCTTCGCCGAGGTTCGAGTCGTCAACCGGTTTACTGTAGTTTAACACAAACTCGTTGATGGGGATACCTCTTGGGGTGTAAACAGGGTGTGGCGAGGACTCCCCGGCTTCTCTAGTGATGATGACAGTATTTGGCAATGATTCGCTCTTCTCCTCCTCCTCCTCCCTTTGTTGTTGCATTTCCAAATCGTGCACCACAGGCCTGGGTTTAAACCAGGAGGCAACACTCTCAAGGAATGATTTTGGTACAACTCCATAATCATCTCGTTGAAAAGGGTGCATATTGTTCATAATCACATCATTATTCTGCTGAGACTCAGTTGGCCTGAATCTATCATAACGGTGTCCCACATATTCATCAAAAATATCACGACCAAATAGAGAAGTTGTTCCTCGGGGTCTAATACTAGCTCGTTGTGGGCAATATAAATCAGCATCATAGGGTGGATCGTGTGGTGATACAAGTGAGGGAACTTCAGGGGTTAATGAAGTGGAAAGTGGATCCGAATGAGTTGGCGAAGGGATCTCAAATGAGCTCGATGTAGTAATTGGTAGAACTTGGATAGTGGAAGCGATATTGGTGCTGCTTGATTGGATATATTTGTAATGGTTTGCTATATGGACTTGAAGTTGGTGCGTGGGACTCGAAATCGGTGAGGTGGTATTGTATGTACGATTAGGTAGTGGGGGTTCCTCGTGTGGGTGATGTACTGGTTCTATTAGCATGGTACGTAATTGTTAGAAGAGAAAGTGTGCAGAAGAGAACTTGTAATGCTATTTGACTGCAAAAACAATTTGTCAAATTTGCAACAAATTGGAACCAAGTTACACACCAAAAGTTGGAAATGCAGATAGGACCTGTAAACTGAAGAGGAAAGCAAGCAAAGCTCTATAAGGTAATGACCTAGGTAATAGAGAACTTGAAGAGTTTAGACTGTCACAGATAGCTAAGAGTATTTCGAAATTTGCTTCGATCTGAGTACTGTCTTCAAATGCATATAGAACAGAACCTTTTAAAACCATTACATCGCTATAGGGCGTATTTTCCTTACTCGAAGGGAAGTCTTCTTCCTCTCAGTGCCGAAGAGAGAGGTTGAACGATAAAAAAAGACCTTTGGGTGTGTCCCTCTGCTTTTAAATTTAATAGTCAAATTTTTATCCCTTTTTTGTTTGAGAATATATTTTTAATAACCTTTAATAACAGTTCTCAAAATGACGTGATTTTGACATTTGCTGTTGATTCAAAGAAGAGAATTATAAAATAAAATTCAACAAGACTTTTTAAAACATTTAAACCCCTCCTTTTCCCTTCTACTTCCTTCTTCTAAAATATTATGTACGTTTTGTATAGTAAGATGCGTCACAATGTGTAAGTGATCATTTGATTTAAATCAAATGGTTGCGCAATCAATTCCTCAATTCATCTTCAACATATACCAAGTGATAATCTGGTGAGGCTTTTCCTTGTTAAAGAAAAGATATCTATCATCTCATCAGGAGTCATTGTGTTAGTGAGACATCTTTCATCTTTCAGCCTCCTTTATCGCGAAGCAGGAGATGAGTCAATGTCAGATATTTGTTGATGCAAAATAGAAGACTTTTCTTAGCCCATAGAGACAGGGATTGCGTATTGTGATATTAGTGATATGTCGAATATCGCTGCCATTTCTTTTTCGTAAATTGAGTAATTTATCTTGGACCTTAAACATACGTTAAATTACATTGTTCCGTAAAACTCATGAACTTGTAAAAATCACTATAGAGGTAACTCCCAAATCTCTTTGCAAATCAAAACGACGTCTATCACAGCAACGCTCCTGCTTATCTTACAAAGATGTCACCTCGATTCTACTCTTCCAATCCATAAACATTAGATACTACTTACAAATAAATACCAATTTCTATACAATCTTTTCTAATCAACATCAATTTTTCCTTCATCCTTTAATTTTTTGTACTTTTTCAACAATTTTCGATTCAATTTTCTTCTACTTCCCTTAGCTCCACTACCATCTGATGCATCCTCGCTATTATCACCACCTTGTGAATCATTTGTTTGATTCTTGCCAAAAAAAGATTTCGAGTCGCCCATTAACTTGTCAAACTCTTGCAACTCCTTCAAGATCAGATCTTGTTCCCGTTTAGCCCGTTCACGCTCAGCAATCAATTCTTGCTCCCATTTCTTGAACCCTAAGGGATTATCAACTTGGTAAGGAGGTACAAATGCCATGTTATCTTCGGGTATCACATCCCATAGAAATTGATCTTTAATTTTATTCATGGCCGGGTTGAGTGTTTTCAAACCGGATAAGGATTTTTTCAAAGGGTGTTCCAAGATTGGGTATATTTCATTATGATCCGGCTCCATATGAGCACTGATCTCCTTACCTAAATGAATCAAACTGCGGTCATCATGTTCACCAGCAATAAAATTCTTGATTTTTTTATCTAAATCTTTGGTCTTTTCTGGACGCACATGACGCTTTGGTGGTTGGGGTGGTTTGATAAACTCGCGAGGAATAATGAGGTCTATCCCCTTGGGTTCATTTATTCGGTCAAGAATGTGTTTTTGTCCAAGTGACTCATAGATCGATTCAAATGATTGGTCCTGAAGATGTTTTGGCATCTGGGGCAAAGCTGAAGTGGGGAGATATTGTGGCGGTTGCGCAGTAGATGCCAAAACAGCAGCTGAAGTGGACGCTGATGGGTTTGTCTCTGTTTCTGATGTAGTGGTTTCCTTTAATCTTCCGAATATCTTTCGTTCTTCTTTTGATTTAGTCTTTGGTTTATCGTACAATTTCTTATTGCTGACGGGCTTTGTCGTGTGAGATAGACATCGTATCGATGGACCTGAGACTCGATTTGGCTGCGATAACAGTCTTAAACATGTCCTTGTTGTTAGCATCTTGGAAACTTCTCTAATACCAGTGTTGTGTAAAAAGGCGTGGTGCATACACTGGTCACCAAAAATTATAATGTGTCTCTCTTCGCTCCAACGCCAACTGGAGAGAATTGATAAAACAGACACGACTTCTAGTGTCATTAATTGAATGTCACAATATTGTATCAAACGACAAAATTAGTAATGCCACAGTTTTACTCGAATAGATTTATATGCAGGAGTTAACATTTTGTGTTTTCGTTGAAAATTTTTAGGTACTCGTGGGGTGCCCCTCCAATCAACGCAAAGTTTGGACCAATTACCCTTTCTCTTGAAGACCAACCCGCGCTTCAAAGTGTATGGTAAAGAAGTTTCCTCGACCAAACTTATCGAAATTATTCAACAACACCGCCATGTCTGTCCATAGAGAGAAAATTGACGTTACCCAATTACCGCATCACTATGATGGTCAAGTGACTCTTGCTGTTATTGGAGGTACTGGATTATACGATTTGCCCAATTTACACCCAATTGCAAGGTTGACTATTAGTACACCGTGGGGTTTTCCCTCAAGCCCCATCACCATCTCCAAGACTGATCTGGGATTCCCCGTGGCATTTTTAGCCAGACACGGTCAACATCATGATTTGTTACCTAGTGATGTTCCGTCAAGGGCCAACATTGCTGCATTGAAGAAATTGGGAGTCAAGGCAATTGTTGCGTTTTCAGCTGTTGGGTCCTTGCAACAGGAAATTAAACCGAGAGATTTCGTCTTGCCAACGCAAATCATTGATAGAACTAAAGGTATCAGACCATCAACTTTTTTCGAAAAGGGGTTTGTGGCTCATGCCATGTTTGGTGAGCCATTTGATTTGAAATTGAACGCGCTTATTGCTAATGCTATTCCATCTGAGGGGTTTCTTGAAGGGTTTGATAAACAAGATGCTAATCCAACTTTACATACCAAAGAACAAACCAACAACGGAGAGGATTTGACAGTTGTGTGTATGGAAGGACCACAATTCTCCACTCGTGCTGAGTCGAAGTTGTATCGTTCATGGGGTGGATCCATTATCAACATGTCAGTATTGCCCGAAGCCAAATTGGCAAGAGAAGCAGAGATTGCTTATCAAATGATTTGTATGTCAACTGATTATGATTCATGGAATGAGAGTGAAGAACCAGTCACCGTAGAAACCGTTGTTGGCAACTTGAAAGCCAATTCGGCCAATGCTTGTAAATTGGCAGCAAAATTGATCGATGAATTTGCCGAAAAAGGTGGTGCAATTGGCGATGATATTCAAGGATCAATGAAGTTTGCTGTAAGTACTAGTCCTCATGGGGTTAAGAAGGAGTTGTTGGAAAAGATGCATTTCTTGTTTCCTGGTTATTGGCAAGTTTAGATTATATAGACAAATAGATAATAGAGGTGTATTTCTTTAATCGTAACCGTTATCCATTTTTATGCTAATATACATTATACATGAAACCTAATAATACATCTCTCTAGTCGTCATCATTAAATGCTTCTCACAGAATGTGCCAATGAATGAACTGGTCTCAAAACAGCTTCATCCAACTCATTATCATATTCCAAATCATTCCAAGAATCTTCCTTGGAGTTATAACTATTGTAAATGACCCAGAACAAACATCCACCAATAAAACAAGCCACGGCCAAACCAGTGTATGTCCAAACCATCTTGGGGTCTTTACTGACTGGCGACAAAGCAATACCAATGGCGGAACCAAAAGCGTTGGTGACAAGGAAAAGAGCCATAATGAATGATTTCATTGAAACTGGGGCTTTGGTGTAGGCGTATTCCAACCCGGTGACCGAGGCCAAAATTTCCGACATGGCAATCAACCAATAAGCTGGGGTTTGCAAAGCAATGTGGATATTGTTACCATTTGGACATGAACCTGGGTCGTCGTAACATGGACCTGATTTATAGATGTAGTGTTGTAAAACGGCAGCGTAAATCATAGCACCAGTTCCAAACATGAATCCGAAAAAGATTTTGGTGATTGGTTTGACAGGGGTGAATCTTCTAAGGAATGGGTAGACAAATCTTTCCATGATTGGGATAAAGATAATGATGCAGATGGAATCGAACGCTTGCAAGAAATCATTGGGCAACCCATGTGCTCTCATTTGACCAGCTTGAGAAACAAAATTGTTCAACATTTGTCCATAAGTAACCCAGTAAACTGGATAAAAGACAAAAACTTTACATGCATATAAAGCACGTCTAACTTCTTCAACGAAATGGTCGGTCCATGGGTATTCCTTTTCTGGGTGAACTGAAGGCTTAGCATTGTCAAGGTTGAATCCATTGGTTAAACCAACCCAAGCACATTTGAAAGTTTTGTTAATGATTTTTTCCGAAACTGGAATATCAACCGATTTATTCTTACCAGCAATCAAAGCAGCCAAAGCAAGGAAAAAGAAGCAGAAGGGTAATAAGTAAGCGGCCCAGAACCCAACATGAGCTTCTAATTCAGTGGTGGCAATAACTGACAAACTACCAATATTGATCATCAAATAAAACCACAAAAAGATATTTTGCACCGTGATATTTGGGTCAACAATGACACGTTCACCATTCTTTCTAACGGAAATTCTTGGCTTTCTTTTAGGCACTTGATCAGCCAAATATGGTGACACATTAGATTTAATCAAACCAGTACCAATACCAATGATGATAATAGAAGTGACATACCCACCAAGAGCAGTATTCTTACTGGTGATGGATGGAATAGATGTAACAAACAAGATCAAAATTCCAATAATGTAAACAAAACAAGCCACGAAAAGGGTCTTGTACTTACCCCAATAGGTATCGGCAACCCAACCACCCAAGATTGGAGTGATATAACACCAGAATTGGAAGAAGTAGGACAATGCAGTAGCACCTTGTTGCTTCAAGGCCAATTGCCCCTTGGGGTGATCATTAGGTCCATGCTGCATATAGTTTTGGAAAGGAGCTGACAATCCATAATAGGAGAATCTCTCAGCCAACTCAACAACAGCAACTAACCAGGCTGCCATGGGGATCTTATCGGCAACATGTCTCAACGTTTTAACTTCGTGTTCAGTTGGCTCTCTCCCTTCGTCCTCTTCTTTAAGTGAATCATCAATATAGTTCATCTCATCTGATGAGGATTTCTTAATTTCAGCATCGTCCTCGCCAAGAGATGCTGTTTGGATGACATTTTGTTGATGCTTTTCATTAGTCACTGATGGAGATGCATCTGATGAGGAAGTGAATGCAGCTGTTTCGTCTTCGTGGGGTTGGACGTGTTCTTTAACACTTTGTATATGGTCGGTCTTTTCTGACATTGTTGTAAAAAGCCAAGACTATTTGCCAAAGTTAAATTTAATGTCTTGGACTAAGGGGGAGGGGGTTGAATATAATATAATGGAAGTAAGAAAATATCCTTTTTATCTTATTTTTCTTAAACCCTCTTTTTAAAACAAGAAAAATTGCAACCTATTTATTGGGAAGGAGAATGAAAGGGAGATTTTTTAAGTTCCTGGGGGTGTTTTTGTTTTTTATTACTTATTGCAAAAATATAAAGAAAAGAAATGCAGAGATGGAAATAGAAATTTTCCCCAACTTGTAATTTGTCATTGATAAAAGAGAGAGGGCAAAGTCCATGACTTTCTTTTTTTAGCTTGAAACATGCCATCTCTCTCTTCTGATTGTGTCTTAATAGACAAGAAAATTTTCTTTTGAAGGGCATTTTGACAATTTTGCAAAAACAATAGTATTGTTCATTGGTTGCATCAACTAAAAGGTGTTTTGTGTCTCTGCGGAAAGCAAAAACAAAAAGAAAAAAAAAGCAATTCACAGTGTATAAAGAGAGCAATTAGACGATGCACAAAATCTCAGTAGCCGTCGTCGTCGTAGCCTTAATTAAACAAGTAACACGAGAAGAGGAGGAAGCGCTAAAAATTGAAAAACGGAGCACAAATGAAAAGCCCAACCGGGTCGGGGAAATATCGTGTGAGCTTTGGGGGGCTTCGGCCTAGAGCCGTCTAATTTAGATACAATACAATTTTGTGTGTCGTGCCGTACGAAAAAAATTAACCAACGATTATAGGTCAAAGGGCAAGCAAAATAGATGGTTTATCGTCAAGCTTAAGAAATATATGCTCACTCATGTAACAGATACGTGGTGATGAGGAGGTAAAGCTAAACTTGAACTCAGGTCAGATATACCCTTCACTTCTCATCCTCTTTTATTTTTTATTTTTTGGTTCATGTCACCTGTGTAAATCTATTTATCCGCTGTTTTGCTGCAGCCGCCTGTCTGTCTCTCGTTATGGGGTCACGGCATTTTTACTCAAAATGTCAAAAACATTTCTATTGTCTAAAGTTATATGTCACAAAACTTCAAATACAATCACAAACCCACTTGAACATTAGTCTTTAATTGACGCCTTAACAAAAGTAGATCTCTCTTCCGCTTTACTCACAGATTAGTAACGACTTCCGAACTTCATTTGAAGATCCCCCTTTTAAGCCTCCTTAAAACCCAACAAACGTTTTTCAAACAAGAGAAATACCGGTATTGCACGGCCATATCCTGAGAAAAGGAAAATAAGTTTAAACCTGGGAAGACGCTATTGTGCTTTGATTGAATCTCGATCCGGTTGTGTTTAGAAGCATTCTTGGTAAATCGCCGTGCCAAGTTAGATTTAGATGGCAATTACCCTCCTGTTACCCCAGACTATTTTTTTTTGAAATTTATGCATCTGGTGCAATGAACTAGCGTAAACAATGAGATAAGTGAAACTTTTCACCACAAAGTAGTTGAACAAGCATACACAAGCTGTGTTTTACGATACAGCCTACATTGGGAATACTTTTCTATTATCATCCTATTTAAAAGAGATACAATACAAACGGTCTATATTGTCTTTAAGGATCTTGCAGGATTCTAGGTTTCAAGTTTTTAATTTCGTGCTACCACACTTAAATACTTCTTGAATTGTAGATCCAACTATGAAGAAAACAGGTGACGTCTTTTTGCAGAGTGTTTACTGCATCCATGAATACGTAATAGACTATAATGTAACGGATTGGGTGATGGGTGAAGAGGCAGTTCTTGGCAAAGGAACACGTACGGCTCCATTGGATTCATGCAGGGCTCTCTGCTTCTCAAAAAAAAAAAAATTCCACCTAAAACTCTCCCCTTGAGCCGTACGATGGGCCGAGGAGGAGGGACAACGGCATTTACAAACCAAAAGACTTTAATAAAACAATTCCACTGTTTTTTGTGCTTATCGGTTTGTCCCTTACGTAAAATTGCATATTTTAAGAAACAGCACACAATACTACAAACTATAAATGATAGCTTTATAATGAATAGTGTATTTTGAATCAAATATAAAGAACTAAAAAGATAATACAGAAAGTATAGACACAGCATTCAATAGGCCATGAACTAAACTAATCACGATTTCATACAATCGCCGTTATTTTTAACCAAGACAAACAGCCTCTTACTCTTAACACCAGAAATGGTAGATTCTCTTGTAGAATGGCTTTGCTTTCAAGATGGCCTTTTCTTCAGCAATTTCTTGTCTAAGCAAGTCCAAATCCAAGTCAGTTCTACCAGTATCAATATCAATTTCACTAGCTCTGTAATATATTTTCCAATTCCTCGAGTAAAGCTTATGACCAACGTAAAATACAAGCACCACGGGCACAGTCAAGAAATTCATAAAGAAATCATTGGCGTTGGGCTTAGTTCCCAATGGCCATACAGCGATCCAGAATTGTAAGCATAACACAACCAAGTTCAAAAGCATACCCCAGTAAGCACCAAATAAACCAGCTTGAGACGTGAATGGAAGTTCACCCGTGTCTCTACCTTGGGCTCTCAAAGCGGCTCTGAATCTAATAAGACACAAGTTGATGGATCCCCAAGTGAAGATTGATGATAATCCGGACAAGGCCAATAACCAATTGAATACAAGATTCTGTTTTGATGAGGCGGCAAGGAAACACAAGGCACCAATGGCCAATTGAATAATAATACCAACTAATGGTCTACCTTGTCTATCAATGTATCCAAAGATCTTTGGTGCTTGGTTAGAGGCAGCCAATGCAGCTAAAGTTCTAGATGAACCGAAAACAGATGAGTTACCAACGGACAAGACAGCAACCATGATAACAACATTCATAACCGAGGGCAATCCGCTAATACCACCCAACTTGATAGCAATGACAAAAGGAGATGCCGAGGCGGTGTTTTCAGCATCAAACAAGTCGGTATTGTCATAAGGAACCAAGATCCCAACCAAAGTCAAGCAAATGACGTAAAACAAGGTGATTCTCCAAAACACTTGTTTACAAGCCTTAGGTAATGATTTTCTTGGATTGCTCGATTCAGCTGAGGCCAACCCCACCAATTCAGTACCGGCAAATGCAAAAGCAGCACCGACAAAAACAGTAATAACTCCTTTGACCCCATTGGCAAAAGCACCAGGATGTTGCCAGTATTTGCCCCCAATATACCCACGTCCATTAGGCGATCCACCAGCAGCCAATACAATACCCAAGATGATAAACCCAACAACAGCAGTGACTTTAATGGCACTAAATATAAATTCAGCTTCACCGTATCCACGCACACCAAAGAAATTGATGGCTATAATAAGTACGTAAAATATAACGACAAACGCAGCTGAATTTGTCGTCGTGTCCCAAAACTTGATCGTCACTGCCGCAGCCACCAATTCCAACGGCAACACCACAAGCCACTGCATGGCATAGTTCCAAGCCATAGCAAAACCCCAAGATGGATCAATAAATCTGGTATTGTAAGTGACAAAAGCACCGGCCACAGGGAAAGTGACCGCCAATTCACCCAATGATTGTACGGTACAGTAAATCATAGTACCAATAAGAATATAAGCAATGATTAAACCAGCCGGTCCACCTGTATGCAACGAACTTCCCAGCCCCACGAATAAACCAGTACCAATACTTCCACCAATGGCAATCATTTGTAAATGTCTATTCTTGAGTGATTTACTCAAGGGCGAATTTGCCGTCAAGACGGCGATCTTCTCGGCTTCTGACAAGTTGGGGTCTATGCCCATGGCATCAGTGTCGGCTCTTTTGAACCCATCTTTGAATTTGGCCCATCCTTTTAATGGTGGTTTCGAATCCTGGGCGTCGAAAGCGTCAATGTAGACGCCGCCTTCTTTATCTTCAGAACCAGCAATTTCACGCGAGGTGATGTAGTTTAATTCCTTCTCTGGCATTGTACGTAGTGAAGGAAATTGTATATATGTGAAGTAAAAGAGATATTTATGTTTGGAAGATGGAGATTTGGGAATTTTGCTGGTATATTTATATCTATAGAGGGGAGAGGAAGAAAGGGACGAAACAATGAACAAACAATGTGTTGTTTTGGAATCTCGATAAAAACAATAGAAATAAAGAAATTGCTTTAATCAACTATGCTTTTTTTTTACCTTTGTTTTTTTTGATAAAGGTGTGGTTTATTATGAATTATTACGCCTTGTCTTGTCTTGTCTTGTCTTGTATTGTATTGTTTTATCCAATGAAAAACGTTTCTTAACAATCAAATCAGAAAGTTAAAATTAATTTTGCATAAAGAGAAATAAGATACATATGATATGATATCTAATGCATAATGGATTAAATAGAGGATAAGTAATGCGTATGTAGCTTTAACCAATTCAGAAAATGTTACTTGCGTGTGTGTGTGCGTGTGTGTGCGTGGTTGTTGTTTTATTGTGTTTCAATTGTTATTTTATCTTATCAGTTGCGAAAAGAACAAAAGAAAAAAAAAAAAAAGAAACCAAATTAAAATTAAACTATCAAAAAGGAATTTAATTTCTCTTACTTGTCTGCATTAGATAAATAAAATACGAAACCATTATTCGGAACAGTCTGTCAAAGGAGCCTTTGCCCGGTGTTGAAGGTAATTGAGGCAAGTTAAAATGTCTGTTGTCCAACCAACTGATCAACCAAAAAGGTTTACCGATTGGAGGTGTAGGTAGATAAAATCCAAAAATTTAGGGGGAAAAGTAAAAATCATCTTGTGCTTTTTTTTTGTTCAACTAACTAACTAACCGTAAAAGTCTCCTGTTTTAACTTTTTGATGGGATCGTGAGTGACTTGTAGTATAAAGTGTTGGGAAAGTGTGTGGTAGTAGATTTTGTGCATATCAGTAGTGTCATTAATAAAATAAACTAAAATAGAAATTCATAAAAATGCCGTACAGATTAATTACATAAGCAATTACGTAAGGAACAATTTAAGATTTGATATCATTTTGACACAAACTTACGATTACATCAAGTATAGCCATAGCCAAAAAGTCACACTTTTAATAGCATTCAGACACGGCAATAAAGACAGACTCTATTATTAGGAGATAATGGGCCATTGCATTTTCGTTTCAATCGAATTGTGTTCAAGTACTTCTGTTTATTGACTGCACAAGGGTACAACAACTTTACTTGTTGTTGTTACATTTGAGCGGATATGTGTTCAATAACATTCATCTTTAACACGACATGCATACTCCAACTACCATCACTACGATTGTCTCCCTAGGCCAATTTCTATTTTTCTCGTCCCTTTTACCTCGTCAAATATGTGCATCACATACATACATCTCTTCAGCAAAGTAACAAAAAGCAATTCCCCTCCGCTACAATCCAACACATAAAAAAATATACCCATCAACTGAGGGATTTATTTCTGGGGCGGGCTAGCGAGGGACCCAAATTTCTGTTTATTTTGCTCAATTTTTCCGTCGGAGAAATACAAAGTTTGAGATACAGATAAAAGACTAATGCTCAAAACACTAGTTCATTTGATAAGTTTCAGTTTGGAAAGGCTTGTAGTATTTCGTCCCTCTTCTCGTTTTTTGCCAATACTACCCCCTGCAACAATTGAATCAAAGGTTTTATCCTCTCTCTCAACAGTTCGTTTCATCTTGTTTTGCACTGTTACCGAAAAAGTCTCTATCTGCACATCATGCTAATTCTAGCAGTAACAATGCAAAAAAACAAATGCTTTGCGTGAATCAAAGAGAAGCTCTCGCCTTTGAAAGTTGGAGAGAATCATACTTAGCAATTCTTTGAACCTTTGTTTCTTTCGTAGAAGATTCTAAAATGTATTTTGATTTCCGCAAACCCAAAGCTTCCTACAGCGTTAAGTGAGCTGGCAGCACTTACTACCAATTGCCTACGACAAATACCACCAAAGTGTTCTCAAACACCTTTTGTCTAATGCTCCCAAAGCGCTCTTAGGCTATTCGAAACATCCACACAAAGACTAAAATTTGAACCTAACTATTCCCCATTAAAAAGATCAAAAAAACGCCGTAACACACGCGCCGCAATTCCATATTCTCCATTGTTCTAAGCCGTCGTCTATCTACGCTTGCTGTGTGTTATTTATGTTTCCTCCTTCAATGTAGTTTCAAGAAATTATTTTAGTCTCTTGGATAGTAGTTTTAAGAAAGAATGCAGAAAAATCAAATCATGTCAAAAAGTAATTTCAGTTTCCCCACAGTTTTTCAATTTACCAAGTCGAAACTTACACAAGCTTTTAAATTTTAACTCCGTCCATGCTCTTTTATTACTTCTTTGATATTACAGAATATACCAATATAGCCAAATGGAATGGGTGTTGGCTTTTCTAAACTCAGTAAAGACAACATTGAGGCTGTTCGTTCTATCTTTATAATTTATCTATACATAAAAAACAATCACACATAGAAAAGTCTACTAAACAAGGAGAGCTAACTACAATAACAGCAATTCCTCACTTTGCAACTCTTGACCAGTTCTTAAACTCTTCATCACCATATTGGATATCTTGAATCCATTCATTAACCTTTGCAGCAACTTCACCACTGCCACCAGCAACAGTAGGCACAACAATCAGCTCACCTTGATATTCAATATTGTTGATAGGAGCAACAATGGCGGCAGTTCCAGTACCGAAGGCCTCGATCAATTTACCTTGTTTGGCCTTTTCTTGAACTTCATGAATGGTCAACTTACGCTCATTGACGATCCAGTCATCACCACCACTTGCTAACTTGGCTCTAACCAACTCCAAGGTCGAATCACGAGTGACACCTGGCAAGATCATGCCTGCCAATGGCGGAGTAACTAACTCATTCTTGCCATCATCCGTCTTGAGGGCAAAAAATACATTCATGGCACCAACTTCAGTAATCTCTCCATCGTCACCAAACAACCACAAGTTCTGCGAATGGCCCCTTTTGGCGGCTTCAGTTTGGGGCTCGATACAGGAAACGTAATTGGCTCCCAATTTATACGAACCCACACCCTTGGGCCAAGCACGCACAGCGTAATCAGTAGCTTCCAATGAAACTGGCTTGAATCCTGATCCAAAATATGGTCCCACTGGCGAAGCAATAAGGTACAATTTAGCATTTGTTGGTGCAGAAACCCCTAATCCTACTGAAGTACCAATTAAAGTTGGTCTCAAGTACAAGGAATATCCTTTACCCTGTGGTACAAACTTCTCTTCCAAAAGCAAAAACTTATCAACCAATTTCAAAAACTCTTCACCATCAAACGTAGGCAATGAAGCACGTTTGGCTGATCTATTCATCCTCTCCATGTTCTTATCGGGTCTAAATGTACGAATTTGCCCCTTTGAATCGCGGTACGCTTTCAAACCCTCAAACAACTCAAATGAATAGTGCAATACACAAGTGGCTGGGTCCATTGTGAAACTGTGGTATGGCTTAATAGTAGGTGTATGCCATCCATAATCGGCTGACCAGTCAATTTCCAAAATGTAGTCAGTAAATGATTGACCAAATTTCAATTCGGAATTGGGCAAAGGGTCCTTGGGACTAGTAGTTTTGGTTATTTCTAGCTTTGATGAATCTAATGGAGCTGACATTGTTGATATAAAGGTAGTATCGTAGCGTAATCAAGAAAGAAAGAGAGAAAGTAGATGAAAGTGTGTTTAGTTTTTAAGTTGTTTGAAAATTTTCATTTCCCACTTTTTCGCTTCAAAAGGTTTTCGGTATGTGACTCAGTTTGGAACAACTTTTTTTTTCTTCTTTTTCGGTTATCAAAGGGTAACTAAATCTCCTTTAACGGAATGGGCTCTACACAATATTTCCCCTACTTCGGCCAATTTTTGTTATTAAAAAACACTATACCCTTCTAATAACTCCTACTCAGCTGCCTGTGTCAACACTCCATACTCATCAGGATAAAAAATCAACCTCTCAACTCCCTTTTTCGTCAAAATAACCATTCTTATAACACCTCCCGATGAACCATCCCACTTGATTGCCTCTGCCAATGCTGTCTTTATGAAATCAACCGTTTCATCTTGCTCCATGCCTGGCTTGTAGTTTTCATTACACCATCCGTAAATAAAAGTAGATCCACTTCCAGCAATGGCATAGTCTTGTTTATGTATTGAACCACCAATGGGGATCGAATATACTGATCCTCCGTATTTCTCGTCATATCCAGCACATATAATTCCCGCTGTCAAATTGTCCTTATTATTGTAACAAATTTCTTGAAATACATTGGCAGCTATATTGGTTGTTGGTTTCTGGCCCGATGGTAATTGTGATGAATAAATTTGCAAGTAATATTTGACAATATCGGCAACAGCCTGAGTATCAGCAGCCGATCCTGAACGACAACAGTATATGGTATCGTGGATCTGTGTTAGTTTGTCAGTCACCCTGTTGGCAATATAGGATCCTGTTGTAGTTCGTGAATCTGCCCCTAAAATTACACCGTCTTTAAAAGTGACTGCCATAATGGAAGTACCCAAATTGACCTCCCCCTTTTTCAAATGGTTTATATCTACGTTTATTCCGTTCATGATTAAATATGGAAACCTAATTGATATTGCAATTGCTTATGTGAATGAAAGATATTGGAGGTGTCTTGCTTTTAGTGGAGCTTTTTTTGTCGCCACTTGGATTTTTTTCCTTTTGCCTCTCTGCGTTGAAACAAAGAAGAAACAATCACGTGCGTATAAAATGTTACTCACGTGATACACACCTGTCATTATAATTTCTATGTCGATATATTGCCAATAAATATGGCAACCCAATGATGAAAAAGAGTCACTTCACGAGTAAAACACTATAGGCTATTTATTCTAGAATAGTTCTTAGCATAGAGTTGATTACATACTTATTCATTGATTAGCTACTCCTAAAGAAAGAAAAAGAGAAAGTCGTGAGAAATGTGTCAAATTTGGAAAATGAGAAAATTTGACTTTTACGTTTCTGTGTTTTATTTTGTCATTTATTATGTCAAAACTTTTAACGCTGTTTCATATTTTAAAGCACAACAATATAATATAATCTAATAACAATCATTCATTAAGCGCTGAAAACCAAACTCCCCCCATCATTTCCTTTTTATCAATAGCAACACACGTCAGAATAACACACACGCAGCTTTAACGTCTTTTTATCTTTATACATACAACACTCCTAAAAACATGAGTTCAAGATCAATGTTATTTGTCATACTCGTATACATAACACTAGCAATATCCACAGTGATCCCCCAGGTTGAAACGTTCCACCTTAATGAAGATGAATTAAAACATTTAGTAGATGATCCAAAAGTCACCCACAAGGTGACATTCACCGTCAGTCAAAAACAGCCTGATTCTCCCAACATGTCACTACTTGGTAAATTAACCCTTGCATTATTTGGTGAAGTGTGTCCCATTACTGTGGACAATTTCTATCAATTGTCAGCAATGACACGTGGATATGGGTACCGGGGAAGTCAATTCCATCGAATCATCAACAATTTTATGATCCAGGGAGGTAATTATGATGATCAAGGTGGCAAGCTGATTTATGGCGGTAAGTTTAATGATGAGAATTTCCAATTAAAGCACGATAAATTGGGCCGGTTATCAATGGCTAATGCCGGGCCAAATACCAATGGTGGACAGTTTTTTATATTGAATGTCGACAAGACGCCCCATTTGGATGGTAAACATGTGGTTTTTGGTCAATTGGTAGGCGGGTTTGATACATTGACGAGAATAAGTACCGTTGAAGTTAATGGTGATGCCAAACCATTGGATCTGATTATTATCAGCGAAGTAGAAACTTCGCAATTGGGGTCTGAACAACAAGGAGATGATGCGCTGAAGGAATCAGCGAACCAAGCCGATAAGGAGACTAAAGTTGAACAAGTTGTACAAACTAGTTCAGTTTACCCTTGGTTTATTGTTTTACTTTTGGTAGGGATCGTTGGAGGAAGCTATTACAGGAAAGTTTACAAAGCTGATAGGATTACTGATATCAGAGGTAATCGACGCTTTTGAGTAGCTAAGGAGGAGGCAGTGGTTGATTAAGAAAAAAGTAGGAGAAGGATGCAGATGAAAAATGGAAGTAAGATTTAGAAGAAAAGAAAAGAGTAAAATTAAAGGAATATTTATGAGATTGTTGGTGTCAAATTACGATTAGTTTATGATTTATAGGAACTCTAGTATATTTTGGATTTTGTATTGAAGAACAAACAAAAAAAAAGAAGACACTTGCATCGTAGGACTTCTTACGACAGCCAATATCAATATCACACCACACCACAACCTCTCTACCAGATGTCAGTTTTATACAACTTTCCCATAGTATCTGTCAAAAATGTATCATTTACAGCATCCCCCACCCAAATATTCGAAACATTTGCTCCATTTGGCCACATTTACCAAATTCGCCACAATCCAAAACAACAAGGTCAATTATTCATCATTTATTCGACTCTAAAACTGGCCCAATTGGCGGCTAAGGAGCTAAATGGAGTTAACTTTGAAGGAAGGTATTTGGTGACTTCAATGTACGGCGTTGACAAAAGCAAAATTAGTGAAGAATCGTTCAAGTTGAGGCGGAAGCAAGTCGATGAGAAGATCCATAAAGAGTAGCTGTGATGATACAAAGCATAATGAGGCTTATTTATTAAAGGGGAGGGTTAGAATGAGTATTGAACCAGAGATATGGCGTCTGTAAACCAATCATTTATACAAAAGGTGTTTCTAAATCTATAAAATATTCAACAAGTAATAACTAATCAATCCCACAAACACAAATCCGGCGATTTTACCCACTTTAACATAAAGGTTAGTTGGACTATATTTATAGATCAAAAACAAGTCCACTTTTTGTAAATCATCAAACAAATTCTGGAAGTGTACTGTGACTTTAACATGACCTTTAGAAACATCCAAATATGACAACTCATTGTCAACATTCACTGATTCATATGGAAGTAATGATGACACATTGATAAATTCAGCACCTTCAGGTAAATAGAAGTCAATATAGACATCGTCATAAGTGGCATCACGAACCGTATTCAAGAGGGGAAACTTGATAATATATTCATCATTGCCAGCTTGCTTGTTGTCTATCTTGTGAAGGAATAAATCCAAATTTTCTGACCACCCCAAAGTGAAATTGTAATGCCAGTTGCCGAAAAGAGGGAATCTAGGTTGCAAGATTAGGAAATTGGCAATGTTTTTCGAACTTGAAACAACACCAACTTTATCTGTATAGTAATAATCATCCATATTACGACCCTTGAGAGGGATTTCCAAGTGGCTTAAACCCCAATGGTTTCTTGTAGCTTCATATCTTCCCTTTAACCATTCCAAACGCGAGAATCCTGATGATAGTTCAGCTCCAGCATTGGTTATTTCATAGTACTCTTCAATTGAAACTCGGTTGATGTCTGATGCAGGCAACCAAATTGATCGGTTTAAATTGAGCACTCTAGTCAATGGACGGTTATGGTCATACATTAACCCCATTGGTTTCAACGTAAATGGTTCAATGTCATGGACCAATGGACCATATTTCAACGTATCTTGATCAACTCTAGGTTTCAACTCCGGGGTATCTTTTGTTTCAAGAACAGATTCAGCAACATCATCCAAGTTCAATTGCATTTCTTGACCTTTGGTCATACCTGTTAACACAAAAGTATAATCCTTGGTTACATACGGCGAATAAGGAAATTTATTCGTCTTGTACAACAATTGTTGTAATTCATCCAATTTGAGTTTTTTAGGAATAGGTTCCAAAGTATTGGTATAAACATAACTAATCTCAATTTCAATATTTGACCCAGGTGCCACTGGAGCTGGTAATTGCAACTTATAGATCTGACCGGCAACAATTTCTTCAAAGGCAATTTCAACCGATTGATCAATCAGTGCCACAACAAAATAAGAAATGTTACCAACACTATCAAACCCATCATTAATGGTGAAATAGTATTCAGCTTGTGGAGTAGAAGCAATGTTTTTCAAATCGATTAAATCAGTTTCTTTAACGTATCCTCGATTCAAATCAACTGAACGTGTATAATGAAGATTTTCCCATGTTGGTTCAAAATTGTATAAGTTTTGGAAAGATGTGGTGGTGGTGGCAGTAACAAAGGATAGTATGAGTGCAATTGTGATCAGGAACTGTCTCAACATGACGAAGTAAGACAAAGAAACAAACGTGTTGTGTGCGTACGTAAGTGAGTTGGTTGTCCTTTTAAAGGCTGTATTGAAAAATTGATCAATGTGGACAACACGGTCGTGTTTTAAATGCGTATACTGCATATAACGATCCAAGCAACTGGTAGCACTGACCATGCTACCAACAAAGTATCATTCATTGTCATATTCTGTTTGGTGTCGCATTTAAGTTCATGACATTGTCTTTTAGCAAACCAAAAAAAAAAATAAAAAATAAAACAGCAACAAAACAAAACAAAACAAAACAACAAACAAATCTTTTACAGGCGAAAAAAAAATTTCTTCGATCTCTCTTAGGGGCAAATACAGACCAATTAGGACAACTTATCTGGTTTACAACAGACCACAGACAAGAGAGCTCTAACTACAAAAACTCGCCTGCCTTCTTAACTGGTATTAAAAGTCAGTAGTTCTCCAGAAATTATGTCATTGCAGGATCTTATACCTGTGGTTAACAAGTTGCAAGATATTGTAACCACCACACAATTGGCTGACATCGACTTACCTATTTTGGCAGTTGTTGGATCTCAATCTTGTGGTAAATCTTCAGTACTTGAGAACATTGTTGGTAAGGACTTTTTACCTAGAGGTACTGGTATTGTTACACGCCGACCATTGGTGTTACAGTTGATCAATATCAATGAAGATGACCCAATAGTTACAAAACACCAGCCACAGCACAAGAAGAAGAGAAGTAGCAGTAGAAACAACGTTTCTGGTGGTGATGGTGATGGTGATGATAATGATGATGATAGATCTACGGATCAAGAGGAAGAAGAGGTCAACTTGGAGGAACATATTAGGAAAATGAATGGTGGTAAAAATAACAAAGGTGGTAAAAAGTCCAATACACGCGTTGAATGGGGTGAATTCTTGCATATTCCCAATAAACGATTCTACAACTTTCATGATATTAGGAGAGAGATCGAAACTGAAACTTTGAGAATTGCTGGAGAAAACAAAGGGATCAGCAGATTACCCATCAATTTGAAAATTTACTCCCCCAATGTATTGAATTTAACTTTGGTTGATTTACCTGGATTAACCAAGATTCCCATTGGAGATCAACCCACTGATATTGAAAGACAAACAAGAAACTTGATTTTAGAGTACATTTCCAAACCAAATTGTATCATTTTGGCAGTTTCCCCAGCTAATGTCGATTTGGTAAATTCAGAATCATTGAAATTGGCAAGACAAGTTGACCCCACGGGTAAAAGAACAGTGGGTATTTTAACTAAATTGGATTTAATGGACCAAGGAACAAATGCATTGGATATTTTAAAGGGAAATGTTTATCCTTTGAAATTGGGATTTATTGGTATTGTAAACCGTTCCCAACAAGATATTTCGGAGAACAAGTCATTGGATGATTCATTGTATTCGGAAGAACAATTTTTTGCCAATCATCCTGCTTATAGGCTGATGGCTAACAAGTGTGGTACCAAATACCTAGCCCAAACATTGAACAAAATTTTAATGAATCATATTAGAGATAGGTTGCCTGACATCAAGGCCAAGTTGAATACTCTTATGGGTCAAACTGAACACGAATTGGCTTCTTATGGAGATATGCCAAATATTGGCGATTCAAAGGAAGCAAGAGGAGCAATGATTCTTACTCTTATGACTAAATTTGCTAATGGGTTTATCAATTCAATTGAAGGTAATTCGGTGAATGAAATTGATACCAAGGAGTTGTGCGGAGGGGCTAGGATCTACTACATTTACAACGAGGTATTTGGTTCAACGTTGGCATCAATTAATCCTACTCATAACTTATCAATCCAAGATATTCGTACCGCAATTAGAAACTCAACTGGCCCAAGACCTGCATTATTTGTACCGGAATTGGCATTTGACTTGTTGGTGAAACCCCAGATTAGCTTGTTGGAAAACCCATCACAGCGGTGTGTTGAGTTAGTTTATGAAGAATTGATGAAGATTCTCCACAGTGTTTGCACGTCAAGTATTGGGCCTGAGTTGAGTAGGTACCCACGTTTACAAAATCGATTGATTGAAGTGGTTAGCGACTTGCTCAGGGAAAGACTTGGACCAACAATCAAATATGTTGAGTCATTGATTGAAATCCATCGTGCTTATATCAATACTAACCATCCAAACTTCGTTGGTGCAGCAAAGGCCATGAGTGAAGTTGTTGCCGAACGTCAAAAGCAAAAAGAGCAGGAGCTGAATAGTAAGTTAAGATTGGCTACTCAAAGAATCTTAGGTAAAAAGATGAAGAATGATGCAATTGAAGAAGACATTGAAGATGGAGAAGATGGGGAAGATACTGATGAGGCGGTGCAAAAAATGAAAGACGATTTGAATTCAGTTGATGATAAAATAGACGAGGTTCCTAAACACAAGAGATCATTCTCGAATAGGTCTAAAGCTGAACATTCCAACCACTCACATTCACATCAACATAGCAACGAGTCATACCTCAATTATTTCCTTGGAAAAGATCCTGTTGTTCATCAACAACAATTACAAGCCCAAGCACAATTACATCCAACTCCGTTCAAATTCCCCCACCCACAAGAAACGACATTGCAGTTCAATACTCAATTTGTCAACAATGGGGTTATTCACAGTCCAACGCAACAATATCAACAGCCCCAAACAGTAACATCACCATCAATCAACGGAAACATGTCCCACGATCTCAACAAATTGTCACTTGATGAATCCAATGATGGATCATTTGAAGGTGATAATGCCATTTTGGAATTAACTGAACGCGAGCAGATGGAATGTGAATTAATTAGGCGTTTGATTATTTCCTATTTCAGCATTGTTCGTGAAATGATCCAGGACCAAGTACCTAAATCGATCATGTGCTTATTGGTGAATCATGTAAAACAACAGATTCAAAATCGATTAGTGGTTAAACTATATAACGACAAGTTATTTGATGAATTGTTACAGGAGGATGAAGGCATACAAGCTGAACGAGAAAAATGTGTTGAGTTGCTAAAGACTTATAAAGAAGCATCAAGGATTATCAGCGAGGTGGTGTAAGATGTCAAATGACATAGTATTTAGAAGTTTATGTATATAAAAGAGTAAAAAAGATAAACTTGTATATTTGTTTAAGTCGCTACCATTGTAGTAATATCAAAATTATCAACGCGTCTGCTTATACATCACCTAATGTATAACTTTGGAGCTTATCAGTATAAATGAGGAAACATGTCTGGTAATGATGCGGACCAACGTAAATTGCTATATCAAAAGTATGGCTACGAGATCAATAAACTAATAAGAGACCATGAAAAATTCGAGTCCAAGATTGAATTGTCTGATGGATTTAATGTTATCGATGAAGAGCCAGATAAACAGGATTATCAACAGTTACTTTTGACACAGAATAAACCACAAGCTCCCACTATACAAGGAGGCAAAAGAAAAAAGAGTAACAATCAAGGATTTAGAAACTTCATCAAAGTATCTTTATCATTCCGCAATCGAGAAGATTCAATTAAACGACAAGAATCAAGTTGGTTATTAAAAGATACTTTGAAATCAATCAAACATAGATCTCAGAAATTAGATCCTTTCATCAAGAAATGGTTTACTCCTTCAATCAAATCCCAATGTTTCATGCTCCGATTTATTGAATTTGGCCAAACTACACCACCAGGCGGGGGCGGTGACGGTGACGGTGACATCACGGCTATAATGAGTGATGCCACGCATAAAATCGCCGTTATTTTCCCGCGTAAATCCATTTTCCAATACTTGGCTCGGGGGAATTTACCCTTTAATGATGCATATTCCATAAACAACTATATGCTCATACGGCAAGCCCATTTGAAATTTGTATCTCATGAGTTTATGTCGACCCATTTCAATTTGGATCTAGATAAAAACGTGAGGTATTGTGTTTTACAAGTTTTACAATTCGAATTTATGTATAGTGTCGAGTATTTCTTGGCCAATCGGGTCGAGGGGGCTCCTCCTTTGGAAAAAGTTGTTAATGAGAACGGATCACAGTATGAGGTTTATGATCAAGAAGACTTCGATCTTGGTGGGGGGATCAATAGTGATTGGAAGAGTACAGGAGTGCCGAAGTTTGACAAGTTGGGATTGAAGTTGATTTATAATAATGAATTTTACCGGAAATTGTGTCGCTTGAAGAGGCCAAGTGGGGAGTTGCTTCATTGATGGAGGGGAGAGAGAGAGAGGGGGGGGGGGGGGGATGTTAGGTATAGAATGTCAGTTTGTTAACCCTATAAAGCGCATGTTTTATTTGCCTAGCGTTTGGTGAATAGGATTCGATTTTCTTCATGTTATTTTTGGTTTCTTGTTTTTTTTGCAACACAATTTGCCTACAACCCCAGACAGCAACCACAGACAAGATATAAGCACCACCAAAGGAAATGGACTCAGACTACCATGTATCACAAGATGCAGATGAACAGTTTTACCCATCCTCTCCACCCATTCCAATCAAATCAAAATCAACTTCAAATTTACATGCACTAATAGACAAACCGAGTTTTCCATTTCATGATTCCGATGTAATATCCAGCGCAACAACTCCAATACATCCAGCGCATCATTCTCATTACGATAGCAACAACTTGACTGAATTGAATCAAGAAGAGATTAATATCCCCCAATCGTTACATAGTATCCCGCCATTGCCAAGACAAGAAAGTTATATCCCTATAGGTCAAGTAATTTTACGATATTTGGAACGATGGATACTTGGATTAATTGAAAGACATAGGGATGGTCCTTATTTTTACCCTATTGCCGTTGCCATTACGATAGCTGTTATAGTATTGATTGTGATACTTGTATTTACGGGTAATTTCAATGCATTAGTGAGAATATTACGACATTTGATATGCGAATTGATTCAACTGGTTAGACCATCATCTACACTTCAGTTCTGCAATTAAGAAGACAACGAACCAACGTCATATCTTTCTTATTTACTATCGATATATACAAGCCTTTTGTTCTGTCGTGTTTACTTTTTATGTCTCACCATTCTCCCCTTTCTGTTTCTAATGACATCTGGATTAGGTCTAAGTCTTGTCTTTTGGAACTTCTTCAATCCCCATTTCGATTGACTGAATTTATTTGATTTTGATTTACCTCTACCACCACCATGAGGATGATCATTTGCATTCATGGCAACACCTCTAGTGATTGGTCTTTTACCTCTATGTCTTGCACGACCAGCTTTACCCCACGATATCAACTGATGCTCCTTATTAGAAACAACTCCCAACGTTGCATGGCAATCCAAATGAGCAAATCGATGTTCACCACTAGATAACTTGATTATTGCTTTTGATTTATCATTATGTTTTGACAAGATTTTACCAAATGTTCCAGCACTTCTAACTAATTGAGCGCGTTGACCTGGGTGCAAGGCAATATTATGAATGATGGATCCAACCGGCAACATTCTCAATGGTAAACAATTGCCTCTTTGTAAAATTCTTGCTGATAATAACGCATCATCAATTTCACCATTATTTGTTCTCTTCATTTCGTCAATGAAATCTTCGGGTATACCCTGTCTGAAACTTTCAACCACATCTCCACTACGTAAACCCTGTGGTGCCAAGATGTATGACAAGTTTCCCGTTGTTGCATTCTCCAACAATGCAATATGACCCGACCTATTTGGATCATATTCTATTCTAACAACCTTGTTTTTACCCAGTTCCCATCGGTAAAAATCAAGTAATCTTACTCTTTGTTTATGGCCTCCTCCTCTACCTCTTATCGTGATTTGTCCTTTATTGTTTCGACCAGCATTCTTCTTTTTAGGTACTGTCAATTCTTTAACTGGACGCCCCTTGTGTAAATGATCATGCACCGGTTTCTTGTAATGAGTTGATCCTGGGTGGGTATGAGGAGGGAAATAATCGCCATAACTTTTGATCTTGACTAGTCTTAATGAGAGCTCCCTTTGCTTTCTATATTTTATATCTTGGGCCTCCAAGTCCGTTAATTGATCTTGTGATGAATTGAATCGTTTTGAAATGATGTTGGAGGATAAACGAGGGGTAAACTTGCAGCTAGTGGACACTTCAGAAGATAGCCTTATTCGGCCACTGCCTAGAAGTTGAGAAAGCCTAGGTATCATATTTCTCAATGGTACTTTATATCAAAGACTGTTGTCCTTTGAACTATGATCAATTTTTTTTTCATCTTTTTCATTTTTTCAAAGTTTAATTTTTTTTTGGTTTTTCTTCGTTATTTCTACAACACATCCAAACATACATATAAAATACTGTAAGCCAATGATATATGTCCAATGCTACCAATTGCGGTTGTAAAGAATGCGACAAACGAAAAACCAAACGAACATTGAAGAAAAAAAATTCAGTTCAACGTAGCTCAAGCAAAAGTCAATTGACAGACTAAAAACAACATATTCACATAATGATCTCACGTATCTTCACCCGTTCATTAGCTTCAACCCGTGTGTTGGCCAATGCTGCTGCTGCTAAAAATGCTAAGCCACCAGTTCAATTGTTTGGTATTGATGGAACCTATGCCAGCTCATTATACTCGGCCACCATTCAACAATCAGATATGAACCAAACTTACAACTCATTGAAGAGAGTTGAAGATGTCATTAAGGGAGACCCATCATTGGAAGAAGCATTGACCAACCCAGCTTTGACTAAAGACGATAGAATTGCCATTGTTAAGCAAGTAAACACGAGTTTGAATTTGGACAAAACCACAGCTAATTTCCTCTTGGTCTTGGCTGAAAACAATAGATTGGGTAACTTTCCATCAATTTTCAAGAAGTTTGGTTTGTTGAACGATGCCTACAATGGTATTATTGAAGCTAAAGTCACCAGTGCCAAACCATTGGAATCAAAAGTTTTGAAAAGATTAGAAGCCTCAATCGGTGGCAGTTCATTTGTCGGTCAAGGTAAGACTTTGAAATTGAAGAATGAAGTCAATCCTGATATCAAAGGTGGTTTGGTTGTTGAAGTTGGTGACAGAACTGTTGACGTTTCTATTGCAAACAAGGTTGCCAGATTGAACCAAACTTTAAGAGATAACTTGTAAAGGTAGGGGGAAGAAGAGTCGCTATGTGAATTAATAAGGACTAGGAGAGAATATTGTACGATTGGATAGAGATAAACGTGTGAATCTTTTTTTGCATGATGACTTGTAGTGTCTATGTAAGTTTGAATGGTCCAGGGTTAAACCTCAAGAGCACTTTGTAGTGGTGTAATATTTGGTCTACTCCTGTAATATATGTTCAGTTCGACTAGGTTATTAGGTTTCGATACCGTTTGTGCCAGTTGAATGCCAATTCTGTTCAATAATTGAACATTCTCAAAGCAAAAAACAAAAAGAAAAAGAAAACCAAGCCCCATATATCCTGAACCCATTGATCAAAAAATGGCGTTATCACGCAGAATTAGAGCCATTATAGATTTGGCAACTGTGTTTGCAATTGGACTCAACGTCTTTGTTTTCTTTTACCCCGACATTTTAAACGAGCCCCAACAATGCAATTGGCATGGTGCTCCTGACTTGAGACCAAAATATGACGTACTTGAACGTGTACCTTCACAATACCTCCAACCTTTACTACGTTCTGTCCCCGGATTGTACAAAGAAGAAGAGAAAGAGGGCAGTAGCCCACTCACTAGTCAAGACCAAGATGAGATCCATATGTTGCTATTTGGCGATCCACAAATCAATGGCAATTGGAAGCTGACCAAGTATATCAAAAGACTTGATAATTACGGCAATGACTATTACCTTGGTCACATATACAATACCATGTTTAATCGATTACACCCGTCGCATGTTGTAGTTATGGGCGATTTGTTTTCAAGCCAATGGATCTTGGATTCGGAATTTTATAACAGGACGTATCGATTTGTTGAACGATTGTTTCCTAGAGATCAAGAGTATAAACAACATGTTCTTGATGTTTATAACAAGCATGAGGATTATGACTGGCGCAAGTGGCTTGAGGATGAAAAGAAGATGGATTCTTTACATCGATTCAAGTCGAGGGTTTATGACAATGTATATGATTGGATTCATCAGGATAGAACGATACCAAACTATGAAAATCCACTATTTATTAACTTGACTGGGAATCATGATATTGGATATAGTGGAGATGCTACATGGCAACATATGGCTAGGTTTCATTATCTATTTGGTCAAAACAACTATGTTATCAATTACAATAAAGGAACCGAAAAGGAGTGGAGAATCGTTGTTGTCGACTCCTTAACACTTGAAGGCCCAGCACTACAACCAGAATTCATCAACTACACCTGGTCCTTTTTGGAACACTTGCGAGACATCGAGAACCCCACATTTAGTGGGTCAACAATATTGTTGACACATATACCAATGTATAAACGAGAAGGATTGTGCAGAGATGGGCCTGAACATCTGTACTATGATGAAACTTACGAACGCGAACCATACAAGCGTGGATTATTGCGGTCGCAGAACCATTTATCGTTTGAAACAACGCAAAAATTGCTCAACATTGTATTCCCCAATCCAACTCAAAGTGGAATCATTCTCACGGGACATGATCACGAAGGTTGTGATGATTGGTATAATTTGGAAGACAATGATGTTTGGGTCGCTTCAAAGAGCAAAATGACAACCAACCGCGAACCAATACGAGAAATTGTTGTTAGATCCATGATGGGCGATTTTGATGGACAAACTGGTATTTTAACGGGCCAATTTAGCGATAAGCGTTGGGATTTCAACTTTACCTATTGTTCATTTACTGTGCAACATTGGTGGTGGGCCAGTAAAGTGGCTATTTTGATTGCAATTTTGTTAAAGTCAATAACATTTCTAGTTTAAGATCAAACTTATCTGTACATATATTTATTTTTACATAGCTTAAAAAGAAAGAGACCTTTTCTACTGGAACGTAAATCCTAGTTGCGGATAGATTATTTTTTTTCAAGTTGCTGTTGTGGCTTCGGTAGTGACTCCAGTAACAGCTTCAGTTGCGACTTGTGGTGGTTGCTCATTAGATTCCAAGTTGGTATCTTTTTGCTCCTCTGCTTTCTTGTCCTGAGTTCCTCCATTGACACCTGCTGATGGGTTTGCTTCCACCTTTGGAACTTCGGTTTGTTCAGAAGAAACTGCAGGCTCTTTATCTACGCCATTGACTGGGTTTTCCTCACTACCGTTGACTGTGGGCTCACCTTTAACGCCACCATCAGAACCTCCCTTCTCCTCCGCGATAAACTGTTCAATTTCCTCTTTTGCACCATCGACACTTTGTTCAGGCGAAATTTGTAATCTCTTCACCTTCAACACCCCATCAACAAAGATCCAATGAGATCTCTTGATACCCGATGGCTGTTTCTTAGCGCCCAAAGTTCCAATCAACTCCTTTTTAGGATCACTTAACAAGTCATATTCAACGCGTTGTTTGGTTTGGAAATTCTTTTGGCTCAGTGGAGTATCAGCTGAAAGACCAAACACAGCAACATTTTTATCATTCAAAAATTGGAAATTCTTTTGGAAGCCACACACTTGTCTTGTACATCCTGGTGTAGAGGCTTTAGGGTATGCGAAAATCACCACGTATTTGTGTTCCTTGGCAATTGTTGGCAAATTGATCTCCTTTTCATCTTGATTAAGCAAAGTGAGATCAGGAATCTTTTCACCAATTTCTAACTCACGAGTAACCTCAGTCTCTTCAGCTTCTGGTTGTGGCTCTGTCTTTGTGGTTTCTGTTTTGGCCTTTTTTGTTGGCGGTGGAGCAGTACTAGCATGCACAGTTTGATCTGCCTTGGTTTGTGAATTGGAAGCAACTCTGGCTGAACGACGTAATCCTGACATTACAATTGAAAATGTGTCACTTGCTTTAGTTTCAAATATGAATAGTAATCCCAGAGTATAAAATGTGGACAAGAGTGATTTACTGGGTCAAATTTGAGCTACTCTATTTGTCTGTTTTTTGAATTGTGAAAGCAAGCGACTAAAATGGCAAAACAGTGAGGTTTTGACAGTCAAAAAAGTGTGGGTGAAATTTTATTTGAAAAGTTACACAAACGTAAAATCGAATCAAAAAGAAGGGGGTGTGTGTCTAGACAAAACAGTCGAAGTTCAAATTGAAGGCAGGAAGGAGAGAGAGGATCTACTCGTGAAACAGACGTGGCATGACAAGAATTATCATAGCACAGAGTTAATCCACTAGGACTGATTCGACTGAATTCCTTTCCCAAGCGGGTGAACATCCCGTGCAAAGCAAAGGAAATTAGAAATAATTTTAAAATACTGCATACAAATCAATATATATGAAATAGGAGGAGGTTTAGTTCTTAAATTCCCATTGTCGGAGCTTAGTTACGTCGTGTTTTCTAGAATAATTTATACTAAGCAAAGAGTAACACATAGTAAACAAAAGGGATCAGAGAAGAGAGTAAAAGTCTTACTTCAATAAACACGGAGAAGAGCGAGCCCAATTGCAGTGACACTTGTATTTCTGCAAATAGTTGAACTTATTTTCATTCAAGAATTGGTTACTCACTGGTGGGCTGCTTCGTAACTTACAAGAATGCAGTCCTAATCCGTCTACTGAGTATTCTCTTTGAATTCTTTTAGAGTTTGCTCTAGCTTAAATGCGTCAACTCTGGCTCTAATCGATTATTTCAAACTTGGTACTTCAAATATTCTATAGTCTCAATCTCTATAACAACATAACCTTATACGGTCTTTGGTGGATTGTTTACACCTAAATATCGCTGTTGCCTACGCTGTCGCGTTTATATTCACGACACTCTACTGACGACACAGAGCTGTCGCCTTTTGTGTAACTAACGAACAAACGAACGAACAGTCAGCCAAAAATTTTCTGTTATCAATCACGAAACAAACAATCCATTACAAGATCCTATCCACTCCCTTCCGGCCCTAATCAATCCTCAAATGCCAAGTACGGATACCAAACCTGATCCAGAGGCACCAAACGATGGCCCAGAGTCTACCCCAAAGTCTCCGATACAAATCAAAACTGAGGATGGCGTAAACGAAAACAATGAAGACCTCTTTACAGTTGACAATATCTTACCTGGATGCAAGGTATATGCATCAAAAGATGGAGAAGAACGATTGGCAGAGATTTTACAAGAACACGTCAAAAAGGGAAGAAAGGTGTTTTATGTGCATTACCAGGATTTCAACAAGCGTTTAGATGAGTGGATCGAGATTGATCGAATAAATTTCAAAAAGCCCTTGATCCTTCCTGAGGTCAAGGTTGATGAAAAGAAGGAGGGTAAGCAAAAGAAGAAATCAAAGCTGAAGGCTTCGAAGTCCCAAGGTGGCACCAGTGCTTCTACACCACGAGAAGAAACTCCACAAATGAATGATGATGAAATGGACTTAGAAAATCTTAACGTGCAAGGGTTGAAAAGACCCGGGGAAGAGGTTAGTCGAGAGGAGGAGATAAAGAAACTTCGTTCAGGTGGTTCAATGACGCAAAACCATTCTGAAGTGGCGAGAGTCAGAAATTTATCAACAGTTATTCTCGGTGAACATATAATTGAACCATGGTATTTCTCGCCATATCCCGTAGAATTAACTGAAGAAGATGCGATTTATGTATGCGACTTTACTTTATCCTACTTTGGCTCCAAGAAGCAATTTGAACGATTTAGGTCGAAATGCTCAATGAAGCATCCACCGGGTAATGAAATATATCGTGATTCGAAAGTTAGTTTTTGGGAGATTGATGGTCGAAAGCAAAGGACATGGTGTCGAAACCTTTGTCTTCTTTGTAAACTTTTCTTGGACCACAAAACGTTGTATTATGATGTGGACCCTTTTTTGTTTTATGTAATGACAATCAAGTCTGAACAAGGGCATCATGTTGTGGGGTTTTTCTCCAAGGAAAAAGAAAGTGCTGATGGATATAATGTTGCTTGTATTTTGACTCTCCCATGTTATCAGAAACGAGGATTTGGTAAGTTGTTGATACAATTTTCGTACATGTTGTCTGCCGTGGAAAAGAAGGTGGGGTCACCAGAGAAACCATTATCAGATTTGGGTCTCTTGTCGTACAGGGCATATTGGACCGATACATTGGTCAAACTATTAGTCGAGAGGAATAACCCCACATTATACCGAAGGAATAACTCGCAACCACCTGATGAAGAGGATTATGATGGCTCGCCACCACCGTCTCGAAATGGCAGCTCCACTAATGAGATCACCATTGAGGATATATCAGCCATCACATGTATGACCACAACAGATATACTACATACATTGACGACATTGAAAATGCTACGATATTACAAAGGTCAGCATATCATTGTCCTAACTGATCAAATCATGGCCATGTATGATAAACAAGTCAAGAAGGTAAAGGAGAAGAAGAAGCATGAGTTGAATCCTAGACTACTAAATTGGACACCGCCGCTGTTTACTGCAAGTCAATTACGTTTTGGATGGTAAGAAAAGAAAAAAGGCTTTTATTCAGTGTCACCCCAAATTTTTATACTTTTGTCTCCGCCACAAGTAATTAATCTTAGACCTGACATATCAAACGTTGACGCATAAATTGCTGCGCCATCGGCACCAGGTAGAGCCGGTGCTTGGCCAGACTGTATTAATCTTCCCAGTATATAGTCATAAAATTCAACTATACCGTCATCATACCCAGCAAATAATGTATTGGTGACTGCGTTTAGCGATAATGTGTTTATAATCTTTCCCTCTTTTGATTTTTCAAAGTTGTTTAACAACTCGCCATTCGGAAGTAGCCATTGTTTGATGTTACCATTGGAATCACCAGAAGTAAAAGTTTGTTCCAACGGATGGGCAGCCATTGCTCGTATACTCTTTGAATGTTGCGTTATGCACAATTCGGTCTTTTGGTTTCGCAAATCCCATAATCGTATTGTCCCATCCATTGAGCTCGTGACAACTTGGGGTTCATTACTATACGATTCAATGGCAGTGATATCACTTTTATGTCCTGATAATAATGCAACTTCTTTAGTGGCTCGAATATCCCATATCCGAACAACGGCATCTCTCCCTCCACTAAGCACAACATCAAGCTGTGGGTGTAGTGACAAAGCATATATCCCTCCAACATGGCCATGGAAATTCTTAATCTGGCATCCTTCGGGCGCATTCAGTTTCTCCAAATCCCAACACCGCAATGTCTTGTCTTCCGACCCGGAAAACAAGTATGGAAACTTTTTCGACACTACTAGTGCTCGAACCCCCATTATATGGCCGGTGATGGTGCTTTTCAATTGCAGTGATGCAAGATCCCAAATCTTGATTGTTGCGTCGGATGAACCCGTTACGAACCAGTTATTGGTAACTTCATCAACAGTCACCGCTCGCACCCATCCTTGGTGGGCTCCAGCTAGTGTTCGTAATAGTTTCCACTGACTTTGGTGGCTGCTTTCCTGGGGTGATGTTGTAGTGGTCAATGCGGTCGGTGTCTCTTGCTTCACGGTTGTTTTCGACGGCACTGGGAAAAGGAAGTCAAGTTTTGTACTTTTATACATGGCCTCCGCTAAAGTATCGGATGGAGGCAATATATCATCATCTGTTATCGTTGGAGCTTTGTTTGAAGGCATTGGTGAAGGTAGGAGGAGAATTGGTACTGAGCATCGAGCCAGTTTCATCGCACTGAAATAATCGCTTACACAAATTCAACTGGAAAACAGCTACAACCGAGCAGAAACATTAGTCAATGGTCCTCATAATTCAGGTAATCTTGCAAGAGTTTCGTTGGACAGGCTATTACCAAACCAATGCTATTGATTAAAAGTTTATGTGATGAACTTCTTAGCTCCAACAAATCGATAAAGATAATTGGCATCGTTGCACAAGCTGGGGAGAAAGATATACTATCTCATGAAGAAGGCGACACTTTGGAGATTGGACTAACAAAGGAGATGTACCTTCGGATTTTCAAGGAGTCGCATGAGTATTTCAATAGCCACTATGATGATCGATTAAACATTGAAAGTCTATCGCATTCCCAATTGGACAAAATGTATTACATGACATTGGGATATTTAATCACGACAAATGAGCATTCAACTATTATTGCCCTTCATGAAGAACTTGTACATAGGTTAGGGAACTATAAATATGATTTGGAGATAGTTTCAAGCTTTTTAACATGTCGGATGAAGCGTATCAACAAGAGTTCTTCCCTATGGCATTGGTTGCGGAAGTTAACTATAAACCAAATCCGACACAGTGACAACTTGCGCAAGTTGCTCCAACGTGCACTTGTCAGTTGTCAGTTACATTTTGCAAACTATTATGCAAACAACTATCTCCAATGGCTCATTACAATGTTCAGATTGACTAGAGTGGAGTTGGAGGACTTTCAAGACCTGTTGCTTAAACTGTGTCGAGCACAGCTACTGGATAGCTCCCTCTGGGGCACCCTCAAAGTGTATTTGAAACCGGATGATAACATGATTAACTACATCGTTGGAGAGTACAAAAGATTCACTGGTTTAGACTTGCCCAAAACTTTTGCTAGGGTCGATCACGATAGTACAATAATCCAGCTATTTGAGTGGTTATTACGTCTGCAGTGTACCTTTACAACACCCTTTCGCGTATTAACCGAATCGACCGATTCGTTAAAGACGTTAAGCAAACTTGAACAAATGTTGAATGGCAGTGCATTGGAGTCAAGCTGCAAGGTTAAAAAGGAGCTTATCAAACGCAAAGAGCTATTAGAAACTATCTAGCTATATACGCAATGGACATCTTCGAGTATCACTGCCCTCTGTTCTCTCTTTCTGTTTATCTTGGTTGCAAATCAGCCAAACAATTACGGAAAACAGACAAAATGCGACAAATTTTTTGATTTCCTAAAACGCATTATTCATTGAATAACACTACGGATCACCAGATGTTGAAAATACGTGAACTACAAAAAAAAAGACAAGAGGAAGAGGCAGCAGCGGCAGCGGTAGCATCAAACTCAAAATCCGCCTCTCCATCATCAGTCTCCTCATCTTCGAACAACAACGCATCATCATCAAAAGTTAGCGCCGCTCAACTTCGTGTGCAAAAGGACATTACTGAATTAGATCTACCAAAGAGTATCAAGCTCACATTCCCCAACACGGCCGATTTCTTCAACTTTGACTTACAAATTATACCTCAAGATGGGTACTATAAAAACGGAAAATTCAAGTTCAAGATTGAAATAGGCCACAATTTCCCTATTGAACCACCAAAGATTAAATGCCTCAACAAAATTTACCATCCAAACATAGATCTTGATGGAAACATATGTCTAAATATTTTGAGGGAGGATTGGTCACCAGTTTTGAGTTTGAATTCGGTATTAATTGGTCTCAACTTTTTATTTTTGGAACCAAACCCAAACGATCCGTTGAATAAAGAGGCAGCAAACATGTTGGTAAAGGATAAAACCCAGTTTGAGAGGAATGTTACTACGTCAATGAGAGGAGGCTACATCTCACTGGTGCATTATGATCGAGTGATATAGTAATACTTGTAGGAATAGAATTAGTTTTACTTCCAAATTTTGACGACATTGTCAGTGCCACCACTAGCAAGTACACAGCGCATCCTAGCCTCTACATCTTTCAATACATCTTCGCTGCCATCCTTGGCATCCTCATTGCGTTTTGCAAGTCGAGCAAAGTCAATGTCATTAACAAACCCTTGGTGTCTAGATAGCGTTCTTATGACACCTACCGAGCCATCTATATTCAACCCATTCAAATCCCACACCTTTATCGTCTTATCGTCAGATCCACTAAGTAAGTACCTTCCATTGGGATGGACCTGCAAAGATTTAACCCACGACAGATGTCCTTGTAAATTGGCAATAAGCCAACCCTGTGCTTGGTTATATTTGGATGGCATAGGAGGACGTCCCGGGACCTGTGTTGGTGGTGGCAATAACCAGAGTTTTACTGTGTTGTCTCGACTTGCAGTGACACAGTATTTGAACCCCAACTTTTCATAAACATCATTCTTGACTAATTCTATCGGTAGTGAGGGAAACAACTCAGAATTTGATGTGACAAAAGAGTCAATAACAGTGTTTGATAGCTTGGGTAGAAACTTTACCGCTTCAATTACGTGTGAATGGCCAACTAGCAATGAAATACCCGTGCCGAACTGCCCATGACTCAACCTAGCACTTTGATCATTGGAACACGTTAGTACAAAGTCACCAAATTCGCCAGAACACACATCCAAATCTCTCACCCACTCGCTATGTCCAACAAAGCTCTTGATACAGGTACCATCTACAACGTTCCACACCTTGACAGTTTTATCTCTTGAAACGCTGTATAATAGATTGTGACTTGAAAATACAATTGAAGATACTGTGTGGTCATGGCCGCGTAAAGTCTTCACATGCTGATGAGTTGTGGCATTATATAGTTTAATGGTGAGATCAGACGAGCATGATGCTAATATGTACTGTGGTTCGTCGCCCTTATTCAAATCAATCTTGTTCCGTGAGAAGGCTAGTTTATTGACACCTCTAGTGTGGGCTTTCATTATTTTCTCCGGTAGAGAGTTGTCATCTGAGGCAAAGTTCCAAACATGTATTGAACCATCATTACATCCAGCATATACTAATGGGAGAACAGGATGTAGCCTGACACTATTCACAACATTCGGCGTTTCAAAACTTTGAATAGCTGACATGGGTATCCAATTGATGCGGTCCTTGCTGATCTTGACGGGAGCAATATCAACTACACTTCGTAAATTGGTTATCTCATTCTCTAGATCAATGATCTTTCTCTGTAGCCGCAACACGGTTGACCACTTCTTTTCTAGGTACTGATCCACTATCCCATCACTGTGCGAATCATTGCTGGTCGGTACGAGTAGTTCAGATAACTGGCGGAAAAGTTGCTCATTTGACTCCGAAGTTGAGCAAACTGGTTGCAAGTACTGCAAAATGGCTTTGTTTAGCTCCAATTGTTGTCGTTCTGTCAAGATCTGGCTTGGCATTGTCGATAATCGCAATCTACCTTTGATTTGCATCTACAGATCATTTGTTTACAAATTTGCCGTATCTGCGAGGAAAATAGTAAAAAAGAAGCAAAAAAAAAAAACAATAGAAGAAAACTGTGAAACTTAGTGCGGTGCGGCTCGACCTATAAAGTCTATTTCGGGGTGTTCTTTAATGCAGCAAATCTTGCAGCCAAGGCATCAAAGTCATCCTGTTGTTTCGGTGCAAACTTTGTTTGGGGTTTACTAGCAGAAACACTAGGCTTTTCAGCTAACTCTGCCAATGGCTTCTCCTTGCCTTGTTTCTCTTTGTCCTGTTCCCCAGGAACGGCCTCTTTTGTTCCTCCTTCGCCACCATCATCATCACCACCACCATCCTCCTCGTCGCCATTATCGTCACCATCACCCTTAAAGCGCTCCAATCCGGAATACGGTACATTATAAGCCAATGCAATCTCAATTAGATACATATTTACCAAATCCTCGCTCGGTGGCTCGACGCCACATCTCCGTACAATCTTATCAGGAACATGCCCGTCCTTATTCTCCAAGGCGTCTTTGCCAAACTCAGTTCCATACTTGTAGATCAATATATCTCTAATCAAAACCAACTCTTTAAGATCGGTACTATGTGCCGAATAAATGAGGGAACTGGCAGCCTCAAGCAAACTAGGGTCGCATGTTGGACGATCGAGTATCATATTTAGCCGGGCTAGCAAGAGCTCACAATAGAGTTCGAGAAACTCCAAAAGCTCTATATATATATCATCTCGAATGATATTCTCCACCCTAATTTTGGCTGACGATTCTTTCCCCGTTTTGAGTAGTTCTGCCAATTGTCTCCGCTGTTGCTTTGTTAATGCAACCTTCTTTTCCTGCGAGAATTTTAGCTTCGAGATTGCCATTTTGAGGCTGGTCTTTAGTCTCAACTGGTTGAGATGTGGCGGAACAGGCTTGGGCATCGTAACTGTTCAATTGACTAGCAATGGCTATAGAAAGGAAATGTGGTTGTGTTGGACAAAAAGCACAAGGTTAAATCTATTTTTTCCGTCCTACTTTGTAATCAGCCGGCTTTAATCGAGTCTCTTCAGATTACTAACATTTACCTCTCGACTAGATAGAGACAATGAATCGGTGGTCTACTATCACCTTCTGTCAATCTTATAAATAAATTTCAAGGCACACCTTTTGGTACCATTTTGCTGCAAATTTATAATCAAAGAGATCCTACTTCTAATGCCTATAAAATGCACGTCAGAATGCTCATAATTACTACATCATCCCTCCATCCAACGTTTATTCTAATAAAAAAACACTATGAACTCTCCGTAACGATTGTATGCTCATGTGGCGGTGTGCCTTTCACCAAGATTTCTTCGTCATCCTCATCAAAATTAGCACCGATATTATCAGCACTTCGGGTCTCTCTCCTCAAAGTACAGCAGTGTATATCCTTAATCCATTCATCATTCATAATCTCTTCCAAAGTGGCCCTCTTCTTCGGGTCTGGCTGCAACATTCTGGCCATTATCGGGCGAGAAGCATGGGGCAAGAGCCGCATTAACCTATAGGGCCCATGTATCTGCTTATGGTTTGCAGGTTTCTTTTTTGTATCCTTTCCTTCGGATGCAGCAGCAGCGGCAGCCTCCTTTTCTCGTTGAATACGGTTTTCCTCTTCTTCTTGCTGCGCAATGAGTTTCTGATAATTCGAGTCATTCTTTCTTTCCTCATTGAAAGCATCTTTGGCTTCGGTTTTCTTGGTTTCGTACTCCTCCAATTTGTGGTCTATCTCCTTCAATTGGGTCAAAATTTCATTTTCTTGCGTTTCATCTAGGATGTCACCAGATTCAATCGACTTGGCTACCTTCAGAGGCTCCTCGCCTTCTTCACCATCTGCCGGCACTCCGCCAGCCTCGTCTTGTTCTGCTTGCTTCTCTTGCACCTCCTTTTGTTCACCCTCCAACAACTTCTTTCGTTTGTTCAGACGCACAATGGTATTCTTCAACTTACGTTGCTGCAAAAGCAACTTGTGGCACTCATTACTTAAATTGTAGTCATGGTAGTTGTCATCTGGCAAACAGTACATTTTAAAACTGTTGTCCTTTTCCGCATTGGGTATTTTCCAGGGAAACCTCTTTAAAGTCATACAACAGTATATGATTGCAATTGACCAGAGGTCCACCGGTTGCGGGTTGTACGAATTTGGTGATTTCAAGACTTCCGGAGCCAAATACGGGTCACTTCCCACTATACCATGACATGGGTGAACATTTTGTGCACCACCAAATTGATCATAAGGGTATCTGAATATCACGGCACTACCAAAATCAATAAGCTTCAATATACCATTCTTATCCAACACACAATTGTCCAACTTTAAATCTCGATGGGCCAAACCAAGACTATGTAAATAACTGACACCTTCTATTATTTGCTTCAAGCAACAGTTGATTTCCGTCCGTGACATCTCACCACTCATCACCACAGCGAAAAAGTCAATGGGTGCATACTCCATAATCTCGAAATATCGGTTATTTTCATGTAATATATCAATCGTTTTGATTATGTTGGGGTGTTTCAACGTTGAACCAATACAATATTCGGCTGTACATTTCCGCGTGTAATCCTTCAACGACTCGTTAGCCCGCTTTGCTCTAAACTCTTTCACGGCAAACGTCTTCGAGTCGGAAGGCCTTGTAATTAGTTTCACCGATCCACCAGCGCCACTTCCCAACTCTTTGCCCACTTTTCCATATTTTTGCACCAAAGGCGAGCTATCATCGGTGAACGGATCCTTGTTTGAACTTTGTGAGTGTGACGCATTGGCTAGCAATTGCGACGACGTTTGGTTAATCATCGTAGCTAGAGCCGTGCTCGACTGCTCTCTTGAAGGTGCACCACTACCACTTGCCATGGGAGGTGGGGAATGTACTTGAGCTGAATAATGCCCGTTGCCTCCTTTTGCATTTGACGTCTTTTTGGTAGGTTTGAAGAAACGTTTCAATTCACTCATTGAACCAGCAGCATGCTTGTCATGAGAATGGTTGGTAGTGTTTGATTGAACTGGTGATGGAGCTGTTGGTTTACGGTTAAAGGTTGTCGGTGAGTGGACATCATGGTGTGGCTCAGGCGTACCACTAGGTGACGGTAATGAATCTTGCGAATCGTGTTTACCAATGTGAATGCCTAAAAATTTACGACCGCTTGAAACATTGGAGCTGGACGGTGATAGGTCGTGGCCCTCATTGCTATGTTTATGTCTTGAAAACAAGCTCAACTTGTGTTTATCTGGCATGATTTAAAGTGGAGTAAGGAGATATTTAATGCTTTTTGAGTATGAAACCTCTGGAGGATACGGAATGTGTGGTGTTGTAAATTCCCCTTCTTTTGCAGTCACGCCAACTTTGCAGTACTGGGTCAGAAATTCCTATCACAGTTGGATATTCCACTGTCGACTCTGCGTTCTTTTCAAAAAATGAATAAAATTGTGTTCTTAGTCTTTTTAGTTTATTTTACTACTTGTTTGATTGGACAGGAATTGAACTTTGAGAGAGAGAGAGAGAGCGAGAGAGCGAGAGAGAAAAAAAAAGTTGACGTTTTTCCAAATGGGGAAATGAGTGCGGCGGTACAAATCAGATGTTTTTCACATACAGTAGCTTTTGTATTACATTATAAATTTACTCAAATAGCAGTTCCTCTAACCTGCCTCTCCCGTTCGGGTACATAAGGCTTGCTTCCCTTTTTGCTGTGTCTCCTCTCATTATCTTCTCTCCTCTTTATGCTTTCAATTTCAATACGCTTAATTTCTTGTGCTTTCTTGACAACCTTCGGTACATGTCTGTGCCTAGCAATTCTCTTGATTTCAGGCATGTATTGGAACCTCTCTTTCAACTTGTCGTCGTATTCAAGCTTGTTTCTTTGTTTCATGGATTTAATATTGGACCTGTCTGAAGCCTTTGTTCTCCATATTCTCACGTTGGTATCGTCTGATCCACTGAGAATGTACCGAGCGTCGGTACTAAACTTAGTGCAGAAGACATGCTGCATCCTTTTGGTGTGGTAAATATCACGCGAATGGCCCGATCGGGAATTGAATATGCGGATGGTTTTATCATAAGACCCAGTCACAATCTCCTCTCCAGTTGGTGAAAAATCAACATCCATAACTGCAGCAACATGGTCCTTATAAATGTTTATTGACTTTTTCATATTCCTCATGTCCCACAAGTATGCATTGTGGTCTTCGTTTCCAGAAACGAAATTGAACGCTTCAAGGGGATTCCAACTGATACAATTGTTTCTGAAATTGGTTACTGCTCTTTGAACTGGAACATTAGTACGTACATCGTACAACACGATTGAATTATCTGACCCGGTACTAGCAATAATGTTGGTCTCTGTCTGATTAAATTTGACTGTGTTGACATTGTCGGCGCCCCAAGACAAGTTACTGATGTATTTAGAACGGTTCATATCCCACAACTGTATTTGGGCACCTCCAGTTACAAACACTGGGTCCTCTCTGTGGTGATCAATACCCTTAAATGCATGCTCGCCGATAAAGGTTTTCACCAAACCTTGGTCCTTGTTGGTATAGATTTCATCTTCTTGTACGCTCTTGTCGAAATCTTCGCTGTCTACAGACCACAACTTGATCAGCTTGTCATCACCACAACTCAACATTTGGTTCTTTGGAGTAATAACGAGCCCCGTGCACATTCCATAGTGAGCTCTAAAACTAGCAGTTTCTTGTCTCGATGTCAAGTTCCAGTATTTGATCACACCATCACCACTTCCACTTGCAAATTGATTAGTAGAGTGGTAGTTCTTTGCAAGTACGTAAACACCATCTCGGTGTCCATCGCCTAGCTGACCAATAAATGGTTGTGCAAACATCCTCTCAAGTTTGGTAGCTTGGAGAGCTCGACTATACTCTCTCGCCCTTTCGAACGGATGTAGTGCCGGGTTTAAATTACGAGGCAATGAACTTTCCTGAGTGTTTCGTACAGGAACATAAGTGTCCGATGACCTGCTTATCGTTTTCAACTTCATTATAAAGGGGTGGAAAGTAGATGTGTTGTATCGTTTGGTGTATTTTATTTTTTTTTTTTGAACTTTTTATTTTTTTATCTCATCGGAAAGTTGTGCAAGAGATTGTTGCGGTAAAGTCGATATCTTGCGTCTCAGTTCCCAAAAAACTACACCCTGGATATCTCTATAATTACAAAGCAAATTAATTTAAATTATAAACTGGTATCTAAAACCAATTCTACATCATCGACATTGGGCTTGCTCAAGTCCTCTAAAAATGGCAACAAATCCAACAATTCGTTATCATGCGTATCACTAAACCAACTACTGATGGGAACAGCATTGGCAGGATGGAATAGATATGACTGTGGCAGATTATCAATGATGATTGTATCCTCTAACTTTCTTCCCAACTGGGACAAATTTTTGATAAAGTTTCCCTGGTAGTTGTAGCATGAATCTCGGTATAATCTATGATAAACCGACTTACTCATATCCAACTTATTTAGTAATGGGTCACCATACTTGGCCACAGAAGCCGTAAACACAACAACCTCATACAATTCACCAACTTTTTCTAGAAATTCATCGACCCCAGGTCTTTTAATTACGTAGACGTGGTGAACTTGACCATCGATCTCGACTGGAATCACAAAATCAGCACTCCTCAAGTACTTGAAGGAAGAATGCACAAGTGTCTCATCCAAATCGAGAACAAGACACTTTTTATCTCCTGTGGGGGATCCCAAAAGGCAACCAGTTTCAGGGTCATGTGCTTGACCAGTCTGAAGTTGTTTCAAATCAAGCAACCCATTCGAATGTGTATCATCATCATCATAGTCATCAATATCTGTGTCTATTTCATCCATTGGCTCTGGTTGATGTTCTGTTGGAGTTGGAATGGGTTGTTCATTGGGGCTTTGTTGCGCTATTATGTCACCAGCACTAGCTCGACGGTTGTTTGAAGGCTCTATGGTAGATTCATCATCATCAGTGGCATCCTTTTTGTCCCCGTTTAATTTTGTAGCAGGAGGATTCGAAGCGTTCCCATTTGCAGCAGGTTCCTTGTCCGTAGCCAAGTCGTTCTTCGTGTTTGATGTGGCGCGTTGCATACTGGTTCCATTTGTTGTTGATACTTTTGGTTGTTTTGTCGTGGTAGCTTTGTTCAGTTGACGATTTTGTCGATTAACTGGCTGTTGAGATCTTCTATCTGACGATTCTTCACTAGTATCGGAGCAGCAGAATAATGAAAGCACACCCATGTCTTGGCTGTTATGGGGGCTTCCTGTTAGAGCGATAGACCCGTTATTCAAAACAGGTTGTTGCTAACTTTTTTTTTGAGGCTTTAAACGCTTGATATATATTTTTTTGGGAATAAAAGCAGCGTCTTCTAAGGGAAGGAACAGTTTTGAAATGCAATTAAATTCTATCAAGTATGTTTAACTAATAGATAACCGGTATCTATTAGTTGTGAAAGTGTGTGATGTGATGTGCTTTGATGTCGTGTTTGTATTGTATATATATATATATATATCTATTATTAGTTCCTGCTCTTCAAATGTCAAAAGAAGTTTTCTTCTGACTCTTTTTCTTCTTTTCTTTTCTTCCATTTCTTTTCTTTCTCGTTTTGGCTCTGGCTTTCGCTTTCGCTTTCACTTTCACTTTCACTTTAACTTTCGCTTTCGCTTTCAATGATTTACAAACGCAATAACTGAAACTTTATGGCAGTTCAATCCGTTTACTACAGTCTCATTGTAGACCATAGGTCTTACAGGACTGATTCAGAGTAGTCAGAAACTGAGGCTAGAACGAAATCAGTGCAACAATAGATGTTGTCTGATGCATACTTAAATAGTACTATGACAGCTTTAAACAAGTATGCATTGAAAGATGTATCGTAGGTGGATCACTCTAGAGCCTTAACATGTAAAGTAGACTTTTCAAAACAGTCCATTCTTTGCTTCTACAATGGCAAAATTGTATAGTACATCATTTTATATATGTAGCAAAATGAAATCTAAATCTAAATCTAAATCTGATTCTAAATTTAATCTGAATTCCTTTTGGTTTTGTTGTTTCTGTTGTTTCTGTTGTTTCTGTCGTTTTTTGTTTTTGTTTTATCAACCAGCCATGTTGTCGTTGTTTTTAAAAAAACTATTGCGATTCCTCTTGCTTTCCCCCCTACAAAAATACAAAACTACAACACTACAACACTACAAAAAAATACAAAAGAAAAAAAAAAATTCAGTTTAAAAGAGACGTGTTTCAGCAAATCAATCATTACAACTTTACTTCTAGGACATATACACCTATCTACTGAATCACCAGACACTTTACTTTCTTCACTCCTTCACTGCTGTATCATTTATTCAAAAGAGTCTTTTTTTTTACAATGTCTGATGTCCCTCTTACACCACCACGGAGAAGTAAAAAACACTCCACTTTCACCACGCCAAATCAGTATGCCTTGCTTACTCCAGCAACAAGCACAAAAAAACCAAAGAATTTTGCACACACCAGTGGAAGTGCCAACAGACTATCGCTAGTTACGCCAAACACTCCACAGAAGTCTCCATCCAAGTTTGGCATCCACAGGAAAAGGAATCTCAATGATATATTTACTGAATCAAATACACTTGCTAGCGAGAAATTGCCAATGGGGCTATTTCTACCCTCGCCTCATATAGTTGGCTCGGGGAGAAATGGCAAGCATTTGCCTGTTACAAATAGAACTGAAGTCAGGGAGACTCCTTCGACCCCAACCAAACAGGTAATAGATGAGGATACGGTGAGGCAGTGGCATGACAACAGTGATGATAATGATGAGGAAGAAGAAGAAGTCGAGGTTACGACTTGGGAGGAAACGCAAAAGATCCCAAAGGCAAAGTTGCCAAATCCATTTTTGACCAGCACTGACAGTAGCTTCAAGGAAGACAAAAAGGAGGAGTTTACATTGGGCAACTTGTCCAATCCATTTTTAGACAATAAGGAGACTAAGGGGGAAGAAGGAATCGATTACAATACTCATATGGAATTGATCAATAATAAAACAGGGCAACGAAAAGTGGTGAAATTAACCAAAAATCAGATGAAGATAAAGCCAAAGAAGTTGTCGTTTGAGGGGATGTAGGTATTCCTTGACTGGTCAAGGAATCTATATAGTTTCTATAAAATAAGAGTTGTAGGTATAAATATATGCGAATGGGTTTATCGTTATGCCTCTTGCTCTCACTGTAAAGGAAAAAAAATCCAAAATGAAAAAAATCCAAACTCTCATCACTTTAAGTACTACCACCTATACTATGTCAATTCCTGGATTAGGCTCTGAATCTGCCTATGAAGACAACTTAAAGCTGATGCTGATACCACAGGGATCAGAATGGAGAATTGAAATCCCATTTAAGCAAATTTTAAAGTTCAAAGTAGCAGAGGGTATCCTAGAAATCAATGGTACTGAGTTGCCCAATAATGTTGAACTACAGCTAACAGGAACAAAGTGTTGCATCTATTCACCAAAACAAGAATCAAAAATCGAGTATAGCTTGGTACAGAACCATGAGTTGTCGATGTATGAAGATGACGAATTCGCTGAATACACAAGCGGCGAGACAAATATGAATTCTGTATTGAATTTGCACATGTATGTCGAGTCAAGAAGGCAAGTTGCAGCAGATCATAATGTATCCAATGAGGAGCCATCGTTGGGACCACGAGTTATGCTCTTGGGAGGTAAACAGCTGGGTAAGACGACGCTTGCAAAGACGTTAATCTCGTATGCCGTAAAAATGAATCAATCTCCAATACTCGTCAATTTGAATCCGCAAGATGGTGTATTTGCATTACCTGGATCGATTTCAGCTACTGCAATTAGTGACGCTCTAGATGTTGAGAGTTGCAACGGGTATGGACTTACCACAACCACAACAGGAGGTAGTCCTACATCAAAACAACCAATAGTGAAAAACTATGGTTTCACTGAGATCAAGGAGAATTTAGATCTTTACAAGTATCAGATCTCACAGCTTGGGATAACTGTGCTATCGCGATTGGAACATGACGCCCGTTGTAGAGATAGTGGTGTTGTTGTCGACACTCCACCGCTTGGCATTAAGGATTTTGATATCATACAGTCAATAATCAGTGACTTTAGAATTGATTTGATTGTCGTTTTGGGAAATGAAAAGTTAACCATTGATTTAAAGAAAAAGTTGCTGCATAAATCAAACTTGCAAATTGTCAAGATAAATAAACTGCCTGGTGTTGTTGAAGTCAGTGACAAATTTATTAGAATGAGTCAAGAAGTGACAATAAAAGAGTACTTTAACGGAAATTACAAGACTAGGCTATCTCCATTTAAAACTGATATTGATGCTACGGGCTTACAGATTTACAAAGGAGTCAAGGATTCTGTATCTTTATCATTTTTGCCAGCGGGTGACGATTTCGAACGTGATGACGAAGGTAATGACTTGAGCAAATACTACCTGGCCATAGATCCTAGCTCGTCCAATGTGGACAACTCGATAATAGCCGTAACACACCTACAACTGTCCACTCCTGGTAAAGATCTACTAAACTCATCAGTATTGGGCTACATACACGTCTCGAAATTCGACGACGAAAAGAAAAAGCTCAAAGTGTTGCTTCCATTTCCTGGGGTATTTCCTCGCAATATATTGATTTCTACAGATATAGGATATAATGAATAGACCTAATCGAACGGAACCCCTCTTTTTAAACTCTCACTAGCAGCAATGGCACTGGGGATTTTTATACCGCAGCAATCGCCCCATGTATTGGCGAGGTCATGTACATGTCCGCAATCAGTCTCCACATGCTGATGCTCGGGAATGCCCTCGGGGCATTTCAAAATATCGCCAAACATAAAATGCTGTATAATTGGCAATTTCCCCAACACTTCAACCTTGTACATTTTAATCATACCGTCTTTAATCTTGCTCCAACTCTTGGCCGCCGAAATATCATCCAACATCGGCGAATGCCACCTCAAGCTCAACTTCTCTTGTTGCTTATTCGTTGACGTTTTGATGTTGTTGATGAAATCGATGCATTCCATGTATATGTACTTGTTCCTGTACATCTCCACCAACTCATCATTATGGATCGACTTGGGCTTCATGTGGGGGTGATTGCATAGTTGAGCAGCCCCGAATAAGAACGGAAGGAAATGGTAGTCATCCAACCCCCAGACCCCGTGTGAGCCCGCTGGTTCAAGCCAATACGTACGTTGCAAGCTCCTCATTGTTGACATGTACTTCGTGAAAACTTTGAGTATGATGGCAGGAAAATCGTCCTGATTTACAACGTCAAGCCTGTAAAGGCAAAGCAAAAAACAGATAAAGTTGAGCTCGTGGCCGGAACCGTAGTCAATTCGAGTTCTATCGCCCCAAGAGTCAGCGAAATATGTCGATGTTTCAATTAAACCAGTGGGACAAATCGGCTTGATCAAATCAGAAGCTCTTGATTCCACTTCATCGTAAAAATCACGAAACTCCACCTTGCCGAACCGCAGTATATCTTTTTCCAACTTCACCGGGTAATGCTGTATGATCTGATATACTTCATCAAGAAGATGGGTTATCTTTGCAATTACTGGTGACGTTGCCACCTCGTCATCATTCGATTTGTCGATGACCGAATCTTGAAGTTGCGTTATGAAATCAAGGACCTCTTTATACGTGTCTGAATCAATCCATTTGGCTAAGTCGTCTTGGGTAAAGACTCTTCTAACAGGCTTGATAAACATGATGAAAGATAAAAAGGGGGGTTATAGCTTGCTCTTTCTGTATTTTTGTTTTTGTATTTCTCGCTGGCGATTACGCGCTTTATAACACCTACATATTTTCGATAAGCAGTTCTCTCAACTGTAAATCATCTAAGCTCTGCTCTAGCACCTTAATGTCAGAATCTTCCATTGATACCTTCGCTACTTCCAATTCACTGAATCGCACGGTAAATGCGATAAATTCTTTATTGGTAGTGTCATCAAAAAGGTAAACCGTATCACCATCGACTAGTTGCCGTTTCCTTCCCTTTCCTATGGAAATATTGTTTACCCGGCACGAGTTGGTGCTCATATCAAGTAGCCAAATTTTGCCATTATCCCTCCTGAATATGCAGTGTATTTTTGACAACCGGTCGTCGCTGATTGTGATGTTACACACGTCGGCTCGTCCAATGGCAAATCTATCATTGGAAATTGGTATTGTTTCTCGGTAGAGAGACTCTAATATTGGCTCCAACGTCAAAAGTGGTGTATCGTCACCCTCGTCCATTAAATCCAGTTCCTTAATTGAAACATTGCCGTTGATGCCCTCTTGATGATGCTCGAGCTTGACACGCTTGGTAGACCCATTTAGTTTGTTAGTGACTGGGTCTATTTGGTAAGGCCGCTTCAAAGGTTGCGACATGGGTAATGGTTGCGATACAGCTACCTGCGACTGTGGGAGCGGCACCACTCTCTTTGGGACTTTAAAGTCGTTCTGCTTTTGTTTCGATGTCTTACGGTTTCTCTCACTGTCCAAAGGTCGAAGCATAAAGTCCTCATCTATCCTGCTCAACGAATCAAACTGGCTATTGTCGACTTTTCGCGATTGTTGTGATTGTGACTGTGACAAACTTAGAGGTTTTTGGGACGACTGCGATGGTTCGTCCTCAGAAAGCCATTTATGCTTTAACGCCTCTGCCGCCGTGATTCTGTTTTCAGGGTCCACTTGCAAACAACAGCGGAGAAAGTCTTGGCACTCTTTACTGATTTTAAACGATTCCAATGGCGCCTTTTGATATTCCCCTTTTTTTATTCTCGAAAACATCTTCTGGTGGCTATTTCCTGGAAATGGAACGAGTGCAGTTAAAAGAACATACACTAGACACCCCAATGACCAGATGTCTACCAAAGACGAGTAGTTGCTGCTAGCTTGGCTTGCCTGTGACAGGCCATACTTCCCTGTAATCACCTCAGGAGCAAGATAAGCCAAAGTGCCACAAAATGTCTTCATAATTGTCAGATTGTCACTAAACTTAGCCAATCCAAAATCGGTAATCTTTACTAGAATTGGCTCGTCCTGCATAATCAAGATATTATCTGGCTTCAAATCTCGATGTGAGATTCCTAATTGGTGTACGTAATTTATCCCCTCCAATATCTGCTTGGTAATCACCCTTGTAGCTTCTTCTCCAACTGGGCCAAAATCTTCAACAAACCCCATCAAGTCACCTCCTGGCACCAACTCCATGATGATGTAGTAATTTTCCGCATCCTCGTAGAAGCCCTTTAAGGAAACAATATTGGGATGATGCAATTTCCTAAGAATGGATAATTCACGCTCGGCCCCAGACAAGGCGCTCGCACCACCGGTGCTACTCAAAGCTTTCCTTCGGTTTATAATCTTTACTGCGTACGACTTACCCGTTGATCGCTCAATGCATTTCTTGACCGTTGCAAATGCCCCTTGTCCGATTGTTTCCGTCTTTATTATGTAGTCCTTGTATATCCCCTCGTCTTTGATGTTTGTATCAGGCGACAACGCGGGATTGTATCTGTCCGAAAATACAACGATAAACTTGACCAAATCCTTGGGAACTCCATTTCCGACACTAATCTCATCTCCCTGGCTGAGTAAGTAGTTTGATCCTTTAACCGCCCTTTGCCCATTACGATACGTTCCATTAGTCGAAGTATCCCTTAGCCATAGTGAATTGTCTCTTAAGTTAAACCAGATCATGAAATGTCTATTCGATAGACGCGATGACGACGTGAGTTGCAAGTCAGCATCTCCCGACCTCCCGAAATACCAAACGATTTTACCATCTTCTTCGGGTTTGTCCGTTATACTGAGCGTCTTGTTGGCATACTGACCCGTGGTGCATAGTAGTTGGCAAATCTGATTGGGATTTGATTGTACCCTGTTTTGAGTTTGAGTAGGTGGCGATTGTTGAGTTGGTTGCGTTTCGGTGAATTGAGTCGCCTCCATAGGAGCCAGTTTTTGATTACGAATGAGTTGATGGTGTAGGACACATTGTTTCTTTTCTTTTCTGTATTTTTTTATTTTTTTTTTGGGGAAGACGCGTCATTCAGTGGGTTGCAGCAGCATTTGATAACGGCGACACTAGTAAAATAAAAGGCGACACTTACAATAACAAGAGTGATAATCAGAGATCCTTTAGCAGTGGAGATAAAATGCCAAAAAGGAATCGGCTATGACTATATATCTTCCTGCTTTTGTTTTTCTTAGTCTTACTCCAACAGGGTTTCCCTTTTTTTAAGTTCTTATATATACTTGTTGGTTCAGGCAAAAGCCCCTCAGTATATCGATACTAATTTTACAGAGTAGCACTTTTTCAACAACGTATAAAACTGCCATTGACCTTGGACTTCTTTTCCCTCCCATGACCGCGCTTCGTAGGCTTAGATATTGTGATACAATTTTGGTTTAGCAACGTAGCAAAACCTCGAGTGTAACGGGGCAAGTGTCAAAGCTTGGCGTTGGTTAATTTGGAAGAAGATCTCCTGCAACGTCTCATGAGACAAATTCGACAAACGAGCCATTGTGGATCGAGAAAGCTTGGATAGTGATTGAGTGCTGGTAATTTCATTTGCTTCATTCTGTTGCGCTTTCCTAGGTTCAAATTCTTTTCCCCATTGCTTCAGTAACTGCATCTAGTATATTTAGGAAAACCCATGAAGAACAAAAGGTTGCAAAAAAACGGACTGTCTATAACGTCAAAGCATTGTAGTATACCTGTGGTCTTTTTGCACTTAAAACGAGTCACCTTTCAAGAAGTATATCTCGGCAATAAAAATTACCGGTAGCGCAAAATTCCCCCGAATAAATAAAAAACATAAAAGGGCCCAAAATAAATGAACAAACTTTACATCTCCTCACGACCTTTACCAAAAAAATGAGAGCCAACTCAACCCAGATATCGAACAGAATGTTCAGGACGCAAAGATTCGTCGTTTTGCTAATAGTCGTCATGTTTTCACTCTTGCTTGTGATGTTGTCATTTGCGGGTCATCATGCAAAGGTCATCAACCAGGTCAAAACATACGCTAATAAAGCTAGCGAATTGAGTGAATTTTACAAGTCGCTGAATAAGTTGCCCAGTCCTGATTTAGGACAAGATGATTTGGAAAAACAAGCTGAGGCACAGGAAGAAGCCGATAGGTTAAAAGAGGAAGCTAAACAGAAGCAGGAGTAATGGAGAGTCTATTGTTTTTATACACCTTTCCAAATTGCCTTTTCTATATATTCACTTGTCTTTTTCAATTGTAAGATACCCATGTGCATGAACTCAAAGCAGTTTTGAATAAACCACGAATAGGTTATTTTCTTCCACTCGTCATCATCAACGTCATCTGGCTTGTTGAGTGACGCTGTGAAGGCTTGATAAAAGTCATACAAGTTGATCGAGGCCGGTGCCTCTTTGTAAACTTTAAACATGGCGCAAAGTAGTGGCTGCCTCTCCAGTGGCAAGTGCTCCTGGCTGACCAAAGGGTTTTCCAAGTATAATTCGTAGTTGTCTAGGCTTACTTCAATCGTCTGTCGCAAGTTGGGACGGAGGAGGTTAATCATTAGGTTTTCAAAGTTTTCTTCAAATAATGGCTGTTTGTCAAATTTAGCATGAACGATTCCCCCATTGAGTGAGAAGATCTCGTTGAATACCATGTATTCAAGTGGTGTAGTCAATATGGGGTTCTCAAAGTAGGCTTCCAACACGGGAGCGATATTTGACCTGTCCTTGGTCAACCCTTTTCTTAGTTCGATTAGATAAGCGTCGTCAATATTTCCAATCGACTCATTACAGTTATCCGTCAAGTGCAGCACAATGCGACTGACAACTTCGGCAGAATACTTTGACAAGTCGAGACAATCGTGAAAGTATTTCGAATTGAATAGTTTGTTATTCACGAGAAGCTTGTACAATTGAAATTTTTCCTTTGGTTTATCTGGGTGCAAGTGATAGACGACATTTATGGCGTTCATAATGGTTAACTTGTGTTTCTGATACTGCTTCTTGCACTCTTGGAACAACATGGCCACTTGGCTGTCATCCTGCAACATCTGCTTAACAATAGGATCATTCTGCAGAAGTTTGATTTCCATGTGCCGTTTAAATGACGGCAACTTTCTCAAGCCGTCAATGTACAAAGGCAAAGAATCAAACTTGGCTATGAGAATTGACAATGGCAGCAGATAAAAGAAGATCATGTAGCACACTTTAATTTCCGAAATCAATGCGTCAATCGAATTGTTTGAATTTTCAAAGCGATTAAGAATGATGGTACTGAGTGTGTTGTTTATTAGTAAAGGATTATCATCGGTTAGCTCCGGGGTTAAAAATAAATTATTCAAAATAATGTAACCCAAGCTCTTGTTGTCGTTACTCTTGAATCTGTACCCTTCCAAATCCAACCGTAAGTCATTCCTCAAGTTACTGTTGACCCACGTTGAAACTGTATCGCAGGATAGCGCAAGCAACACCTTTATCGGCAAGTGGGTAGCTTGTAAAAGTTTGATTAGCTGGTTCAACAATTGATTACTAAACAAATTGGTGTCTTCAATGACAATGACGGTCCTCGTGTCATTGCCCTTTGCATACCAATCACGCAACACCTGCAAATCATAACTCAAGTAGTCGCCTCCATCCAACGTAGTATACTCCCCAAATTGTCGAATGATCTCCTTTAATGTCCCCTTTATATGTTGGCAATTTTTAGAATTCAACTTGATCAAGTTATACATCTCATTGGAAAAGTCGTAAAATTCACTCAATATACGTAAGTTGTTTGCATTATTGGAAGTCAACTGGATATATCCCACTGATAATTTTGTGAAATCTAGTGGTTCATTGATGAACTTGACCAAGTCGCTGAATAGCTCATCATTGGCACTATTCAATATAGAATGAATTTTTTGCAATTGGCTCGCCCATATCTTTTGATACAATTCAAATCTGAACCTCACATTTGAAACGGGCTCATTTCCGTTAAGAAGAGATACAAATGGTGTTTGAGAGTCGGAATCAAGTCGCTTCTTTTTCGGTTGAATAAAGTAGTATGTTTTCATGTTGTTGTCATTCAAGACCGTATCATCGGTGGACCCTTGGGGGCTTTTCAGTACCACTTCAGATTGGCTTCCTCCATTCCTCTCTCTTTTTGTGCCCGCCATGTTAAAGTCAATGCCTCTAGGCGTTTCGGTTTCGGTTTGGGTTTTGATATCGGTTTCGGTTTCGGTTTGGGTTTCGGATTTTGGCGAATTTTTTAGAGCTACCACTTATATTAACTTATGTAGACGTATTTATCACCCTCTCTACGAATATACTCCTTCTCAATTAACGTGTCAATCAGCTTCTTTATGTCGAGCACTCTTGTAGTGAATCTAGTCAGAGCCGCTTCCATCACTTGATTCAACAAGTCGGCGTTTCCCAAATCCTTTCTGCTCTTCATGATTCTCACAATGGTGGCTTGTATGTATGTTTGTCTAGCAGCAACAATCTCCCTTGTGGCATCTTCCTCCTCTTGTTTGACATCAACAGATTTAATACCACTGATGAAATTTACCTTGACCTTTTTCGAGTTGTAGTACTCCACCATCTTTAATTCTGCATCGGCCAAATTATCGCTCGAAGCTTCAACCAACTTAAACTTGATGAGAGGACTGAGGTGATTGTCAAACACGGTTTTGTTGCAGCCAACGATTTCGCACAACTCTCGGTATGAATAGGTGGGCTTTTTGTTAAAAGCCATCAAGATCATCAACTGCACGTTACTAACTTGAAACTGGAATGGCGGTTTGCCCTTTCTCGAAAGGTTGGCCTTTACTTCTGCCCTACCGTGATTGAACAACCACTGCAACTTCCTTCCTTGGTGCTGGTTTGAGTAGACTTGTCTCAAATGGGCGAGTGGCGCTTCGAGTTCTGGAGCAACTTTCAAATCGTAATCAGCAACATGCCGGAAGGGCCACATGCTCTGGGCAAGGATCAATGGGTTAAACTCTTTGACAATCGACTGATCAAGTGTCTCCTTCACCTTGGTTTTTAGATCTTCCGATGCCTTCATATCGGAAAACATCTTTGTCATTTTCGAAGTGTATTCAATCGAGTTCTCCTCTTGCAACCTGTGGATAACGCTCTCCTCCAATTCGTCTGACTTGCACGTACCGTTGATTAACCTCTTTGCCAAGGAGCGTCGATAGTGCTCTTCAAATGTATCTTTGTCGTTGATAAACTTAAACACAATCATTAAATTGTCGGCATTCATGTCAACGATATCGGCATCCTTCGCGTTGCTTTTAAGAAAACCGTCGGCATATTTGGCCAAATACTCAGGCGTCTTGCATGCTGCTCTGGGCTTTGGAAGGGCAATGACATTGTTATTGACAAAATGGCGACAAGCGTTATCTAATGATCGGATGAATTTAGTATCCTTGTTGAATGCTTGAATCACAATGTCGTTAAACTGGTTATATATTGCAATCAAGGTGTTGATGTAAACTTTTGGCTCCACTGCTGCACCCGGCTTTTTCCTGCCTTCTTTCACGTCGGCCTCGGTCTGGTTCTTGATCTTTTCTAACGACACATTTGCCTCTTTTTTGATATACTCTTCCAAAGCTGACGCCAAAGGGTCCAAGGTCTTTGGCACTCTCGACAAGAGCTTGTACATTCGTTGGATATGGTCGATCTGGTTCTGTTCAAGTAATACGATAAACTGGTCATACATTTCTGAGGCATGGTTTTCAATCATCGCTTGGTTGAGAATGTTGACGAATGCCTTTTTCGAGTGGTCTTCCAAAAAAGTGTTTGATCTCGAGATCTCCTCGGCCAATCGAGTCTCGCATTTCTTCATATAATCAACCACATTGTGATTAGCCAAGTATTCGCAGCTCTCCTTTGTGTAGTAGTTCATTGTGGCATCCAAGAACGGCCTTTCAAAAGAATTGACGTAGATGATCAAGTTTGGCTTTTTCAAATCCTGGATGTCGATGCTCAAAAATACCAACGACTTGATGGCACTTGAGATTAGATTTGTATCAACAATCAAATGGTTTCTCTGTTTCTCAATCAAGTCCAAAACCTGCTCAATCAATACTTCCGAGTTTGGTTGAAACATTTCGTTTCTCCACTTGATCAACGACAAGGTGTTGACGTCAAACACATCCTTTCGGCCATCAGACCTCTCCTTTTGCACCCAATACCTGTTCATGTAATCAAACACGTTATTCATGTATACGGCACCAATGGTGAATCTCGTCCACCGGCGCACGTAGAATTCTAAAAACGATTCATTGGGGTTCTTTTTCAAGTTGCGGATGAATTGCACCAAGTACATTTCCAATTTGTTGTAAATCTCTGCCCCTGCTAATGAATAGGAGTTGTTTTCGGTGTTGTTGGCAACTGATGCTGCCGTCAGGCCCCGCCTTGACTTGTTGACACAGTAATTGTAGACTGCCGTGTAGCAATTCATGTACATCGTCGACGTCACCCCCTGATCATTCTGAGCTCCAAGAATAAACTCCAACCCTGGTTGGATAAAAGCCCAGGTTGCATTGAGGTCAGTAAATGCTGGTAAGGTTGACATGAGAAAGCTAAGGAGGAAAGGTTGTGCTTTCAAGTACTTTTTTTTTTTTTTACTGTTTCCTTTTTTTGTAAAGGCAAATTAAACTATACATTCACCCTATCAATAACCCGTACCACGCTAATTGTAAATGTTAAAACCCAAGTTACTAGCACAACAAAGAGAAATGAAGAAAGTCCCTTTTGCCTACGACATATCGATGAAATCACTGGGTATGTGTTTTGAACATCCACCCCGTGTGGATTATTGTAGATCTCACACACCCACTCATCGTCATACAAAGTGTCAAATGCTAGCGATAGGTTGGCCGACGAAAATATAATAAATAGTAAATCCAACATCACCAAGCGAAACTTGCCTATTGGATCACGTAATCCCAATGGCTTTCCCGAGTATTCGTCGTATGCAATGTACACCACGTAGACCAAGGCGCATGTTTGCACAACGATGGCCATTATGGTGCTGGCCTTTTGGCCAAGTTCAGCTCCTTCGTACTTGTGGGTGGAAAATACAAAAATGCTACACGCCAACGCCAACGCAATGGCACAAAATATCAATGTCAATATCCTCAACGTCAAAGGGAGCAATGGATTTTGCATGAAAAACTTTCTAAATGCTGGCTTCAATTGCGACCTATTTTCACCCATCCAGTAGCCTGCCGTTGAGCGCACCTTTGTATCGTTTTCGCCGCGGTCTTTTGTTCTTGTGAATAGACTGTAGAAGGTACGATGTTTGTTTGCTTTATTGAGTTGCTGGTACTGCGTCTGGTTAAACTCCTCCTTCAATCTGGCATCGCCGCCCCAAGACCCATTTAAGCTGTAGTCATCGAGATATTTCTCATCAATCTCTACTCTCTCAGGCGGGTACGTTGTTGGGTGGAAAATGGAATTCTTGAACTGGAACCAGCTGCCATTGATATCGGTTCCGTACGGATCAGGGAACTTTTCTGTCTTTTCCTGTTTTGCAATCTCCTTTGGTATGTCCTGGTCCTGTAGGTTACCGTTGTTTCTCAAGTAAACCGTTTCGGCTTTGGATACTGTGTCTAGCACGTAAACGGGAATCACGTTTGGTCTGTGGCTATAGGTGTGGACATTTGCATCTCTGAATGGATCAACACGACTCCGTGGAGACGCAGCCTCGTCAGATGCAGGCGGCGTAGCCGACTTAGGCAGTTTTTCCGTATACTTGTCCGATAAGTCTCCCATTCGTGCGTGGTGCTTGTGTTTAATGGCCTTTAGGAGAAAAGGGTTTGTCAATTTTGTTATTCTCTGTTTGTATTGGTAGCGCGGGAAATAAAAGAAGACGGAGTTGGCTCCAATAGGACTCTTTTAGTCTCTGGTGTAGACACCCTTGCTTATACTATCCTATCGTTCATGGAGCTTGCTTGTTCTGCATTGTTTCATCAAACATGCTGAACTTAAGAGGCATGTTTGATCTAAAATGTTGCCAATTTTAGGCAAAGTCTCATTTCAGTCAAGAACTTGGCAAACATAAACACTACAAGAGGTGTATAATGACACTTTATTAGCCTGTTGCTTCTGATTGCTGCTTCCTACTGCTTTTTGCTGCTGCTTGCTCTTCTGCAAACTCTACCTCAGCAAACAATCTCTAAAATTTTGCCGTCAATTGAGTTGGCAGTTTTGTGTCACAGTATTTTCACGTCAGCAAACATAAGAACCGAGACATAGAAATCGCTTGCCATCGTCTATTTCCCCATCGCCCACTTCCCCATCGCTTACCCTGCCAAACATGAATATACCGCAAAAACTTCTACGCGTGGGACACACCCATCGGTTCTACTCATCCTCTATCCCCGACAAGAACTCCATCTACGTTCTCTCCATACCACTAACAACGTCAAGGTCGTTCATCTATTGCAACCACCGACCCATCCTCATTGGCAAGGCCCTGAAAGCGCCACTCATAAGCAAGATTGAGAGCAGGGCCGTCAACATTGCTACAAAAGGATGGAACAAGTTAGCGTCGTCCAAACTTACTGTCAACGTCAAGATTGTCGAGTGGATCCGCAAGTTGCTTGCAACTATACCGTATGAAGAAAACTGTCTCAGGTCGTTTCCCAACAAAGAGGCAATGATTCGAGAGATTAACGAAGAGAGCTTGCACTTGGTGAAACCAGTGGAGAAGAAGGACGATAGTGAAGGGGGAGGCATTGTTGTGAACCAATCGGACATCAAGCAGTTGAACATACCCGCCAGCCAGTTGAAGCCAATTCCTTTATACCATGCCCAATACCAACACCCGTCAATCATCCTCGACGAGTTGGTCCGTTTCCGCAGCGACAACTACAAGAAGCACAAGAAAGGAGCCGTGTTGTGCGCCATTGGCATACCGTTGTCGTTGCCGTTTGCATTGGTGCCAGTAGTGCCTAACGTGCCCGGCTTTTACCTCGCCTACCGCTTGTACTGCCACGTGAAGGCGTTATTGGGGATCAACCACTTGGACTATTTACTAGACAACAACATGGCATCGCAACACATTAGATTCACTCAACTTCCACAAATAGACGAGGCGTACGGCGAGCAATTGGGCGAAGATGGCGCAGATGATACTTTCGAACGGCTTCTCATCACCCCCGAGATAATAGACACACTCGTTACAAAATTGTCGTTGGAAAACAACGTCAAGGACGACTTGACAAAAGCGTTGATGCAAACAAAAAAGAGACTAAAGAAGAATATCAAATTAGACGATCAGGTTGAATAGATTAAAATGTATATTAATTGCTTATATTCTGTCAGGATATGCCATCATTAAGTGTTAGTATTACTAACTCATTACTCACTCATCAATAACTCGTTACTCACTCATTACTAATTCACTACTGAGTCATACAGTCAGCCCCTATAAGTCTTCAAGTATTTATAGTTAAACATTTTCCCTTCATTAGATATAGATATATTTTATAGCTCATCAATAAACTATCTACATCTTAAAGCACTGCATCTCTAACATGCTTGCTCTTTTATTGCTTTGTTGTTCCTTTTGCTCTTTCCCCTCCTCTTTGAACTCTGGATCTCGACCTAATACCAGAACAAAAGGACTCACTTGGCCCCTAGCCCATGTTTGGTATTTTGAGTCATTGCAAAGACCGTATCACGTGATTTGACAATACACCTCCGGCGACCGTTTTGCCCTAGCCTCATGGGAGAAAGGGGTAATTATTCTTTTCAAAACACAAAGAACACTTTTAAAAAGTTTATTTAAAACAAGCTATTTAAACTAAACAGGTTTTACTTAAGTCCATTCTCCTAAATTATTATAATCAACCGTAATGTAGTTCATAGCGTTCTGAAGCTGCCTCTATTGGACCAAGTTGAGGATATAATACCCCAAATTTTGATGTTCATTGAGAGCCATTGTTCTGCCACTCTCAAGGACTTCTGTAGCCGCGAGTTTGATGTATAATGGGGTTTCTGGGGACTTTAATAAATTCTTTAATCGGTTTTCCTCATTCGGGTATAGTTTATGTATTTCTTCTGAAGCTTCCGGCTTTAGCGATAAGTATATAGCGTTGGCTACCTTGCTTTTCCATTGAAGGGAAATGTGCAAGCCAGCGCTATCCTTGTCGCTAACACTGAGCACCTTCAGCTAGTAACAATCAACAATACATCTCACGTACTCCAATAATGTGTGTGATGGGTACCCCGCAGAACAAATGCAGATGTATTCGAGCTCAGGTTTCAAGCTGGTGGCTTGGTGATTAAACTCATTCATAGTTCCTCGCTTTTCAAAAACACAAATGGCCACATCCTTGTCTCTGCCGTTCTCGAGCCAGCCCTGGATCCTAGGAAAACTGCTGTGATCAAAAGACCCCTCAATTCTCAACATAGTGGCCCTAAAAACGCATTTGGTATCGGGTATTGCGTTGAGGTCGTTCAATTCAATGTTCAAAGCGAAAGACAATTTTCGAACCCGAGCGGCCACCACCCCCTGGCTAGACCATTGGCTCTGTTCTATGTAGTACAAGTCACGGAACCTGAGAATGTCCCCATCTGCCATGTTGCGGAGTAACCGGCACACCACCAAATGAAAATCTAATACAACATTCGATTGCGACAACAGTAACGTTTTTTGAGGGAACTTGAGTTTCAAATCGACGATGCCGAGCCTGATATTCATCAGACAATAGAGGCTCATCAACAAATCAATGGACTCTCTTCCACTGGCGATTTCTGGAGTTACGAGCACCGGCTGCGTCAAATCGAGTTTGAATTCACGAAAGCCGACAGGTACGCGTCCAATAGTTTCTCTTGTTTCTAGTGGTGGCATTTGATTGAATAGTTAAAGGAAAGAATTTGTGGCCTGAAATGAGCAAAATTGGGTCAGTTAGGGATCTTGAGTATGGAACAATAGAGATAAACTGGATTTCCCTACTTTAATATTAATGTTTTTAACTGCTGCTCAAACGTTAACTAATGTAAGTGATTATGTAACACATAGTTGAGGCTAGCTTCCTGCAGAGGAAACTATATCTATAAACAGGACAGGTTCAGGCTTGTTGACATAGAAATGGTATGAGCTTAGTAGAATATAGTATAGTTACACAACTATCTTAACGAATTATTTGCTATAAAACATACGCAAAGGAGTTTGGCCAGTAATATATAATATTCTGATACCGACTGCAGAGTATAAACATGTGATATGTATGCATACCTGGGTTCCGACTTGCATATATTTTATCTCCAATCGGTCCTCCAACCACTAGCTCCGGTGTTTCCAAGTACGAAAAAGGGGCCAATCATTGGGATAAAGGTTGGTTTGTTTTCGTTTGACGGGAGAAAAAAACAATCACAAATGTAAAAAGACACAAAACGAAACAAAAAAGAATGGTATTTCGGTTTGTGTTAAACCTTTAAACTCAAGATGGAATACTTTGGAAAGATAGTTGACTGTATTGCCATAGGGGTGGTTTTGTCAAAGTTATAAAACAATAAAAGTGAAGAAAGCGTATTGGATGTATTTCTGTCTGTATATTTCATTTCCGTTTATTTTATCCACGCATGGGTTTCTATTGTTTATCATTATCCTTATTTTTGGAGAGGTCATTTCTTCATTTTGTTGTGATTCCTTTTGTATAATTTTGTATGCTTTTGTATGCTTTTGTATAGAATATAACTTTCTATTTCATTTCAAACATTATAACTACCTTTTACCTTTTGTTAGTCATTTTCAAGGCGTTATGCGTACGGCACAGTTTTTGATCCTAACAGATATTAAGATGCGTTATTAGATAAAACCACAACCATATGTTTAAGGGTGGCTTAGTTAGAGCTGCAAAACAATATAAATTCAGATAAAGTATAGAGGCGAGGTAACCAAAGCACGGAATAGAAGGGTTATGAGGATCTAATAAAAGCAAAAGATCCATAATGTGTACATCTAGACCTACATGTATGCAAAGAAATTACAAAAGCCTGTGTAGAAAGAGCCACCCTTGCTTTGTAAAAGACAATAAACGAGCACTCTATTGTGTAGCTAGTTTAATCCTTTCGGATAACACAGGAGGAAAGGGAGGAGAAAAGGGATGAAGCGTACAATCTAAAGAGTGATCACCACGAGTGAGCACTATTAGAAAGTCCTTTCTTAGTTTGAGCTATAGACTACCCGTGTTCCGTTTAACGAAGCTTACCCCCATGAAACTTAGAGAAGGAGGAGGAAAGCGTGGTTTACATTTGCAATAATTTAAAGGTCGTGAAAATGGCAACTCTTTGTAATTAGACGATAGAGAACAACAGGGGATAGCTTGAGGAAGGGCATGTGAAACTGTAAATTCGGGAATTATAAAAAGGGAGTGATTTCTCCTGTTCTTCGAATATAAAATTGTCTATTGTATTCTTCACCAATCACTGCTACTTCGTAAACTGGAATGGTACGATGTATATCTGCTTCGCCTATCTGAGAACGACTTACTTACACATAGAGCAAAAGTTGGTGCTGCTGTTGCTTGTACTCAGGAGGACAGGGCTCAAAAAAAAAAGGGGGGGGGGGGGGGGACCACAGGGTCCTTATTAGGCAGACATCGAACAGACAAGTCAGGGATCCCTGTCTGAGTTGGTTTCCGTTCAATGGGGGAATTGTTGGCGTTGCAACTATGCGTTCTTCGAATGGAGCTTGAAGTGGGACTTTTCTGCGTGGATTGCTCCTGCCTTCTGAAGAATGATGCAACAACCGCCTAGTTCCGGTTTATCTCTCCTGTCCTTCGTCCAGGGGAACAGGTTACCGGTCCACTTTCTGAGTGGGTGTGGGAGTTATTGGTATCGCCTAAGTACTCCTTAAGGACAGCTGGCGGCGTCAACCAGACGCCTAGACATTTACTTCTGGCACTGACTTTCCATCTTTTCCTTTTTAAACGTCTTACAAGTTTTTTTCTCCACTTATTTCTCGTGGACTTTGTGTTATAATATACGTTAAAGAAGCTTTGTTACAGTCTTTTTATTTTTTATTCAAACTAGTGCGACATAATTTTTCAGACCAAGGCGAAAAAATTAATTCATACTAAATGCGATTCAGTCGATTCAGTCGACCTAACAATAATCTTCTGTAGAGTTTAATGCGTAGAGATGGTATGAACAATTATGTCGCACTAGTATGGATAAAAAATAAAAAGACTGTATATGATTTGGTTATAAGTTTTTATTATTGTGCAAGTTAGTTTCTCTCCTAGGAAAGTTTTTGTTCTAAAAATGGAACGCGAGATCACGTGTACACAACCAGGGCTCAAAATTTGCAAAATGTGGAAAATCTCACTCTAAATTCCTCCAATTGCAAACTCTGCATGTTAATCCAAACTGTATTAGTAATTGCAAAGGAAAATGTTGCTTGACTTCAGTAAAACTTTGTAGGAGAGTTCTTGTTTGCAAATCATTTCGTGTCGCATGTCACGTGATCACAGCGATGACAATTTGAAATTTGGTTTTTTTTCTTCTCGTCGAGGAAAGTTTCTCGAGACTATAAATTATTCAGTCCAGATCGAAATAAGTTTCCTACCCTCTCTTCTTTTCTTCTTTCTTTTTTCACTACAAACATTCATTATAATCCTACTTAGCTATGAGAGATAAGTGGAGAAAAAAGAGAGTCAGAAGACTCAAGAGAAAGAGACGGAAGGTCAGAGCAAGAAGCAAGTAAGCTTCTTGCTCTTACTTTCCAATCAAATTGATGCCTAGCTGAATTGAATAAATAATTTTACAGTTATCAATAAATAAATTTATCAAACAAAACAAATTGTAAATTAGAAACCTCTAAAATCATTGAATTTCAAGATCTTGAGAATGGCTTGCTCGTTGTTGATGTAGTACGGTGGTTTTTAGTCCCCGCAATCTAATATATTACGCGCTACTAACGCGAAGTGTGGAAAATTATTTACCAGTGAGTGGAGTGAGCAACCTTTGTTCCGAGAAGAGAGAGAGCCAGTGCCCAAAGCAACGGCATTCGGGACAGGTTGATACACCAATTTGCAGATGTGAGAGATTCGGACGGCTTGTTGATACATAGATTTGCCATATATCAATAATCAACCTTGCTTAATCATTGTCTTTTAAAGGACAAGAGGGGTTGTTTGTCACATCGCAGGTCGGATTCACAGAAAGTTTCGCAGTTCGGTTAGAGTTACGCATTACATATGTCCGCAGACTATCTACCACCCAGACAGGCTCATCATAGGTATGGGATTGGTTTGTCGATGGTCAAGCTTTCAAAAGCAGAGGCTTTTTCAACAATTGCAGCGCACCTGATTCGTACCAAACCACACGTCCAATTATCACCCCATGGCAAATGGAAAAGTGGGAAAGACAAATGGTCTTATCAAGAAGATTCGCAAGTTATTAGCAAGCGAAGAATTACAAGGACGGGAACTTAAATCACCTATGGCAGTCGACATATAAAATTCCACACCTAATATATTGTTGGAAAGACGCTGTCTTATCTCGCCAGCAGCAGATCAACAATCTCAGATGGATTTCAAGCACGCTTAATACAAGAATAACAAGCTATTACACGTGTTGAAAATTGGCGTGAAACCAAGACTCGCCATGAACTCACTCACATCGGATTGTTCCACCTTCAAACTCATTCGGAGGACAGAGCAGATCATAATGATTTGAAATTAAGAAGAACGACAACGCTCAATGTGTTGAGAGCTCCATTCGGTAGTCCAGCGATATTTGTAAACGGAGAATGCGTGACAAAAAGAAAACCTAAAACAAAGAAAACTGATCCAAATATTGTCGGTCCTTTTGAAATTATCATCTCTAATCATAAGGGAAGTTACAAGACGCAAAGCGGAAGAAGCTAAGTGGAGAGAAGCAAAGTGGTACATTTCACCGTGACAAATTAGAACCATAATACAACGACATTGTATGTATTGTTGGTAAACCAATCTAAAATAAAGCTACACCTTTTTTTTTGTATTCTCTCAATTTTGTGTTAAAATCAATATACTCTAAATATCAAACACTTACAAATGATATATATATATATATCTCTTTCTGTCTATCTCACTGTATCTCTCTTTCTGTCTATCTCACTGTATCTCTCTTTGTATCCACTTGCAGGTCAATGTAACAGAAGGCACCAGCATCGACAGTAAAACCCCGGAATTGTAAAAAATAAAGCAAGTTCTTCTCCAATTGCTAGGTTAGACGGTCAACATTAGCAAACCCATAAAGTGGTGTGTCCAATAATGGCCATTTGAGCAATAGCATTCCGGTGAAAACTGAACTAGTTATAATTGTCTTGTATCCATATAGCAGGTAATGCTTATTTAAAGTCATCATTGGTCAAATGAATATGCAGAGAGCTGTGTCTCAAATTGCTAGTAAAAAGTTTCCCATTGTTTACCCGCGGTAGGCGTGCCTGGTGCCGGTTCCAACTGAGAAGCTCTGTGAATCGTGATCTTACCATTCTTGGTCTCTTTACGAAGAATGCCACCCTCAGAAACCAATCCTAAATCGAACTTTTTAGCTAAACGCTTAGCATGGTACAAATCATGGTTATAAACTTCATCAACTGATTCGATAGCAATACGATGGCTGATTACGGCTTCGACCTATTCGGGCAACACGTTTGATTTGACTCCTCCATGGATTATATCAAGTGCTTTACTTGGCATAGTCAAGTAACGACCAAGCAACGACTTCTTATACCGCCAATGAGTAGTTTGTTTATTTGCAAACGTGTCATTCCAATATAGTAGATCTCTTTCCATTGGGATCTTGACATACTTCTGTTGGTCTTGGGATGGCTGATGAGTTACGAAAAGTGCCGCTGAAAAGAGTTCAACAAAGTTGGGTTCTTTTTGAGGTATGATTGGATGCACTTCTAATCACTGGCGACATAATTTCCTGGTCTTTCTTTACTGAAGTAGCTCAATGGATCAACAGAATGAAGGTTTGATGTGTGGCGTAAAAAATTCCTTGTCCTAAAACAGTTTACAATGATTGTCTGTTAAAATTATTGTTTAAGTAATTCTGCATATATGAGTAATACGAGTCAGAAATAGTCAAACGATAAATAAGCCACCTTTTCGAGCCGTACGAGATTCGTAGATCAAAAATTATGAACAGGTAGACCATTAACTACACCATCAACCTTTAGCTATTCCCTCAAAAGAATGTCTCGATCTTGTGCTTTCTCAGACATCCGGGATCCGCTAAACAGTCCGCGGTCCAACGCATTAAACCCATGTTTCGTTGCCGCGGTTTCATTAACCAGTAGTGCTGTCCTTGCTATTGGAGCAGTGAGCCAAATTATCCAGCTTCAATACTTTAATTATTATGGGCCGTTCAAGATTAAGTTCAGCTTTGGGAGCCCCTTCAGCTTGCAAAGTGTGGGGATCTTTCAAATCCTCAAATTGAACTTGGTGGTGATTCAGCTAGTCTTGTATGCGCTTTTGGTGTTGAACTTGCCAGGCTGGGGATTATTATCGTTCTCATTGGTGGCAAATATTTTTCTCCTTGGTGGTATCGTCTTGCCCTTGCACATTATTGAACCAACGAGAAGCGTAGTCCCATTAGCTTCACCCTCGTTGTACTGGCTGGTACAGGTCATTTTCACGTTTATCGTTTCCCTTCAAGACAGTGTAACCACAGTAAAGATATTCAACTACAACCCAGTAATGCGAGTCTCTGAAGTGTTTCTTTTCTTCAACTCCATTTTGATTTTGGTCTTTGAAGTGGGGTTGTATTCTCCTAGCCTCGAGCTTAAGGAGTATTATGATTTAAATGAATGGAACATTGACACTGTCCATAATTTCTGGTCTGAAATTACCTTTCGGTGGTTAGACCCTACCATCAAAAAGATTTACGAAAGTCAGACAATTGACGCTGAAGGCACTCCGCCATTACATTTTGAACAAAACTGTTTGTACACATACGACAAGACGTTGGACAAGTGGAACCATGCAAAGGAGAAAAATGGAGAAAAATCATTGTTCAAGGTTTATCTTTCCTTGTATTCGGGAAACTTGCTAATGATGTTGGTGATGGAGTGGGTGGCCATTGCATCCAATTTGGGTCAAGCTTTCTTGTTGCAACAATTTATTGTTTACTTTGGCAGTCAAGATAGAAAGCCTCCCGTGGTGGGACTCTTTATAGCTACAGCAATTTTTGCTTGTTCTGTTGGCAAGTACACATCGATGAATCGATTTGCAGCCATACATTTCCGCATAAGGTCACAAGTGTACTCTTCGTTGGGAACATTTGTGTACAGAAAGGCAATCAACCTTTCGGCAGAAGCGAGAAAGAATAAAAACAGTGGAGAGGTGATTAACAATTTGGCGGTTGATGTTCAAAAGATCTCGCAAGTGGCAATGTATGCGTTTGTAGTCAATTTGCCATTCCGATTACTAATAGGCATTTGGGCTTTGTACGAGTTGCTTGGGGTGTCTGCATTGTGTGGGTTTGCAACTGCTGTTGTTCTAGTTCCCTTGAGCAGCAATATCAGCACCTCAATCTCTGGGCTCGTCAAAAAGAATATGAAAATTAGAGACGAAAGATTGAAACTAACTTCGGAGATTTTGCAGTCCATCAAAAGCATCAAGCTTTATGCTTGGGAGCAACCAATGTTGCAAAAACTTTTTGGAATTAGAAATGATAAAGAGTTGGTTATGGCAAAACGAATTGGCCACTTTAATGCCTTTTCAATGTTTCTTTGGAATACTATTCCATTTGCCATTACTATTACCTGTCTAATTTCGTTTGTCAAGTTTACCAACATTTCACTAACCCCATCCATCGTTTTCCCCGCATTGTCGTTGTTTGATTTTTTGACTGAACCAATCATGCAGCTTCCCGACGCCATAGTAGCCATCGTTGAAGCAACAAACTGCTTTTCGAGGTTGGACGAATTCTTTTCCATGAAGGAGAACAAATCGGGAGTGGTGAGGCTGAATAGGCTGGTGTCGCAAGGTGATGTCACTGTTGCCATCAAGAATGCCACGTTTTCATGGGACAAGGACAATGTAGCGTTGAAAAATATTGATTTCACCGCCAGATGCGGCCAACTAGTATGTATTGTTGGAAAAGTGGGCTCGGGAAAAACTGCAATGGTGAAATCTTTGCTAGGAGAGGTTCCTATTTCCAAAGGGTTGGTCGAAGTAAATGGAAGTATAGCTTATTGCGCTCAGCAGCCCTGGATCCAAAATGCATCGGTGAGAGAAAACATATTGTTTGGAAATGAGTTCAACGAGAGATATTACAACAAGGTTCTCGCTGCGTGCCAATTGACGTTGGATTTGGAAATCTTGCCCGATGGAGATGCCACGATTGTGGGTGAAAAGGGTATCGCTCTTAGTGGTGGCCAAAAAGCAAGGATCTCATTAGCTCGGGCTGTGTACTCTAGAGCCGATATTTACTTATTAGATGACGTTCTTTCCGCTGTCGATGCGCATGTTGGTAAAAGCATTATACGCGATGTAATAAGAGGATTATTATCAGACAAGACGGTCATCTTAGCCACCAATGCCATCAACGTTTTACGATACTCGCAGGAAATTATGTTGCTTCAAGGGGGAGAAATTGCCGAGAGAGGCGACTACAAGGAAGTAATGGGGAGAGGTTCAGAGTTGGCAAGACTCATCAATGAACATAGTAACGATGTAGAGGAGGAGGAAGAGGAGTATGTACGCCGATCCAGTGTTGTATCGAAAAAGAGCTTGAATGAAGGAGAGGAGAGCAAGGTCACACCAGCTATCGCAAGGGAAGCAAGGGCCAAAGGCAATGTAAAGTTGAGCGTGTATCTCGAGTACTTTAAAGCATGCAACTTCCCCATGATCATTTTGTACGTGTTTATCTACGCTGGAAATGTCACTTGCAATATTGGAGCAAACTATGTCCTCAAGTACTGGTCGGAAGTCAATTTGGACAAGGGCTACAACTCATCAATTCTGTTTTATCTCACAATTTATGCCATGACAGGTATTACCGGTGCTGCTTGTATGCTCGTGGCTGCTTTGATTATGTGGAGCTACTGCGTTATCAGAGGCTCAAGGTATTTCCATGATAGAATGGCAAAGTCGGTGTTACGCAGCCCCATGCAGTTTTTTGAAACCACCCCAATTGGGCGTATCTTGAACAGGTTTGCCGACGACATGAATGTCGTTGATCAGCAGCTCATTTGGTCCATTTTGGCAGTTATTGATTACGGTTTGTTAGCAATTGGTGTTCTTTCAGTTGTTGTGTTCAATCTTCCAATAATGCTTGTCGTTATCTTGATTCTTTTGGCAATTTTCAACAGGATTAGAGTGTTCTACATCCCATCTATTCGTGAGCTCAAGCGATTGGTGAGTACATGCCGGAGTCCGTTATTTTCGCACTTGCTGGAGTCTGTAAATGGTGTTGAGACTATTCGAGCTTTTGGGCAACAGCACAAATTCAGTGACTTCAATGATCAAATCACAAACCGATTCATTAGAGTCCACTATACTATGTTGTCCTGTAACAGGTGGTTGTCAATGAGGTTGCAGACTATATCAGCCTTTATACTTTACTCGTCTTCGCTATTCATTCTAACCACTTTGGATACACCTCACGAGTTGAGTTCAGGCTTGGTTGGATTTGTGTTGGTGAATGCATTGAGCATCAGTAATGCCCTCAGTATGATAATTAGAGGCTGGGCGGATATCGAAACAAGATCGGTTTCCTTAGAAAGGGTGATTGAATACTGTGGATTGACGCCAGAAGCACCCGATACAAAGGATTACAGACCACCGTCAAAGTGGCCCACCAATGGTGAAATACAATTTAACAACTATTACACAAAGTACAGAGACGATCTTGATCCAGTGTTGAAAGATATCAACGTGAGTATCAAGCTGCGCGAGAAGATTGGTGTTGTTGGAAGAACAGGTGCCGGCAAGTCGACCTTGACAATGGCATTATTTCGTATTGTTGAAGCAACGTCTGGTAACATTGTGCTTGATTCAGAGGCCACAGATCAGCTCGGGCTTTATGATTTACGCAGCCTGTTGAATATCATTCCGCAAGATTCAAATGTTGTCGAGGGAACAGTGCGTGACAATTTGGACCCGTTAAATAAGCATACTGATGACGAGTTGTGGGACGTGTTGAGACTAGCTCATTTGAAAGACCACGTTGAGCAATTAGTGAGCAAACAAGGTGACGAAGAGAAACTGGGTCTAGGTGCTATGGTCTTCGAAGGCGGGTCGAACTTGTCTGCTGGACAACGCCAGCTTCTCTCGTTAGCCCGGGCGTTATTGAACAAGTCTAACGTTTTAGTCTTGGATGAGGCAACTGCTTCAATCGACGTTGAAACTGACAGAATAGTCCAAAGCACAATCAGAACTGAATTCAAGGACAAGACAATTTTGACAATTGCTCACAGATTGGAAACCATATCTGATAGTGACAAGGTTTTAGTTCTTGACAAAGGTGAGGTGAAGGAGTTTGATTCGCCTATTAATTTGTTGAATGATAAAAGCTCAATGTATCGTGCATTGTGTTTGGAAGCTGGGTTGATAAGCAAGTAGAAAGTGGCAAGAGGTGTTGCAGAAAGTGGCAACATGTATTGCCAGAAAATGGATGTTTTATTTATTCTTTAGAAGGGTTAGTTATAGAGTAGTTATAGAGTAAAAATGTAATCATTGCGTTACTGCAATGTCTCAAAGAGCGAATCTCGAGCGTGAGATCGTGGGGTTGTTATCAGCTCTTTGGAACTTTCAATGTCATTTGCGCTCATCACAAGACTTACTTCCTATGCTGACCCGTTTTATATTTCGGTATAGTCAATACAAGTGTCTCTTAATTTCTGATTTTGCCCACACAAAATAAATTTGGCCATCTACTTTATTCCCCACCACAATGAAGACAAGTCTACTTACCATCCCAAGCAAAAAGACCGAGGAGGTCTCCTGGGTAAAGCCACTCAACAACTACCTACTCTCGATATATGGAAACACTTCGGCTTACCAGACGGACATAACTTCGTTTGAAAAGTTACGTCAAGATATCAGGGGCGTTCATGCCGACAACACCGGATTGAGATTGTACTTTAAATACTATAGCCAGTTGGAAGTATTGGACGTCAAGATCCAGTTCTCGGTGTTGAATAAATCAAAGAAGTTGGACTTTGTTTGGCATGACGCATTTTCGCCTGAAATCACCCACGGGCAAAATGCCTTGCCATTTGAGAAAGCCAACGTGTTGTTCAACATTGGTGCATTGTTGGCCAAGTTTGCCATTACAAAGTACAATGAACTGCAAAGTAGTAACGGAGCTGCCACTGTGAAAGATGCCATCGTTATGTTACAGCAAGCGGCAGGAATCTACGAGTACTTGAATGAGAACTTCTTGCATGCGCCTAGTGACGACTTGAGCCAGTCAACGATTCGATTTTTAAGCAAGTTGAGTCTAGCACAAGCACAAGAAGTGTTTACCTTGAATGCAATTACAAATGATTTAGACCAACTGAAGAACTCATTGATTGCCAAGTTGTGCAAATCGACAAGCTTGCAATATGAAGAGTGCTACAATATGATTAGTCAAGACGAAAAGGAGAGCTTCCAAGTTGTTGATGACTATGATGATGTGGGAGACGATTTGGACGTGCCAGGGGACGACGAAGAAGATTCGCGATACGTCAATGCACAATTGGATCCTTCTTGGATTTCGATTATATACTTCAAGACCCAGTACTACAAGTCCTTATCACTTTACTTTCATGCGTTGCAGTTGGAATCTGGGAGAAAGTACGGGGATGCAATTGGCTTTCTAAATCAATCGAAAGCGTTGTTGGAGAATATAAGTCCACACACGATGAAAACTATTTCTAAAGGACATGGCAACGTGTATGACTTGTTGGATAACTACAATTATCAAAAGGATGCAGTGGGAATCAAGTCAGATGAGTTGACAAAGGACAATGATTTGATCTATCACGATTTGGTCAAAAAAGATGCCAACTGGAACCAGTTACTGCCGTTGCAGGTTTCGAAAGTTGTTCTCTTGAATGATATTCCCTTGTTGAAGGAGGTCAACGAGCAAGGTTACCAAAACTTTTTAAGCAATGTTGTGCCAATCAACATCCACGAGTTGTCCAGCTTTTACTCAGAGGAGAAATCACAATTGTTGAGAAATGAAATCGACTACTACGAGGTATCGAAAGAGGAGACGGAGTCGTTTCTTGAATCGTTAAAATTGCCAAAGACGTTGTACCAGATAAAGCAGGCTTTAGAATCGTCCAATGATGACGAAATTCCAAATGAGGTTGTATCCAAAGTGAGCGCAATATCAAGCGCCTATGAAAAGGACCAAGAGTTTGAAGCAGAAAACGTGAAATTGAGGCAAAAAATTTATGAGACAATAGTGAGGTTTGATCCGTATAGCCACCAGGATGAAGCAATTAACCTCAAACGCGCCCTCTATGAAGCTTCCAACTCGGATAAAAAGATATCTTCTTTGATTGAAAAGTCTTTTTACAAAACTTTATCGAAGGGCCCTAATGCCAAGGAATTCCGCCAGTTATTCGAACCAGCCTCTGCTCCGGAAGTTAGCTTGATTGATAAAGACGACAGCCAGGAGCAACAAATTAAAGTGATGGAGAATTTCTTTTACGATTTGGGAACCATTAAGGCAAAAAAAGCCAATTTGATAGAAAGATTGAAAAAGGATATTCATGCTGATGACATTTCCAATATTCTAATGATAAATGCAAAGCAAATGAGCAACAATGAAATAAAGAGTGTTATATTCCCGGCCGAGTTGAAAAAATTCCAACCATTTATTGATAATTTGGACAATCTAATCACCAGAGAGAAGTCGATACTTGCCGATGTTAAGGCAGAGTGGAGCAGGCTATTGAGTGATCCTGTAGTGCGCAAGTTGCAAACTAGAAATCATGAGAAAGCTCAGCTATTGAATGATAATGTGGCAAAGATTAATTCTTTTTACGACAATTGGACACAGTATCATGCCGGGTTGGAAAAGGGCAACACTTGGTATACCAAGCTTCTCCAACACTGTGAAGAAATTGCAAATGCGAGCTCACTAAACAAATCCATGAACTCGATGAGGTTAAATGATCACCAAGACACAACTTTGCTGGGTGGAACAGCCAGCGCAAACACAACAGGAGGACAATGGGGCATGAACTATGGAAACACTCCGTACGCACAGGTGTCTCCTCTGCATAATGCGCCGCCAATTCAGCCACAATTTTCTGGCTTTAACAGCCAGCCTTTGCAACCGCAAACAAGCAGCAGTCAGCAAAGTTTCCCACCAAGTATGCCTCAGTTAAACTCACAGCCCTCATACTCTAGGCCGCCACAACTACCACCAAAGAATGTGCAAAACACATTATTTAGTTCAAGAGCCGCAACTGCACCATCACCAGGACTGCACAATCAAGAGGAAAAGTCAAGAGTTCCACCCTGGCTGCAGGGTAATAAAAGTTCAGATTCTAAGAGTGGTCTTATTTATGATCAGCCATCAACTTATGATCCAAATATGTATGACTTTTTTAGCAAGTAAGTAAATTGTTTTGTGTGTCACTGCTTTTGAAGAGTCTCTTGGTTTATGTGGTGCTCGTACCACCATCGCAATTCTACAATTCAAGAATATGCTTTGGTAGTTGCCAATCTCTCTAAGGAAGTGTTATTCTCAGTATCTCTTCCCACCCCTTACAAAAGTCGCGCCAAATTTATGTAATTAATTGTCCAAATCAGGCAATTCATAAACAAAAATAAAAAAAACGTCGTGTACCCGCCACCAGCTAAGAAAAAATGTCAAACGCCTGACGAAGAAATTAATTAAAAATAGATTCTCTCTCATCTGATTCAGCAAAGCCTTGTAACAGACCACTGGCCCTTGTTTCTTCACCCATCACCCAAAAGTCAAACGACAACCTAACGAATAAAATACCTCACCGAAGTATTGCTTACGCTCGTTCAGATTCAGTACTTTCTTTCTAGTAGTTTTTTTCAGTTTATTACAAGTCACAGGTCTTTTTATTCATTACACTCGTTTTCGTTTTCAATTCACCATGAAGGCTATTTACGTTTTATTTTTGACACTACTAAGTGTCACCATAGCTTCTGATACTGTCACATGTAATTCAACTCAGAGCTGTCCTGAAGATTCTCCTTGTTGCTCACAATTTGGTGAGTGTGGAACTGGTGCCTACTGTTTGGGAGGGTGTGATATTAGGTACTCATACAATCTTACTGCCTGTATGCCAATGCCAAGAATGGACGACTACTCAAAGACATTTAATTCAAAAAGCGATGTTAAAGAGATTGAACTGGCCAGTGATTACTTGGGTAATGCCACTGAAGCAGACTGGGTTTACACCGGTTGGGTTGATTACTACAATAGCTCATTATTGTTGCAAATGCCTAACCACACTACTGGTACCGTTCTTTCGTCTACCAAGTACTTGTGGTACGGTAAAGTTTCTGCCAAAATGAAGACATCACACGGTGGTGGTGTCGTTACTGCATTCATTTTGTTCTCTGACGTGCAAGACGAGATTGATTACGAGTTTGTTGGTTATAACTTGCAGTCAGCTGAGTCCAACTTTTATGCGCAAGGTATTTTAAACTATACCAATTCGCAAAACTCCACCGTCAATGACACTTTTGAATACTACCATTTGTATGAAATGGACTGGCATGAAGACCACATCACTTGGTCAATTGATGGTAAAGATGTTCGTACGTTGAATAGGAACGAGACTTATAACGAAACCACCAAAAGGCATGACTTCCCTCAAACGCCATCAAGAATCCAGTTTTCCTTATGGCCAGGAGGTGACACCTCCAATGGTGTTGGTACTATTGAATGGGCTGGTGGTGAAATTGACTGGGATGCCGAAGATATCCAGAAATACGGATACTTTTACGCTCATGTGAAAGAGATTGACGTTCAAGTTTATGACTTGCCATCAAATGTGAGTATGAGCGGCAACTCTACCGATTCCGATGATTACCATGCATTTTTATATGATAGCACCGATGGTGATGACACGAATATTTATTTAACAAACAAGAAAACCTGGTTAGGTAATGATGATGCTACTGGGTTTGATCCAGATAATGATAGAGACACTCAAAACGAAAATGAAACTACAACCATTGTGAAAACGAGTGGGTCATCAACTATAACCAGTGTCCTGACCTCAACCAAAAAGGTGTCAGCTAATGCGCCTGCACAAAATACAGCAGCAGCAAACCAAGCAACTAACTCTGACCAGGCAACTACAACCTATGATCCAAGTGCTGGAGTCGGTGGATTTGTTCAAAATACAAAGGAGACTTCATCAGCGGGCTCATCGAGTAGCGGTGGTGCTGCGGGTATGGGCCAGGAAGTGGGTAAAGGAGGCGTTTTGATTGCAATTGCGTTTGGATTTATTTCGTACTTTATTTGATAGCATTTTAAATACAAAAAGTTGTATATGATGAAAGACTCTACAAAAGTAAGGACCTCCATTATGGTTTCTTCTATGACACATTGTAGATCCCCAATTGAATCAAATGTCTCTTGTATTATTACTCAAATGGTAGTGCGGTTATGCGTGTACAAGATCTATTTTATTTTTTGTTCAATTTTTTTTTTGTTGTTTTCATTTTTTTTCATTTTTCATTTTTCGTCGGAAACCAAACAGCGCATTAAAACAAATCCAATTGACAACAACGTGATTCAATAGTCAATTAGAACACACAGAAAGCCATGAAGATGTTGACTAAATTTGAGTCCAAGTCGTCAAGAGCCAAAGGGGTGGCATTCCACCCTAAAAGACCTTGGTGCTTGGTATCATTACATTCATCCACCATTCAATTATGGGACTACAGAATGGGCACCTTGATTGATCGTTTTGAAGACCATGTGGGTCCAGTGAGAACAGTCAATTTCCACCCAACGCAACCATTATTTGTTTCGGGAGGCGATGATTACTCCATTAAAGTTTGGTCGTTGAATACAAGAAAGTGCATCTTTACCTTGAATGGACACTTGGATTATGTTCGTGGCGTTTCTTTCCACCATGACTTGCCTTGGATATTGAGTTGTTCCGATGACCAGACTATCAGAATTTGGAATTGGCAAAATAGACAAGAGATTGCTTGTTTGACCGGCCACAACCATTACGTTATGAGTGCTCAATTCCACCCCACTGAGGATTTGATTGTCTCGGCAAGTTTGGACCAAACTGTTCGTGTGTGGGATATTTCCGGCTTGAGAAAGAAGCATTCAGCACCCACTTCATCAAGATCGTTTGAGGATCAACTTCAAAGGAACCAATTGCCACAACAAGACATCTTTGGTAATATTAATGCAATTGTCAAGTATGTTTTGGAGGGCCACGACAAGGGTGTCAACTATGCCGCATTCCACCCTACTTTGCCATTGATTGTTTCGGCTGGAGATGATAGATTGGTTAAATTGTGGAGAATGAGTGACACCAAAGCTTGGGAAGTTGACACGTGCAGAGGACATACTGGTAATGTGTTGAGTGCAATTTTTCATCCCCACCAAGACCTCATTTTGTCAGTGTCTGATGACAAGACGATACGTGTTTGGGACTTGAACAAGCGTGTGCCAATTAAGCAATTTAGAAGAGAACATGACCGTTTTTGGTTGATTGCCAGTCATCCAACAATTAACCTCTTTGCTGCATGCCACGACTCGGGTGTCATGGTTTTCAAGTTGGAAAGAGAAAGACCAGCACATGCACTTTTCCAAAACAGATTGTTTTACATCAACGGAGAAAAGCAAGTTCAGGCATTTGACTTTCAAAAACAAGAAAGCTCCTTGCCCATGTTGTCGTTGAAAAAGATTGGCAAGGCGTGGTCGTTTATGAGGACTATGGCCTATAATCAGACGGACAATTCTATTTTGGTAGTTCATGGAGAAGGTGACAATTCCAATTATGCTTTGATTACATTGCCAAAGCACGCCACTGGTGCTATTGAACCCACTGACATCAGGCAAGGCGAAGGTAACTTTGCCACCTTTATTTCACGTAATAGGTTTGTTGTGTTTATCAAAGGCTCAAAGACATTACACGTCAAGGATTTGAGCAACAATGTAACTAAAACCATCCAGTTGGATCTGTCGGTTAATGATGTGTTACCTGGTGGACCCGGGCGCGTCTTGTTGGTAAAGTCACATTCAGTGATTAATTACGATGTTCAGCAAAAGAAAGAATTATCGGAGCTTAGTGTCAACAACGTCAAGTATGTCAGTTGGTCGAACGATGGACAGTACTTGGCCCTTTTGTCAAAGCACACAATAACTATTGCCACCAAGGATTTGGAATTGATTACATCAATGCATGAAACAATTAGAATCAAGAGTGCTTCTTGGGACGACTCTGGCGTATTATTGTACTCCACTTTGAACCACATCAAGTACACTTTGTTGAATGGTGACAATGGTATAATCAAGACTTTGGAAAACACCGTTTACATTACCAAAGTCAGTGGAAATTTGGTTTACTGCTTGAACCGTTCGGGTCAAGTTGAAGTTATCAAGATCGACCCTACGGAATACCGATTCAAACGGGCATTAGTGAATAAGAACTTTGGCGAAGTTTTGCGAATTATCAAGAACTCAACATTGGTGGGGCAAAATATTATTGGTTACTTGCAAAAGAAGGGGTTCCCTGAAGTTGCTTTGCACTTTGTCCAAGATCCCGAGACGAGATTTGAGTTGGCTTTGGAATGTAGCAATTTGCAAGTGGCATTGGAGCAAGCCAAGATTCTCAACAATAACAAGATTTGGGAAAAATTGGGAGAGGAGGCATTGTTGCAGGGTAACATTGACATTGTTGAATTTGTGTATCAGCAGTTGCATTTGTTTGAAAAATTGGCGTTTTTGTATTTGTTCAAGGGCGATGGTGAGAGATTGAATAAAATGACCACTATCGCTGAACACAGAGGTGATGCTTCTGCTGTTGTGCAAAATACCTTGTACAACAACGATGTCAAAAAGAGATGTGAAGTGTACATAAAGAGTGGTATGTTGCCCTTGGCGTACACTTTGGCCAAGTCTAACAATTTAAATGATTATGCTGCTCAGATTTTGGAAGAAGCAGGTGTTTCAGAAAAGGATGTTGAATTGCCTGAATTGGGCGATGCCGTTCCGCTTCCGCAACCAATTGCTGAACCAGTTACAAACTGGCCATTGAAAGAGTCATCCTTATCATACTTTGAAACTGCTTTGCTTACTGGCAAGGTTGAAAACTTGGGCATTGAAGAGGACAATGACAAAGAGGTTGCAGGTGGTGCCGATGCCCATGATGTCAGTTTGAAATTTGATGACGAGGCTGAAGATGGGGAGGAGGAAGGTGATGCTTGGGACCTTGATGAAGAGTTGGATATTGGAGATGATGACGATTTGGTTGGTGATGAGGCAAACGATGCCTCCGCCACCGCTGCCGCTGCCGCCACTGCAACTACGCTGGAGAATGAAATGGGGGATTGGTTGCGTAATGCCAAGACTCCCGCCACATATGTTGCCGCTGGTGCATTAGAACAAGCCGCGTTGTTGTTGAATAAACAAGTTGGTGTTTCAAACTTCGAGCCGTTGCGTGACAGATTCTTGCAAGTGTATGGTGCGTCGAAATTGTACTTGCCTGGTATCACTGACTTACCAGCTATGAAGACATATATTCGCGAAGACACTGATGAAGAAGATTCTAAAAGGTTTAGACCAATGGTTCCTGGATATGACACTTTGGAAGATCAATTACAATTGGCATTTAAAAAATTCAAGGCAAATAATCTTGAAGATGCAATCAAGACTTTTAGATCCGTCATTTACACAATCACCGTGTTGAATGTTGACGATGAAGCGGCTGAAACAAAGTGTCAAGAAGTGTTGGTCTTGTGTCGTGAATACATTCTTGGTTTGTCGATTGAGTTGGCACGTCGTGCATTACCTCCCACCGACGTGAAACGTAACTTGGAATTGGCATCGTATTTCACCAAGGTGCAATTGCAACCAGCACATAAATTGAATGCTTTAAATGTGGCCATGACTCAATCGTTCAAGAATAAGAATTTTGCCAGTGCTTCATATTTTGCTGATGAGTTTTTGAAAATATCCAACACGGGCCCTCGTGCCGATCAAGCAAACAAATTGAAGGCAAAAGCTGATGCAGTTGCTAGTGATTCGGTTGAGATTGATTTCGACCCATATGCCGAATTTACCATTTGTAGTGGCAGTTTCACTCCGATTTACAATGGTGAGCCAAGTGTTGCTGAAGCCTTGGTGGGAGCCTCTTATAAGCCACAGTTTAAAGGCTCCGTCTGTAAAATCACCGAGATTACTACAATTGGTGTGCCTGCCTCGGGGTTACGTATAAGAACGTAGATGTGTTTTAAAAGAAGTACAACATTGTGTATTGTATTGTAAGAATTGCGATATGTATAGCTCTCTTTGACCTCGTTGGAGTGGTATATACGTCTCCTACACTGTTGAGGATGTGACTTGTAATAATATTACTTGTAATAATATTAATAGAATAGTCAAAAGAAGAAAAAAAGAATAAAAATAAAAATGTTACAATCAGCACAATAAGGTTTTCTCTTATTCTTTGGGGCGGTATGTATAACCAAAACAGGTTTATAACGCTCTGTGTATGTTAGAGTTAAAAAGTTAAGGTACACGTACTAATAAGTGGGGGATGTGTGTTATAATAATTGGGTTACAATTGCAACCATACCTCTTTATTTTTTTTCCTTTGTACTTAATATGAGCTAGCTACAGGTTACATTCTGAGTTGAACGTAACCTGAGAACAGGAGATTTTATAGGTTCGGCTGGGTTCCAAATTGGTGAAAACGCTATGACTTTTTAAGCTTGATCACGCATAGGTTGTATTTGGCTTTGTTTTTATTTTTTTGTTTCTTCATTTATTTTTGCAAGGCTTTTCCCAGTGAAATTCAATTCACCATCCGAGTGTAAAATAAAAAAACAAATTACACCAGCATAACACAGTATTGTTATATTGTCAATGGCAAGACTCCTGTGTGACTCTAAGTTGAAGTGGTTGTGAATATTCTTATTTTTCTTATTTTTCTTATTTTTTGGGTTTTTTTTTTTTTTATTTTTTATTTTTAGAATTAGAATTAGTCCAAAGGGGAAGCGCAAAGTAACAAAGAACCACTGCCAAACCCAACATATGCATACGCGTAGGCAGAGAGAAAGAGAGAGGGAGAATCAAAGGTGTAATTATACATATGTAACTCATATTGTATATATAAAGATAAATTCATAAAAAGTATTTATTCCTACATTATTTCGTTGTCCTTTTCATTGTTTCATCAACAATTTCAATAGTTAAATAAGAAAAAAAAGAGAGGACAAAAAGGGGTCCTCCTTCTTCAACGAAATTTTTGAATCTAATTTTTTTCTTACCATCTTTTTCTTTTCACATTCACTGGCCCCTTTCACTTGTGTGATATCTAAGATCTGAGTGGGAGGAAAGTGACACTGAGAAACAGATCTGTATACAAAGATAGTATCAGATTACTGCAAACCAAAAAATTAAAACTGACAAAGATCTGAATTTGACACATAGTTTTTTAATCAAACTTCATCATACTTCAACATACTTAATCACGCTTGATCACACCTAATTACGCCTAATCATACTGACACACACACAATGAAGGGATTAACGCTATTTGGGTCAAGACTGCCATACCTTAAATACGTTGCTGTAGTGTTGACCGTGTTGGTAATATACACCCTCACGCAAGGAGCTACACTGTACACGAACATCAATCAAGAAGTCCAGAAACAACAGCAACCACAACAACAGGCGTCAAAGCCTAGTGTCGAAGATGTACAAAAGTTTCATGATCAAGTGCTTCTGAATGTGCAGGGTGATGCTGATGGAGCCGGTCCGCTTAGTGAGGACGAGAGGAAAGCAGCCGCTGATGAGGTGAAAGAATTTGCCCAGGACCACAAGGGCCCAGTTCAAGATGCTCGTCCTCTTAGTGAGGACGAAAGGAAAGCAGCCGCTGCTAAAGTCAAAGAATGGGCCAAGGGTCAACAGGGTCAACAAGGGCAAGATAAGCCTCAAGAGAATTTAGCAGCCGACAAGCCAAAAGATGAATCGTCGCAACTTGTTGCCTCGAGTGACACTAAAGTTAAAGCTACATTTGTGACTCTTGCTAGAAACAAGGAGTTATTTGACTTGATCAAATCAATCCGAGTGGTTGAAGATCGATTCAACCGTAAATTCAATTACGATTGGGTGTTTTTAAATGATGAAGAGTTTACCCAAGAATTCAAAGACTTGACCACGGCTATTGTTTCCGGTAAAACCAAATATGGAAAGATCCCCACTGAGCATTGGTCATATCCAGAATGGGTCAATTTGGATAAAGCTGCCGAATCGCGTAAGAAAATGAAGCAAGCCAATATAATCTATGGAGATTCAGAGTCATATAGACACATGTGTCGATTTGAGCTGGGGTTCTTTTGGCGTAATCCATTGTTGGATGACTATGAATGGTACTGGAGAGTTGAACCGGGTATTGAAATCAATTGTGATTTGAATTATGATTTGTTTAAATATATGCAAGACAATGATAAAGTGTATGGATTCACTATATCAATTCATGAATTTGAGAAGACCATCCCTACATTGTGGCAGCATACTAAAGATTTCATTGAAAAGAACCCACAGTATGTGGCCAAGGACAATTTCCTTGATTTTATCAGTGACGATGGTGGCAAGACATACAACTTGTGTCATTTCTGGTCCAATTTCGAAATTGCCAATTTAAATTTTTGGCGTAGCGATGCCTACAGAGCCTATTTCGACTATTTAGATTCCACAGGTGGGTTCTTTTATGAACGATGGGGTGATGCTCCCGTGCATTCTATTGCCGCCGCTTTATTTTTGCCCAAGTCCAAGATCCATTATTTCGAAGATGTGGGGTATAGGCATCATGTCTATGGCCAATGTCCATTAAATCCACAATTTAGATATGAGCATAAATGTTCGTGTAATCCTAATGACGATTTCACATTTAGAGGATATTCGTGTGGGAAAAAGTATTATGAAAAGATGGGATTGACTAAACCGGCTGAGTGGCAACAATATCAATAATAATAATGATGATGATGATGATAATGATAGTAAATAGAAAAACAAAAAAGGTTAAATCATGGGGGAGGGGGGGAGGGGGGGAGAGGTGTAGTGAGAGATTATATTTATAATGGGGTTTAGAATGGGGTTTAGAATGGGGTTGGTGAGTAGTACATAGAATAGACATTATGTTTTTTGGTTAGACTAGATGGATGAATGATGGATGAGGTGTATGTTGATGTTGTAGAAGAGAAAGCAAGCTGTATCAAAGGTATGTGTATCTCAAAATGTAATAAATTGTCAAAAGAGTTTAGGTAAAGGGAGAGAAATAAGGGTCTTCTTCTTTTCCATTTCCTTTAACTCCATCCCCGATCTCATCTCAACAAATCTCTAAAAAGTATCTTTTTTGCAAGATAAAGTTTAAAAGGATTTCCAATGGAATAATGATCACTCTGGTCTGATATTATGTTATGTTATTTTCTGGTTAGGGATCTGGTAAAAGTTCAATCTTTAAAACTGAACTTTGGAATATGCGAAAAACACAATCGTATCATTATTTCTTATTTCCCTTTATGGCCTCTTTTCCACCTTAAAAATGAGAAACATGCTTTTACTTGGCATAAACAAACAACCCTTGGTCTAAAAAGCTGTGAAATGGGTATATTTGTTTCATATGTACAGTGTGTGGATACGAATAAATTGTGCCATGGTACACTCCTTTTATTTAATTTTGTGTAACGAAAGCTTTGGACACGTAGTTGTTTATATGCACGTAATATAACCATCATACGCGACACACGATACACGACACACGAACAAATTTACTTTCAGATAAAGCAAAGATAAATAGTGTATGTTGTTCTCATTTGTGTTTTCTTCCTTGTACACTACTTTTGTTCCCCTTTCCTGTGCTGGTGAATAACTTCTACCAGTACAATTTTGTATTTTGTTTCGCATATATCGTTACTCTAGAAGAGAAGAAAAGAAAAGAAAAGAAAAGAAAGGTATGTATGTAACAAGGCTTAAATTTTTGTACTAAAAAATCCCTATAAAGCTTAAAATCTAACAAAATAATGGTTCTTGTAAGCGCCACGAAAGAAAAAGAACACCAAGAAAAGTGGCATGGCTTGTCCTTGAACTAAAATGCATACCATAAATTGCATTACTCCTTCTGTGCGTTTAGCAAAGCGAAAACCCTGGTAAAGCAAATAGTTTGGTTACTTTCAAAAAGTAACATAAGCAAAAGACGCGTCAAATAAAAAAGGAAGGAAAATAATTTTAGCATGTAAGAAAAAGGAAGACAGAGAGAAAACACACCATTTCGATTCGATTTGGAGAGAATGTATCGACAGAACCAATATCTCTGGCTGTATCTAGGTACACACACGTACACCGGTAAAAGATCACTATTGTCTATCAACAGAGTTGGTATGCCCCATTAAACAAACGCCTTGACATTTCTTCTTCTTCTTCTTCTTCTTCTTCTTCTTTTCAAAACACAAAAAGTCAAAATACAAACCAACCACTACGTGTAAGATTTCAAAATTTTAAAAAAATTCTTTTTAACAAACCAACTTTTTCTCTCGTATAATTATCTTTCATTTCCCGATTCTTTGATTTTACAAAAAAAACAAAGAGATTTTATACTTCTCTATCTTGAACTTCAATTATCTTTTATATTTCTATTTTATTTTCACACCACAAGAGGTCTAGTTCATATCTTTATGAAAGAGAAACGGACAGGGGATTTAACCATGTCTTCCACTAGATCCAATGCCCGTTTAATCCGATTTGGGATCCTTGCCTTGGTCTTGATAGGCTGTGGCTATATACTCACCAAAGGCTCATCTTTCCAAGTACCATCAACAACAACAGCATCATCATCATCATCATCATCATCACAACTGCAACTGCAAGTTCAGAAACCTCCTTCTTCGCAGCAGAAGGGTACAAATGTAGACGCTGGCCAAGAACAAGATTTCCAACTTCCATATACTCCCAAAGACATGGGTCCATTAGCTAAAGGCCACCTCGGTCCCGATGGATCCCCGCAATACATCCCCCAAAACAACATTGACCCAGAAACTTATTTCCCTGATAAGGACAAGATCAAAGCCACATTTGTCTCCTTGGCGCGTAATCGGGATTTATGGTCATTAATGGACTCCATCAGACAAGTTGAAGACCGATTCAATAAGAAGTTCCACTACGATTGGGTTTTCCTCAACGAAGTTGAATTTAGTGACGAGTTCAAAGCTACTGTATCTAGTGCTGTTAGTGGTGAGGCCAAATTTGGATTAATTCCCAAAGACCATTGGTCGTATCCACCATGGATCGATCAGGAGAAGGCGGCTTTAGTTCGTGAACAAATGAGAGAAAAGAAGATCATTTACGGACACTCGGAATCGTATAGACACATGTGTCGATTTGAATCGGGTTTCTTTTGGAGACAGGATATTTTAAAAGATTATGAGTATTATTGGCGGGTTGAACCAGATATTAAAATCTTTTGTGATATCGATTACGATGTGTTCAAATGGATGAAGGATAATAATAAAGATTACAGTTTTACCGTGTCGTTACCCGAGTATAAAGAGACCATCCCCACTTTATGGGACACCACCAAGGAATTTGTCGAGAAGAACCCACAATACTTGGCTGAAAACAACTTGATGGATTGGGTTAGTGACGATAAGGGCAAGACATACAATGGATGTCATTTCTGGTCTAATTTTGAAATTGCCCGCTTGGATTTTTGGCGCAGTGATGCTTATAGGGCCTATTTCGAACACTTGGATAAAGCCGGTGGGTTCTTTTATGAACGATGGGGTGATGCTCCCGTGCATTCTATTGCCGCGGCATTGTTTTTGCCGAGAGATAAGATTCATTTCTTTGAGGATTTGGGATATTTCCATGTTCCTTTCAATAATTGTCCTGTTGATCCTAAAGTTAGATCAGATAGGAATTGTGTTTGTGATCCTAATAAGGATTTTACGTGGAGGGGATATTCTTGTGTTACCAAGTACTACACGGTTAATAACTTCAAGAGACAAAAGAATTGGGAGCAATTTACTGCTTAAACTTAGGAAGAAAACAAAGGTATTTCGATAGGTTGTGGCGATAGAAAGATTATCAACTTAGTTCTGTTGTTTTTTACGTCTATATATATATATATATATATATATATGTAGTTAGGTAATGTTTGTCAGTATTTGAGACACATTACCAGCACCAACAGTTGCTCAAGGTTACTCTGTCGAGGGTTTCTCAACTTAATGGTATAACAGATATTGGGATTGTGACATGTGACTATTTTTTATTTTGTGGCTGTTGCAAAAATAAAAGTAAAAAAAAATAATTCGAACAAAAGAAAATATTTGAACTGAAAGACGTTTCAAATTTTGCACTGGCCTGGCCCTTATTTTTAAATATGCGTTTCAGAGTCTTAAAAATATAATCCATTAGTATTGATATTGGCTAGTATAGGTAGTTTTCGATTTATATTATTATTAAGATTAAATCTTTAAGATATTTTCCTTTTTTTTCTTTTTATGCATGTGTTTGAAAGCAAAGTTTTCTACAGGTTACGTAACCCACAAGCAAAGTATATTGTTGGTCACTGAAATGGGGCTAATCTGAGTCTATTCTGATTGGGAAGTTGTTTTTATTCTAGTAATAGATTGTCATAGTTAAGGAGAAACACTTTTCTAATTTAGTTTTTTAGTGGTGATAAAGTAAGATTTATAGTTGAAACAATCGTTTTATTAAATAAATAGCTCTCGTAAGTTACTCTATTGTTATTAGTTGTTGTGTATAAGCACTTATTAATGATGAAATGTGGAAAAGTGGAAAGAAAATGAATATGAATATGAATATGAATATGAATGTGAATGTGAATGTGAATGTGAATGTGAATGTGAATGTGAATGTGAATGTGAATGTGAATGTGAATGTGAATTTATTTCAAGATTTCTTTCTGAAACAAATTGAAAATGACACAAAAACCGCACACACAAAGTAATCACAGCAAAAGCTATACACTGAGTTGGGACTTTTTCAATTTGATTTATCAGTTAGTCATTCTTCCTCTTTCTCTTTCTGTTAATCTCCCTGAATTAAAGGACTAACTTCTAACTACAGTCAATACACTAAACCCACAAGCTACAACATTTGCTCCCCATCCCCTCCACTCGAATTTAAATCAGGATAAAGAAGTGTTATTGATATTATAGACCAAAGGAAAAGAAAGTTTAAACTCCATTAGCAACTTCCCTTTCTGTTCAAAGGTGTGAGTGAGTGAGTGAGTGAGTATCTGTCTCACAAAAAGAGTGTTGTATTTTCTTGTTTCAACCCCTAGTCATCCCTTTTTCTTTTTATTCTCCCACTTGCTTCTAACAAAAGTGATACCAGTGTTATCCACTACTAAGACTCAGATAAGTTATTAGTTTTCACAGTTGTATCATAGTAAAAGAGTTTCATAAAGGACTTAAAAGGTGCGCTAAAACAATAAGAAGAATCAATTCGCGTCTTTTGCAGACTTTGTTCCTTTTTTTTCTTTGATTTTTTTTTTTCTTTTATTTCGTTCTCCTTGAATTTTATTGCACCATTATGGTTTAGTCAAGAGGATACTACTCATCATCATACAACTGCTACCACTACCACCACCACTGATTCTGCTTCTGATATTGCAAGTTCTACATCAAGTTCCAATTCTACAACAACAACAACTTCGTCTTCAAAAGGAATAACTAGACTGATTCTTACTTCTTCATCTCCTAAATCCCAACCAATGCCAAGTGATAAACTGACTTCCAACAAGGTGGCTTCACCACCTGTGGCAATACAAAGCTTACTACAACGCTCGCCAACTAAACCCCAAACTGTCTTACATCCATTGCCTCTACCACCGGCCTCAACAACAACAACATTTACTTCTTCTGCAGCTAATAACCATAAACGCAAGACGTCAACTACATCCCCCTCCAATGTCAGTCCGCCAACAAGTTGTGGATCAACTACTAGCACTAGCAGTACCAGCACTTGTAATAGCACAACTTTGCAACCACCAAAACGTCACAAACCCATGTCTCTCAACTTGAGTGCTCCCAATAATGCCGACTTGGCATTGAGGATTGTTAGTCCTGGACTACCGCCCTTGGACGATGAAATGAAGTCAACTATAAAACTCTCACAAAAGATTCAGCAACAACAAAGGCATTTAATTGCTAGTAGACACGGTTTGGATGTCGACCAAGACAAGTTATTCCAGGATCACAGTGACGCTTTTATGGATGAAGATGTATTGCCTGATAAGCTGTACAAGCCTTTACCAGAAACAATCTCAAAAAGTCAAACTACTTCGCCTAATGAATCAGACAAACAACCTGGTGAACTTGAGGATACTAAGGGGATATACCTTTTACAACTGGAAAATAAAGAAAACACAGTTGATGGATCAGAAACTCCTACAAAATCACCAGTGTACGCTTTAGATGACTCGGATATAACCAGACTATCCGGTTTGAAAAATAGGAGAATGAAGAGAAATAATGTTCCCACACCATTAAATATCGGAATAACATCAAACAAATGTCCTCCTAGCCTGGTGAATCCAAAGCTGAACATTGCTCCATTATCAATTCGATCGGCTCCTATTAGGTCAGCACCACCACGGCCAACTATCAATATGAAGCCACGAGCAAGACAATTTGGTAATATTCCTCCTCCTCATAGGCCAATTAATCTACACCAAATGCCTCCAATGTACCAACAGCAACAACAACAGCAACCATATTATTATCCACCACCACCGAGAACGGCACGAAATGGACCATCAATGGCATACAATTTGAGACATGGACGCCCATTGGCACCACCTCAACATCAACAACCCCTTGGGCCATTGTCACGTGGTGTAAGACTAATGCCAGTGCCCAGTGCCACTGCACAGCAATTTCCCATGAGATACTTGCCTATTGTACCTCCATCTTCAACTATGCTTAATTTTCAACAAAGACAGTACCAGCAACAAATGCAACTGTCACAATCACAAAGAGGAGTAAATGCTGCTCCTACTGGGAGAGTACAAGGACAGGGACAAAGAGCAGGCGTTGTTACTGATGTATTTAGTGGCAATCTACAAAAAGCTGCTCCTTTACAATCACAGCCATTGTCATCACAAGTTGAATATTTCAAACGGGCCCATGCTAGTGGATTATTGGATCAAGGTGGAGATGACGAAGATGATGAAGTTGCGGAAGTTGATATCGATGATGACAAAGCACCAGTCTCACAAGACGAGATTGAGGAGATGCAGCAAAAATATGCGTCTAACCGAACAGTAATACCCCAATACGTGCCAAGCTACCAACAACAATACCAACAGCAATATAGTGGTGCCAATGGCCCAATGATGATGATGATGACGACGACGCCTATGGCTGCTCCCGCCCCTGCTCCTGCAGGATACAGTCCACCGTCATCGAGTGGGCTGAGGGGAGAAGTTTTCGGCAGTATTAATTTTATGAATGAGAGTATATTCAATTTTAGAATCTTTGAACGCAAGAATAAGTCGGGAGAAGAGCAGAGTAACAATAATACTGGGGCTGGCGAAAGTGCAAACATTGATTATGACGCAGAGAAGGAAGCATTGTCGGCGCCTTCTTCAGGGTCTGCATCATCATTGGAATCCAAGATCAAGTTGGCTTCATCCAATGTAAATGAGTCTGTTTCAAATGCGGATGTACCTGCTGAGGCAGATGAAGGTTTATCTAGCCAGAATGAGGAGAAAAAGCCACAAGATGCTAGTGAAGTTGAAAAGAACAAAGAGGTTGAAGGTAATGATGATGGTATTGATATTGAAAAAGACGATGGACACAAGACAAATAACGAGATAAATGAAGATTGGTTAAAATACGAAAAGGAAAAGTTCATGAAGATTTGTGAAACGTGTTGGGATGAGTTTGTCAAGTCAAGAAATGAAGAAACGTAATTCAAAATCTTCCTCACAGTGAGGGCGATATCCAATAAAAGTTATCCTATTAATACGGTTGGTTTAGCTATGTTTGTATATGTGTATGTTATGGTAAATTAAAAAAGATTTTTAGTTCTATATAATCTAGTGTAAGTTATTGGTCGTTGGAGATCTGATTACCAATGCTAAGTTTGCAATCAAATCTAGATTTGTATGTCGTAAAGTTGTATTGATAGATCCGCGACACTGAAAAAAAAAGCCAGGAAAAAAGAAAAAAAAGAAAGACCATTAAAGTCAAATGGGTGACAAATAAAGATAAATACTATCTTCTAGGATTAGAACTCGCCACTGTCACACACACATCTATGTTTACCAGTGCAGCATCACTTAGAATCCTAAGTAGGTCGTATATCTCACGATCCACTAGAATAAAATCGATAAGTCAACCATTGAGCCATTTCATTATACCACGACTGTTTTCAACGATACCTCGCCACTCGTTTCATCAATCGTGGATAAACTTTAACAAACAACAACATGAGGATAAAAAGGAGGACGACTTAGAGAAAACTAGGAAGGAATATGAGGCTAAGTTGAATAAAAACTCTGAAGGGAAGGAGGAGACTCAAGAGAAGGAATCTAAAGATGAAGACTCCAAAGATAAGAAGAAAGATCAAGAGAAGGAAGAAGAGGAGCAGATACGCGAAGAACTAAGAAAAAAGTTTAAGGAAAAGCACCCTGGGGCAGAACCAAAAGATTTCAAGATCTACAAGATTGAATGGAAACAAATTGCCAACGTGATGTTTCTCACCACCACGTCGTTATTGCTTTGGCTTTATATCATTTCTACAATGCAAGACGAGAAGGGACAACAAGAATTGTCGATGCAGAGCTTTATAACAAACTACTTGGAAAAGGGATTGGTCACCAAGTTGACCGTGATTAACAAGTATATCGTTGAGGCCCTGTTGATCCCTGGAGCTGTAAGCAGCGCCACTTTCACCAAACCCGATGGATCGCCAGCGGTTCTGTTTACTATTGGATCAATAGAGTATTTTGAAGATGAACTCAACAGAGTGCAGGACCGTTTGGATATCCCCATCAATGAAAGAATACCGATTGTTTATGAAGATAAGGGATCGTGGATGAGTTACATTTTGCCTATATTGCCCACAGTTTTATTAATTGGTGGATTGTACTATTTAACAATGAGACGTATGCCTGGTGCTGGGGGCTCTGGTGGCGGTGCTGGAGGCGCTGGTGGAGGACCAGGAGGAATATTCAAGATTGGAAAATCCAAAGCCAAGTTGTTTAATCAAGAGACTGATGTTAAGATAAAGTTCAAGGACGTTGCCGGATGTGATGAATCAAAGGAAGAGATTATGGAATTTGTCAAGTTTTTGCAAGACCCCAAGAAATATGAAAAATTGGGTGCCAAAATTCCTCGTGGGGCAATCTTGTCGGGACCCCCAGGTACCGGTAAGACGTTGTTAGCTAAAGCCACTGCTGGAGAAGCAGGCGTGCCATTCCTCAGTGTTTCTGGTTCTGAATTTGTCGAGATGTTTGTTGGTGTTGGTGCATCGCGTGTACGTGATTTGTTCAAGACGGCAAGAGATATGGCGCCGGCCATCATTTTTGTTGATGAAATTGACGCCATTGGTAAAGAAAGAGGCAATGGACGCATGGGCGGTAATGATGAGCGTGAAAACACCTTGAACCAGTTGTTGGTTGAAATGGACGGGTTCGATACTACTGATCATGTGGTTGTGTTGGCGGGTACAAATAGACCTGATATTTTGGATAAGGCATTGTTGAGGCCAGGTAGATTCGATAGGCATATTTCGATTGATGTGCCTGATGTCGAAGGAAGAAAGGAGATTTTCAAGGTGCATTTGAATAAATTAAAGTTGCAAGCGGTGGAGGATATCGACATTAAGCAAAAGGATGTTGACTTTGCCAAATTCCAACAGTTGAAAAACAATGCTATTGAGCAATTGGCAGGAAGATTGGCGGCTTTGACTCCAGGATTTGCTGGTGCTGACATTGCCAATTGTAGTAATGAAGGTGCATTAATTGCTGCTAGAGAAAATGCATCTGCAGTTGATGTCCACCATTTTGAACAAGCCATTGAGCGTGTTGTTGCTGGGTTGGAGAAGAAGTCAAGAATTCTTGCTCCTGATGAAAAGAAGACTGTTGCTTTCCATGAAGCTGGTCATGCTATCTGTGGATGGTTCTTAGAGTATGCTGATCCATTAGTTAAAGTATCAATCATTCCTCGTGGCCAAGGTGCTTTGGGATATGCACAATATCTACCAAAGGACCAATATTTGACATCAGAAGAGCAGTTTAAGCATAGAATGATTATGACTCTTGGTGGAAGAGTCAGTGAAGAATTACATTTCGATACAGTGACTAGTGGAGCTTCTGACGATTTCAAGAAAATCACGCAAATGGCACAACAAATGATTCTTAATTTGGGTATGTCGGATAAACTTGGTCAAATATGCTACGACACTGGTGATAATGGCAATGGTTTCAAAGTGCACAACAACTATTCCGAAGAAACAGCCAGGTTGATTGATGAAGAGGTTAAGCGATTGATCGATGAAGCATATGTGGCTTGTCACAAATTGTTGAAGGAAAAGATTGATTTGGTTGATCAAGTAGCTGAAGAGTTGTTCAAGAAGGAGGTGTTGACGAGAGAAGATATGATTAGGATTTGTGGCAAGAGGCCATTTTTGGAAAGAAATGATGCGTTTGATAAGTATATCCAAGGTCAAGATGCATTCAAAGGTAGGCCTAAAGCCACGGATGATGCTCCACCTGCAGCACCCGCTTAGAAATTCACCAAATAGTTCGGCTTGTTTGTGCTATTAGAATTTGATGATGATCAATAAACTTTTTGTATAGTCTTGTATATAAACTATTAACATTACAATCTGTTTTAGTGAATGGAATTATCTCTGTATAAACGTGTTTCTCAATCAAATACTTCATCAATTGAATCATAGTCCAGGTCAACTTGGGTTTTAGCTGGCAACTTGGTAGGACATCTATCATCTTGCGAACGAGTGGCCAAGACCTTGAGATTACTTAGTAAAAAGGTACGTTTTGTAGGTGAGTCATCATTTGGTTTTGGGTTTTGTGGGGGAATCTGTTGTCTCATTTCATGATTTGGGTTTCTGTCTTTATCATTTGACTTATCCTCAAATCCACTGACTGACCTTATTTCCATAATTTCAATATCGTCATCACCATCATCACTATCATTGTCATCGCCAACCATAGGTGAACTTACACCAACTGGCTCATCACCATTTCCAATCTTAGCTTCACCTCGCGTCATCGCACAATGTCCTGCATCAATCAAATGGGCCCGCCATTCATCATACCCGCCATCGGTCATATACCCACACCCCAAAATGGGGCAAAAGATAATTTGTGTTTGCAAACTACATGTGCCACTCTGTTTATGTTTCATTAAATCTTTAGCATGCAAGAAAAACATTTGACAGTTGTCGGCACCATTGATTTTTTGATCACATTTGTGTACATGTTTTGAAGCAGGTAAATCAAAACGCAAGGGAAATTCACGAAGTAGCCTCTGCTTATTGAGGTCGGTGATTTGATTGTCAATTGACTCATTGTTAAGCAAGCCATGTTTAGATTCAGATTTAGGTTCAACTGGGTATCCCAATTTGTAAAGCAACTTCGAGTGATGTTTAATAAGATGTGATGAGTACACTTTTTTATTCATGGTGCAATATGAGCAGTTGTTAACATAGCAGTTGAAAACTTTAAATGCCAGTGATGAAGCAGTATGGGCCCTATTCCCCATGAAGTAGTATGGCTCTTCAACTATGCTGATTTGTTCCTCGAACGATTCACAAGATGTGCTACTTGGCAAGGTCACGGGTTTTGGCGGCTTCGAAGGGCTTGATGAAAAAGACGACGTCAATGTATGTGTTCCATATACATCCATTTGTTTTATATTAGTGGCATCTTGTGGGGAACTTGCTGGCAGCGATTTACCAAGAAACGGTGAAGGTTCAAACCGACTCTCATTTGCCAGTTGTCGACTACAGTTCTTGTTAGATTTTGGCAGTGAGTGATCTAAGAATAAATGACTAACATTATGCACAGAGTCATCGCTTTCGTCCCTTATATCATCCTTGTCCGTTACTTGACGATGTTTCATCAGTTTCACCGGCAGCCGCTGCTGTTGATGCCTTGTTGAAATCAAGCCAAATTCAATTCCAGATCCTCTTTTGGTTTTCGATATCAGTCTTGGAATGTCACTTCCTGACAGTGACTCCGGTTCTGGTGTATATCTTGCTAGAGGCCCACTATTTGGCCCCAATCGTGGTGCATTTAATAGTGTCAATTCCTGCTGTTTGAAATATTTTGCATTCAGCTGTCCCATTTGATATTCTTTCTCATCATTTACATAGTCAGCACCTTCCACCTCGTTCTCATCTCTTGACTCTTCATTCGCGTTCTCTTCATAGGATTCATCTTCCTCGACGGTGTTATCAGCTTCGCTTCCATCATCAATTGAATAATCGCTAGATATATCACTTTCAGTTTCACTATATTCAGAAGCAGATGTCTCAGACACTTGCTGATCGAATATTTTTCGTTTCTTGGTAGGCGATTCGTCTGTTTCAACTGCAGTGGGGACTTGTCCTTTAGTCGGCGAGATATTGCGGAATGAGTCTCCTGTAATTGAAGCAAATTGACTACTCGATGATTTCAGTGGTGATGAAATCTGCATACGACGCCTCCTATTTTTATCCTGTTGTTTCAGAGAACGCTGCTCTAGTTTCCGTAGTCTGTTTCTAATAGCTTCATCTTGCTTGGTATCCCCCTCCTGCTTCCATAACTTGAATACTGTGAGCTTCTTAGCACTTTTAGCACCACCGCTTCCACCACTTTTGAGTCTATTCAAATGCCCGTTATTGGTAACAATGTCTCCCGTCACCAAGTCAATTTCGTCGCTCTCCATGTCATCATTTATACTCAGGTACTTTGATATTATACCAGTCCATTTATTCTCAAGTCTGTTTAAACTATCCTTCTCTAGTCGCTTCAATCTAGCATGGAATAGCTGCTTGTCAGTTGACTCTTCTATAAGTTGCTTGATGTCCCTTGTTGCTTCTTCAGGATACCTCTCATCGCCATCAAGCTCTTCATCACTGGATATTTCAATCAGCACATCTTCTTCTTTGGAACTGGTCTGATTCTGGTTCTGGTTCTGGTTCTGCGCAGGTCGTAGTGATGGAGGGTATAATGTTAGTTTGAATGGTACAGGAGGTTTAGGCTTAGGGTCCCCATTCGCATGTTGTATGCTACTTGACTGTTTCAACGGTGGCATGTAGTTAAACAACCTGGAATAAAGGAAAGCTTGTGTTTTTTCTAGAAACGCAAAATCAAAAAAAAAATTAAAATCCTCTTTCCGCTCACTTAGACGCGTAAAAGGTGAGACGGAATTGAATCAACAATCAATGGTTAACAATTAGTTCAATTTCTACTAATACACACCTGTGAACGTAATGATCCTACACAAATATTACTCTTTGCTGTATCGATCGTATATATATATATATACAAGACTAAAAGTACGAGCCGCCCCTGTTTCTAACTATATACAATATGGTGTCAACATCTGTCCTTTCTGCCACTTTTCTCATCTCATTTCACTTCCGAATTATCAACAGTCGAAGTCCTTTCATTATTCTTATTCTTCTCCCAACAAAGCCTGAACGCTTGCATTTCTTTTAGGCATTTTCTCCAGTCTCCAGTATCTGCATGACATAGTTGCAAGTTCAAGTTTTCTTGATGACATCCGGTGTCAATGATTCTTTTGTCCCATTCATCAGGTTCATCGTCATAATCGTCCACACTGTTCGACTGGGAAGTGTTTAATATTGTATTACTTGGTTTCATTTTGGGTGCTTTCCTTTTACACTGTTTGGGAGAAAGTTGTGCACCCAAGAAATCAATTTTTGCCAATTTAGTGCTACCAAGCACCATCACTAATGGACACTTCTATTACATTACCGATAAACTTCTTTATATATACACTTATATCATATCTAACTAGAGTCTAAAAATTTATTTACAAAAAAGCAGAACTAGTACACCAACTAGAACCCAAATCCACCTTTAGAATAGGCCATTGGTTTGATATCAGGGTGCGGACTAGCTTTAAATGTTTCTTGAGTCAAGGTCCAAGGACAATTATCATCGTCAACTTTCCTATATCCTTCACCATCATCCTTTTCTGGATCATAACCATCATTTTCAGTGAAATGAACAACACCACCCAAATTACCAGTAGAATCACAGTAATCGGGGGCACTAAACACCGTAATCAATCTTCCCTTTTGTTCTTCTTCAACACCGCTCATCCTAACTTCATGTGATCGTAAAATTTTTCGTACCTTGTTTGAAAGACAGAACCTTTCAGTTATATCAGGTCCAAATTGCATTCCAATTCCACGTTTCGAAGGCGACCTTCCATTTTCTTCTTGTGGGTCGGTCCATAATAACTCCATAGCAACTCCTTCCTTAGGTGGTTGCGTTGATCCATTCTTGGGGAACCGGTTCAATGATTTGATATCTTGCAATGTCACCTTATCGTCAGAAAACAATCCTCCGTGCATACACAAGTATTCTCGGTTAATCAAGGTCGCCAATGGCAATGCACCAAAAGATTCACTAAATGCATCAAAAATCTTTTTCGAATACTTGGCTTCACATTCATCAGTGAACCCATACGTCTTGTTCATATCGCTAGTTTCATGATTACCACGATTGAGGAAAATAGATTGAGGGAAAAGAATCTTCAACACATACAAGTATAATGCCACTTCACAAGACCAAGATCCACGATCAACAAAGTCACCATTGAATAAGTAAACATGATCCTTGGAAACGTAACCGAATTTCTTGAATAAATTCAATACATCATAAAATTGACCATGTGTATCTCCAACAACAGTTAACTTCAGTCCTCCAGTAATTTCGTCCTTGTTCTCAGGAGCCTTCAACTTCGAATGCTTGATGGAAATTTCCGTCATCGTTTGCTCTTGTCTCAATATTTCATTGACTTTGGAAATAATGGCAAAGACGTGTTTTTTGGGCAACTTGCCTCCCTTTTTGAATAATTGAATCATATACTTGAGATAGTCTTCATCCAATCCTTCAATATTCACCACCACTTGCTCCTTGTTGTTCACGTCCTTAGATTTAGTGGTGCTAATTTGCAAACCAGGCCCTTCCCATGTCTTCTCCACCTGGATTCCCTCGTAATCAATGGTGTTTAAAATGGAAACGTGGTCTTCTCCAGCAATGGCTTTTTCAAAAGCTTGTCTTTTCAAGTAATTGGTACATTGTTTGTAATTTTCCAAAGTCAAGGCATCATTGGGTAATTTCTTCAATATAATTTGAAAATTCTGTTGCGCCTTCTTGTGTTGCAATATCGCCATTTGAGCAACACCTTTCCTATAATACGCTTTGAGGAAGTTGGGGTTTACTGCAAGTGCTGAGTCACAATCCTGAATAGCTAAACCGTAATTTTCCATCTTTATATTAACTTGAGCTCGATTGGAGTAAAACACGGCATTAGTGGGGTCAAGCTCAATGGCTTTGGTGTACAGGCTTATGGCCTCGTCAAACTTGTGTTCTTTCAAGTACTGATTCCCTTCATCTTTGACCTTGATGGCCTCTTCCTTATTCTGAGACATTTAAAAACTATTACAACGTGTTGTAAGTGTTTAGTTTCTGCTGTTACTGAGTTCTTACTTCGGACCTCTTTCTTCTTTATGCACTTCACCAAATTGGGAAATATTTTTTAATTTTTTCTTCTTTTTTTTGGGGTCGTGTGCCATTGCTGCAAAATAAAACAGCCGCAATGAAGAAGGCTCCTTACTACAGCCTATATACAATATACAATCAGTTGCTGAATCGTAAAATTGTCCAATATCTAGACTATTCCTATGTAAGCTATCAATAAATGTACCTCTTGCGTGTATCTACTGTTGTAGCCAGGTATTAACACCATACACTTTCCATTTCGTCTTTCTTTGATCAAACAAGATATTTTGCACAAAACCCTTTCGTTTGATATAGACTAAGGTATCCTCAGAGATACTCAACCCATTTACATCCAATGTATCTAGCCGCAACCCCGTACCCAATAATCGCATCAAATCGACCCCATCAAATTGATTAAAGCCGAGGTCCAAATAATGTAATCCCACTGGTTGTTGAATCGATTGAAGTTGTTTTATTATATTCATCATTGATACTGTATCTATATTCATATCCGGCAACAATAAATGCAGTAGCTCAGGACACACAGATAGAATTTTGTTTAATTCAAGCTGTTTCCTACCCGGGATATGAAATGATAAATACGTTGGGCAACCTAAATTGAGATATTTGAGCGATTTACCGCAGGTGGTTAAAATTTTCTCCAATCCAATGACTGAAAGACAAGTCTTGTACAAGTCCAATTGCTCCATGTGGGAAAATTGGGTAATATAAGGGAAATAAATCTCTTGTAATGACATGGTGGAAGCCACTCCATGTTCTCGAAATGTAAAATGAGTCAATTGAAATCCAGGTTTATAATTGAGTAAGATTTGCAAAAATATGAGTAGATTCAAGCCAGGATTATTTTCAAGGTATAATTTGGTAATGTTGCTATGCCGAGTTAAGAACTCGCCAAACGTAGGTAAATGGTTGCTGAAATTGAAGGAACACATGGTCAATTCAGTCAAATTTGGAAAGTTGTAATCGAGTAAAACAGGGCATGGATTGTACGTGGTTGGGGATATAGTCATTGACTCACTGGTTAACAATTTCACATGATTGACCAAAAACAATGTTTCCAATTTGTATGAATCCATTCTCAACAGTTTGAATTTCTTAAACACCTTATCTTGTAATGGCACCATGTTCATAACACTTCGATCAGGTATCATTATACAAATCTTTAAATGCTTCAATTGGGGAAACATATTCAATAGTAGCTGGGGATACTTGATGCTACAATTGATTCCAAGTGACAACGATTGTAAATGGTGGAAATTATTCAACTTCCAGGAATACTTGGCCATCAGCGCATAAATCAATTGCAAATTCATCATGGGATCCATCACTTCAAAAGATTGTATTGGAAATTGTGGCTCTTTGATTAAAACGGACAATACATGGGGAAGTTTCTTATTGTACACTTGATTAATTTTGAGCCTCTTGATTTGTTTAGAATATGTATGCGATGCATTCTTTTTGAAGAATTTAACACCTTGGGTAAACTCATCTAACGTGATGATTGGTTTGCAATCAAAGTGGTATAATTTTAGTTGCATCAATGCACTGTACCATGATTTGGAAACCATTCGACATTTATAAATAGTCTGTGGGGATAGGTGATGAAATATAAGGTTCAAGCATTCCAAAGGGAGGTAGTTTGTAGGATCTATGTCTCTGGTTACTCTCCTCTTCTTTACCGGGGTATGCGACTTGGTAGATCCAAGTCTACTGGTGCTAGCACTAGCGCTAGCACTTTGCAAAGCATCAGATGCCTTTCTTTCTGCTTTCAATTCTTGATTCAATAGTCTATACTGCTCTTTCAATTTATCATATAATTTAGCATTCGCCGTATGCGTCCCTTTCTTGATCAAACTCTCAATAACGTAAAGTCCCCTTTGATAAGTCTTATAAGCCTCGTACTTGTTTCCTTCCATCATATGCAACTTTCCAATTCTCAAGTATCCCTTGTAATCGGAAGGATCTAATTCAATCAGTCTTATTGAGTCCCTTAATGCCAGATCGTACTTTTCTAGTTTTTCCAATGTTGCTGCTCTCTGATCAAGGTAAGTTGTAAGTTTTGGGTGTATTAGTTTCCCAACTTCTGGTATCTCTTTCAATCCATATTGGGCTCGTATTGCTTTAATATCCTGGCTGGAAAATTGTCGAACTTGGTATATTAACTTGTCGTAGATGCTCAAGGCTTTGACATAATCACCCGATTTGAAGTAGAGTACAGCTAGTTTACTCCTATCATGTATCAATTGTTCATCAAGCATCTACTGAAGTATCAGGGGCTCTCTGTTTGTCTTTAAAAGACCCGTGAAGTTGTGTGTTTTTATGGACTTGTAAACAACAATGAACTTTGAGAAAAAGATGCGCGTCTGCTTCTTTTTATTTTTATTTTTATTTTATTTTTTTTTTTGGTTCCAGATCTGAGGTCGATCACCCCGCCCACCAAGAAACCACCAAGGAGTCACCAAACAACCAAAGCCAACAGCATGTCGGATCCGTTGTCAAAATTTGTGGAGTTATTTGCTGTCACATTAGTGATGGCAACAACTACATTCATTTCCAGCATAGCACCTATAAAATTTTTCAAATTGTCAAGCTCCAATCTAACATATTTAACTATCTTTAGTATGGGTTTATTGATAGGTACTGCATTACTAATCGTCCTACCCGAAGGGATAGAAGTTTTGAATGAAGGGATGTATAAATTGACTTCACTTACAATTGGTTTACCCATTCTCATTGGATTCATACTAATGTTTATTGTTGATAAATATGTAACTCATGATGACAAGATATTATACCAATCTACTACATCGTCATCATCAGATGAGTCGATTCCATCGACAATCCAATCGATCTTACAATCATCAATAACACTTGGATTACTTGTTCATGCCGCAGTCGATGGTGTTTCATTGGGATCCTCTTTTGCTGATGATGATATTACATTGCAATTTGTCATGATTATTGCCCTTATTGTCCACAAGATCCCTACTGCGTTCAGTCTTGGTACTATATTAAGCAAAGAAGGATTAGAAGATAAATTGATCTTGGTGCACGTGGTGCTATTTGCCCTACTGACACCAGTATCAACGTGGATTACATTTGTTATTATTGGGTTCTTAAATACAAACATTGAATTTGTTACAGGGTTACTACTATTGTTTTCGTCGGGAACGTTTTTATATGTTGTTTATCATGTTATAAATGAATTCGAGGATGGTTTGTTTGAAGATGGATCCGGCGGTGATGGATCAAGTGGAAGAGGGTCAAGCGGTGGTAGTGATGGTTCTACTGTTGTTGATGACAGAAGAAAGAAGAAGAATATATTTGTGGCATTGGTAGGGTTAGTGATTCCACTATTGCTAAGTTTAATCAAAGAGTAAACCATCGAACACATACCCTCTATTCAATGCTGCACTGGCTTTCAACAATTCTGCTGGGCAGGAAAAGGACAAATTGGCTATGATGCTACTAAATAATGATCTGATGATACTTTGAGACTAATACTGTGATAAGACGACGATATAAAAGAAGTGATTTCTCAGTGATATCATAAGATTATTGGGGCATCATCATGCTACCATGTGGTTTGAAATTCCTCGGTATCACACGATATAGCCGGACTACCGGGGAATAATAAAACATTCCACTATACACCACATTGTGTTACAAATTATACTACGATCTGATTATTTCCGATGTTAAATGTTGTGGTGTTACACTAGATGCTCTTGGGATATTATTATTATTATGAAGTATTATAAAGCATTAATATGGGTTACGAGTATTATTACTGATACTTGTGAAATGTTACCCATTTATTATATATACACAAGGGGTATTATTTTACATTTGACAGATAAAATTACCGCCTCATCCCATACGTAGCTGTTGTAGTATGACTATTATATTTTATTATAAGTGTGTGGTATATCTTGTAAAGTGTATGTTTTAGTTGCTTATTCGGTACAAGGTGAGGTTTAATAATAAAAGTAACACAAAACCCATAACAAATTGTTCAAATAAAACCAAAATCGCTGACTCAAAAACAAACACATAGCACACACACAGCACACACACAGAGACTCCCTCTTCTATTCCACTCAACTTCTCCTACCAGCACAACACATTCTTAGCTCATTCTTAACCCATAAATAGTATAATAGTCTAGACATAAGCATAGCACCATCATACGAATCACTAAGTCGGGCTAGTTTACCACGTCAGCCATACACACGCACGTACGCACCTACATATACACACGCACGCAGTTACACATCACTACACCCCTTGCATTGAACACAATTCTTGAACAAAACTTACATTACAACAGTTAAAAAGCAATACGGGAACAATGTCAACCCACACGAACAATAGTACATCACCCAAGGATATTCAGGATGATGATGTAAGACCACAATCACAAGATGCTACATCAACAACTACAGGATCATCGGTGTTTGATACTAACAATACAGCTGATGACGATTCAAACGTCGAGTTACGTCAAAAGAAGAAAAGATCTGCTACACAAGATTCAACTTCTTCAGTTGCATCTCAAATGAGTACTACTTCAACAACATCAACAGGCTCAATGCTGTCTACTGGATCAACATCCCTGTCATCCGGAAGAAGAAAAGGAGGACACAAACACAAGCATAAAGGACCGTACTTGAATGTGGCGCCATTAAACACCCCTTTGAAGCACCGACTTGAAACCCTTGCTGTTGTGTGGCTTTGCATAAGTATCCCCGCTTTCATAACTTTGTTTTTGATTTGTATTTCGTTAGGCTGGGTTGTTTGGTTTACAGTCATATTGCCTTATTTCATTTGGTGGTATGGATTTGATTTGCACACTCCCACAAATGGTAAAGTGTCTTATCGCGTTCGCAATTCTATGAAAAACTTAATTATTTGGGAATGGTTCGTCAACTATTTCCCCATTAGAGCTTACAAGACAGTTGATTTGGAACCAACATTTACCAAAGTGTTGGTGGAACAAAATGGCACTGATTCTGATAACGACGATGAATTGGATCTAGTTTCTGAGGATTCTACTACGGTCTTGGATAACATTTTTAAATTCATTGGATTGAAAAAGAGATTAAATCGAAGTGATGACAATGTTCTGGTAAAATCTAGCAGCAGCAGCAGCAGCAGCGCCCGCAGGTCCTCATCACCGCCAACAGCTGTCTATAAGCTGGTTCTGACCGGTCCCAGATACATATTTGGATATCATCCTCATGGTGTTATATCAATGGGTGCCATTGGACTTTTTGGAACAAATGCATTACGCAATGAACCCTATGAACCGGTAAATAAATGGCTAAAACCGTTTTTCCATGATCCATCTAAATTCCCCACCTTATTACCTGGAATTGGCAAAATTTTTGCGTTAACTTTGACAACTCAGTTCACTCTTCCATTTTATCGTGATTATTTAATGAGCATGGGTTTATCCAGTGCTTCGGCAAAGAATATCAAAAGTTTGATTAATAATGGAGATAATTCAGTTTGCCTTGTTATTGGTGGAGCAAAGGAATCATTATTGAATACAACAGTAGCAAAGAATGCGAGAGTTGGATACGGATATAAAAAGCCAAATCATGAAAAAGAACAAGAAGGAGAAGAAGAGGTGGAGGGGAAGGATAACGGAAAGACAAATGCCAACAAAGACGACATAGTTAACTCTGATGAAGCTACATCAAAGGAAGCTAGTGAGTCATCTCAGGAACAAGATACACCTCCAAGAAAGACGATCAAGCTAGTTCTAAATAATCGTAAAGGGTTTGTCAAATTAGCCATTGAATTGGGAAACATCAACTTGGTACCGACATTTGCTTTTGGTGAAGCAGATGTATACGACATAACAATCCCCAAACCAGGCTCCTTAGGTTATAAGTTCCAACAATGGATGAAACGAACATTTGCTTTTACAATACCATTTTTCAGTGCACGGGGTGTATTTATTTATGATTTCGGGTTATTGCCATATCGAAACCCGATCAATATTGTTCTTGGTCGTCCAATCCATGTACCTTCTGGCGCATTACAAGAATATCGTGCTCAGCATCCAGAAGAATTTGAAGATGAAGTCAAGGAACAACAACAAGAAAAGAATCCGGAAGCTGCATCAGGTATGCGCAGATCGAGTTCATTTACCGATTTCTTAAAATTGTCGACAAAGAAAAGCTCGTCAGTTAAGGCAAAGATTCCTCAAAAGTTGTTGGACAAGTATCACAAAATGTACGTTGATGAATTGAAGCGGGTATATGAGGAGAATAAAGAACGATTTGGATATGGAGATGTTGAATTAAATATAATTGATTAGAGAAATTATTGTTCAATAAATTACAATTGTATGTACAATTTCTATTATCTATATTCAAGTAGTTTCTTCCTCGTGTACGTCAGCATCATCCTCCATGGCTAATTTCCTCTTTTTAGAATTCCCTTCAAATAAGTTTTGCAAAATTGGCCATTTTTCCTGTTGTTTATCGAAATTTCCCAATCTAATATTCATCAAATCATAAGCGAAAACAATTTGTAAATCCTTCAATTTTGTCAAGTCGGCATTTCGAAAAATATTGAAAGTTCGTTTACTAATCAATTGTGCCTCTAGTTCCCTGGCTTCATTTTCTAAATCCAGTTTCGGTATACAGTTATTACTCATTCCATAACGAGAACTGAAATGAGTTAGAAGTAAATTAGGACAATTCATCAATTGACACATGGCTACTGCTTCAATCATAGCAGTATGTTTCTTGGCTATTGCTTCATCGATCCAATACGAATCCAACGAAGCTTCATGAATTAATAAATCGGAATTGTGTCCAATAGAACAAAACTTTGGATTGGGTCTAGTATCACCAGAGAATGAAATTGTGAAAAATTGACTGTGATTGGCATCAAGGATGAATTTAAATGTTGATGAATAAGCCCAAGCACAATGGAGTGCACGTACAGTTGAAATTGATTCAATGCCAATTGCATCATACATCTTGGCAATGGCGGCAGTGTTTAATGGCTGCAATGATGATTTAGCTATCGACCGATGAATATCTCCACAATCATAAGCTTGTTCAAATTCATCAATGGTGAGTTTCTTGTACTCGGGTAACCTCCCTTCTTTTAGAAAATCCTCACAGCTAAACATTTGCAATCGAGCTAAATCAATAGATTGGTTATATTGATGTTCTAAACTGTACCAATCACGAACAAATGTGATAAACTGCCACGGAACAATCAAGTACAACTTTTTGTCGACACTGCCGATATCACTATTCAATTCAAACCATCGGTTAATTAAAGAGATCATACCTAAATGATGATCAGCATGCAAATGTGATAAATGAATCAAAGCCAATTCGGAAAATATTTGCTTCAAATCGTTTTCACTATCGTGGCCGAAATTTCGCAACATACTTCCAATGGTATTTTCACCTGCATCCATGATAATTGAACGGTATGCAATTGTACCGTCATTATGTTGATAAGGAATTCGAATAAGATTGGCAAGGACGTTTCGTGATATGCTAGGAAGTGCTGAACCAGTACCAAGTGTACTTATGTGAACCAAATCTTTCAAGTTAGGACCCTTTTCATCTAAATTGAATCTGGATTCTAATAATTCAAATGATGGTGCTTCTTTATCACTCAGGTGAGTGATTTCTTTATACAATAATTCATTGGAATTGCTCAAGACATTAGCATTGTCGCAGTGAACTCCAGTATCATCTATACCCATACATTGTAATGAGTGTAAACGATCTACCTTCCCATCATTAGTCAATGGCTTGAATGGATCCAGGTTCATCAATTGGAAATTTTCTGGCATAATCAGTTTTAATTTCAAATGACCTACAGCAAATTTCTCATTGATTATGATGTTGTTGGTTATTGAACGATGACTGACTAAATGCTTTGTATTTGAAGGAAACTGGTTAATAAACAGTTGGTACTCCTGCATGTTGAAATCGACATCATCGCCAATGAAATGATAAACAAGGCCGACATTATCAATCTTATGCCACTGGTCACTGCTTATAGTAGGTTGATAATAATCCTCGCTAGGTATATCAATAATCAACACTTTTGGCAAGATACGATCAGGTCCCACCACCTGACTTGGTGAAATTGTATCCCCAGCTTCATTAACCACGGATTTTCCAGCAACTAGTTCCTTAAATACTGGACCCGGTTTTAATCCCAATTCTTTAGCTCTTTTAGGATCAAATTTTCCCGGAATGGGAACAAATTCAACATAATATGATATTGAATCTTGTTGAGTGATGAGTTTGGACGCTTCGGGTAATTGAACATGAGTATGAATATCCTTCAGCGATGGGTCTGATTTGTATGATTCGGGATTACGACTATTGACTTCAGTTGTATCTAAGGGAAACATAAGCGATGCCAATTTGCGAATTTGTGTTAATACCTTTTCTGATGCAGATGACGAAGGAGTCGTCGTTGTTGCTTTATTCCTAGGTGGTATCTTGATTGACTTGACAATAACTTCATCATTGGAAACCAAGGGACTTTGGTCAACATTTACAATTTCCAAATCAATACCTAATCGGAATACAAATTGTCTCCAAGTAGCGACAATGTATGATAGTAAATTACAATCTCCAACAACTTTAATGCCCTTCTTGGTCGCATCGCTAATGGTCAAGAATAGCCCCGGTAATCCACCAATATCACTCCAAGTGGAAATGGTACCAGTGAGAAATATGCTTTGCAATTTGGGGAAACGGACTTCTGATCCAATAGCATTGATCACTCGTTGTGACCCTTCGGGGATTTTACCAAACAAGTACCGATTCCCTTGTCGCGTAGTTAATGCAACTAGTGGACGTGTAGTATCATTGTTTATATGTGCAATAGTTGTAAATTTGAACATTCCTGGAAATAACTGTTGCAATTGTGGACCGTTGTCGCTGGAATTGGAGTTATCAGTGTTGGTATGTCGAGGTCCGTGTATCTCCTTCGACTCCCTTTTCTGTTCTTTTTTTCTGAATTTAAATCCGGGTTTAAGCCTCTTGTTTGGTTTATATAGTACAGATGTTGAGGATACTAGTCGTTGCTGCTGCTTGGTGGATACAAGTGCAAATCTACAACGTACCAAAGAAAACAAACCGAAAAAAAATTACGCTGTCTGTGCTAACAATGAATGACTATTGATATTAGTAAAGGTAATAAATGTAAAGACTATAGTATGTCAATCATAGAAAACTCCTGATATGTATGTTCTCAAGTTTAGAGTGATGGTTGAGTAACTTCGAGTTAATGTATTTTTCAATGCGATGGAAGATGACTCTTTTGAGATCATTTGGTAGCGCTTTCGTTGGACTAGTGTCTAAAAACTATACAACTCTATAACAGTGCTACAAGATCCTCTAGCTCTATATTTAGCTAAGAAAGATATTTGGCTACTATGAGCATATAATTAGCAGTCCAGCTGCTTCCTAGAAAAGAGCAGTCCTTTAGAATAAAAGATTTGCATTGTGTATGGTGTATCCATTTAATCTTGAAAGTGTAAAGACTCTGTATGTTCACGTGATTGAGATAGAGATTACAGGTTCATTGTACGAAATAAGGAAAGAGGATACCCGTAGCAAAACGTGAAAAGATACTTTCGACTTCCCTGGTTTTTAAATAAACTCTGAATGGCATAATGAAAATTTGATCGACAAATTGAACCCAGTTGCATCCCTCGTGTCATATGGAAAAGCAACCCTATGCCATTTCAGCAGCCTTGTCAACTTTTTTGGAGAGGATAGCCGCTAGTTGGTGCCGGTCAACAATCATGAGTACATGGACGTCTTTTTTGAAGCATAATTAGTAGATGTAGCTTTCATCGAGCATTACCAAAAACTCATCCTTATACATTATCTAGCAGCTCCCGTTTCCTCTCCAGTTGTAAATGGCTACTCTTGCTCGTAGGGATATTCCAGGTTTCTTCAAACGCTAAAGAAGAGAAGTAAAGTTTTCGTGATTGTGCTGGCAAGACCGCCTTGCCAATTGGTAATTGCCAAGTTCATAAACTTGGTTGGTGTTGGTCGTAATGCTACAATCAGGTGCTAAGTTGGTACTAAACGTTGACAATGGTTGAGGAGCTTATCGTGTATACTTTAGAATATAATACTGGGCTAATTCTTTCATGTGACATTTTGCCTAATTTAGACTTTTTTTTAGAAGAAAACAAAGAACCAAAAAAGAAAAGACGCAAAGTATCGAAAACAACCAGCTAAAACCTATTGGTAAACATAGACCGACTACTAAACAGGAATAGAGTTTTAATTACGACTAGTCGTCTGATCTCAATACTATACGTGCTGGACATAAAATAGCAACTAGAGAGTGTGTGAGACAAAGAATCAGTGCACACTTTATTCACTTGACACGACTTCTCACACCCCACAGCCATACTTATTACACTCAACTTTTACCATCTTACTATGAGTTTAATGACGACAGTACCGGCAACGAAAGTCGACGATGTTATTAGACAACTATTTGACGAGTACATTCAGATACACCCCATCAACAACGAATACTTGGTCAAGTCAAAAGACGACACCAAGAGTCACATACTACAACAATGGTTCAATTTGCGCAATTTACCCATAATTGGCCGACTTATACCGGAGATTGACGAGAAAACAAAGCTAATCAATGAGTTACTTGAATATCAAAAGACAACAACCACATATCGCGAATGGTATACGACATCCTTACGATTAGACGAATTATTGGGAAATAATACTTGGAAATCGGATCCTCAATCGGATATTTACGATTACAATTTAATTTATAAACATTTGAATGCCATGAAGCAGGCACGATTGAACAATGATTATAAATTGTTGTTATATTATGTTCGTACTACTTGGGTACGAAATTTGGGTAATATGGGAGATTCGAATTTATATCGTCATTCGTATGTAGGGACCAAGAAATTGATTGAAGAATATATTCAAGAGTGTCTAGTGTCACTAAACTATCTTGTTGAAGAAGGCAAGGATGGCAATATTGATTTGGACGATCGATATTTGTTGGGGATGTTGATCCAAACCCGGAAAAATATCGGGAGAACAGCATTGGTGTTATCGGGTGGAAGTACCTTTGGAATATTTCATATTGGAGTATTAGCAACTTTATTCGAGGCTAATTTATTACCAAGGATAATCAGTGGTTCATCTGCGGGGTCGATCATGGCGAGTATTATATGTTCTCATACGCACGAGGAGACAATTGAATTGTTGCAAACTATAGCTAATCGACAATTTAACATCTTTGACATTACCGAACACGTTGATACTGCCAGTAAGTTTAAAAAAGTGCTTTTATTTCTTGGACATTTGATTAAATACGGCACTGTTTATGACATTGAAGGGTTACAAGATACCATGATTGGGTTTCTTGGTGAATTGACATTTAGAGAAGCTTATAATCGTACGGGTAAAATTTTAAACATTACTGTGTCCCCAGCATCTATCCATGAACAAACGCGATTATTGAATTATATCACTGCTCCCAATTGTTTAATTTGGTCAGCTGTTTGTGCTAGTTGTTCATTACCAGGAGTATTTCCATCGAGCTCGGTTTATGAAAAGAATCCCAAGACTAATGAAGTACATGAATGGAATAACGATGAGTCGATGAAATTTATGGATGGGTCGGTCGATAATGATTTGCCAATAACGCGATTGCTGGAAATGTTTAATGTTGATCATATCATTGCCGTGCAGGTGAACCCGCATGTTGTACCCGTGCTTCGAGTATCGATAAGCAATGTTGGTGGTGATGTTGAAAATGAACTAAGTTTTAAATTGAAACAAAGTTTGAATAATGTGTACGACTTTGTTGTTTCTGAAGCCATCCATTATTTGCAATTACTCAATGAGATGGATATTTACAAGAATCTAGCTAACAAGACGGTGTCATTGTTATCACAGCGATATTCCGGGGATATTACTATATTGCCCGAATACAAATGGCAAGACTTTCTCAAGATTTTAACTAACCCCAGCCATGAGTTTTTATTGGAGTTTATATGTCGTGGGGCAAAAGCATCCTGGCCCAAGATGAGTTTAATTGAGAATCACTGTCGAGTTGAGTTTGCTCTTGATAAGGCAATATCGGTGTTGCGGGGTAGAATAGTGACATCGGGAAATTATCGTTTAACTAACTCGCCAACAGCAATGACTAGCGGGAATTCCAATGCCAATGCTGCAGTATCAGCGGCAGCAGCAGCAGCAGCAGCAGCGATAACCTCAGGCTCGGAAGGTAACAATAGTAATAAGGTTGGGAGTGGTGCTATTGTAAGACATGGTGTAAATGGAGATGGCGATACAGATATGGATATGGATACCGACCCTGATGCCGATGCTGATGCTAATGCCGATGCCGATGCATCCGTAGCCACTACCCCATTGGCTACGGTGACAAGAACGCCACCCCGAGTGTTGAGATCACTGGAAGGACGACAAGTTAGACAAACCATACGTAAATCGAAGTCATCAAACTTGATAAATTCTACTAGGTATTATAGGGAGAGGAATGGAGATGGCTATAATTACATCAACAATAGTAATAGTAACATTCTTAATGGTAATGGGGGTAGTGATGGCAGTGGCGGTGGCAGTGGTAGCGGTCGTGGTGGTGGCAGTAACAGTTTTAGTCACGGTGAAGAACGAGCCAATCTACCATCTAGATCTAGGTCGTTGAAGAATTCGTATATTGGGTTGAATAGATTGAATGATGATGACCAATAGAGGCATGGGAAACACTGATAGTTACTGTAGGTAAGTTTATGATGAAGATGAATGTAGGAAGAAAAAGTAATTGTTTTATATATATATATATATATATATATATCGGAATAATGGAAAGTAATGATTTACAACTCTTCAATTCGATGGGAATGCATTGTTCTTTCGTGTTGTAGCGGTTGTAGTTGTTGTTTGTCTTTTGGCTGCAAAAATAAAGGAATTCCATGTTTTTAATGTGTGATTGGTAGCATAGTGATTGCTTGACTGACTTTTTTATTTTATCCGAGGCTGACGTCTAGACTAGTTTTGTGCAACGCAATGAGAGAAATGAAAATAGCCGCTAATTGATGCAAAAAGTAGTAATAAGTAAAGAAAATTTTTTAGACATATTAAAAAGTCCGTGTTAACCGGGGAAAGAAAACACTGAATCGTGGGGAGGAGAGGAGGAGGAGTAGAAGTAGAAGTAGGAGGGAAGAATAGGTAGAGTTAGGCATAAAAGAAAGAAAGAGAGAGAGCTATAAAGGGTTTTGAAGAACTTTTTGTTGCTTCCCTTTTTATTATTATATCTCCGATACGACATTGCACAAATAAGCTGATTTCAGTAGAATGTTATAGAATGATGAGAACCTTACACCTGTAAATCATTCGCCATTATGTCACCATAGTCATCTTCTGTCTGTCTGTCTGTCTGTCTGTCTTTCATTTGCCCCCAATTCTATGGGCGATAAGTTGTAAAAAAAAAACAACAAAAATCTAAAAGCCGTTGGGTTTATCCAATTTTTGATTGTGTCTGTTTGTGTATTGTTTTCTAAACTTCCTCTCGTCCTCGGTATTTTAAAGTATTTGAATTTTTCAATTTGGTAGGTACACGTCCTGGTGAGAAAGAGCCACAGTCTCACATGGCTAGAAACAAACCAACTGCAATTGGGTATGAATTTGCCTACGGTGTATAACAAGTTGTAGGTGATATAGAAACATAGTCTATTGAATGTTTATAATGGGTTTTTGAAGGGTTGAGGAAAGTTATTGGGTAAAGTGTCGTCTACTATATAACATTTAACTCCGGTTGTGAGAAATTTGGCTTATGATTTGTTTTGTTTGCCCCCGCATTTTTTATTTTTTTTTATATATTGTTTTGGTTACCCTTTTTCCGTTTACATCCATACATGCATACATACTTGAACACATTATACTCGGTTAAATTGAATTTAAAACAATATGGAAGAGCAAATCAAATAACAAACGGTAAATATACTCCAAGCTTTAACCTCTATCACCATCTGTCTCCGAATGTATTAGATGGCAACTCTGTTTATATCAGTTGTCTCAGCACGAGAGTCCAACTAATAATATCAACACGTAAGTAAATGGCCTGTAGCATTTGTCAAAGGTAAACCTTTTCTCAATTTGTTTGGTGTTCTTGTGCAGTTGTACACTACCCTTCTTTTTGTCCGTGTCTGTGATTCTGTCTGTGTCAGTTTCTGTTTCTGTCAGGTTTAACCCCTAAACTTATTCTCACAGAGTCAAAGAGACAATCACCACCACCACCCCACACAAATAAAATAAAATTATTAAAGTCTTTTTTTTTTTTTTTTTTTGTCACAAGAAAGTTTTCTGAAGTCAACAGCAAAAATAATTTTATTTAAATACCAATTAATATTTCCCATTTAACCATCTGCCCCAATTTCACAATTTCATATTTCCTTCTTTTCTTTACTTTGGAAGAAAAATCCACCTCATACCTTTATAACTGATATCTTTGTAATTAGAATCTGTTTTTTTACATCAATTGGAATATTAAAACCCAGAGAAGCGTATTAATATAAAGGATTACGGATTTTTTTTATTTTTATTTTAACATTACGAATTACGATTAAGGAGAAAATATACATACACTCACACTCACACTCACACTCACACTCACACTCACACTCACACTCACATAACTCAATATGTCTAAGTTGGATTTCAAAGATAAGGTAGTTATCATCACCGGTGCAGGTGGTGGTTTAGGTAAATACTACTCACTCGAATTTGCCAAGAGAGGTGCCAAGGTTGTTGTTAACGACTTGGGTGGTGCTTTGAATGGGCAAGGTGGAGACTCCAAGGCTGCTGATGTGGTTGTTGAAGAAATTAAGAAAAACGGTGGTACCGCTGTTGCTGACTACAACAATGTCCTTGACGGTGACAAGATTGTTGAGACTGCTGTCAAGAACTTTGGTACTGTTCATATTGTTATCAACAATGCCGGTATCTTGAGAGATGCTTCATTCAAAAAGATGACTGAAAAGGATTTCAAATTGGTTATCGACGTCCACTTGAACGGTGCTTTTGCCGTTACCAAGGCTGCTTGGCCATATTTCCAAAAACAAAACTATGGTAGAATTGTCAACACCTCATCACCAGCTGGTTTGTACGGTAATTTTGGTCAAACCAACTATTCTGCTGCCAAGTCAGGTTTGATTGGTTTTGCTGAAACTTTGGCCAAGGAAGGTGTCAAGTACAATATTATTGCCAACACCATTGCTCCATTGGCTAGATCAAGAATGACTGAATCGATTATGCCACCACCAATTTTGGAAAAATTGGGCCCTGAAAAGGTTGCTCCATTGGTTTTATACTTGTCTCATGCTGACAATGAACTCACTGGTCAAACTTTTGAAGTTGCTGCTGGTTTTTTCGGACAAATAAGATGGGAAAGATCAGGTGGTATCTTGGTTAAACCAGACCAATCTTTTACTGCTGAAGTTGTTGCCAAGAGATTTAGCGAAGTTCTTGACTTTGACGATTCAAAGAAACCAGAATTGTTGAAGAACCAGCACCCATTTATGTTGAATGACTACTTGTCATTGACTGAAGCAGCTAGAAAATTGCCATCCAATGACGCTTCTGGTGCACCAGCTGTTTCCTTGAAGGATAAAGTTGTCTTGATTACCGGTGCTGGTGCTGGTTTGGGTAAGGAGTATGCCAAATGGTTTGCTAGATACGGTGCCAAGGTTGTTGTCAACGATTTCAAAGACGCCTCCAAGACTGTTGAAGAAATCAAGGCTGCTGGTGGTGAAGCTCATGCTGATCAACACGATGTTGCCACTCAAGCTGAAGCCATTATGGAAAATGTCTTGAACAAGTATGGTACTATTGATGTCTTGGTTAACAATGCAGGTATCTTGAGAGACAGATCATTTGCCAAGATGACCAAGCAAGAATGGGACTCAGTCCAAGCTGTCCATTTGTTGGGTACCTTTAACTTGTCAAGATTGGCTTTCCCAGTCATGTCAGAAAAGAAGTATGGTAGAATTGTCAACATCACTTCGACTTCAGGTATCTATGGTAACTTTGGTCAAGCTAACTACTCATCAGCCAAGTGTGCCATTTTAGGTTTATCCAAGACCATTGCTATTGAAGGTGCCAAGAACAACATCAAGGTTAACATTGTTGCTCCACATGCTGAAACCGCCATGACTTTGACTATTTTCAGAGAAGAAGACAAGAATTTGTACCATGCTGATCAAGTTGCTCCATTGTTGGTTTACTTGGCTTCTGAAGATGTTCCAGTTACCGGTGAAACTTTCGAAATTGGTGGTGGATGGATTGGAAACACCAGATGGCAAAGAGCTAGTGGTGCCGTTTCCAAGGATGCCGACACTACCGTTGAGTTTGTTAGAGACCACTTGTCCGAAATTGTTGACTTTAGCAAAGACACTGAGAATCCTAAATCTACTCAAGAATCATCTATGGCCATCTTGTCTGCTGTTGGAGGTGACGATGACGATGATGAAGATGAAGAAGATGAGGGTGATGAAGAGGAGGAGGATGAAGAACCAGAAGATGAAGATGATCCAGTTTGGAGATTCAATGACAGAGATGTTATCTTATACAACATCTCTCTTGGCGCCACTACTAAACAATTGCAATATGTTTATGAAAACGATAGTGATTTCCAAGTCATTCCAACTTTTGGTCACTTGATCACCTTCAACTCGGGTCAATCACAAAGTTCATTTGCCAAGTACTTGAAGAACTTCAACCCTATGCTTTTGTTGCATGGTGAACATTACTTGAGAGTCCATAAATGGCCACCACCAACTGAAGGTGAATTGAGAACTTCATTCCACCCAGTTCAAACCACTCAAAAGGGATCCAATGTGGTTATTGTTCACGGATCACAATCGATTGACAACAAGACCCAAGAACCAATCTACTCGAATGAAGCCACTTATTTCATTAGACAGTGTCAAGCCGAAAACAAGGTTTTCCAAGACAGAAGATCATTTGCCACTAACCCATGGACAGCACCAAAGAGAGACCCAGACTACCAAGTTGACGTGCCAGTTTCCGAAGATTTGGCTGCCTTGTACAGATTGAATGGTGACCGTAACCCATTGCACATCGATCCAAACTTTGCCAAGGGAGCCAAGTTCCCTAAACCAATCTTGCATGGTATGTGCACTTATGGTTTGAGTGCTAAGGTTTTGATTGACAAGTTTGGTATGTTTGATGAAATCAAGGCTAGATTTACTGGTATTGTCTTCCCAGGTGAGACTTTGAGAGTGTTGGCCTGGAAGGAAGGTGAGAATGTTATTTTCCAAACTCACGTTGTTGACAGAGGTACTATTGCTATTAACAATGCTGCCATTAAGTTGATTGGTAACAAGCCAAGTTTGTAAGAGAGCTAAAAGAAATAATTGAGGTGTTAGCTTTTTTTTTATAGGAAGAAATATATAATTGAATTTTAGTTTTTATTATTTAATATTGTTGAGAATTTGTAAAAGTTGAATAGACATTTCTACATGAGTAAGTTTTTTTTTATGAAGTAAATAGATTAGATGCAAAGAAACACAAGTACCTGAGGGTTATTAAAGATCCTCTTCATCATCTTCATTTATATCATCAACTGAATATGCATTTGCGTTGCAACTTCCGCCAGCACCACTAGGATCATGGCTTAAACCCAACACAGTGCTACTACTACTGTTATTGCTGTAACTGTAGCTGTTGCTGTTGCTGTTGCTGTTGCTACTAGTTCGTGTATGGCTGGGCCAAGTGTGCAAAGAAGGTCTATTTGCCAACTGATGATAATGATGCTTCTTGTGACCAGCCCCAAAAGCGCCACCACTACCACCATTGCGGTGCACAGGAACATTAAAGTCAACGGGTGTATCATTAATTGGATCATCAATCAAAGACGAAAACGAAGTTGATGACGACGACACCATGTTTGACTTGGCGCTGGTTGACCAGTAGTTGGGGATAGGTGAAGTTGCCGATGTCGATTCTATCTCGAGGGTGGTGTCTAATTCCGATGCAGTTGATGATGCCAACGATGTAGTACTTTTGCCGTCTATTTCTCCTGCTTTTGCTGCTCTTCTTGATGATGATGTTGTTGATGTCCCAGTTAAGGGCGATGGTATAGTGGGTGAAGCCAGAGTGGTCAGGATGGGCACGTTGGTCGTTGACATTGATTTCTTTTGGCGAGGGGGGAATTGAAATGAAGACCTGGGTCGAAGAAAGGGTGATTTCGATGGCAGTGTCTGAGACGTAGCAGCAGTATCATTCTCTATTGTTTGTGGTGCTGGTGCAAGTGCGGCTAATGAAGTTTGCAATGCGCTAGGTTTACGAGACACAGGCCGTAACAATGATGGAGGCACAGCAGGTAATGATGTTGATGAAACTCGCTTACTATCAAAATAATCCAGTGCCAATGACAATGACGATGCCCCTGATCCAGCTACTGTAGCACTTGGTTCATTAAATGGTGAAGTCATACCTGAACCCAGATATGGTTCATTCAACGAGTCGGTGGACAGGGTGATATTCTCGGATACAATTGAAGAAGCTGATGAATGAATTGAGATAGAAGACGATGAAAAATTTGAAAAATTGGACGAATAAGAATGTCCATGACGATACAGCGGTAACAGCAGTAAAGACAGTGACAGTTGTGCTTTTTGATGTTGTTGCTGTTGGTGTTGTTGGTGAGGATTTCGAAATGATGTGGATGGCGGTAAGAAACTACGCAATTGATGTTGCGGCTGATGTGGCTGGTGATGATGTTGTTGTAAATGCAGCGGGTTTTCCTTGTCAACTTCCTCGTTGAAATCGAAATTATCAAACAAGGGAGAGCTAGAAGGTGATAACGATGATGAAGGATGATGTGCATTGCCAGAATTGAAAATTGGTTGATCAAAAGTAAATGTGTTTGCCCTTGTTAATTTTGTATTTAAGTTTGTACTTAATGACTTCACTTTTGAATTTGATCGTTGACGTTTAATTACCTTGCCACTGTTTAAAGTAGCAAATGAGTTTGCATTCGAATTTGATGATGATAAGGATCGAGAATGAGACATGCTCCAAAAATCGCTTATACTTGCAGATGTTAAAGGTTTGGGCGAGGTGTAATTATGGTGAAGGTGGTGGCTTTGATGGTGGTGGCTTTGATGGTGATGGTGGTAGTGGTGGTGTCGCTCACCTCCACCAAACTGATTAAAGGACTTGGCTCGTGTTAACAACTTGCTATCTTTCCTAACTCGACTGAGATTGGCTTCGCATGATACTTCATGTTTAATATCCTTCATTTCGACATAATTTTGAGGGCAGCAAAACGATTTATACTTGGTAAAGAAATTCTTGTATCCACCTTCAAGTACAACAACATCGGGCCAAGATAGAAACGGGTATGAGTTTTGATTCAATGTTCGATCGCATTTACGTAAATGCTTAGCCATTGTTGGTCCTCTGAATATGCTAAATTCACAATGGAAAATAACCAACTTCTTTTTGTTTGAGGATGATGATGATGCTCTTGCTGTTTTTGCAATTCTATCATGAGTATTATGGTCTTGGTTGATAAACAAATTCTCCAATGCTTCCTTGGTTGAGATATTTAATGCATTAATTATATGCCCCCCATGGTATTCATAATCAAATCGACAATCAACAATTATGAATTCATCAAATTCATGATTGTGTTCCCCACAAAGAATCTTGTACATTTGATCTTCATTAATTCGAGGCAACACGTCATTTCCCAGAGTGAATGTTTGTATGTTTGTATTTTTCAACTGTGAGTTGTCTTCATGTAACTGGAAACTATCAATTTCTCGTTGAGTCTCGCATACTGAATGAATACGTCTAATGATTTTTGGTCTAGATGTTGTAGGCGGTTGTGCAGCTGGCGCGAAAACTGTACGTGTAGGCAGTCGTAACTGTGTTTTGTGATCATCGCTCTCCTCTTGTTTGTTGATTTGAATACTATTGGTTTTCCTATGCATGACTGGAGAGTCAAGATTAATAGTGTCAAAAGTTGCTTCACCTTCATCATCGGAATCCTCTTCCTCTTCTTCATCTTCATCTTCATCTTCCGCTTCCCCCTCTCTTCCTATTCCGTCATTGTAATTACCAGAATCACAATCAGTTGCTTGACCTTCTTCATCTTCATATTCATCATCATAAGTGGAGTGGCAATCAGTCACTTTTGGAGTCATGTGCAAATTAGCAAAAAGGCTATGAGATGATTTGGATACTACTTCAGTCATTGATTTAGTAAATGCTTTAGTCTTTTCTTTAACATTCAAGGGGAAATTAGTTAAACTTTTAAGTGGTGTTCGATTAAACATGGGTGAATTGGATAATGATGCGTTTGAGGCTTTCCGTTGCAAAAACAGTCTTCTTGTTGATGAGGATGATGGTGTTCGTTTTGTAGGAGTAATACTAGCAGTTGCCAGTTGGTTGCTGTTATCTGAATATATCAGTCTTGCACTATTCATTTCAAAATTGTTATCATTAACGGCACCGACATAGTCACACTTGTCGATATCCATTTCGTCACCCTCACTGTTGGTGGTGGAGAAGTTTGAATGATGATGATCTTTTTTGAATCGCAGTAGATGCATATTGTTTGATTCATTGGTTAAATATGAAGAAACGATTCCCGTGGCATGGGACAATGGCTGTGATGATTCGTCATTTTGATGTTGCATGTTGCAATTGAACTTTCTTCTACCTCTTCTTCTTTACTATTTCACCTATGTTATTTTGGTTTCTCTTTTTACTCCAAAAAAAAAAGGTAGGTTCTTGGTAGTCAACGTAGCACCTCGTTTATGAACGATACAATAGCTTTAAATCCGGTGCAGTTTACTGTTCTTTCTAAGAAAGTTTGACCTCCTGGTGGTTGTAAAAACGTTATACAGTTTGGTTGAAAACAAAGAAGAAAAAAAAAAAGGTCAACCAAATGGTGAGATTCTTATGAGGGACTGGGTGTGTAGTAGAAACAGCTTTCTAATGTAATGCTGTTGTTGTTTATAATGCTACTCTATTTGATCTCTTGTTGGTATGTAGATAGGTAGATAGATTGGTTTGATGTAGTAATGTGGATACCCAATTAAAAGTATTAATAAGAAAATAAATTGTATATTATATTATGTATTATTGTATTATGATTTGATTCTTTATGGATGATATGATGCGTGGGGGCTGGTTACAACAAATGTTCTTCTCTCTATCTCTCCTATGGTTGAATAAAACTCTAGAGTATCCAAGTACAATCCATATGGTAGATAGTAATGTAATCTATGTCTATAGTTCTTCCAATTGTATGTATGTATGTATGTTTGCTTTGTTTGTTTGGTTGTTTCAATATGGTGTTTGTCTGTCTAAGTCAATAGCGTGTTTTTTTTATTTTTATTATTATTATCTGATTTTGTGTCTTATTGTGTTTGTTTTTATTCTTACCAAAAGATGAAATTCAAAACATTGGTGCTACCAATTGCTCTTCTAATTTACCATTTTCTAAATTTACAGAACTGTAACTCAACTATTCACCTTATATATTGTATACCTAACTCTTACAAACATCTCTCTCTTCTCTACACTGGCATACCTAAAATAAATGTAGTTCTTACCCTGTATTTGGTAGAGTTAGTGTTTCATGTTTTGCTTTGGTGTTTAACACCTGAGCGTGTCACGTGAATATTTTGGCTTTTCTTTTTGTATCCCTATTTGACTATTTTATACTGTTGAGAACTACTACCCTTTTATGTATGTTCAGATACAGTCTTTTTATTTTTTATTCATACCAAAGCGGCATTTATTATTCAAACCTTACTTGTAGTGTAGCCACAGTAAAGACCGCAAGTTAGTGCTCTTAGGTTAAAGAAAATATAGACATAATCTTAGGAGAAATGTATCTACATATGAGGCGAATGGAGAATACAGATACAACCCCATTTGTATCGTGTCGCATATAAGTTATGACAAAGACACGACACTAGGTTGTAGTTATTTTTTTTGTTCCAATGTGATTTTGTTCTAACAAAGGACCAAATAAATTGGAACAAGAAAAGAAATGAACCTTAAGCAGACATTACATACTGACAAGTATGTAGATGGACTTGGTAATTCTTTTACTTTGGAGCCAGACCTGATGGATTTAGAAAGTCAGACAGCTCCATTAGAATCCTGTTTTAGTTACAGTGATTACAATGAAGCATTCCATCCAACTAAAATTGAAGTTGACAACTTACATTCCGACATAGAATGTGATGACATAGATGTAGACATTAGCTCTGAACGGGATGAAACTTGTAAATGGAAAAGGGGTCCATATATATACTACTCTGAGGTACAGAAACAAATATTCTGGAAATTAGTTATCGAGCAAGGGAATTCTGCGTATAAGGCTGCACAACCAATAGTGAGGTTCGTAAAGTTTTCAATTTTCAGTGTCGAGATTTAAACTACACGACACACACCTGAAAAAAATGTACAATACTCACATTCCTTCATTTTGCAGCTAAAATTAATCAAATTAATTTATATGACCATAAAGCAGGCTAACAGGCTATACTCTCCTACAAATGAGATAGGCATGGTATACCAAGAAAAGAGCCTTAATCAAGGGTTGAGCAAAAACTGCCTTCATCCCTTTCATTCAGGGACATTAAGGGGTAGTCAACCATTGCATTATAAAAGGATGTAATTTCTCTTTCAATACCAGGCTTCTGTATGATCTTCGGGAATAAACTACTATCCACTAGCGAGAAATCAACTTTATAATTAATTTTTGCCACCACTATGCTTTACTTTAAATTGTTGTTATTATTTGCTATCTCGGTATTTGCCGATTTCGATTTGTTCAAAAGAGATCATGACGATTGTAACGTTGCCAACATTGAAGCTTGTCGTGAGGCAAACAAGATGAAGTATGTCAATTGTGAAATCTACGATAACGATAGTGACTACGAATCAGACTCAGAGGAAGAATACTATGCTGAGAAACAAAAGGATCGTTGTGTCTGCAATTTACAAGATGAATACTACACCAAAGTGAGTGAATGTGCCAAACAATGTGGTAATTCATATGAATTGAAGCCTGAATTTCTCAAGAGTAAAGCATGTTCTCAAGCCCTGAGCATCAAGCCAAGGTTTGCTGCCTATGTTTCATCAAGAGATCAGACAGGAACACCAGCTTGGTCAGTGACAGCTATTACACTGGCTGTACCAAGTACCGAAGCTATGTCTTTGAAATTTTCCAAGGCTGAAGCTTCCATAAAACCCCTTGCTGACTCTAACAGTATGTCTGCTAGATCTGAAGGCTCTTCCAGTAGTTCTGCTGCCACAGCATCTTCAATGGAGGGCTCTTCTACTGCAAAAGCTGGTATAACTGAGCCTGCTACAACCTCAACACAGAGCTCCTCTAATTTTGCTGTTACCGTTGGCTGTGGGTCATTGATTTTGTTGATCTTGTTATCTTTATTGTAGATTACAGTGTCGCTGATGCTTTGTATAGCTTTTTTATATCTATTCTATATCACGATTTTAGCGAATCAATTTGATTAAATTTATATTATGGATGGTCTAGAGTAAAGGCGGAATTTAATGCAAATTCATATTATGCACATTTGTACATAATCGTATGTTAAATAATTTTGCATTTTTATTTTCTTCTTCGGTGTGCAAAGTTTGGATGACTTATAAAACTACACAGACCAAGGTTTGAAGGTTAATTAGGTAAATAGATTTCTTCGTAAGATGATAGTTTTCTGAGAACTTGTAATACTGGAACAAAAGGGTACCGAATTGTTTACTGCAATATCACAATTTGACGAGAGCATATATGTATGAGACTATACGCATCGTCTCAGAACATAGAAGTTTATTTTTGAGAATATTACAGATTCATGTACACTCACAATTTGGAGTGCAGTGTTTTTAATTTTTATTCATACGAGTGCGCCTTAATTGTTTAAACTAATTCGCACTAAAATTTTCATACCAGCACAACACAGTCTGGTTACAGTGATTCTCAATGAAGTTTAGTGTATCGCATTGGTATGAAACAATTGTGTTTTTGTGGTTTGAATAATAATATTTAGGCACTACTATGAAATAAAAATTAAAAACACTGTATATAAATTACCATTTCTTCGCTAAAGAAATTTTCATCAAAGCCACCATATTTTATTTTTCTTTTTCATTTCGCAACCAAAACCAACCAACGAACCAACGATTTAATTACTTTCAACATAAAATGAAATTTGGATGTGTATTGCTATTTGCATCATTTGTGGTGGGGACGTCTGAATTGTTAAAGCGAGAAAAATATTGTGAAATTGAAAACATTGAAGTTTGTCGAATTCAGTATAAAGTTCTGTATTTCAGCTGCCAGAAACCTTTTTATGATGATAACGATGCCTTCGATTACGATAATGATTTTGAGTATGAAGAGCACTTATTTACCAATTTTACACAGTGTTATTGCGAATTAGGTCAGGATTATTACACCCTATTAAACGAATGCAATAAACAATGTGGTTTTGATGATAACGAGACACCAGAGGTATTACATAGTTCAATGTGCTCTGAGGTTCTGAGGATGAAGGAGTCTTCATACATTGGGGATTTTGTTTCTTCATACGAGGTATATCAATCACAAATTTTGACAGAGACAGAGGGATGGTACGCTATAAGCGATATACTGGCTCTTCGGGATGAATATAACAGTGATGATCTTTCTTCACAAGTATCATCAGCATTGAAATCCATATCTGATTCCCAGAGGACCAGCGGCTCAACTAAATCTCATACAACAACCAAGGACTCTTCTAGTAACCTTGCCGTTACTGTTGGTTGTGGCTCTTTATTCTCGTTGATTTTGTTATCCTTATTATGAATATGAATGCGGCTAATGGAAAACAGACTATTTTATTTCTCATTATGTAATCCATATACAGTGTTTTTACAGTGTTTTTATTTTTATTTCATACTAGTGCGACATAATTTTGTTTTATGTGATTTTGTTTCGAGTAGGAAAGGAAAATCATAATATAAGATTAAAAGACGTCATGAATTTCAAGCTGGAGTTACACACCGACAGATATGTGGATGGACTTGGTAATTGCTTTACCTTGGAGTCTGACCGGATGACTCCAGAAGGTGAGATAGCGCCATTGGAGTCGTGCTTTAGTTACAGTGACTACAATGAAGCGTTCCATCTAAATGAGAGTGAAGTTGACAACTTTCAATCCGACATGGAATGTGATAGTGTAGATGTAGATGTAAACATCAGTTCTGAACAAGAAGGAACTTGTAAACTTAAAAGGGGTCCATACAGATACTACTCTGAGGTACAGAAGCAAATATTCTGGCAATTAGTTATCGAGCAAGGGGATTCCGCATATAAGGCTGCACAAGCACTCAATATCAGTTTGCGAACAGCTTATACTTGGAAAAGAAAGAGGAATCGTCGAGTCATCTGTGAACTCAATGGTATTTATGAAGAACTTAAAAAGAGTGGTCGTAAACCTCTTCTCACCGAAGAGCACAAACTCTTTTTGAAGGATTTAGTTCTTTCCGACCCCATTGTTACCGTAGACTTCTTGTTGAATAAACTAAGGAGTACATTTGAAGGTGCGAAGGCAAGTGAATCTACTATTTATAACTTTCTCATCAAAATTTGTAAGTTCAGTCTCAAGAGACTCTCTAAGTGGGCTATGAGAAGGGATCTGCCAGAATTAAAACAGGAGAGATTCCAATGGGCACTCGAGCAAAAAGACAAAATTGACTTTGAAAAGAATTGCGTTTTCATCGACGAGGCTGGATTCAACATCAGTATGAGAAGAGAATATGGATGGTCAAAAGTAGGTGAAAAGGCTGTGCTTAAAGTCCCAGTCACCAGAGGTCTCAATGTATCATTCTTAGGAGCCATCTCTTCCAAAGGATGTGTTGACTTGAAGGTTCAACTCCCAGCAGAGACTGCTCCTAGCAAGAAAAGAAAACTCGATTCCAGCACAGTTTCAAAAAAGAAGACGAGGGTTGGTACCACAGCTGATCACTTCTACTAATTTGTAAAGTCTACTTGGAGAAATTGAAACAAACCAAGCACTTAAAGGAATCAAGTATTTGATACCTGTCAACGCAGCCATCCATAAACGTCGCGATCTCCAGTTATTAGTAGCACTGAGTGGAATGGAGCTAGTGCTTTTGCCTCCTTATTCGCCAGCACTCAATGCCATTGAAGAGTTCTGGTCCGTGTGTAAGGCCAAGGTTAAACGGTCAAACTTATCTAGAAAAGAACAGTTGACACCAAAAGTGAAAGAAGCGACAGCAAAGATAACCTTAGAAAGCTATCAAGGATTTTGTAGACATGCCAATGATTATATGCAACACTGTTTAGAACTGAGATCTTTCTAAAGTACAAGTCCCCAAATTAATGAATAGGAAGGGAACGGCATTTAACTTGAGAAAATGACAGCAAAACCTTTGAGAAATGAAAGTAGGAAATGACTAAGCTCAAACAAAAAAAATTCTGATTTGATATTATTCCATACTCTTAAAATGATTGCCCTAATTCAACAGAATCGGGTTCTTCAACCGGGTTAGAGGTACGGAGACTACTTTGGGTTAGTAGGTGGTGTAAAAAAATATGTCGCATTGGTTTGAAAATTTATGTCGTTCTGGTATGAAAAAATATGTCGTGTTGGTTTGAATAATAAAAGTCGGCTTAGTTTGAAAAGTATATGTCGCGTTGGTTTGAATAAATATGTCGCACTGGTACGAATAAAAAATAAAAACATTGTACTCGTCTGCTTTTTGAATGGTGCACGTGACTTCAACACCAAAACAGCAAAAATACACAATTTAAATTTAACCGAGACACTGTACAATAACAACAACAGGGGAACTGATTTTACAAAGAAGCAAAACTGTGCCTTAATCCCAAGACAGACAGTCCCCTTAGCTCTGTCAGGTACAACTTGCTTTCACATACATTGCCCAAGTTTACACTAGCCTATTCCACTACCCATCAAATGAAGTTCAGAAGTTTACTATAAATCATATTAAACATATTCTATCCACGCTATATACATACAGCCTCATTAGAATGGACTATGATAAACTACTGATCGAATTAGATCCAAAAACTGGAAAGAAAACTGTCAATAATAAATACCTAATACTTAAGAAGATTGGGCAAGGACAATATGGTAAAGTGCTACTAGGACAGGTGTTGGATACCACCAGCAAACCCACTGTAAGAAAACAATCAACATTGAAGGATTCTTCAACAAGTCCCACGGGCACCACCACCAACAATGCCAATACCGTTACTTATGTTGCAATCAAAACTATTAATCGTGTCGATAAAGCCAAACTAATTACCAAATCTTATATCAGCAATGTCACCAAGATCAAGAAAGAAATCAGGATTCTAAAACAATGTAATCATCCCAACGTTGTTAAACTATATTCAGTCATTGATGATACCCATTTCGACAAGATCCTTCTCATATTGGAATATTGCAAATATGGCGAAATTGACTGGAAACATTATAATCACTACTATGAAAAATACACCACTCATAAACATCGGTTAGCACTAAATCTAAATAAGATATTACGAGATATAGTTAACGGTTTAGAATACCTTCACCTGTATAAACACATTATTCATCGAGATTTAAAGCCACTGAATCTATTGATCGATGAATTCAACAATATCAAGATATCGGATTTTGGCGTTAGTTTAATCTTGGAAAATTCCATACAAGATGCTAAAGAATTGGCCAATACCATGGGCACACCAGCATTCTATGCACCAGAATTATGTCAGTTTGTTAAAAACCGATTTTCAATGATTACCAATGAAGACCACCAATTGAATAAAGTCAAAATAGATTATAGAATAGACATTTGGAGTTTGGGAATTACACTTTATTGTTTGATGTTTAACAATTTACCTTTTAATGGAATTAACGAGTTTGATATATGTAAAAACATTGTTGATTCAGAATTGAAATTCCCGCAAATCAAGCATACTTCAAAAGTTACTGAATCGGATTTGGAAGAATTAAAATTGGTCAAAGATTTAATCAAGCAGTTGTTGCACAAGGACCCCAATAAAAGGATTTCATTGCATGGAGTTAAACATCACAAATTTACTACATTTGACTTGAATGACTCACAACGAGAAAAGTTTTTCAATTTCAATCGAGCTATATTTAAGGATGCCGATTGTAAAAAGGAGTTGGTAAAAAGTGGCGAAAAAGGAGCAGCAGTTCAGCCAAATGACGTTGGTCTATCAACAAAGATTCGAAACTTTTTCAAAGGAGCCACTTCTACTCCTACTTCTACCCTACCTCCGCCAAAAGCAGGAACAGCAGCAGCAGCAGGAAATACAAGTTTGAAGGAACCACTTGCACATGATTCAGAAACTAAACGACCCAATTTGCCGGATTTACAACATGTGGATGACTTACTTGACTCCTATTTTGATGATTCTTCGTCGTTGGGCAGTAGTATAGGTGAAATGGAGGAGGGTCCAGTCGATACATCAAACATCCTAGGTAAAGTAACCAATAGTAGAGCAAGTACTTCGCCAAAACGTCTACCACAGCCATTGATTTTGAAACCACTCACTTTGAAAGATCCATTCACTGCTACTGCTACTCCTACTGCTACTCCTACTCCTACTCAATCACGAACTGAAGATACTGGAACCACACAGTCACTGAAGAACAACTCTACACCAATCACTCCAAGCAGCAGTCATCATCACTCACTAACTCCTACCAATGACTTGTTTACAACAATTGGGCAAAGTTCACCTAGTCAATTGAGTAGCAATGGACCTGTGTTTAGTCCAAGTAAACGATTCTTTGATAAACAACAGCAACAACGAAACGAACAAGTACGACAGCAGCAACAGCTTCAACCGTCAATCAAGTCATTGTCTACTGACAATGATTATGTAATGGAACCACCATCAGTTTTCAGTCGAAGCAATTCAACCAATAGCAATAGCAATAGCAATGGTAATGGCAATGGCAACAACAACAATAGTAACAGCACAAGCAGCAACACCATCAATACTACCGATAGAATGAACAGTACCGACCGAGTAAAGCCACCATATGGACTATCGCGTATCCCAAGTTCCTCAAGTTCATTAAATCTCCATGCATATTTCACTGATGATTGTGATTCAATTGAGTCGCTACATTCGATTCATTCAACGCATTCATCTTCGTTGAAGTATAATTTGAAACGAGATAAGAATAATGCGCCAAGACGTTCAAAGTCAAGTTCAATAAAAAGTGAACCTGGCGTCGATGTTGACGATGATGATGGAGGAGAAGGAGAGGGGGAAGGGGATTCGACGTTTTATTTAGGTGATGATGACACTGGTGTTTTTGAAAAGTATAAGGATTTGAGTACGTATTTGGACAATCTTGAATGAAAAGGGACCTATAGGTGTTGTTTTCGATATTGATATGTACACATTTATGATGAAATTTTGACGAGTGTTTGAGATAATATTTGAATCTATCAAGCATAAAACAACAAAAAAAGTGGTTGTTCTCTAGATAGCTATACATATTATAAATACAATAGTAAAATATACAATGTCAATTTGTTTGTAATGCTTTGTTGTTTGTGTAGCAAACAACGGTAAATAGTGTGAAGGAAGTATACTCTTAGCAGCCACTACTTGTAAGCCATGCTCTGGCACTGATCACATAATCACAGCCAAAATGTCTTGTCATATAAGCGACAGAACTCCACAAACTACAACTCGGGGGGTATTTCATGCATCTGCACCGATGGAGCATAGTCCAAATATCGAAGCTGCTCTAGTGTATTTTGTAAAACGCTTTCCAAATACCTTTTAGTGTTTTTGTTTTCAATTTTCCCCGTCAACTCTGGATGAAGTCCCTCATCGCCAAACCACTGAGAGGTACCACCATAGTTTGGTATCTTTGTATTCAATGTCGTGTCGGTTAAAACTGATGTTTCGTAGCACCACAATCTTGAAACGTTCTTGGGCGTGTATCCACCACCTCCTACAACCACCATTGGTATTTCAAAACTCTTTAAAAAGTTTAAGCAAGAGCCGTGTCCTTTCAAAGACAAGTTGAATCTACCCAAACGGTCACCTCCTAATGAGTCAGCACCACACTGAGCTACAATGATTGAAGGTTGGAACTTGGGTATTATACCTTGCATGGTCAGCTTAAATAATGCCACATACGATTCATCATCAATCCCATCTCTTAAGGGCACATTGATTGTGAAATTCTTACCCTTTCCAATACCGGCTTCATCACCTGACCCAGTTCCGGGGAAAAACTCACCATCATACTTGTGGTAACTGACTGTCATTACTCTATCAGTGGTGTAGAACGCTTCTTGGACCCCATCCCCATGGTGCAAGTCTATATCCACGTACAATACTCTTGGGTATATTCGCAATAAATTAATTATGCACAAGACAATGTCATTTATATAACAGAATCCACTTGGTTCGAATTTCTTTGCATGATGTAGTCCTCCTGACCAATTTATAGCTATGTCAGCCATCCCAGCAATAATCTTTCTTGATGCATCTAAAGAAGCCCCAGCATAAATCGATGAGTAATCAAACATACCATCAAACACGGGACAATCATCTCCAATGTTAAATTTTGCCAAAGTTTTATCACTTAGTGTCTTTACTGTCTCTGGAGTTACCGATTGAAGGAAATTGATATAATCTTCAGAATGAAACTGCAACAACTCTTCCTTTGTCGCTCTTCTTGGCGTGTACAAGTCCATTTTCTCGTAAAGTTTGTATGTTGTTACCAAATGGTCGGTCAACATTAGTCGAAAAGGCTTCATTGGGTGTAGAGTCCCATAGTGGTAATTGGCTACTTCTGGGTTGTAGTGGTAAGACACCTTGGTCTTGGAGGCCCTGTTTGGGTGGTATAGTGGAGTGTGTTGTTTTGTCTGTTCATCAACAGTGAACGTCTCTGTTTCGCTAGTCGGCACTTCCATATGGAGCTGTTGTGGATGGTGGTGGCAGTCGTGGCGCTCGGGTGATTCTGTATGGACACTGTCTTTGTCTCTTGTTTTGATGTTTGGTAATGTTTGTTTCTCGCGAACGAAAAAGGCAAAGAAAAAAAGAAAATCCCAATCCCAACTTTGCCACTGACAAACCTTTGTTTCCCACCCCACCCATTCATTACTACTACCACAATGTCAGGATCAGCTGGATTTGATAGACACATTACTATTTTCTCCCCGGAGGGAAGGTTATACCAAGTTGAATACGCCTTCAAGGCCATCAATTCATCCAACATCACTTCAATTGGAGTCACGGGACAAGATTCAGCAGTTATCATATCGCAAAAGAAGATTCCTGACAAGTTATTAGATGCAAAGACTATATCTTATATTTTTAAAATCACTCCTAGCATAGGTATGGTTGCCACTGGATCAATAGCTGATGCCAGGGCACAAGCAATGAGAGCACGTAGCGAGGCTACTGAGTTCAGATACAAGTATGGTTACGAAATGCCAGTTGAAAGTTTAAGCAAAAGAATGGCCAATTTGTCTCAGTTGTATACTCAGAGAGCATATATGAGGCCATTGGGTGTAGCGTTGACTTTTGTTCAGGTTGATTTTGAAGATGAAGGCAGAGGACCACAGGTTTTCAAGTGTGATCCTGCTGGTTATTACACCAGCGTCAAGGCAGTAGCCACCGGTCCAAAACAACAAGAAGCAACAACTTATTTAGAGAAAAAGTTTAAAAAGACCGATGTCGTAAAGGGCGACTGGAAGGAAACTGTTGATTTTGCCATCACTGCATTAAGTTCAGTGTTGGGAACTGATTTCAGAAAGAATGATATCGAAATTGGAGTTGCTACCGAAGGTGAGTTTAGAATTTTGACACCAGATGAAATAGATGAGAGGCTCGTTGCCATAGCTGAACAAGATTGAGTGTTGCTATATATATATATATATACTGAAATCAATAAACTTTTATATTTTGAGAGGCACCCACATTTGTTTACCAAACGTATGGGATAAACATGTAAGGACAAGCTTCTAAATACCTATCCCAATCTTTACCATACTTCTTTTCACACTTTCTTTGGTCACGGTAACCTCTATGAACCAACACAATGAAGAAGAAAATAGGGAAGAACCAAGGGAATGGGGAATTAAATCCACACATTAATGCCCAAGTCAAAGTTTGGATGTAGTCAGCAGTGTAATGCATCTTTCTAGCGTAGACATACCAACCATCGGTCAATAATAATGATCCATTTTCACACTTGATATATTTTGGATTAGTAATGTCAGAATATGGCAAGTATGGGAATGTTTTACGTAAGTGAGTGTTTCCAGCCACTGTTCTTCTGAAACTATTCTTTTGACGATTACCCGTGTCAAAGAAGTAGTAGGCGACTGTGATCAAAACAAACAAGAAAACATTGTAAGCAATTGACCATTGATATTCTTGTGGGTCATGGTAGGCCAAGTACAATGTGCATTGACAATAAGTAAATGGCACACCAGCAATATTCCAAAACAACAACATGAAACCAAACTTTTCATAAGCCATATCCCAAGTAGGGACAATCAATTCTTCACCTTTAGCACAAGCATTAGCATAGAGCCAATGAGCGTAAAGTAAAAATGCAGCTTGTGGGGTGACATAACCATAATTATCGTATTGCTTGAAGCACAATCCTAAACTCAAAAAGAACAAGATAAACCAAGGAATTCTAACTTCGAAAAACATTTTCAAATCGAGGTATTTACCGATTCTTGGGTTCAATGGGGCACCCATAAACATATCATAGATATGGTTACCCGTCATTCTGTGGTAATCACCAGTGACAAAAATGCAAATCAAGTACAAGATGATTGATAACGAGATACCGTAAAATATAGCCACTGTCATTATTCTTCCAAAGTTATCCAACATATAATAGGCTGGTAATACACCAGTGAAGTGTAAAACCAACCATCCAGCAACAGTGGTATAAAATGACCAAATGGCATTGCAGAAATAAGGCAATTGCTTACCATTCAAATGCGTCAATGGCTGCCCTTTTGTCCAAACACCTGGCAAAGTCAAATAAAAGAGCCCTTGAATGACAATAAATGATGTGAAAAATAACCAAGTGCCAAAAGTTGGTAATCCATTCAATTTGAACAATTCCCACAATAACAACAAGAAATACGACCATGATTGATCTTGCTCTGGCCAAGGGAATTTGCCTTTGTAGAACTCCGCTCCAATCCACATATACCACATCAATAATGGGAATCCAATAATCATTCCCAATGCACCAATGGGACCACCAAACTCCCATTCAATTTGGTCTTTAGGAGTGTATCCTTTAGGGGTAGATTCTGATTCATTGGTTGAAACCAATGGGGTAGTTTCTTCTGCCATGTCTGGTAACTTTCGTTTGTCTATCCAGAGAAAGTTTGTTGTCAAAGTAAGGAATAGAAAGAAAAGGTAAGAGGAAAATTGGTCAATTTTTTCGTTTGGTGTGTGTTGTGTGTATGAAATCAAAACAAAAGCAAAACTAAAAACAATGTTACACAAACACGGGCTCCCCGTTCAGAAGCGGACAATCGCCAAAAGAGTAATAGTCTCATTCAGTCATACGACGAGCTGGGAGAGGAGTGAGAAGAAAAGTAAGAGAAAAAAAAAAATTCATCGGTACGAGGTACGACAAGGACCGACGCCAGTACGAACAGTCCACAAAATCACTAGAATCGATCTCTACAAATGGCACCATCGTCTTTACGAGATTGTCAATTTATCAAAATTTGAATCGTCTATGCGTATGGTATAAATGCCATGTCGGCTTGATCTTCATCATCACTCTCAACCGGCTCTATGTCACCATTGGCATCACCACCACCAACGTTTCTTTCCGCTCTCGACCCATATCTCAACTTCAACTTCTGAACCATCTCTAATGCAATTAACGCACCTCCATTGCCCAATTTAACCAATGCTTTAAAATACAATATCAATTTCTCAAAATCGTCATCGTTTAAAAATACTTTTAGACATTGACGAAATGAACTTTGGGCCATTACTGCCCTCTCGTCAAACAAATTTTTAGACACATAATAGTTGGCCAGTTCTAGGTAAATATCATTCTTATATGCATCTTTTGCGTCACGTTTTGTCTTTATGAAAAACAATGAATTTAATATTCGCATTTTCAACTCTTTAACAATGGGGTGGGTTTTGGGTAGTTTAAGAATACCCTCCGTTATGTACACTTTCAATCCGAGTGAATCTATATGCAACTGTTCGCTCCAGTCAAACCATGAGTAGCAAACAAATCTGCCATCAGACAATGTCTCTCTGGCATAGCACGACGCTGGGAAAGAGATACGATCCAATTTGTGATAATTTGGGTGCCCAATTGATTCAATAGGTATTTCAAACGTTGACTTATTAACCTTGGGCACAATAAAACTATCTCTTCCTTGAGCAATCAACGACATAACTTTGGCTACTCTAAATCCTGATACTTGAACATTATTATGTTCTCGCACCAAGTCCAAACATTTCGTCAATTCGTCAATGACCCGCACGACATTGATACTATACCCATTGAATAAATTAAATTGAACCAAGTTGGGATACTGTGCCGTTAATATATTAATCTTGAGTAACGCATCATGGTACTCGGCATTTTTATCCCGACTAAAGTACCCCGTTTGGAGCCAAATTCGACTCAATTCCGAATGGTCATGTTCTGAATCAGTTTCAATTATGTCAACAACCTGAGAAATGTTTTCCTTCAGGTAATGTAAGGTCCCGCCCAAGGGGTCATGCAATTCTGCCAAAGCTTCAATGGAGAAATACCAACTTTTGGCCAATGCTAACCCATCCGATATGTAGGCTCGACTTGATGATTTTGTAAGCTCAGTATATTTCAATAATAAATCCTTGACTCCACGTAGATGCGTCTTCCAAGAGAGCATTTTACTCGAATTTGAGTCTGCTTGTTGAAAATAAGACGTTGCTGTGAAGCAAGTAGTTAAAATCAAAATGGTTAGTAGCAACTTTTCAATGTCGTTAGCCATGGTGGTGGATTTTTCATTGGGTTTGGGAAAGGCATCACTGAGTAGTTTCAAGCAAACTGAGGTGTATTTCGAACGATTCTGCTCGTGCACCGGTTTTCTATTCTGAACAAATTGGAAAGTGGCTGAACTTGATAGTAATGCACAAAGCAAATATGAGCACCCTTGCAGGTATTTTAAAAGTATCTTTAGTACTGCATTTGAGCCTATACCATGAGCAAATGGGAATAAATGGTATCCCAATTCGGTTTCAGTTAGTTTATTTAGATATATTTCATGCGGTCCTGCCAAATCCAAATCTTGAAAAGTCGATTCAATTAACTCTATATTTGTCTTGTAACCCGAGTTGGTAAGTGGTTGGGATTCAGACTTGTGGGAAAGCTCGGGCATTGGGAACTCCGGTATAGACAGCAACTCCTCTGAGCTTTGTATGCTATGGGAGTAGTTGTTTTCACTACTTAGATTTAGTAGTTGGTCACCGCCATCAATACTAGTAAAAGGTTTGAATTGGTCCATACCAAACATTTCCAATGAATCATGAACTAGCAAATTTGCATCATCAAAGAGATTTCGTACATCGTTAGGGGCAATGCTTCCCCAGTTGTAGTCATTCAAAAAGTCAATGTCCGGCGATAGCACATCGGAAATCTTGTATTTTCTGCACTCGTGTGGAGATTCCTCTCGAGGATGTTGCTGCGGTTGTGATTGTGGCTGCAACGAGTTGGTAACCAAGTCATTATGATTAAAGTTGATGTCAATATCGTTGATGGAGTCAACTTCATGCAGGAGTGACTTTGATGACGGTATCGATGTCCTAATGTTACTATGATTAACTTGATAAAACTTGAGTGAAGATGGTCGATTATTTTGATGTAGTTCCTGTTGTTGTCGTACCAGATCAATCAGCTGGTTATTCCAACTATGTTGATGAATCCGACGTTGTCGTTCATTCTTTGGTGTATCTGTAAATCTTCCTGTTCCTTTGGAAATCCGATCCCGATTTCGATCCAATTCAAAACTAGAGTTACTGCCACCAACAATTACAATCTTGGGATCCTCAAATTGAAACTTCTGCGGTGAAGAAGACGATGGAAATGGCTGTTGATAAACACAAGTCTTGTGCAATCTAGTACAGCTGTAACAATATGGTTTAGCCTCGTCACACTTGATCTTCCGTCGTTTGCATTCTTTACATCCACCTCTACTGTATTTACGTTTCTTTATTACTTTCTTGCCAGTTGGCAGATTTGTTGACTCCATCATAGTGGCATCAAAACAGTGTATATGTGTATATCAAGTGGAAGCAGTGGATTTCCCTCGTGATTCTTGATTTTTTGGGGTCTGGGTATATTAGGGTTAAGAGATTATGGTCTGGTCTAGTAGGGCTCTTTAGTTTTTTCAATGTAAACTAATGTCAAAAATATTTAATGTCGTAGTAAACTATTTGTTGACACACACCCACACATTGGATAATTCGACTTTTTTTGACAGGTAAGTTCCATAACAACGACGACGATTAAGAAAATTAGTGGGTATGTATGACTGAGTTATATCTGTTAGAGGTTAATTGGGTTGATATATGAAATTCTTGTCATTTTGAGAGGAAAATGGCACATGCTGAAAAGCAACTGCAATCAATGTGGTATCTGATCATAATCCCCAGCTCATTTGTTCTTGAACTTTATTCCATCCTACAACACCAAGGCTTCATCGTTGGGGGAGGCGGGGGGTCTGGCATGCAGCCTTCTACTCTCTCACCATTCTCTCTCAACAATAACACAACAAATGTCCACGTGAGCATGCTTGGTGGACAAAGTAAACACTTTCTCTTCTATTTCTCTACCATCATCACCCAAGCAAAGAAGTAGGATCCCACACAAAAGCTTGCCATGCCAATACTCTACTACAATTCTCTCTTTCTAAATATTATTCTATTAATAAAACGTATAAAACTAAAAAAGATATAAAAAAAAAGTTGATAAAACTAAAATAAATATACCTATAATACTTTGTAAAAAATGTAAAACGTAAAATGTATAAAAAAGCATTGGGGAATGAATGTTAGATCGTATTCGTTGGGGAAAACAAAAATACAATGTAAACGGGGGGGGGGGGAGTAAGTTGATCCGTGGAGTTAGTTAGTTAGTCAATGAATGAATGTTAAAAGAACCAATGTGAATATTAACTTAATAAATCCAATCAGCATCATCGGGCAACATCATTGAGTATATTAGATATCATCATCATTAAGCAAATTAACACATGATATATGGTGTGTATGTGACTACATTCGAAATTGAACAAATAAAATCGATGAAATGGGGATAAGGTCTTCTCCATAAAAAAGCTGGAATGCTTATTTTTTTGGTATAATGAAATTGGTGGCCAACATTTGGGGAAGTGTCAACCTCCTTCTTCTTCTTTATTCTATTAATAATTATGATGATTCTCTTCAAATAAAAAAAAAGGCAAGACCTGTTGTTGGGTGATTGGTTGGAATAGATATGTGTGTTTGTGGTGGTGGTGGTGAACATTGGTAAACCATACGGAAACAAAACATTAGCAAGAAATCAATGTATCAAAGAAAGCGTCAACAAAATTCAACAATCAAAAGGGTAGATAAATAACGACCAGTGTTGGGGAGTACCAGCGATAATAATAACAAAGCTTTCTAGACCTGTTGGGGAAAACAAAATCAAATTAAGCAAAGACCCTTTTGTTTTTTAACAAATGACACCTTCTCTCATCGGCATTAACCTTCACCAAATAGTTTCCCACGGTTTATGGTCAGGAGTGACATTAAAAAAACAAATAACAAAATGGAAACAAAAAAGAAAGATAACTCTGTAAAAAAAGACTATGCAAATATTAAACAATCAAAAAACTCTTAAGCAAAACAAGCTTAAGTTGATTTTTCGTGTTGAGTAGAAACTCTTTGCATAGAAACGAGGAAATCTTCCAATGATCTGTGATCCTTTTGTGGTTTTCTTGGTCTACCGTTACAAAGGTTGTCAAATGATTCGGAAGCAGACATAATGTAGTAAGCACCACCCATGACACAGAAGACACCAAATGACCAAACCCAGATTCTGACAACGGTAACAATGTCAGTCCAGTTTTGTGACCACCATCCAAACAAGGTAAACATAGTGGCAATGACATCAACAATCAAGACAGCACCAGACAATTGCCATGATGGAATAGATGACCAGAATGGACCTTGAGCTCTGGTGATGAAAATCAACCAGTTTTCAGTCAAGGAGATTTGCAAAAACAAAATACCATCGATACCACCGAAGTTTTGGACAATACCACCCTTTGGCAAGAACATAGTAGTCAAGGTAATCCAAGTACCGATGGCCAAAATGATACCCAAAACGATAGACATACCCCACAATCTTGGAGTGTTCCACTTAACTGGCTTTGGATCATATGGAGCGTTATCATAAGCAATAGCCAAAGTAGCAACATCTGCGAAAATAGCAATAAAGACAACCAAATCGATGTTCAAGGAGTGGTTCAAGATAGCAATCCACAAACCAAGGAACAATTCCAAATGCAATGACAAAGCGATACGGTAAACAACATATGAGTACATACGGTGGAAAATTTGTCTTGAAGTCTTCAAAGCATCAATAATGGCAGACAAACCTGGAGCCAAGAAAACAATATCGGCAGCAGAACGGGCGGCATCGGTGGCACCTTCGACAGCAATACCAGTATCAGCCTTCTTCAATGATGGAGCATCGTTAACACCATCACCAGTCATGGCAACCAAGTAACCTCTAGATTGCAAGATTTCAACGGCGTTATACTTGTGTTGTGGGAAAACCTCAGCAAAACCATCGGCGTTTTCAACAAAGTCGGCAATTTCAGAACCAGCCATATCACCACCTCCAGACAAACCTAATCTGTCGGCATCGTAAATGTTGGTACCAAGACCCAATTGACGACAAGTTTCCTTAGCAATACCAACGGCATCACCAGTCAACATCTTAACTCTCAAACCCAATCTTCTAGCTTCGTTAACAGTGGCAGCAGTATCGTCTCTTGGAGGATCCATACATGGCATAATACCCAAGATTTCCCAGTGGCCTTCACCTCTCTTTCTGGCAACACCAAGAGATCTGAAACCTCTTGAAGCAAATTCGGCAACAGTGTTTTGATAGTTTTCATGGACATCTTCTGGGATTGGGTGGTCATCTTCAACAGTCTTCAAGACGAATAATGGAGCGCCTTTAACACAAATAATACGTTCACCTTCTGGTGATTCAACAATGGCAGTAACCTTCTTGGAGACAGGGTCGAATGGTTGGAATTCAATAACCTTGTATTTTGGCAAAGCAGCTTTAGCTCTTGGGTAGTTGATCAAAGATTTCAAGAAAGCCTTATCGATAGCATCCAAACCCTTCTTCTTTCTAGAAGCAGCCAAACAAGCAGTCAACATCAAGTCATCTGGTTCAACACCTTCAACAGTGTATGGTTCGTGCAAGGACAACTTGTTCTTGGTCAAGGTACCGGTCTTGTCAGAACACAAGATTTCAACACCAGCCAATGATTCAATAGCAGACAATTTTTGGACAATAGCTTGCTTCTTAGCCAAGTAAGCAGCACCGACAGCCATGGTGGTGGTAACGACAGCTGGCAAACCAACTGGAACACCAATAATGGTGATGGCCAAAGTGTATCTCAAGATTGGGACAATTCTAACAGTTCTGTAGAAACAAGCAACCCAGACAACCAAAAGGGTAACAATAACGAAAACCAACAAGGTAGTACCAATACCGTTCAAGACTTCGGTGAAATGACCTGAACCACCAGAAGCTTTGTTAACCAAAGAAGCGGCTCTACCAACAAAAGTGGAGTCACCAGTAGCAGTAACAAGCATAAAAGCTTCACCAGTCTTGACAGTAGATGATGAGTAACAGTTGTCACCGTGTCTCTTGTCAACAGCCAAAGATTCACCGGTAATAGCAGATTGATCAACTTGTAACAAGCAATCTTCAGAAACAATTCTACCATCACATGGAATAACAACACCATCTTCCAATTGCAAGATATCACCAGGAACAACTTCATTGGCTGGGACTTCAGACAATTGACCATTTCTAACAACCAAAGCAGTGTTGGCCAAAGATTTTTTCAATTCTTCGACAATAGAACCGGCTTGGTATTCTTGGATGAAACCAACAAAAGCATTCAACAACAAAAGGGCACAGATAACACCGAAATCGACCCAATCTTCCAAACCAGCAGCCAAAACAGCAGCGGCTTCCATAACGAATTGAATTGGACCAACGAAAAACATGACGAATTTCAAAACCATGTTCTCATTTTCTTCAGCCAATTGATTCAAACCGTATCTCTTTCTTCTCTTGTGGACTTCATCGTCAGTCAAACCAGATCTAGGATCAGTTTGCAACAATTCTTCAGGAACGGCTTTGAAAGAAGCTCCATCATCCTCTTCTTCTTCCTCATCGTCATCACCACCTAATCCGTGATGCGATTGCAATTCGTCAACCAATTGATCAATATCAGCATCATCATCATCTGATGCGTTGGCTTTGTCAACTTTTTCATTAGTTGGTTCAGTAGCACTCATTTTTGTTTGCTTAAAAAAAAAGACTAACTAACTGGGTGAAAATTTAAAAACAAAATGAGTGAAATAGAATAACTAAGGAAAGAAAAAGGGAAAAGAAAAAGAGAAGGAGAAATATTTTAAAATTTGAAATTTGGGAAAACTTTAGTCCTTTTTAATGAATAACAGAAGACCAATAAAAAGAAATTAGAGAGAGATTTCGTTTGTTGAAGAAAAATTGAGAGATTTTTTGTTTTTGTTTAGGTTGTTGTTGTTTATGTTAAGACGAAGAGATAGATTTTTTTGTGTACGTAAGTGGCTATTTTGAGCGCTTAATAATAACAATATGAAAAAATAAAACAATATCAAGCAGAATAAAATATGAAAAAAGAAACGAACTTCATTACACTAAAAAGGGCTTGCTAACCAAAAATGGTATATAAAAACACAATAGGAATAGTCGGGTATTAACTGCGTAGAGTATTTTTGCGTCATGTATGGTATGCACCTTGAGTTAAACTCATACATAAAAGTAAGAAAGTAATTCACTCATCGGCCGAATAATATTGTTACAGTGTCTAATAATTACACAAAGATAGTGTTTTTACATATAGACAAACACATGGGATGTAACAGAATTGGACGATTAATAAACAAATGAGGTTTTATTGGATAGAAATAACAACAACATTCCCCCAAATAAAGGCTGGCACACGAGAGCTATAGAGTAGATACTTTTGAGAAGCTGGGAGTTCTTCTAGACTCAATTAGTTCAATTTTCCCCTCAAATGGCCATAGTTGCTATTGCATAATATGTATGGGATGGAAAACTAAAATGTGCTTTTCTTATAGGCGGCTAAACTCCTCCCGAATTAGACTGTTGTTTCTTTTTTTCTGGCTTTTGTTTATACTTTGTCTTAATCTAGAAACAAAGAAGTAAGTTACATTTTGTTTTGATTTCCTGCCAAATAAGTAAGTAAAGAGAGAGAAAGGCTATTTTGTGCAGCAATAACAGTAGTACTAGCCTTTATTAATGTTTTGGTATTTTCTTATTGCAAGAAAATTTAAACAATAAATAATAAAATAAAAAAATAAAAGCCTTTTAGCCGCTGTACCCAAAAAATAAGAACAAAAAAATGTAACCTAGAAAAGTGAAGTATGAGAGAGAATGAGATAGAATCGTCATATTAAAAGAAGGGGAGACAGAGAGAGATAACGGTGTGGTCTTTATAAAAAAAAAAAGAAGATAGAAAGAAAGAGCAACATTAAATATAATTTATGAGATGATCGTCAATATTTTCTTCCTTTTACTCCGCATTTTCTTTTCCCCTTTCTATAGATCTCTCTATACATCTCTATACCAATCTCTTAACACATGTTTAATTTCAAGATATATCGATATCTGAAGATTCTAATTGGCTCAATTTCAAACAACTCTGGTTCCATTGAATACAATAGAGAAGATGTGTGTGTACCTGTGCACAAAATTAAAATTCCCTCAATTTATATAGCACAAAATTGCCAAGTTCATGTAAATATGTACACGACCTTTTTGCTCTGTAATAACCGAAAAACTTTTCTTCCTGGTTAAGTCCATATTTGTATACTGCCTTAAACACCGAGAGTAGTTTCATAAGGCAAATAACATAATCCTTGGATAATCAGAGGAGAGGAATTTAAGCTCTAGTAACAAAGACAGTACATTATTCCGGTTATATCTCCGATCGGCAAAACTGTGTGAGGAAGGAGCTTTTTCTATTTTGTAGAACTTTGAGGGCTGCCCTAGCTCCAAGCACTACGACTTGCACTACTGACTGCACTACCACCAGCATAAGGCCTTACCTGGGTTTTACAAAATACACAAAGTGCCCTTTTTCACCGATTTCAATTGGTCTTTACATATAACCCCCCTCATAGATCTTTTTTAATGAGCCACAGTTTGTGACATAAGAAAGCCATACACATTGCGTATAACAGAATATCTTCCTCTTCTGTAATAGTATTTTGTTCTGTATTACGTCTTCGCAAACTGCAGTGCCTGTAGATGGTGGTATTATCTTGCATTTACATCACACGAGCCCTAACTTCTTTCTTTCTTTAGCATAATAATAATATTTTTTACATAACCAGCTATGGCGGGAGTTTTACTTGTTCAAAACTTTTGTACCCTTTTCTATCCCTCACCGTCCGTTATTATTTTTTAGTTTATTTTGTATTTTTATATTCCTAATCGTCAAATTGCAGTTGATGGTTTATATCCGATAAAAAAGGGCTAAAAGTTTATATAGTAACGGCAAATACGAAAAATTGTGTTTACATAGTAATCAAATCGAAACTCGATCCGAACAATGATCCGAATGCTACCGTGAGAACGTTTCAATTACTCTCTGTCACCACACAATTGACAACACGTACTCTCTTTCGGAACCAAGTGCTCCCTGTAGCCACCAAAAGGATGAGGCGAATGTTAGCGTTTGTAAAGATAACTGTACCAAAGGAATGGCTGGTGTGTGTGTGTGTGTGTGTGTGTGTGTGCATTGTAGTTTTCTCTTTGGATTAGGGTTATAACCAGCTCTCTTTGTTTTGTGTGAACGCTACCATTTTGTTGTTTCTTTTTTCACGTAGCTATTGTGTAGCCGTTTTTAAAAGCGATTGCCTTACTTTGTCACCTGTCTCTATCTCCTCTTTGCCTCTTTGTCTTGTTGTCTTTCGGTCGTCTTTGAGTACTGCAAATTCAAGCGGCTAAAGAAGGAATGAAAAAAAATTGTAAAGAGGTACACACACCAAGACAAAGACAAAACTGAAAACGTTTATTTTCTTACATTCACATCCACTGTTTCTCCCTTTCAAAATTGATTAAAGGGTTGGACCCATTTTTAGAAGTCTTGTGAGAATTGTGAGAAAGAGAGAGAATTGTGTATGTAATACATTGGCAATAGTTGACGTAATTGGGTTTCTTGTGTAAAATTTCGTTCACTATTTTTAGTTTGTTGGTCTTTTTTTTTTCTTGGATATTTCTTCGTAAAGTTTATGAGGGAAGTAGGAAGTAGGAAGTGGGGAGTGGGGAAGATTATAGGAGTCGACGAAGAGGATAGAAGAGTCAGAAGAGGGGAGAGATAACTTATTCATTGGCAAGGCAATTAGGTTTTCAGTTACAATGTGTGTTCATTTTTAAAATTCATACCAACGCCGTATAAAACTGTTGCAACACAATTTTGCATTAATATTTGACTGAAACTGAAAACACTGAAATCATACTAAATTTTGAAACAAATATGAAGTTGGCTATATTCAAAAGATTCCCTTCGACATGTATGTTACATAACTCAACAACCCAATTCTTCTTTGGTCCTCTGCCTCCTCGTCATCCTCATTACGTTGTATGTCGCCTTTCTGGCTCGTCTTTCAGTACCTTACATTCTTTTCTTTCTTTCTAACTTCTACTTTTGTGGTTCTAAACATCTACCTAATAACAAAACTAAAAATAAAAAAAATGAAAAGCTCCGGGCTCACAACGGCCGCTTCTCCAAAATCATCTCAAACCCCTCTTTCTTTGGCTCTGTCTCCAACATTCTTGTTTTGATTCGTCTTCTTTCTTCACTACTGTTCAATTTTTGTGCCCCTCTCAGTAAACTTTGTGTAGATTTATACAACCAAAAACGGTACATGTTGCTTTGTGTAATTACTGCAGCTTTTTTGACCTCTAACGCACGACTATACTCTGTTTAATTTCTTTTTTGGAACTTTTTTTCTCTTCGGTTATAAAACGGATATTAAAAAACAAAAACAAAGTAGTGTACCTCTAGCTTGTTTTTATTTTGTCTCCGGCCATCGGTTATTACATTTTTGTTTAAGCTCTGGAGTTTAAACCCGGTAGACTTCCACGGATTTAATATACTTCTCTCCCAATGCAAAGCAAAAGGGTTTTGTACTAGCCACAAGCGAAGTTATTTCCGAAGTAAATAGAATGCAGAGCAAGAGAGCCCTTTTTGCAACACACCAGAAGAAGCGTCTATCTCCCATCTGTTTTCATCTCGGCTACTTTTTGTGCTCGGATGAAACAATCTCACTCCGGTAGATGAAGCAAGACGCAAGAGAGAGTTCTACCTATATATTACTTCATTGAAGGGATCCAGCTAAACCCATTCTTTGTACTTCTCTCTCCCACCAGAATGGCAGAAATTGATTACTGTGTAAAACTCTAATGCATTATCTTCTATACCCTTCTAATCATCTCAATCTTGATTCCTAATTCGTTTATTTTCCCTCAGCGCTCTCCATTTCCACTTCAATGGCCTAACCTCTTTCAAAATCAAATAAATAACCGCACCAACAAATCTAAATGCCGCCATTCCAGCAACAATCCACAAGATGATGGTCAAAAATACCTCCGAATTACCTGATATAGAACCATCGGAGTTTGTAGAGGACCGATTGGTAAGCAACCCTATTCCGGCAGCGTCAAGCACAATAGCCACCAATATGGCATTGGTGAGCATCCACACCAATACGGCAATTGTACGGACAAAAGCATAGTATGAATCATCCTTAATCAGTCTTGCGCTGACAATATCGACTTCTTCGGGTGGCATGCTCCGAAGTTGCTCGACTTTGTCCAAATACGTATCTTCGAGCCCTTCATTAGTATCCGGAGCAATTAATAAAATGTCATTCTTGTCTTCACCCATTGATTTGGCCGATCCCAAATCTTTGGCTCGCTCGACTCCCTTTGTACCCCATGACACATCATGAATATTACAGAATGAATAAATATTGAGCACGTTGACATACGTTGGTGATAGCAACACATACTGAGCAAATGACGTAAACATAAAACTTGGTTCTCCATACATGAATGCCCCGACAAAGTACAACGTGTATGTCGAAACCACCGAAACCACCAAATCTCTAAACTTGGTATTGGTAAACACCATCGACGCCGTAAAGTCGTCTTTATGGTCCTTGATGATTGCCTGGGCGGTATGTACAGCTAGGAAAATAGCAGCAAATATCAAATACGCCATCATGATAGCAAAAAGATAGGCAATCACTTGGTAAAATTTCCTAGTACCTCGAGGCGTGTTTCCAAACGCTAAAACAAATGTGCAAACAACTGAACCAGCATATATCCATAGAAAAATTATCGCCAAATACTTTCCTGTTTCGAAATGCATATCATCTGCCCCCAAATTGGCAGTCAAGATCCTGAATACGAGAAAGAATGATGCCAATGAGAACCACGAAACTAAAATCGTAACCAATTGATAATAAAATTCCAACTGCATAAACAATTTACGAAGAAGCGAATGGTTTGACCGCCAAAGCTTGGTCCAATGGAAAACGGCATATGCTGCAGCAAACAATGACCCATTCAACCATCGACGTCTTTGCAAAACAAACTCATCGATACTCTCAGGAACATCCGTTTCGGCTTTGGCCTCCTTGACATACCGCAACATATACTTGTGATTCTTTTTGGCAACCAATTCAAAACACAAAATTCTATCCTCGGCCAAGTACATATTTGATGTAAAGATACCGGCTTCTTGGAAATTCCGCTCCTTAATCTCTTTTTCATCGTCGTCGGGGTCATTTACTTGACTACTCAAATCCAAATACTCGCCTTTAAAATACTTTTCCAACGGACCTTTACCATTGACGTTCAAAAGCGCCTCGTATCGATAAGCACTAAAAGCTCCTGGCAACACCGATATAAACCCAAACACACTCTCCATCGGTTTATCCAAGATGTTGGATATCTTGTACTCAAAGTTTTGAGCAGCAACTAACGGATTTGCCAATAAACGTTTGCCTGTTCCCAATGATGCTCTCATCTCACCACAAGCACCAGCAACATTAGGGTCTTTAAATGCTCGCCAAAGATAAAAGAACGCGTCTTTTGACGGTTTAGTACCACAATCCAAAAGCATCACCACTTTGGGATTCAATATAGGTGCAAACGCTTGGAAACACCAACGATGGGAGTTAATCTTTCGACTGTTTTTCTCCTTTAAGCAAAACAAGAACTGCACCGGCATCGAATTGGGGGTAAGATGTACATGATCGTTGATGGTGTCAATCCCAACAGTGGAGGTGTATTCATAAATGTGCGCCTTCACCGGCTTGTCGTTGATTTTGGATTTGGCATATCCATCTTGAAACAACCCGAGTGCCGATAAAAGAACCTGGGTTCTTTTGTTTAAATGAATTCGCCCATCACTAACAATACAAATGACAACTTTTTTCCATGAATCTTCACCCCAAGTTGAGTCGGATCTCTTTCTCAAATCTTCTATATTGTCAAAGATCCCCTTCAATGTCCTTGCTAATAGTATTTCATCCTCATTGTACATGGTGATACAAACCATTATTTCTGTTTCTCGGCGAGGCTCATAAAGTGCTTGGCGCAAGTTGTATTGGAATTTGGTATAATTGGATGGTCCACAAGTAGCAGCAGTATACCTCATAAAGGACATTTCTCTACCAATATCGCCAACTTTTTTACAATAGGTGCTGAGCAAAGCTTTTGGCGCTGGAGCGTCAATAATGTAGTTACCATTGATTAGCTTGGCCTTCTTGATTGTCTTTGTATACTTCAAGTTGAACCCCTTTTCATCGTCGTCAAATGTAATTGTTGATCCTCGACTTTTGGTCCTTTTAATAGAATTGCCACCCCTGCCTCTATTTATCGTGGTGTTTCTGCGTAAAATATCATCATCGTCTCCCGAAAACAAACTATCTTCATCGCCATATATATCGAAATCCTCGTCGTCTTCATACTCTGCGTCTACAAGTGGGTTTATGAGGTAATCTTCACCAGTTGAGAATGCAGGGTTGTTCATATTGTAAACCAAGGGCTCGTGACCTGTACCGTAATCTTCATAGTTTTCATAAAATGGATTATCCAAACCAGGGTTATATGCAAGAGGGGGATATTTCAAGTCATTGTTGAAAGATACCGTTTTTTCCCGTTTTGGTGCATCATAGTCAAACATGTCATCATCCTCGTCAACATCATCACCATCATCGTACTTATTATGGTAGCTGTCACCAACAACTGTGCCAAATGAGGAGTTGGTTGGGTATCTATAACTTTCCTGTATGTGTCTGTTGAATTGGCCTCGACCCGAGTGAGCCAGAGACAGACTTGCTTCACTCTGGGAAGGTACTCTATCAGTCGGCAATTGGTAGTGGTATCCTTGGCTGTTGTTTTCCTCCAAATCTGATGTGGCTGGGTGTACAGTATCTATATCGTCGAATAAGTCATCATCTGACACGTACTGGAATGAGTTATGTGGCATTATAGGAAAGCCTCTGATCTTGTGGGAAAAGTTATAGGGATTGGGGCTTTAAATATACCGAGATAGAATTGGGTAGGGCTTATTGTGAGATGTGTCCCGTGGTGAACCAAAAAAAACAAAGGAGAAAAGAAAGTGATGGCTTTTCTGTAAATATATTCTACTCCAGTGTGGTCCTTCCTGTGATCTATGTTTGTCGTAGAGCTAAATGATTTTTAAATTTGAGGTACCAATACGGAAAAAGACCCCCTGTGTGGGTTATAATAAATTTTCAGTTTGTCCAAAGTTGAAATGTCATCTTTTAATTGTTTGCTACAGTCTCTCTCTTCTGGGCATAGCCTAATTGAGTAATATAAGTGTGTGTGCCTTGGTGTGTGTTTGTTTATCCCTTTCTATTTTTGAAATCTATTTGTTTATCAATTGTCTCCTTTGGGAAAATTAAACATTGTGCAACAAAAATACACATTATCTGTATACTATTGCCATATTATTATATACAAAACCCCCATCTCAAAAATCGAACGTCGTTTCATAAGGAGAAGAAGCAACGTCTTGAATTCTGGGGATAAGAGGTTAACTAATCAATCACATTACATCTAATTTATTACCTTGTTAGTTTATATACACTAAATGTTTATGATCTCAGTACAACACTAACTACTCATACAAACATGTCTTTAACCGAAAAACTTTGCATACTTTGACTTTTCCTTCCGCTTTTTAGCTTCCAATGCAGATTCTGCTTCTTGCATTTTTTTCAGTACGAGTTCATCGCTCGGAAGAATCTTATGCGCTGTTTTCAAATCAACGAGCGACGATTCCAACTTGTTCAACTCGAAATAAGCCAGGCCCCTTCTGAAATGCGCTTTTGCTCTTTCCTGTTCCACGGCATCATCCAAATCCAAGAGAAAAGTACAATACTTGATTGAGTCGTTATATTGCTTCAATTGTAAAGTAACTAAACTCAAATTCAAATAAATCTTCTTCTTCACTTCTTTGAACTTTTGAAAATACTCGGGGTTTTGATCCTGATCAGGGTCAAACTCAACAATATAACGCAAACACTTTCTCCATTTCATATACGCCTGATTTTTGTCACCTCTTTTAAACAAAATGGTTCCACTTTCTTTAATTCGTTCTATAGCAGTAAAAGCAGATTCGACTGAGTCCTCTTCAATCGTCTGGTCGTCATCTGGGTATTCTTCATATATATCTCCTCCTACTTGATCATAACTGGCGTTGAAAATTGGAATATTCATAGACTCATCCCATTCTCCACAGGAATCAATAACCACAGCAACAGTGGGTTCATACTGTGAATTTGTACTCACTCTCTCAATTTCTCTAACAACAGATTTACCATGTATCACATGGCCAAATACCGTATACTTTTTCGCTAAATGGGGTTGTGGGTACGTCGTAATGAAGAATTGGTCACCTGCGAGATCCAGATCAGTATTAGCCCAGCAAAGACTAAATGTGGGACAACTTTCACACAAGTTCTCCTCGTAGAGGGCCTTTGCATTTTCATCACTGTTTCCCAGTGCACCACTATTTGTAGTTCTTGCTTGGATGGTAAAATTTTTAATCACCTTGTCAAAGTTGGCTCCCTTGTAAGAGTGCAATGTTCTGTCTATAGTCTCACCACGACATAGTTGGAGAAATCGAGAGGTGGATTTTGGTGCTTGTTGATCACACAACTCAAGTACAATACGCCCGATTGGCTTTGAATCAATGCTGATGTCAAGGTATGCTTTTGGTTGAACCGATTCTATCTTCATGAAAGCAATTGGGGTGGGTAATGGAGAGAGTGAGAGGAGATGAGGACAAAATCGATTGCAAATAAAAAAAATCGAGCAAAGAATTAAACCTCATGAACATTGGAATTTCAACAATGCTATCCAACAGAGTGAAGTCATCATTGCAAAAAGTATCAACTGGTTTAGTACTAATCCGGTACGCCAGTACCAGTTACAATTCACTTCTTCACAATTCAGTTGAAAGCGTCAACCAAACATTGGAAAAAAGTGATCGATCATCATACATATTGGCTCAGTACATCCCCGAACCGGCACGAAATACTTTTCTAGCCATCAGAGCTTTCAACCTCGAAATTAGCAAGATCAACGAAGGTGGGAAAAATGTCCAATCTCGAGCATCCATGGCATCAAAGCAAATGACGCAAACGTTGGGGGTATCGACTGCTGATTTAAAGTTTAAATTCTGGAGTGATTTGCTTCTACGAGTGTTTACCGATGATCCAAACAGTCTGCAGGGTTTGGGAGAACCAATAGCAATTTTACTAAGAGACGGATTAAGGAATAATTTGAATATAGATTTGTCCTATTTGCAAAAGTTTTTACAAACCAAACGTTCATTTATAAAGAGTAATGCTTCGTTTGGCACCACTAATGAAATTTGCAGTTATGGTGAGGGGACTTATTCCCAACTCAATTACCTAACACAACAAGTATTGTTATCGCCACCAATTTCTCCATCATCGACTCAGTTGTTGCAATATTCACCTGCTTTGCAATCAACAATTACCGATATCGCAGCTCATATTGGACAAGCCACAGCCATAGCTGCAATGATCACCGGATTGAGATACTACGCCTCAACAAGAAACCAAGTGCCTCTTCCAATTGACTTGATGAACAATCATGATTTATCACAAGAATCCGTCTTGAGGTTATTTCAGGGGCATATATCCGATACAAAGGATGAACAAGGCCTAAAGAACAAACTAAACCTGGTTATTTATGAAACAGCAGTTGTGGCAAACGACCATATGTTGACAGCAAATAAAAAGCTAAATGATTTCAAGAAAGAAGTTGTTAAAGTTATAGACATGCATTCTGACGACCAAAAGTTCCAGGTTTATGCCAAAAAATGGAGAGGCAAAGTACCAGACGTCATATTCACTCCTTTGATGGTGGGAATCCCAACAAGTTTGTACTTGAGGAAATTGGAAAAGCATGATTTTGATATATTGAACACCAACTTACAACAACCAGAGTGGAGACTTGCTTGGACATCATTCAAAGACTATTACTTGCGGAAGATTTAACATTGTGTATATATTCGTTTTAGCTTGAGCTTTTTACATTGCCTTCGCTGGCCTCCTGATTAGATTTTTTGCTCAATATTTTGATTGGTTTGAAGTCATTAGGTGTAGGTGTTTGTTTCTTGTCCTTTTTACTACTGTCATTCTCCTTCTTTTCTCCTCCTTTCTTTCGATTACGTTGTCTCAGACGAGAATTGGAGCCACCGGGTGTATTTTTCTTGGTCTCGGATGCTCCAGCAGCGGGTGCCGCGTGCTCGTTTTTACTAATGTCTTTGTCACTCCTCTCGTCGCTTGTAGTTTTATTCGCCATCTCTGGAGCCTGGAGTTTCTTCTTCTTCTTTTTCTTTGCCTTTTTATTCTCCTTATCCTTTTCATTTCCTGGGCTTTTATCGTCGCCTTTAGCAACTTTCCCTTCTTCCCTTTCCTTTCCATTCTGTTTTGTCTTTTTCTTTAACTTCTTTTGCTTATCCTTTTCACCTTCCTTAATTTTCACTGGGCCCTTATCTTTTTTGTCCTTCTTGTGCTTTTTGCCCTTTGAAACCAGTACTGATTGATCCTTTTTAGGTCCCTCCTTCTGCTTCTTGTTCAACGATTTATGTATCTTTTTTAAATTAAATTCGTTCAAACCTTTGTCCAAGTATAGAAGAAACTTTTTATAAATTTCGTCATCCTCCAAGAGATTAAATGTCTTGTCATTTTGGGATCCACGTTTCAGGTCACTAAAGCTTTCAGAGCTTATCATTTTCTGAAAGACTGACTTTTCCACAATTGGAATGATGGAGTCCTTTTCATCTTGGAAAGGTTTGTTTTTCACAAACGAACAGAATTCTAACGAGTCGTTGGAATTCTTAAAGCTAACATATGCCCTGCTATAAACGGGTAGCTCAAATGGTGTCAGTGGATATGAACCTGGGACAAAATAATGTTGGTCTATTTTCGTAGCGTGATGGGGATAAATATTTGCCAACTGATTTAAAAATTCATCTTCTTTTAGGGCTGGAGGTAGTAACCTGATCAGAAGTTTAGCATTCTGTTCCGGCCCACTTTTCGAAACTCGTTTAGTAGAAGCATTAGCAGTGGTACTGGGAGTAATACTCTCGGAATTAGCTTTTACTGGGTTATTACGCTTTATTGCCGTAGCTGGCCTAGCTATTTCTGAGTTCCTCCCGGGGGCTATAGACGCCATTATTTAGCAAGTTTTGGTGTAGGTTGTCACAGTGTATCTAGTTCAAACAGTTTCCATCCATCGATCTTCTGCCACAGAGGTAAATGAAGGAATATCACTATTACACTATTAGCTGAATACTGCAAAATTGTTTAGTTTAGGATGGAGAGAGAAAAAAAAAAAAAAGAGAGAGAGAAATTTCTCTTTCCTGGAAGGATTGCAAAACTCACAACTACAACAGTATGTTCCCTTCGACAAATTATTCAGAAGAATTGAGAGAAAAAGGTAAACCAGCCAATTCTTTAAAAGATCATGAGAATAAATAAACCCCCTCTTCATATTCTCTTACTTAAGAACAATTAATGTCTTGAGTTTTCCAGTGACGCGACATANAGGTAAATGAAGGAATATCACTATTACACTATTAGCTGAATACTGCAAAATTGTTTAGTTTAGGATGGAGAGAGAAAAAAAAAAAAAAAAAGAGAGAGAGAGAGATTTCTCTTTCCTGGAAGGATTGCAAAACTCACAACTACAACAGTATGTTCCCTTCGACAAATTATTCAGAAGAATTGAGAGAAAAAGGTAAACCAGCCAGTTCTTTAAAAGATCATGAGAATAAATAAACCACCTCTTCATATTCTCTTACTTAAGAACAATTAATGTCTTGAGTTTTCCAGTGACGCGACAAAGAAATAAAAACTGTCGTGTCTCTGTTTTTTTTTTTATATTTTTATTTTTTTTTTTTGGCTCAAGGTTTTTGGAAAAACCAATCTTTTATTTTCTTCAACCAACCAACAAAATATCACAGATCAATTAAGACTTGGGTAACATTTTTATCAACTTTTGTACCTTTGTCAACCGATAGATATCACACTTGCATCAATATAGAAGCTGGAGCTTAGAAAAATGGAGTTGGATCATAGTGGTATTTCAAATGGAAATGGGATTTCCAAATGGAAGGACGGCTATGCAATAAGCATTGATCCCATCACGCTTACTGTCAACGAATGCATGATAATGGTGTCTGCAATGAGGCGATCCAACAGGTGGGCCTCAGGAGGTGTTTCTTCATTGTTCAACGCAGGAGACTTTTTTGGAACTAGAGAAGAAGATGATACGTTTTCCGATAGTTTGGACATATCGTCCATCCTTAATAATCACAGCTCAAGCTATGAAAAGAGCGTTGAAGCGAATAGTGTTGGTGGCGGCATGTCTAAGCATCTGCAGGGCAACCCTTTACTTTCGTCATTTTTGCAATTACGTTCAATTCTTTTGGAAGCGCAAAACATTTATGATGTTGACAGCTTGACCATACTTCAACCATTTTTGCTAGTCATCAAGTCCTCCTCAACATCAGGATTTGTCACTGGACTAGCTTTGAATTCAATCTCCAAATTCATCACCTATGGTGTTATATCAGCAAAGTCAAAGAATTTGCAAAATTCCTTAATTCAAATTGTGTCGTCACTCACCCACTGCCGTTTTGAGGCTGCAGAGCAAAGCTCGGATGATGCTGTTTTATTGAGAGTATTACGTTTGTTGGAGAAGTTGATGGAGAGTCCTCTCGCAATTCTACTTACTGACGACAGCGTTTCTGAAATTGTGCAGACATCCTTGTCTTTGGCATGTAACAAAAAGCGAAGTGAGGTGTTGAGAAGAGGTGCTGAGATGTCCTTGGTATCAATATCAGTGGTAATATTCAGTAGACTTAGAGACATAGAGCCTGATAAAGAGATTGCCATTGATCTTCAAACAAACTTTTCAGAAACAAAGCTTCCTGAAGACACCATTGGTGGCACACTAGCCGATAACATTCAAGCCAACGTATCTCAAGAACAAATTACTGTGAACAAAGATCTTCAGGAGGAGCAAACGTTACAGAACAAGTTAGAACCCTCGTTTGGAATCAAATGTATTAATGAATTTCTTGGGATCTTGGTGTCCATAATTTCCCCATCTAACCAATACCAGCATATGGAAAGTACGAGGGTGTTTGCGTTGTCATTAATCAACACCGCCGTTGAGGTTGCAGGATCGCAAATATCAAAGCATTTGTCTTTGTTAACTATGATAGCAGATCCGGTATCTAAACACATTTTGCAAATAATAACCACCACAGAATCTTCGGCTTTGCTAAAACCTGCGCTTCAGTTATTTTCCACGGTATCCATTGTTTTGGGAAAAGAATTAAAACCGCAGTTTGAACTTTCGATGATATTGGTTTCTCAGTCCATTTTGCCAAGACAAAAAAATAATACCAAAGACCAAGCAAAGAGCGGACACCTTCAAAGCAGATCACCAGTTGCAAAGGAGCTTCTTTTGGAGTCCTTAAGTTTGCTATGGTCGCGAAGTCCCACGTTCTTCACCGAGCTTTTTGTCGAATACGATTGCAACTTTGACAAATCTAATCTTGCGGTGGACACTATCAAGTTTTTGTGTCAGCTATCTTTGCCCGAATCAGCCCTCAATACTACGGTGAATGTTCCTCCTTTATGTTTGGAAGGAGTATTGCATTTTTTGAATGGGGTCAATGAAAGATCGAAAACTTTCCGTGCCGCTGAAGAAGAACTGTCCGTGAATGAGTATATCGAGAAGCAGTTGAAGAAAAGCGCATTCATCAGGTGTACTGAGGTGATTAACAAAAGCCCCAAAGAGGGAATCAAGCTTTTGGCTAAAGAGAATTTTATAAGCGATGAAAAAGATGTTGGGGAAGTCGCTAGCTTCTTCTTTACAAAAGCAGGAAGATTAGACAAAAAGATGCTAGGTGAGTTTCTCGCCAAGCCTTCTAACGCGGATCTCCTTCAGCATTTTATTAGATTGTTTGATTTTGAAGGTTTAAGAGTCGATGAGGCGCTTAGGGTCTTGTTGAAGACTTTCAGACTCCCTGGTGAATCACAACAAATTGAGCGAATCGTTGAAACATTTGCCCAAATTTACATTGCGTGCCAAAAAGATGGTCTACGCGAAAGCAAACCAGCCTCGTCACCTGACCAAGAGGGCGGGGCTGAACCGGAAGAAGATACTTCAGAAGCAGTGAAACCTGATAAGGATTCCGTATTTATCCTATCTTACTCCATAATTATGTTGAATACTGACTTACACAACCCACAAGTGAAGCGCCAGATGCTCTTGGATGATTATAAACGAAACTTAAGAGGCACATATAATGGGAAGGATTTCCCCGAGTGGTACCTTGCCAAAATATACCTGTCGATAAAGGATCGCGAAATTATCATGCCGGAAGAGCATCACGGTACTGAAAAGTGGTTTGATGATGTCTGGCATAACCTAATTTCGACGCAGGACTTTACACAAATTGAGCATGTGAAGCTCGAGAAAACTGCTACATGCGAGTTTGATAAGGAGTTATTCACCTCCGTCTTCAATGGCATAGTCGACATGATTATGACGATCTATAAAGAAGCATCAGATGACCATGTATTGACAAGATTGATGTCATCATTGGATAAAATTTTCAACATATGTTTAACTTATGATATGGAGGATGCAATTGATGACTTAACTTGCAGGCTAGTGGAGTCAAGCAACTTGGCAAAAACAACATTGCAAAAGGTGTATGTTGATGACAACATCCGACCTGAAATCCCCATTACTCAAATGAAAATCGAAGGAAGAAAGGGTGATTTGTTTGTGAGTGACTTGTCAGTCTGGTTTGGACGCAATTTCAAAGCGCAGTTGGCGGCGGTGATGTTATTTAGATTGATGAAGAAGACAAACTGCAAGATAACCAAGTCATGGAACAAGGTTATTGAAGTTATAGCAAACTTATTTGAGAACTGTTTGATTGATCCCAATGTGTTTGTGGAGTTTCAGAAAAAGATTCAACTCGGGCCATTACCAAAAGTCCCACCGGTTTATGTGATTAAAAAGGCGAAAGTATTAAACAATTCTGGCCTCTTGTCAACTTTCTCCTCGTTCCTCAAGGGGTACTCGGATGATCCACCGGAGCCTACTGACATTGAAATTGAGTCAACTATATCAACCATGGACTGTTTGAAATCATTGAATGTTGCCAATATATTTTCAATAATTTCCAAAAGTGAACTGGCAAATTTGCAAAAGTTTATACACTTGTTACTTGCAGCACTTCCTGAACACTCCGACGAAGTCAAGAGATCCTACGAGGCAGAGACGTTATTCATACTTGAGACATGTGTTTGCTTTTGTTTGTTATTGAATGATGAGCACTTACTGCTGCTTGTTTTAGGTAAACTCGACAATCACAACTTGAGCGGTCTTGGCGAGTTGAGACTAGTTGCTTACAAGTTACTTTTGTTGAGATATTGTAAAGATGAGTCGGTGTTGGTTGCTACTATCAAACAAGCTGGCTCAGTAGAACGAGATATTGCAAGTAAACATGGAACCCAGATTGTGCTGCCTTTGATGTCATTGACAGATGAAGACTCTTGGTGCTGTAAGACATTGCTCAAAGAAGAGTCATACTGGAACACGATGCGATTTTATGGGTCTTTACAGGCTTATGCCTTTGATATAATCCCTTTTCTTGAAACGCTCATCAAAAGTCCTCAACGAGAGATATCACCCGAAAATTTTCTACCAATATTAGGTCTTTTGGATGAAATCTCTTCCTTGGGCGCGATTGGATCGCAATACGAATGCGAAAATGCTCACTCGACCGTCAAGAATGCTAATGATCTGTACTATAGAGAGGTGGTTGCTCTTGCCAAGAAATCAATAGATTTGACGTCTTCCTTGGCCGTGTTGCTGAAAGAAGACAATTTTGAAAAGCGGGATTTATTCTACTCCACAGTGCAAGCATTGGCACACCAATGTTTTAATCCATGCAGAGAAGTTAGGGAATACTCAGTCAAGGCTCTTTCTGTGACTGTTTTGTCATTTGAGGCTGATGATAACGTGACATTTAGTGGCATTTTTGAATTCGGTCTTTTCCCATTACTAGCTGAATTGACAAAACCAGATGTGTTCCAAGGCGGTTCCAATGGATTTGATAAAACATTCAATGAGATATTTCGCCTCCTATGCAAGGTCTTTTTGAAGCAAGTGGATAAATCGGACGTTGACACTATTTCAAAAGTGTGGTTGGAACTTTTGGATTACCTTGAGAAATTCCATTCTAGCAATTCAAGGTCTTTAACTCCGGAAATTACAGAATCGAGTTCAGAAAGCTTGAAGAACTTGTTGTTGGTTTTGCAAACGAATGAGTTCTTATCAGAAAGTAATCCTGATATTGTACAGACGACCAAGGAAAAGGTGGAGAAATTGTTTCCTCATTTGAGTGAGGAATTGAACGTACAATCGGGTGGTAATACTAGTCTGGAAGTAGATGAAGAATCTAAATAGATAATAGCGATAAATAAGATAAATTAAGCGCATTGACATTTGCTCTTCAACTTTGAAGAGAAAAAAAAAAAAAAAAAAAAGTTGGCATCAGTATCACCTTTCAACAACGATGGTTACATACAAATCCTACAATGAGAGATCAGAGTCAAGTACCTCTCCAGTTACGAGACGGTTATTCCAATTGATGGAACTGAAACAATCCAATTTGTGTGCATCGGTGGATGTCAGGACTACTGAAGAGCTTTTGTCATTAGTTGACAAGCTTGGTCCGTTCATATGCTTAGTCAAGACCCACATAGACATTATAGACGACTTTTCTTATGAGGGTACAATTGTCCCTCTACTTGAACTATCAAAGAAGCACAACTTTGTGATATTTGAAGACAGGAAATTTGCTGATATCGGAAACACTGTAAAAAGTCAGTACACTGGTGGAGTGTACAAGATTGCCCAATGGGCTGATTTAACAAACGCACATGGTGTCACTGGAGAAGGGATAGTAAAAGGTTTGAAGGAAGGTGCTAACGAAACTACAGATGAACCAAGAGGGTTATTGATGTTGGCTGAGCTCTCGTCTAAAGGCTCTTTGGCATACGGGGAATATTCAAAGAAAACGGTGGAGATTGCCAAAACTGACAAAGACTTTGTGATGGGTTTTATTGCTCAAAACTATATGGGAGGTACCGATGAGGGCTTTGATTGGGTAATTATGACTCCAGGTGTTGGTTTAGACGATAAGGGCGACAGTTTGGGTCAGCAGTACCGATCAGTTGATGAGGTTGTATCCAATGGTACAGATGTGATTATCGTTGGACGTGGGTTGTTTGGAAAGGGAAGAGACCCATTGGTTGAAGGGAAAAGATACCAAGAGGCTGGCTGGAATGCATACTTGAAGAGAGTTGGCAAGAACTAAAAGGGGATATGTCTATTGTTGCTATATACAGAGCTGGCCTTGATGATGCAATCAAGGTGCTAACATCTCCGGTTCATCCATGGTAGTAGTTAGTCTTGTTCTTGTAATTTCAAATACAAGTAATGCGACCGAAGTTGCAGGAATTGTAGTCACTGCGTTTCGAACGAATCCGCTGTATGCGGCTTTAAACCACGTAACTTTCGCCTTCTGCTTCATTCTTAGCACTTGATTAAACGTGTCAATATAGGAATTATAGTACAACTTGATAAACGGTTTGTCTTTCCTAGTTGATGCATTGTAAATATCCAAAGCCTCTAACCTCGACAAGTGGATCTTTTGGATTTTAGTCAAAGGGTATTGTACCGCAAGTAGAGCAAACGCAGCGGATGCCCCTGCAATCAATATAAATGATGTCTTCAAGAGTCTTTCCAGTCGGTACCGCTCTAGTCTTTGCATTTTCTCGTCAGCTTTCATCTCATCCCAATTGAAAATCGATTGAAGCCTTCTCTTGATCATTTCCTCTTGGTCGTTAAAGAATTTGAAGATTTTGTAGGTTATGCTATATCCCTGAGTTTTGATCGTTTCAAAAGTGGAAAAGTAAAACGCAAACCCAACGCTTTCCTTAATCAACGAGAAACTGTAACCGGCAAACACCCCAACTAGACCAATTTCTTTCAACTTGTTAATTCCAAACTTCCATAGGTTTTCATGCGAACCCTCAATCATTTCGGACACAGACAGTCTAGTGTAAATTGCATCAACTGGAGCTGCGGCAAGAGACTGTACGGCACCAGCAACAAACCCTGCACGCCATGTGTCAAGTGGAGAGTACCGGTTAAACTCAGTGCTACGTTTGTCGCCCCTCTTTGTTGTCAAACGATCCAAAGTATTCAAGTATGTGGCATATAGGATAACACCCGTCGCTGAGTTGGCAATTAGAGGCGGCATCACTTGATCGGGTATGAACTTCCACCCTTCTTTCCTAATCACACTAACTAGCATCCCAATCGAAGAGTGTGTTCGGAATTTGTATGGCTTTTCGTTAATATTGTTGTGTCTGTTTGCAAGTGCTCGTACGTAGGCCAAGTAATCAAACCTTGATGGACGAAATAATTTGACCGGTGACCTTAGGTACAAGCTCTGGATCTGGTACGCAATGGCACGTATACCGGCTGTCAATACCGATACCGCCTGATTGCTAGATTTATTATCTGTAGTCCCTTCTTCATCCACAAGCATTTTGTAGTGGCTGGTGTCATTGTGTATTATTCCCCAAGTGTGATTCATTGAGTAGAAATTTTGGCATCGTAGTTTGATCAACTGGGGACCATTTTCATCGGGCATTATATAGTTGTGGACAAATCGAACTTAAAGCTGTGTTGGAGCATTGACGGCGTACTGCCCAAGCAATATTCTTTTGATATCAAAATGCTCTGGTAAACTTTTTCTCTTCGCCATAAGGCAAAAACGGTTTTCATTTTTGTGTTATATGTATCACGTGTATTGGGTCCGATGATATTACTGGGCTCGTCCTCGATTTCGTTGATCAGGTGGTATGACCTCTTGAGAATGCTTTATAGTAACTAATATTGTGATTGGATCTACTGCAATTAAAAATCTAGACTTTCTTTTTTTTATTGTGGGAGAAAGTTCAGAAACTAGCTATCCATTCTGTAATTATTTTGTATTCATTTTGTTGCAAAATATTGCACTTCAGGAATTGAAAAGGAGCTTTTTGTTTTGCTGCAGTTGTGCTATTACAGCATTTTGAGTATTGGACTCTCTCCAAGTTATGCCTTAGTTGCTTTGAATGGCTAGTTATACAGAATGGTTCAGAAAACAAATTTAATAGAGCAATACTACAAACAGCTTCATGCAAATGACTTAGCAAACACCAAGCCATGGACATCTATTCACTTAGGTGGCTTCTTTTTACACATCACGAGAGAGAATTATCTCGCTTTGCTTGAAATACCTCCTTGCATCCTCATCTATTAAAACCAATGAAAGATATGTCCTAACCGAAAACTTTTTGTTCACATCTTTATAAGTTGGAGTAAGGTCAAACCCACTCAAAAAAAGTCGAATTGGAATTGTTTCTCCCTTCACAGGTGCCCCGTCCATAATTTCAAATCTAACCACCGTCTCACTATCGGTCACTTGTTTCGGACCAGAACCAATAGTCTCCCGCTTTATTAACGACAATTCCATATGCTTTATTTTCAACCTTACAAGCAAAAAGTATATTCTCCCAATAATCACATCCTTCAACGAGAAGCGCGACTTTGAGTATTCGAATTCAATGTGCAAGCAGTCTTCTATACCTACATCCATCTTGACGCCATTAGTGTCCTTCTTTTTGGGAGCTGCTTGCATTGAACTGCGCACTGCATCTGACTTGGCCACCTCCTCATTAGCTGGTGTGCTAGTATATTGATAAACCCAGAGCTCCTTTTCCCTATTGATTTCAGCATTCGACTTTCTCAAAACTGTAACCCTTACGAAATACCTTAGTCTGGCGTTTTTTCCCCGGTAGCTTTCATATTGCTTTTCAACGTTCTTGAACTCGAAAGGATACGACTCAGAGTGAACTAGTTGGCCCGGTGCCGCTAGCTCAGTAGCCAAGGATAAGAAGTTTGAGGACGACAACCCGTCGTTATTGGTCTCTATTGAGCCCAAAAGTTGTACCTTTACCCCCTGGTGTTCGACCCTCTTGCCTTCCTTTGTGTACAAGGTGACAACCCCCTTCACCGATTCACCGTCTGAGTAAATTGGTAGCTTATCAATTCGTCCATGTGGGTTCTTGATCTCCGCGTGCTTCCGGCTTTCTTCATTCTCCAACCTGATCTCGATCTCCAAAGGCGTTTTGAAAAAAAGGGACATAGTTCTAATTGATTTAAAGGGATGTAGTAGTTGGCTGGTTTGGTTTCCTTTGATGAGGAAGCTGTGGTGATAATGGTGAGAGGATGGGTGTATGATAAAGTAAAGTCAGTTTTGTCGAAGTGTTAACAATAAAGGTATAGCGGCATAAGAGACGATCGTTTTTATTTTTAATTTTTTAATTTTTAGTTTTTGTTGTTAAATGTTTTTTTTTTTCCTCCCCAATCAATTTATCAAACTGTTTTTACATTTAAAACTCCCAACCTTAATCTTCACAAATCTATTCAACTATTGGCATAGCTCATAGGATAGTCTGATCCACTTACAAACTAAGCATTTACAACTGTATTCAAGATTAAACTTTGCACCGTGTTCCAGTTTCTCGGTTGTATGCGAGGCATTTTTTTTTTTTTTTGAAACCGTAATTTCTTAGTTTAAACCATTGCATCGTCAAATACTATCTAAGGGATTCTTTACAGATGTCAAACGACCCACTATCTGATGAAATAGCTCCGGATGTGATACTTCCGAGAGATAATCACCTTCGAAAAGGAGACCAACTAAAATGCATGGACACGGTTATTGCATTGCACGATTTTCAGGGGTCAAGGGAGTCGCACTTGTCGTTAACCTTGGGGGATACCGCCTACGTTTTAGCCAAATCTGTCACTGGTTGGTGGGATGGCGTAATTTTTCAAAATGATGGCGAGGCTCACCGAGGTTGGTTTCCAAATACCTATGTCAGATCGGTGAATTATGTTCAACCGGTGCTCAAAAAGATGAAGGACAATAAGGAATTGGATTCGATAACCGCAGCCAACACTGCAGCAAACGTCTTGATCCCTTCATTCACTAGTCTTTTGCAGAAAAATCTCATTGACTCCGAAAAGAATTCCTCATCAAGTGCTACTCGGAAAAATTCAGTTGTCAGCTTTGCAAGTTCAGAAACGAGTATTCCTTCCGATTCGAAAAATACCCTGCAGCAACCACAAGGAACTAATAATGCAAACTCAGGTAGCTCCCCACAGCGTTCATCAATTAGTCAAAGTATGAGTCAGGAAACTCAAACTTCACAAAGCGATCTGAGCTCGCTCCTGAAACGCCATCTGTCGTCTGCAACTAATATAGAAGAATTGAGGCTTACAAGTTTAGCGGAAGCAGAGTACTTGGCAGAAGAATACAGCTCCAGGAATAATAAAACTGTGACTTGGCTACCTAGACCCACTACAACGGGGGATTTTGTCTTTTATTGTCAGCAATTGAATATCTATTGCGAATCGTTGCCGTTGCTATCTTTTGACCCGTTAGGTTTTCCTCCAAATTTGGAGTTTCCAGACGCAGCAAACATTGAAAATAACACTGCTGTGAATCTAAATTTAATTGGTGCTCGAAAGACGGGCCATTTACAAGTGCTAAGAGAAAACTCCACCACTCCATCTTTTGACTCAGCAAAGAGAGACTCAAATTCTTCCTTGAGCACTCAGAGCACTAATGCGTCGTATCATAATTTTAGCAAGCCATTTTTTGCCATGGAAGGGTTGTTTTACAAACATGGATCTGATGTGACTAAATGGTCCATATTGAAACAGGAAGTGGACTCCTCACTTGATTTACTAATGAAATCACTCCTCAAGCCAAAGAGGGCAATGTTTGACACTCACTATCAGAGGTTGAATAAATTGATTGCCATCATATGTGCATCTTCAAGACTTGATCTGGATGATTACGTCAATGGTGAGTTTGAAAACATTCTCAGGCTGACGCTAAAGGCAATTTGCCATACCATGACTAGCATGTACTTGGATGGTCTATTGCATTTAGCCGAAACTGAAAATGAAGAGGATTTACGAGGCGTGGTACATCTCCATTCAGCTACCCCAAAAACAGATGAGTACAAGATGTACGAAAGTCAGCAGTCAACATCATCGGTGACCATGGATTCTAAAGTTCCCACCGGGCATGGTGCAAAAGTGAACTCGACGTTTGAGCGATTAGAGAATGAAGTGGGTCTCTTAAGAAAATACACAAATTATTTCATTGACATATTTATGAAATTGACAATGGATAAAACTGTACAATCTAGGGACTACGATTCCTCCGATGTATCTGACGGAGAAGGCGAAGAAAGAACAGATGTTTTACCTCAGACTTATCCAAGATTCCTTTTGGGAGAATTTAATGGGGGTAATTGGTGTAATCCGTTTTTTGCGCCCAAGAATAACTTTTTGAATGCTAGCGGAAATGAGCTCAAAAACAAACACCATACTAAAGTGTTACTTGATCATCAAGTGTTGGAGTCAGTGTCTCTTTACCTGGCCGAAATGATTAAACTCAGCGAAGAAGCTTACAATATACTTGTAACATCACCATCGTCAATGGGTAGAGGAGGCTCTATCGAGGAGAGAAACTCGCAAGTTTTGCGACTAATTTACAAATTCCTTCATCAATCAAGTTCTTTGATTGACCTTATGGAATCCTTTGATTTCACTGTTTTCTGCTTGGTCAAAACAAACGAATTCAGAGAAGGCAAAGAGCTCACAAAGATCAGCAAGTCGTTTAATGCATTGTCTTTGGAAGGAAATCACCATAGCACTGACCTCAATTTAATGTTTGATTATCCCATTGTGTTGGACTTTTTCCAGTTCAAACAGGAGTTTCACATATTGGTTCTGCATATCATTATGGCTACTCAAGCATTGGCGATTAACAAGGTTGGACCTTTGTACAAAGACTTGGATAATGAAGACCCTTTATTCTACGATAAGAATATTTTGAAAAATGACAATGAGAAAACAGCTATGCTATTGTCAACTGTCCTTCTTACCCGAATAGAAAAAACTGACAGTGATGAGGACATTGATTCCGAGCAAGTATTGGCTGGACTTTTGCAAGATAGTATTGGTGCATGTACTAGTGTTGTTGAGATATCGCAAAAGTTGATTGAAGAAAGGGAGACGATATTGAACTATGCCACTCGAGTCATGCACAATGAGTTTGATGTACAGTTGTTGCTAATGGAGAGAAACAATACATTGTCTTCTGAGAAGCAGGAGGAACACTCTTATTACAGTGGTAGCCAAGTCAATGCGAAGGATGTCCCTTGGTACCTCCATGGTGACCACGAAAGTGATTTGCTATTGGACGTTAAAGGAAACATCAAGGGGGGCACCAAGGAGGCCCTAGTAGCCCATTTGACACACCACGATATGTTTGACAGTCAATTCAACACGGCCTTTTTGTTGACTTTTGCCACCATGATGCCGTTGGGCGAGTTGATTAGACTTTTGATTGACCGATTTGATATTGACCCTCCAGAAGGCTTGGGGTTTGAAGAGTATAACAACTGGATTGTGCGCAAGCAAAATCCAATTCGACTTCGTGTGATGAATATTATGAAATTGTTGATTGAGAAGAACTGGTCGCCGTCGTATTTCAACGAGTCAGCGGTCAAGAGATGGTTAAGCTTTTCTGAATCTGAGGCAGTTCAATCCTTTTCCATTGGGCGGTTGTTATCAAATGAACTAAAGAACCTTTTAGCGGGAAAGATATATACTGTTGAAAGAAGTCCTGTGGTACCTAATACGAAGCCACCAGCGCCGTTGACAAAGGCTTCAACGTTTGTGAAAAAGACGAAATTACTAGACATTGATTATGTTGAGCTTGCAAGACAATTAACCTTGAGGGAGTTTAGAATGTATTGTGACATATCCAAGTTTTCTTGTTTGGCCAAAGTATGGGGTAAGAAATCAGGGTTGAATGAGAGTATTGAGAGCATTACCAAATTTATAAGGTATTCGAATCAATTGACAAACTTTGTTGCCTATATGATTTTGAGGAAATCCGATGCCAAGAAACGAGTGCAAATAATTCGTTATTTTATTCAAGTGGCAGAAAAGTGTCGTCAGTACAATAATTTCTCATCGATGACGGCCATCATTTCGGCACTTTACTCATCACCAATTCACCGATTGAAAAAGACTTGGAATTTTGCTAGTCCTGATTCATTGACGTTGCTTAAAAACATGAACAAATTGATGAATTCAAGTCGTAATTTTAATGAGTATCGTGATGTTTTGAAATTTATTGGATCAGAACCGTGTGTTCCATTCTTTGGAGTGTTTTTATCCGATTTGACATTTGTATTTCATGGTAATCCCGATTTCTTGCTTAATCGAACAAGAATGATTAATTTTGCCAAGAGAACAAAGACGTGTGATATTGTTTCTGGGATTGATAGATTTAAGAATGCTGGTTACAATTTTCTTGAAGTGAGTGAGGTTCAAAAGTATCTTGATACGTGGTTTGAGAAATGTCCTTCAATTGAGGAGCAGTATCAGTTGTCGTTGGCGTTGGAGAAGAAGAACTAGGTGGTTGTATGAGATGTATATATGTATACAAAAACAATTTAATATATTAATGGTTTATGGAAACGAATCTTTGTTGAAAAGCGTATGTTTTAGTTTTCAAAACAGACGTGGTTTCATTTGTCTCAACTACAGGGGATAGAGAAGTTTAGCGTAATTCTATCAATGAGTGGGCAGTTTTCATACAGTTTTACTACTGAATCAGTGTAAGTCGTTGATAAAGAAAGTTAAAGTCACATGCTGGTTTTATTCTCACACAAATAGAAATTAAAAAATAAAAAATAAAAAATAAAAAATAAAAAATAAAAAATACGGAGAGAGAGGATTAAGAAGATAACGCATAAAGAGAATCCACAGCATACCCCACCACCCACAACCCTCCTTTATTCTTGCCAATAGGTCCAGATTGTTGTTAATACTACTACTTACTCACTAGTTCACTACAATATAATACGATAATGGCCCTTAGAACCAAAAAAAAAATTGAACTACGAAACTTGAAGCCTGTGTTGTTAACTTGTGCAGTAGTTGTGGGGGCAGGAGTTTTAATTGTCAATACATTCCCCCACTTAAAAACAACGTTACATCTCTATCTACAGGGTGGGACTGATGACGAACCAGATGAAGATGAAGAAGAGGAAGCAAGGAGTATTTCAGGTGAAACAGTTATTGTTGAGAGTATACATCGAGATCCACAGAATGAAAATAAGACAATTGATAGTTTTCAAGTTGTACGCTAGAGATAGGATACATATTTGCCATTTTACAACCGTGTTTGAAGGTCTATAAATAACAACCCTCTATCTATCTATCTATCTATCTATCTATCTAATATAATATACTATGCTACTAGCCTATGTTTCATCGTGTCTCTCTTTCTAGTGTCCTTTTCCCTTTCTCTCGCTCTCTCTATTTATTCTGCTTTGCTCTATATGATTCCAATCCTTTCTCAAATACATTTCTAGTCAACCCCAGAGATTCATCAGGAACATGAACAAAATGACAATTGATACTCGATACATCCCGATTTCTCAACTCATCATCGAATAGAATAAACTTCCCTTGCTCTAACTCGCTAGCCATTCCAAGTTGTTTTGCTGCAAGTTTAATGTGTTTGGTTTTTGACCCTTGTCCCCATTCAAGAGCATCAAAGTAATGGATTGCTGACTTACCATCAATTTGAAGCATGGACAAGATTTTCTTGGCCACTTGCGGAGTTGCTGTTCGACTAGCTCCAATAACGGTGACATCGTTTGCCACTAGTTCATGTATTATTGATTCTACTTGGGGATAAAATGCTAATCGCATGCCTGAAGCATCGACAATCTCTGATGATGATATTGATTTCAATGGAGGGGTTATATGAGTGTCACACCAACAGGGCCATAAAGTGTAGTCCAAATCAAATACTACGGCAGCTGGGTATTTTGAACCAAACATTGTTGTGTGTGTGTGTGTTTCTATTGTGCTGTATGATATTTGATGAAGTGAGTGAGGATGTAAGTACTATAGAGTGGATGGCTAGAAGGAATATGCGCTACCGCTTCAATGATGATTTTGCCTTTCAAAGGTTTCAATGGTGACATAACTTAATATTATATGACACGACACATCAAATGACACAAAAGCTTAAAACTTCTGTTTTATTTTTGTTTTCTTATCAAAAAAAGGGCATAATAGTAAAAGTAATGTCGTGATAATATAATTCTCATTGTCGTAACTTAGTCACGAGACACTTCAAAAAGAGGAATTATACCACTCCATTTGCATTATATAGATAACAGATATTTCCACTAAGGGTTACATTTATTCCTAGTCTATTACTAATCTGTTTCCTACCACCGTGTATCTGTCAAAGGTAGTGTATAGTTTACCAATTGATTGTTATCCACACACAAAAAATTGTCTCTCCACACAAAAGGAGAGAGGAGGAGCAGGACGAAGGAGACGGAGAGAAGGAAAATACATCTATACACACATACTAAACTACCATAACACACCCTTTTTAATTTTTGCCCTCTCCCCTTTCCAGAACGAAATCACACATTTTTTATATTACACACCAACACAACAACACTCCCACAGTTACAGTTACATTTTACTTCAATTACAGTTTACTTCAGTTATACACCAACTACACCAGTTACAACCATTGCACGACTACACACCACACACTAAATTACACACCTTTCATATACCCTCCCATTTTCAATTAAGTTGCAGTTGGCTTTAGCTCCGCATTTAATATTTTGTTCTTTTTATTTTTATCCGTTTTTGATTGCTGTTTTCTACAACACCCATTATCATTTGTCTTACACCTCGCCATGCCTAGATCTAACCAAACCATAATCATCAAAGTCAATGTCTTTGGCACAAAGGACAACGAAGACAAAGATGTTCCTGTTGAAAAGACATTACGTGCTAAGAGAGAGGACTTCTTATCCATCAATTCAAAAGATTCCTTGGCTGAATATATCACTACCAAATTGTCAGAATTGTTCCCAAACCAGGCTACTTCCTTGACTTTTACAAGAAAGTCGAAGAAGCACAAATGCTTTATCCCCTTAGACGATGAAGAGGATTTTAAATCTCTCGCTAGAAGTTTGAAAGTTAAGAACCACGTGAAATTGAATGTTCAAGTGTCATCTCCATTGCCTCCTCAAGCATCTTCTATTCCAACAACTGAACTGAGATCCTTGCCAATTTCATCAATTGATTTCGCAAAGTTGGGAGACGCATTGCTTGAAGCAACTTTGGAACATTTCAAGGATTTCTTCATTGAACCAAGACATAAAGTAGCTGGTGCAGAGAAGGAGGAAGCTGCTAACGCTGCACCTGCTGCCACGGCATCTGCATCCACCTTGAACGGTGCTTCATCACACCAAAATAGCTCAGAAGTTGAAGAGGAAGTTGTTGTGCACGAGAATATCGCTTGTGATAATTGTTCTCCAGACGACTTTATTCCACTCAAGGGAGTTAGATATAACTGTTTAGTTTGCCAAAACTATGACCTTTGTTCCGATTGCGAGAGCAGACAACAGGCTGGAAAGTTGACTTATGGATCCCATTCTCACTTGCATCCAATGGCAAAAATTACTACACCAGCAACCTTTACGAGAGGTTTTTGCAACGGTAAATTCAAGGTCAATGATATGGAACCTCATGGAAGACACCACGCCTTTCCCAACACGGGACCTAATGACATTGTTTATGACATTCCTTTGTCGAGTTGCTCTGGTGATAATAGGGCTAGATTAGAAACCCTTCTTCAATCGAAAGGATTCGAACGTTTTATCGATGAGGTTGATGGAATTATTGGCAGGAGCGACAAATATTCACAGCTTTCAGACATTTTGAAAGCAAATGGTTTGACATTCTCCACCGAAGACCAAAAGCACGAGTATTTAGAAGAGTGTATCGAGGATTACTTGTTGAAGAAAGCTTTCACTGAGTCACAGAATGAACAACAGGTTGAAAGTGATAACGAGAAAGAAGAAGCAAATGGCGATGCTGTCATCAGTTTGAACTTGGGAACTGCATCGACAAAGCTGTCGCTTCAGTTGATCAACAAGTCTGATATTACAATCGATAGTGGTGACTTCACAATCAAACTTGTTGATGCTAACCAAAAAGAATACTCAACCACCTGTAAGTCTGCCGTTGTGAAACCTGGCCAAGTGAAGTTTTACAAATTAGGTACTGTGCCTCCAGAATTTGTACTCGATGATGGAACAAAATTGCTAGTTGAAGCGCCCAATGTTATTATGACAAGTTTGAATGCTGAAAGCAATGAGTTCCAAATGGCTATTATGGTCAAAAAATCTCAAAAAGAACAATCTGAGACTGTTACAGAGATAGAGTCATTTACAAGTAGCTCAGATGGCTTGTCTGTCAATGAGAAGAAGGAAATGACTGAATTTTCAAAGCCTGGAACTAGTAATGGTGATATTACTGTGTCCTATAAGATGCAATCGGGAATGATTATGAATCTCGAATTGCAGAACAATTCAAGCACTAATTTCAGTTGCAATGATTTAAAGATTGAAGTTTATGAACAAGAGGAAAAAGTTCTGGAGCTGGTCATCCACAGGGCTCATGGTATCAAGCCAGGTTGCTTAACCAAAGCCAACATCATTTTGAAAAATCAAGTCACTAAATATCCACTTCATTTTGACTTCCAAACTAATGACAATAGAGCAACATGCAGCTTTTCAGAAGGTCAACGCCAATCTACCTTGTTATTTTTGTATGAAGAGGCAGATACTAAAGCAAGTACTTCGAAGGAGATGACCGAACACTCAGACCGAAATGAAGCCTCAAGACTGGCCTCAGAGCTTCAATCTTCCTCCTACCACTCAGTGGTGTTGCCCGTCTTGGCACGTGAAAGTGTAGACTTGTCCGAATTTATGGATGCCAATAGTGGATCTACAGTCGATGAGAGTGATAATGCAGAGTATGATGTATTGGAAGATGACGAGATTGATTCTGAATATGAGATTCTCTCTTTAGCTAGCACTGACTCCTTTTAGTTTTTATGGTTTGTACTTTGTTCGGTTAATCTAGTATGATTTTTTTTTTGGAAGACCGTTGTAGTAGCTTACACTCTGTCCATGTACGATTGCTGTCAACACAACTCAAGCGTTTTTATCTATTACCTTAGCCAATCGATAACTGAACGAATTAGGTAATTGTTAGATTGTAGAGTTCGAACTCATTGTAAATTTGGAATTGTATATTCCTCAGTTTTGGGCGACCAATAAGAATTATCTGGAAGAAATAGATCACAAACAGCTATAGATTCCTATTAAGGTGATGCTCATACTGAGACACTGACTGGTATCAGCTTTTACTATGACAGTACAGATATAGCTTATTTTTGGTCGTGTGATTTTCCAATTTAACTTGGTGACAACTACATCTCCAGAACAATGTTGCAAAAAGATGTTGGGATACCAAATACTGGGTT